TTATAGTCTTTTTGTAAAAATTGTGAAAATTTTGAAAATGCGTGAATTATAGTCTTTTTATGAAAATTGTAAAATTTTTGAAAATCGTGAATTATAGTCTTTTAAGTGTAAAATCGTGAATTCGCAGTCTATTGTAAAAATTGTGAAAATTTTAAAATCACGTGAATTATAGTCTTTTGAAAAATTGTGAAAATTTTGAAAATCGTGAATTATAATCTTTTTGTGAAAAATTGTGAAAATTTGAAAATGCATGAATTATAGTCTTTTTGAAAAATTGTGAAAATTTGTGAAAATCACGTGAATTATAGTCTTTTTTGTAAAAAATTGTGAAAATTTTTGAAAATCGTGAATTATAGTCTTTTGTGAAAAATGTGAAAATTTTTGAAAATCGTGAATTATAGTCTTTTTGTAAAAATTGTGAAAATTTTGAAAATCGTGAATTATAGTCTTTTTGAAAAATTGTGAAAATTTTGAAAATGCGTGAATTATAGTCTTTTGTGAAAATTGTGAAAATCGTTGAATTATAGTCTTTTGTAAAAATTGTGAAAATTTTTGAAAATGCGTGAATTATAGTCTTTGTGAAAAATTGTGAAATTTTTGAAAATCGTGAATTATAGTCTTTTTGTAAAAATTGTGAAAATTTTGAAAATCGTGAATTATAGTCTTTTGTGAAAAATTGTGAAATTTTTGAAAATGCGTGAATTATAGTCTTTTGTGAAAAATTGTGAAAATTTTGAAAATCGTGAATTATAGTCTTTGTGAAAAATTGTGAAAATTTTGAAAATCGTGAATTATAGTCTTTTGAAAAATTGTGAAAATTTGTGAAAATGCGTGAATTATAGTCTTTTGTGAAAAATTGTGAAATTTTGAAAATCGTGAATTATAGTCTTTTGTGAAAAATTGTGAAAATTTGAAAATCGTGAATTATAGTCTTTTGTGAAAATTGTGAAAATTTTGAAAATCGTGAATTATAGTCTTTTGTGAAAAATTGTGAAAATTTTGAAAATCGTGAATTATAGTCTTTTGTGAAAAATTGTGAAAATTTTTGAAAATCATGAATTATAGTCTTTTGTGAAAATTGTGAAAATTTTTGAAAATCATGAATTATAGTCTTTTGTGAAAATTGTAAAAAATTGTGAAAATTTTTTTGAAAATCGTGAATTATAGTCTTTTGTGAAAAATTGTGAAAATTTGTGAAAATGCATGAATTATAGTCTTTTGTGAAAATTGTGAAAATTTTGAAAATCGTGAATTATAGTCTTTTTTGTAAAAATTGTGAAAATTTTGAAAATCGTGAATTATAGTCTTTTGTGAAAAATTGTGAAAATTTTTGAAAATCGTGAATTATAGTCTTTTGAAAAATTGTGAAAATTTTGAAAATCATGAATTATAGTCTTTTGAAAAATTGTGAAAATTTTGAAAATCGTGAATTATAGTCTTTTTGTAAAATTGTGAAAATTTTGAAAATCGTGAATTATAGTCTTTTTGAAAAATTGTGAAAATTTTGAAAATCGTGAATTATAGTCTTTTTGTGAAAATTGTAAAATTTTTAAAATCGTGAATTATAGTCTTTTGTGAAAAATTGTGAAAATTTGTGAAAATCGTGAATTATAGTCTTTTGTGAAAAATTGTGAAAATTTTTGAAAATGCGTGAATTATAGTCTTTTTGTGAAAAATTGTGAAAATTTTGAAAATGCGTGAATTATAGTCTTTTGTGAAAAATTGTGAAATTTTTGAAAATCGTGAATTATAGTCTTTTGTGAAAAATTGTGAAAATTTTTGAAAATGCGTGAATTATAGTCTTTTTGTAAAAATTGTGAAAATTTTGAAAATGCGTGAATTATAGTCTTTTTGTGAAAAATTGTGAAAATTTTTGAAAATGCGTGAATTATAGTCTTTTTGTAAAAATTGTGAAAATTTTGAAAATCGTGAATTATAGTCTTTTGTAAAAATTGTGAAAATTTTGAAAATGTGTGAATTATAGTCTTTTGTGAAAAATTGTGAAAATCGTGAATTATAGTCTTTTGTGAAAAATTGTGAAAATTTTGAAAATCGTGAATTATAGTCTTTTGTGAAAAATTGTGAAAATTTTTGAAAATGCATGAATTATAGTCTTTTGTGAAAAATTGTGAAAATTTTGAAAATCGTGAATTATAGTCTTTTGTGAAAAATTGTGAAAATTTTGAAAATGCGTGAATTATAGTCTTTTGTGAAAAATTGTGAAAATTTTTGAAAATCGTGAATTATAGTCTTTTGTGAAAAATTGTGAAAATTTTTAAAATGCATGAATTATAGTCTTTTGTGAAAAATTGTGAAAATTTTTGAAAATCGTGAATTATAGTCTTTTGTGAAAAATTGTGAAAATTTGTGAAAATGCGTGAATTATAGTCTTTTTGTGAAAAATTGTGAAAATTTGTGAAAATCGTGAATTATAGTCTTTTGTGAAAAATTGTGAAAATTGTGAAAATGCATGAATTATAGTCTTTTTGTGAAAAATTGTGAAAATTTTGAAAATGCATGAATTATAGTCTTTTGTGAAAAATTGTGAAAATTGTGAAAATCGTGAATTATAGTCTTTTTGTGAAAAATTGTGAAAATTTGTGAAAATGCGTGAATTATAGTCTTTTTGAAAAATTGTGAAAATTTTTGAAAATGCGTGAATTATAGTCTTTTTGTGAAAAATTGTGAAAATTTTGAAAATGCTTGAATTATAGTCTTTTTTTGAAAAATTGTGAAAATTTTTGAAAATGCGTGAATTATAGTCTTTTTGTGAAAATTGTGAAAATTTGTGAAAATGCGTGAATTATAGTCTTTTTGTGAAAAATTGTGAAAATTTGTGAAAATGTGTGAATTATAGTCTTTTTTGAAAAATTGTGAAAATTTGTGAAAATGCGTGAATTATAGTCTTTTGTGAAAAATTGTGAAAATTTGTGAAAATGCGTGAATTATAGTCTTTTGTGAAAAATTGGGAAAATTTTGAAAATCGTGAATTATAGTCTTTTGTGAAAAATTGTAAAATTGTGAAAATTTTTGAAAATGCGTGAATTATAGTCTTTTTGTGAAAAATTGTAAAAATGCATGAATTATAGTCTTGTTGTAAAAAATTGTGAAAATTTTTGAAAATGCGTGAATTATAGTCTTTTTGTGAAAAATTGTGAAAATTTTTGAAAATGCATGAATTATAGTCTTTTGTGAAAATTGTGAAAATTTGTGAAAATGCGTGAATTATAGTCTTTTTGTAAAAAATTGTGAAAATTTTTGAAAATGTGTGAATTATAGTCTTTTTGTAAAAAATTGTGAAAATTTTTGAAAATGCGTGAATTATAGTCTTTTGTGAAAAATTGTGAAAATTTTTGAAAATGCGTGAATTATAGTCTTTTGTAAAAATTCTGAAAATTTTTGAAAATCGTGAATTATAGTCTTTTTGTAAAAATTCTGAAAATTTTGAAAATCGTGAATTATAGTCTTTTGTGAAAAATTGTAAAATGCGTGAATTATAGTCTTTTGTAAAAATTGTGAAAATTTTGAAAATGCGTGAATTATAGTCTTTGTGAAAAATTGTGAAAATTTGTGAAAATGCGTGAATTATAGTCTTTTTGTAAAAAATTGTGAAAATTTGTGAAAATGCGTGAATTATAGTCTTTTTGTGAAAAATTGTGAAAATTTTGAAAATGCATGAATTATAGTCTTTTTGTGAAAAATTGTGAAAATTTGTGAAAATGCATGAATTATAGTCTTTTTGAGAAAAATTGTGAAATTTGTGAAAATGCATGAATTATAGTCTTTTTGTGAAAAATTGTGAAAATTTTTTAAAATGCGTGAATTATAGTCTGTTTGTGAAAATTTGTCATATGCGTGAATTATAGTCTTTTGTGTGAAAATTTGTGATATTCGTGAATTATAGTCTTTTTTGTGAAAATTGGTAATATGCTTGAATTATAGTCTTTTGTGTGAAAATTTGTGATATGCGTGAATTATAGTCTTTGTGTGAAAATTTGTGGTATGCCTGAATTATAGTCTTTTATGTGAAAATTTGTCATATGCGTGAATTATAGTCTTTTGTGTGAAAATTTGTGAAATGCGTGAATTATAATCTTTTGTTTGAAAATTTGTGATATTCGTGAATTATAGTCTTTTTTGTGAAAATTGGTAATATGCTTGAATTATAGTCTTTTGTGTGAAAATTTGTGATATGCGTGAATTATAGTCTTTGTGTGAAAATTTGTGATATGCATGAATTATAGTCTTTGTGTGAAAATTGGTGATATATTTGAATTATAGTCTTTTCTGTTAAAATTCGTTAAATGCGTGAATTATAGTCTTTTGTGTGAAAATTGGTGAATTACAGTCTCTGAAAAATCTAAATGTAGACTTATAAAGGTAGACATAAATGTAGACATAAAGGCAGACATAAAGGTAGACACAAAGGTTAGACACAAAGGTAGACATAAATTTAGACATAAATGTAGACATAAATGTAGACATAAATGTAGACAAAAATGTAGACTTATAAAGGTAGACATAAATGTAGACATAAATGTAGACATAAATGTAGACAAAATGTAGACATAAATGTAGACATAAATGTAGACATAAATGTAGACATAAATGTAGACATAAATGTAGACATAAATGAACATAAATGTAGACATAAATGTGGACATAAAGGTGGACATAAATGTAGACATAAATGTAGACATAAATGTAGACATAAATGTAGACATAAATGTAGACATAAATGTAGACATAAATGTAGACATAAATGTAGACATAAATGTAGACATAAATGTAGACATAAATGCAGACTTATAAAGGTAGACATAAATGTAGACATAAAGGTAGACATAAAGGTAGACATAAATGTAGACATAAAGGTAAATATAAACGTAGACATAAAGGTAGACATCAGGAGTAAACGTCAGGTTAGCCGTATTTGTTACGATAACAACATGCTACGAGAACCAGATAACAAATACGGCTAACCTGACGTTTACTCCTCATTTGACTCTGAAGATGACTACCACTAAGGTTGTCGAAACGTCAGTCAACAACAACAAAAACAGTCCTTCTCAGGACTATACCAACCTGGACGATCTACATTTACAAACATGTAAGGATACTCCGGGTTCAAACCATTTACCATTTACTTTGGTAGACATAAAGGTAAACATAAAGGTAGACATATAGGTAGACATAAATGTAGACATAAAGGTAGACACCAAGATGGACACAAAGGTAAACATAAACATATTATATAATACATAAAGGTAGACGGAGAGTAGTTCAGGAAAGTGAAGGGAATAGAAAATTGAAATTATTTTATTTCTTAACACTATCACAAATACAATTATCAATTACTTTTGGTGTCATATTTTTATCATAATCATTTACGTAAATAATATTTAATATATACTTATAAATTTAGATATAAATAATAAAGATACATCCATTATCTTCGACATTTATGGATAAAAAATATTAAAATTTGAGAGTGAATTGATAAATGAGAGTTTCACAGACGGACGGTCTAGAAACACTTTAAACATTCTAACTTGTCTTAGCTTGACCACATCCAACCTTTTTTCATAAAAGGCAATCTAGATTTCTTTTTATTGTGCTCTGCATTTGTATCTGTTTGTCTTTTTACTTGATTTTCAATGACGTAAGCCATGTCAAACTGAAACATAAAATTCACATGCTTTCTTCCAGTTGTTTGATGCAACTACAATACCGAGTTTATCACCACGTTTTAAATCGGAAATGGAAAATATCAATTTCATTTTTATGTATCCACAATTTTCTGATTCAACAATGGTTAATCAGACGGTTAATTCTAATTCATCCTAAATTATTAACATATTTACACAACTGAACCAGTTTCAAACGACGAGTTTTGCTGTAATAAAAGTATGACTTTTCTTTTGCCAAATTGTTGGCAGCCAAAAATGAGTCCTTAACTCTTAAATAAAATTTATTAATCCAATGAACTTACTTGCCATTGCTCAAGCTGTTCAGATAGTCTCACTTTCTGATTAATTGCAGTGATGAGTTGAGTATCCAACCGCTGAACATCACGTCTTGCTTTCTCAAGTTCCTCAACCACACTGTGAAAAAGAAAGTGTTTCGTACAAAATTTGCTTGGTTCAATTTACGTACAACACATTAGTACATGGTCATACACAGTAGTACAATGTAGTACTACAAAAACTCAATATATCCAATACCAATGAAATCAGCCATGTTAACAACTCTTCTCTCTACAACCCTTCCACCTCTAATCCTCCCTCTGGAGTTGAATAATTAGTAAAGCATATACCTTCTTGATCTACACGATTTGATATAAGCATATTTTGTCTTTAATGTCTCTAGTTCTGTCCTTTCAGCAGCAATTTTATTCAGCAAATGCTTTTTTTCAGCTTCACATTTCAAAAGATCGTTTCTTGCTTCCTCAAGTTCAACACCAAGGGAAGATAGCTGTTTCTTTGCTTCAAAACATTCTGTCGTTAAATCTTCTACTTGTCCCTCAAGCGATCGTATTTTATTCTCTAAAGCTACAATGTCATCATTTGCATGATTTTTCATCTATAAAAAACAATAGTTGAAAAATAAAGTGACATTTCATCATGAATTTGATGCTAGAATAATTTTTTACAGCATCAGTGTTCTCCTTCTTTTTCTCCCGATATTCCTTCAATAATCCATTCATTTCAGCCGCAATCATCGTCAAAGTTCCAATGCTGGAATGTTCTATACTAAAGAGTTCGTCGATCTCCATTTTAATTGTTTGTTTCGATTTATAATCGTCATCTGTTATGAGACGACACGCATTCAACAATTGATGAGCGACGTTGCACATTTCTCGACGGAGCTGTGAAGAGTAAATAATAATATCGTTACAGTGAGATCCATTGGAAGTCGCGTCACCAGGGAGGGAATTGAGGGGGACGAGCCCCCCCCCCGTTATTCCAAAGATTCATTTGAGATTGAAAGAGAAGGTGACATAAATCCAAATTCGAAATAAATCAACAACTTGCTTTCTATAAGCGGGCAAAGTATACATAGTAAAACAGCAATCTTCAAGCATTGTTGTCTGTAAGATTGACTTGAATACACTTGATCACACATGTAACAAAATGCCATTTTACGGCTTTTAAATTATCATAAATCCTGTGTGGGAAAATAGCGTTTTAGAGAACATAAAGTCAAACACATTTGACAGTTGCATTGTCCCCCCCAGCTTTGAACAACCTGGCGACGCTACTGTCCACTGGCATAAGAGTAATATGATGTGAAGTTGTTTAGAGTTATTGAAAGTTCGAGCAGAAAAATTCCTATGTCCTTGAAATATATCACGATAAGTTTAATTTGTTTCGAAAATAGTGGTGTGAATCCAGCGCTGTAGAAGTGGGGCGGCGCTTGGGGGAGGAGCCCCCTTCTGCCTTTGAAATGGGTAATTTTTCATAATATCATGGTTTCAGCTTCGTCAAGAGAGCCCCTCCATCTGATAAATTTATTTCTACAGCACTGTGTGCACCGGAGTAAGGAGGTAGGTCGGAGATCCTGCTTTTTTTCCTTGCCGAAGTGGGAGTTTGTTCAGTTACTTCTGCTGCAAATATTGTCAGACTTCGGTAAACGTATTCGATCAGAAAATTTTTGTATAAAAGAACGATAACTGTCGGCTAATATTGAAGAACTTGCATGAAAATAAAACATTTTATGCATGTCACAACATGACGCTAGATTGCGTTCACAATTGCTAACTTATGATTGATAGTAAGAGTGCATAAATTTAGTTTCACACATAGAAATATTACTAATAATACACCTTAAACTGTTAAAGAGTGACAAAATTAACAAGTTGCAACTAGATATTTGAGTTACAAAATAGCCGGAGCTGAAAAACAGCAGTTTGAACAAAAATACTCGAAAATATACCTCAACATTAATCTTTTGTTCTTCTTCATACTTAGCGAAGTAACCGCGTTGGGTTAAAACAAAATTATCATTATCTTCTTCAGTAGATGAGTTACCATCATAGCTGCTCTCGTAAAAATTATCTAATCGTGTTCTTTCTGATTCATTCAATTTATTGAGAAGGTTCGCAGATGATGACGCGGCAAGGGGACTGGGGGCGCCTTGTAAACTCTCGACCGTGTTAAGTTTCTAAAAATTTATAACTTATAAAGTAAAACTAAATAGAACAAAAAAGTTTGATCAATTCAAAACTGCAATAAGTATCGTATATATGTGTCATATATTTATTACTTTTATACTGCTTGATGTAGCAAGTTTTCTGTTAAACTCGTTTTCATTTTCCAAAACGGAGATCTCTGAGAAGATTGATGAACCATTTAAAGCCGTTTGTTGCGATGTCTTAAATGAAAACAAAATTTATAATGTTGACTAAAAACTATAAGACTTAAGTATGACGTTTAATTGATTAAGAACAAATTTTCTAGTTAACCTGAAGCTTTGCTTCCTCCAGCTCTTCATTTAACTTCAAATTTTCTTTTTTGCAAATGCGTAATTCCTCTTCACATAGAAACATCTTAAAACAAAACAGGTGATTTTCTACTATTGAAACTTTGTTAAAATTAGTTTACTATAATCGTATTATTTAAGAGATAAAAATTTACATTGTACAGTTAATTATTCGACTTTATTTCTCTCAATAAAACGCAAACATACAAAGGTTTAATAATCGGGCACTTACTTCACATTTACAATCAGCGAGTTCCTTCGTAAGTGAAATTATTTTCTTCGTGAGAACATTCACTTCTACATCCATATCATTCTTTTCTGCCAACATCTGATTGAGACTTAAGTTAAGTTTTTCTTTCTGGTCTTCCAAAACACTCAACTAAAGAGTACATTTCGTTGCGATAAAATACTGTCAAGTTAAGAATTCAACACATAGGTTAAGTATAGCTACAAACCTTTTGTTGGAGTATGTCGGCCTGACTAAAAGTTCCTGAGTCCAAGCTTTCATTCAAATTTCCACCTTGTTGCAATGATTTAAGTGTTTTAATCTCCTTTAGTAGATTTTCGTTTGACGATTTGGTCTAAAAACATAAAAATATGGCAGTAAAAACAATAATGATGTAAAGTAACAATGTTTAATAAAACTACACATAAACTAGTACCCACGAATACATCTCATGTAAGCTAAGAACCCAAGAGTACATCTCATGTAAGCTAAGGACCCAAGAATAGATCTCATGTAAGCTAAGGACCCACGAATACATCTCATGTAAGCTAAGGACCCGGGAGTACATCTCATGTAAGCTAAGAACCCAAGAGTACATCTCATGTAAGCTAAGGACCCACGAAAACATCTCATGTAAGCTAAGGACCGGGAGTACATCTCATGTAAGCTAAGGACCCACGAATACATCTCATGTAACCTAAGGACCCGGGAGTACATCTCATGTAAGCTAAGGACCCACGAAAACATCTCATGTAAGCTAAGGACCCGTGAGTACATCTCATGTAAGCTAAGGACCCACGAAAACATCTCATGTAAGCTAAGGACCGGGAGTACATCTCATGTAAGCTAAGAACCCAAGAGTACATCTCATGTAAGCTAAGGACCCAGGAGTACATCTTACGTAAGCTAAGGACCCACGAATACATCTCATGTAAGCTAAGGACTCAGGAGTACATCTTACGTAAGCTAAGAACCCAAGAATACATCTCATGTAAGCTAAGGACCCAGGAGTACATCTCATGCAAGCAAAGCAAGCACGAGTACATCTCATGCAAGAATTAACAATTCTATCAAGACACCAAGGGATTACAATCGCATTTTTTTTATATGGACAGGAACTTCAAGCATTAAATGATTTTTTTTGTAAATTTCAACTTCTCATTATCATTAAAACTATTGAAATTTCATGAAGAGATATACGACCTCGATGTTTAATGTGTTCTACCTAAAACTATATAACGTAGGTATGAACAACATCTTCATATAGTTTATCGAGAATATAGATTATATGTTTGTAAATGTAGATCGTCCAGGTTGGTAAAGTCCTGAGAAGTACTGTTCTTGTTGTTGTTGACTGACGTTTCGACGATCGTGACTAAAACACCACACGAGTACATACGAGTACATACGAGTAACATACGAGTACATACGAGTACATACGAGTAACATACGAGTACATACGAGTAACATACAAGTACATACGAGTAACATACGAGTACATACGAGTGACATACGACTATTTTCTGGTCAACAAATGAGAAAAAAACACAATTTCTTCAATACATTGATATTTGCGTTTATTTTTCCTTGTATTTGTGTGGACTTTGGGGTAACCATTTGATGGATTTAAATGCTGAAAAGGTATTTTACTTTCATACTACATTCACTTGTATGTTTTAGTTGAATTTGTTATAGACATTTTGTCGATGCGATTTGCCAGTATTTGAGCGCTTTTTGACACACTTTCAACTAGGAAATACATATTTATGAAAGCGATTAAATAAACAACGTATGAATAATGCTTTCAAAACGTGCTATATGAAATAAATGTACATTATATATATTTGAATTAAATGAGAGTTGCACTGTGGTACGTATATATATCATATTATGCGTACAATTTCAGCTTACTTTTAATGTTTTTGAAGTTCTAGCTGATATAATTCAGTCTTTTAACTGCAAAATCAGTATCTTAAAGACCAAAATGAATGTATAATCGCTTTCATAAATATGTATTTCCTAGGTGAAAGTGTGTCAAAAAGCGCTCAAATACTGGCAAATCGCATCGACAAAATATCTATAACAAATTCAACTAAAACATACAAGTGAATGTAGTATGAAAGTAAAATACCTTTTCAGCATTTAAATCCATCAAATGGTTGCCCTAAAGTCCACACAAATACAAGGAAAAATAAATGCAAATATCAATGTATTGAAGAAATTGTGTTTTTTTTCATTTGTTGACCAGAAAATAGTCGTATGTCACTCGTATGTACTCGTATGTACTTGTATGTTACTCGTATGTACTCGTATGTTACTCGTATGTACTCGTATGTACTCGTATGTTACTCATATGTACTCGTACGTACTCGTGTGGTGTTTTAGTCACGATCCGTTTCGACAACCTTAGCGGTAGTCATCTTCAGAGTCAAACTCCGCTAAGGTTGTCGAAACGTCAGTCAACAAAAACAAAAGCAGCCCTTCGCAGGACTATACCAATCTGGACGATCTACATTTACAAACATGTAACGATACTCCCGGGTTCAAACCATTTACTTTAATATAGATTATCTGCCAAACAATTATTTATAAGAACAGCTAAGACAAATGCGTTGATCAAAATAATTTTATCCATTGTCTTATGAGACTTGCAAGTCCAAACATGTTTCGACGAGCTTTTAACTGGCTCATATTACAAACGATTCTAGATTTTACTAAGCAAAACTCCCTGAATTAAACACACAAATACGCTTTGATGGTATTTTCGATGCTAAAAAACTCTTAATTATAACTTTCTGCTGAAATACAGTACACAAGTTGATAGTTGAAAATGTTTATTGAGCAAACATTACCTATACAGAAATGAAACATTACAAGTTGCCTTTTTAATATCACAGTTAATACTTTTCGATGTAAGCATAGAGTCATAGATTGTAAAAAGAATAACACCATATAATTGCACAATAAAAGATAAAATTATACTTACTGTATTGATATCAAAAGCTTTCAAAACACAACGCAAACGTAAAATGACATATTAAGAAGTTTACGTAAACTTAAAATGAACTGCATTTGCAGATCATTTGTCAGTCTCGTGAAACGAAAAATGTGATCAAAGTTTGCTGACATTAATAACAACGTCATGAATAAAAAAAACGAAATAACTAACATAAAATTAATATTTTCAAACGGTTATCATACAATGTTTTATAGAAAACAGGGAAATAAACCTTACCAAAGTTTTAGTTCTTTGACAAACATTTAAACAAACATTTCATCAACAAAAAGCGTCAGTACCATAATTTTAAATTCAAAATGAAATTAAATTGCTATTTTTTTAGTTTCCTGGCAGGGTCAAAAAGGAAATTACACAGATTTCATTACATTCATCCTAGAATTTTTACATTAAATAAGTTTACCTTTAAAAGATCCGATTTAAGTTTACTGTTTTCTTCGATAAGTTCATACATTGCAATTCTTCTTGTTTCACGATCATCTAAGGACGATGCTTCGAATACGTTAAGCGCATTTTGAAGATTATCCAAATCCTCGCTTAATTCTCTTATTCTATCTTCTTGAATGCTCTCAACTCTCTGGCGACGCTGATCAATTTCATGTTTTTCTTGCTGAAGAGCCTATATTAAACAATTTTTTCAGATTTTTTCTTTAGTAACAAAAACTACGAGATGATATTAACTGGATCTCTATAAAGAACAGCTTATTACTGATGTAACTGTCCATAAAAATTAAGATTGGTTTAGTTGAGGTTTCCAATTGTGGTATCTTTAAATAAGAAATCATCTTTACTGAATCCCCAGAAAGATAAATTAATAGCAAATAAAGCTATCCAAAATAACTAACATTTGTTGAATTTAAGCTTCATCTTGTAATAATACTAAATTAATAAAAAAATCACCCCTACACTGGTCATTGGAAAGAACAGGAAGTTAGCGCAATACATAGTAAATTACGTAATTTCACTAAGTCGCGTAGGCATTTCTATCGTAGCTATATTTAAATTGCCATTCATTGGTAAAACTAAACTACATGGGACAATAATCATTTTAATATTTTTGCCAACAAATGTAAATCTTACCTCCACCTGTAAAGCATGTTCTTCCAACAAACTGTCGTATTTTTTTTTCACTTCAATATTTTCTGTCAATAAAGCTTCACTAACTTCCGTTGCTAAAGCTAAATTATACTCCGCATTTGACAATTTCGTATATACATCCTCAAAGTTATTATTATCATCTTTTAATGTCGTCTTTATAACTTCCACTTGTTTTTTATCTTCTGAAACGGAGACATCGTGTACGATGTTGCTTGTTTCAACATTTTGAACGAGATTACATTTTGACCTTCGACGTTTTAATGTTTCTTCCTTCGCTGTAAGCATTTTATAACAATTGCAGCAATACGACAAGGATAAAAGTTAATATCTGAAAGCCAATTAAAGAAAACCATGTTTACAAGTTATTACAGCGAAATTATAGAGTTTGTTGAAAGTGCAGTAATAAAATGACATCATACGAGTCATAACTACAATTCTGTAACCAACAACAGGTATTCAATAAAACTTTTCTAAAGCTGTTTGCACATATAGTATTTGTGTTTATGTAAATTACAAATGTTGATGGGATTAGCAAATCATAGAATTAATTAATGAAGTTGGTCTAGCAAATGAAACTTAAAAGAAAAAAACTTACATCTTTATATAAAGTAAAACAATAAAATCATTTCTAAAATCATTTTAATAGTTTTTTTCACTGAGCACGCTACATTATTTTTTCTTGCGTTTTTCTACAATGTCTAACAAAAAAATAAACGATTATATTTTAAAATTATGCATGCGTAACCAAGAACATAAATTAGAAAAAAATGAATAATAAATATTTGGAGCCCCCAAATGAGCAATTAGTAAATTTATCAAAACATTACCTTACAAAAGAAAATAGGAACTAACCATAAATCTTAAATGATCATACAAACACAAAAATGTTGTGAGTCTCTGTGATGTTACTGTAGTTTAGTTTTATGTAGGATTACATAACGGATGTCGGAAATACGTGCAGTTTTCCTGCTTTTGAAAACCTGTTGTGCTTGTGGTGAGTTTGCGGTTAAAAAATTGTGGAACCGTCATATGGACTTAATTCAATTGCGGTCAGCCACTTGAGTACTACTATATAAAGTACTGCTATGTTGACATTTAAAATAATAACAAACATATTGAACGCTAACATTCTAACATGTGAGCAGAGCTCTTGAAGAAAGTCACAGACCTAAAATCACAGATATAATTATCATGGTGTTTCACATTTTTTAGATATAACTAACAAATATTTATTCTCAATATTTACAAAAATCAACCAGGACAACGTCAATGAACTCTATCTGTAAAATACTGTATGCAAGAACCGTAAAACGAGATGATTTTTTATACCAATATTTTATAAAACAATATTTCAAGAACCAAAGACGATAAAAATGGCTATCACTAAAACTGAAATACCTCGTTTTCACAAGATCCCACACCACAAGCACAAACAGCAGTGTGACACACGCTAAACAAATTGAATAAAAAAATTGAGATTAATAAATTTCATATAAGATATATCTTACGTTGAAAACAGGTGGGTTAATGGGAGTTCAATTCATTCCTTCTTTGATAATTGAAAAAAAAACAAGTTGTACTCGTTACTAAAACTGTATTAATTATAGAGGAGTAAATATCTTACCAATACATTCAGTATGAACATAATTGCTTACACCAAGTAGCCATTATAATTTCATTCTTTCCGTCTTCAATATTTTAAATAAACGGTAATGCTTTATCTTCTCTTTAGCTCTTCTACTGACTCTTCTTCAGTGAATTCTTCAATCAATGTTGTCATAACTATACTCACACAGAAAACAATCACTTTTTAAACATAAAAACAGCGACGTTTTTGTCAGTACGTTCAACTCCTAAACAAATAAGTTGTAATTTGTTATTTTTAAACATATTAAGCATCCCCCTATAAGTCTAATTTCATTTACATTTTTATAATATCTAAAAATGTCTCTTGTAAGTTTCCGCTATATCTAGTTTCGAAAATCTACGACCGGAAACTTGCTAAAATTCTGGGAATCTCTTGGCATTACGGTAGCTTATCCCAAATTAAAACAAGCTACTTTTTTCTTAAAATGGGACATCACCAGAAAATGGAGTACAATAATGTACGTACAATTTTTGAAATTATCTAGTCACAGTATATTGCTAAACAACTAAACTTAAATGGCAGATATTTGTATATTTCAAAAGAACATTCTGTACAGAATAAAACATGAACACTGGGAAAATTACTCAAATTAGAAACACAAAAATAAATGAATAAATAAAACTCTCGATAAACAAACGTTGCATGAACTTCCTGAGACAACAGACATGTCATCAACGCGCATATCCTGTTTTGAAAAGTCAATACATATTTTCAATGAAATTCAATACCTTGGAAAGACGAAACAATCACTTGTGCCAAACTAAAATCATTCTCACATCAATTAATGCAGTCCTAATTCTGAGATTGAAACAACAACACTCTCTTTTAAAGGCTAAAAAATAGAAATCATTCACGATGAAAAAAAAGAAATGTGGTAGCATGTTAAATCAAAATACATTGAAGAAATACAAACAATATTTTAACGACATCAGAAATATATGTTAAAATCTAGCAAACACTATATCCCTGTCCGCTTAAAGACACAAAATAATGAATTTCATCTTAATATGACCAACGCAAAAGAAATTAAAGTAAAAACTGGACTACACACTTTGATCAACTCGCATGCTACATTTTCACCGAACTATCAATAATTACGTCATTACCACACAATGACATCAACTCACCATTCTACAACTTTTAACGAGTTTTATCCATCTGAAACCAGAATTTTCCTGCTTTTTCTGCATCGTGCAATGTTTTAAAAAGATCCTGTTGTGCGGTATACGTTCCCAGGATACACCCAATGCAGGTCGTGTGTAGTCCTTAGTTTTTGTGTCCAATATAACGCTGTTTGTTACCTTTAAATTTGCGTCATTTTAATGAGACTAACATGAAATGTACATTGAGATAATGTTGCCAAGATTGATGACACTTACAAGAACAGCAACATTATGATCATAAGCTAGACCCTTTAAGCTGTGAGCAAATTGAATCATCAACCCATGGCCTAAATATACAGCAAAGTATATCATTACAAAATTACAAAAGCCCTTTTGAACTAAGTGATGTCAACCTGAACTACATAACATATCATGTATGAGCTCGCGTTCTTAGGTCTGTCAGAATAAAATTAAGATTAGGTAGTGAGGAGGGTTGAATGAAATATGTAACTAGATTTTAGGAGATTTTGAGAAGAGTGTAGTACATTTTAAATTTTTTCAATAATTTTAGTACATTACCTGGGGGTGGGGAGAGGGGAGGAGTGCTGAAGCCAGCCCACCCTAACATTCCTGACTTTAACAGGCCTGCTACCTTAATTCATTAAGTCTATGTTAAGTTTGAATTCTTGCTAATGCACTGTGAGGTGACTGAAATGTTTGGAAAAATACGAGTCAATGCTATTGTGCACTCTCCGCAGTATGATGAAATAAAATACCAAATACTTTATAGCTCTTAAGGAACTACTGTATAACTGAATCATTTTTTTATAACAAATTACCAAATCCTCCAAGAACAGGTGAGACAATATTGTCAACACTGTCAAATACAAGCAGAACCACATCTTTATAGAAAGAATTTTCCTAAAAAATTATAATGAACAAAATAAAGAAATTATGTCATATGTTTTTAATGTGTTACTATACCATACTTCACTATGACTACCTATGATGACATCATTCCAATGACTAACTCAAATGACATCATCCAAATGACTACCTCAAATGACATCATTCCAATGACTACCTCAAATGACATCATTCCAATGACTAACTCAAATGACATCATTCCAATGACTAACTCAAATGACATCATCCAAATGACTACCTATGATGACATCACTACAATGGCCACCTGTGATGACAACTCCTTAGATACATTAATTAAACTATAAATACACATAACTATATTACTATACAAATTCTGTGACATTATAAAAGATTTATAAGTTAACAAACCTCACAGGAAAGTTGTTTTTTGATCTGATCAAGAAGAATGAATGCATGAAAGATTTCAAATGTTTTTACACATTGTATTCTTGTCATGCATTTCTTTAAATTCTTGAAAAAATAATAAAAAAATACCTCTTGTACTAATTGATTCTAATTTACTACACAAAGAAAGTTAAAACACTTGACTTACAATCACATTTGTGTCATTATGCTTTTTAGACAAAATTTCATAAATTCGTTCACTGTTAAATCCTGTTCCCGTGTCAACATACAAAACATTTTTGGCAAGTTCGTCAGCAACATGGGTAGCAATACTTAAACAAAACTACAAAACCAAGAAAATTTGATATCAGTGGATAGATTACTTGGAGATTTTATTTTATATAATTGCTAACATATTTAATAGTACATATTTCCAAAATATAAAGTGAAAATTTTCTACTACATAGTTTATATCATTATATATCGCTGATAAACTCTTTTCATTTGGTATGACAAGATTTCTTAAAATTATTTTCCATCATAAATAAAGTTTAAGATTTGCTACCTGGGACTTTCCGACACCAGACAAACCAAATATTTCTGTTATTTCTCCAGAATATAAACCTCTGCCAAGAATTTCATCCAAACTATGAAATCACAAAACAATTGTAAAAATAAATAATTGACCATAACATAAAGTACAGTGATATTCATGAACACAGTTCAAAAATGATTACATATTTTATGTCATCAACATGCAACTTTGAAAACATATGAGATAAAAGGTTTAAAGTTATTGAACTTTTATAGTTCACTCCAAATACTAAGATTAATGATATGTAAAGAATTCTACTTCAAATTGATTCAACCAGAATTTACATCATAGTGGCTAGTCTGAAAAACTGATTCTTGCTCACAATATAATATTACAGTCTGGAATGAGCCACTTACGGTGAACAGCCTAAAGAGAAGAAGAGGAATTTGGTAATTAAGTATCTTCAAACATACATATATATATATAATTTGTTTTTTTATCAATATAATCATTGTATCTAATGACTTTTTAAGGTAACAGTAAATGATAGGTTATGGCATAAAGAATAGTCTTGAGAATAATAATGTGGTACATACAATAGAGTAATACATAGGTCTAGTAACAACCAATAAAGCAGGCAGAAAAGCGTTCATGGAATGTTCCTATTACTTTGTAATTTGATAATATATGGCTTTTCTACGCATTTTTGCTAGGCTTTGATTTATCTAATATATTTAGGTAACAGTCTGAGCTAAAAGAGTTAAAAAATTTATAAAAACAAAACATTTCAGTAAACACGATCTCAGTTAACATACCTGTAGAGATGATGTTTAAAGATGCAACTAAATCCTCCAACAAAATATCTGCTGGTAAAACGTTACCTAAAAACTCCATCTTGTCTTTTCCTTTTCTGTTTCAACAATCCAGATCCAGGACCATTGAACATCCCACTGCGCTTGACTGCGTAGAGGGAAAATTTATCGATTAATTTAATTAGACGACTCGGGTGATAACGCGCACGCGTACAAGGTCTGTATTTCTTTGTGTTTAAAACGTTAAATTTTTCTTTCTCTGTTTTTGACTGGTTTTTCTCCTCTAAAACTGTTATAAACGACAAGAAAACTTCGCTTTCGAAGCATGTCATATGTTCTCCAGCATCTTCACAATGGATGGCAGGTAGATCAGGCCATTTTAGCTGAAGAAGACAAAGTTGTTGTGATTCGCTTTGGTCATGACTGGGATCCACAGTGCATGAAAATGGACGAAATATTGTATGGCATTGCGGATAAAGTCAAGAACTTTGCAGTGTTTTATGTCGTCGATATAACTGAAGTGCCTGATTTCAATAAGATGTACGAATTGTATGATCCATGTACAGTAATGTTTTTTTACAGAAATAAACATATTATGATCGATCTGGGAACTGGCAATAACAATAAAATCAACTGGGCATTGGAGGACAAACAAGAAATGATAGACATAGTGGAAACCATTTATCGAGGTGCAAGAAAAGGACGTGGACTTGTTATTTCACCAAAAGATTACTCCACTAAATATAGATACTAAACACCCAGAACTTTATAGGAACATGTAGATTGTTGTTGTGTTTTGATGAAATGATTGAAATTTTTTTGTTGTTATATACATACATACACTCAATAAATTTGCTGCTGAGAGAATATTGTATTATTCATACATTGTGAGTGATAGTAGGCTTTTATTTTCTTTTTAGTGTTGATTTCAATTTCTAAAACATGCAACTAATATTTCACTCGTTTTATAAATTTTCAGAGATATTTTATACATGTCAATATTCTAAACCTTTGTCTTCACTTCATTGACAGAGATTACCATTAAAAATGTCACTTTTTTCCAATATAATACCTAAAGTTGAACAGCACTTGGCTGGCAACATTACACAAAAAAATTTTAAATGTGCAATTTAAACTAACCTTAGGAAACATTACAAGATTACATTTAGGTACCCTTAATTTACAATTCAAAAAAATTCTTAACATAATTTTAAACATTACACTTCACAAGAAGACATCTTCCCTGCTCCTTGCAGTTAAGGATCCTCTACACCTGATCATTTGCGAGCACACATGTAAAATGTCAATAACAACTTCGAATCAAGCCTCTTATTACTGCACAAAATAAATACCTATTTCAAGAGCACATTGTATAAAGTTGTTGTAAAGGAACTCTTCTTTTCATTGGCTTAAATGAACTAACCACAAGATCATGGATTACACAGACAGTGGTCTGACACTGTGCTGATTGGAGTTGAACAGCTTTTGCTATTTCTGCTAAGTGATATCATTATTAATTATCATCTCGACTAGATTGCGTTACAAGGTGACCACGACCAATGATTTTTGCTCCAGTCCTCATCATTTCAATGGCATGGTTGAAAGTTCTTTTCAATTCTTTTAGCCACTCATTATATTCTGTTTGAGACTAAAAGAAAATAAAAAAGTCTTGATAAAGGAAGATATTGCATGAAACAAGATGTCTGCTTTAGATTAGCTCACCTACATTACAAATTCTTGATACACAATGAATATGTAAAAATACAAGTTGATTTGCAAGATTTTGTCTTTGTTGATTTGGATGATCAAAACATCCAGAAACATTGCATACTTTTAAATATACATATTTAACCCATACCTACAGGGCAATTACAGTAACAGAGCTCAAAGAAATGGTCAAAGTTGGTTTGCAACCAGTTTCTAATACGCAGAAGTTGCAGCATTGCATAAAAAATACATTTTAGACCAATGATTGTCATGTTTGAGATTCTATGGGCTTAAATGACATCAACACACGTTGCCTCACTCTATATTTTAGGAAAATCCTCAAAATTGTCCTCTAGATGCACAAATAATAATATGGATCAGTGTAAACAATGTAATCAAATAGTTCTACATAACGGAATTCCATCCAAGTTAAGCTAACATATGACAACAATGAACAAACAATGCGCATAAAGTACAAAAATTGACATTAAATATTTCAAAAGAACATTGACAGGAAAAACCATTAATAACTGTTGTGGAAATAGCTGGTCAAAATGCCAGGTAAGGTGAAAAAATCGATCACTACACAGTACCCACAAAAACCTTCAAGAAAAAAAGGTGCCAAATTGTACCTCGTAACAAGTACAGAAGACAAAAATCCCTAACAATTCAACAATAGGAGAAAAAACAGTAAAAAGATCAATTACCTCAGCTCTAAGTAAATGTTCTTTGGTATCCTTTGTAACTATTTTGACACATTTAAATCCTTTAATATTTGCTTCGTCCAGCGAAGCTACATCCTCCCAACATAACAAATTTGTTGCATGTTGCTACAACATAAAGTTACATATAAGTTAGATAACATAGGTAGAACTACAAGGATATCTCAATGCATGCACTCTAGTTGTAAAATGAAAATTATTTTGCACAAATTAAGATGGATATTCATATTACTCTCATGTACGTTGATCAACAATTCTGTGATGAACTTTATAAATTTTAGTGATGATAGCCCTACTATTCACATACAAAGTTTATCTACATATTTAAGACTAATTCATCCTAATATATCCATGGATAAACCTGTTGATACATCTAAAAACACTGTTTGTTCACTATACTCACTAACCTGTTCTCCACGCCATTCTATTCTATTTGGATAAAGTAGAAAATATCGTTTCTGCCAACCAGGCAAAAATGGTCCTCCCATTTTAAAAAGATAGCCTTCCAGTATACGATCACTGCCTTCAGCACTTTCTAAATAATGATGAAGAGAAAAAATTTCGTAGGCACAGAGTTCATTCTCAAATTGCAGCAAACAATGATCTTTCGACAGAAGGATAAAAGAATATGGAAAATGATGTTCAGCATAAGTGAAATGACAACACTGGACTAGAGTTGCAGTGATACTGTTAATTTAAGGGGGTGTGTGCAGGTGAATATTCATGTGTAAAGTTGGGCCCAAATGTGTTCTTATGGAAGTGAATTGGCTTTCAAAAGAAATTAGTCTGACACAATCAAACATTCACACCCCCTACCCCCCAATCACAGTTCTAGCCATAACCCTACAATGGGCTAAAACAAGTATTAAAACAGCTGTTAAATTAACATGTTAAGAACTTCTATTAATAGGGCGAAGTCATTAAAATCTTCTGCATTTAGATGAAAAAATAACTCACCATGCCCATTGATGTTTGCTAATTTACTTTTTCTTTTCTGATCTAATTTGTCATGTTCCTGATTTACCACATCAAAAACAGTTTCTTAAAACAATGAAAACAACAATATAGTAAAGATATCAACATAAAGCATACACTTCTTCATCAACTACGATTGAAAACAGTTCTTTACCAGCAATTTCTTCCTGCCAACGCTCAGAATTAACGTGATTGAATTCTGCATAAATTTCCTGATCAGCATCTGACAGTTTGATTCCCTTGACGTCATCTTCATCAAAGGAGCCGATGTCAAATGCGTCAGCGGCGTTCACTTCACCACGAGGCGGAACAAGTGGCGGTTTCAACTGCAATAAAATTGTTCATTATCTTCATCACATAATTTATCAAAAAATAACGAAGAATTTTTATACAACAAGTAAACATATTTCGTAGCTTTGCACAAAATTAAACAAACGAGGCGAGTCTCACAAGTGAGACTATAATCTATTTACCCTCAGTAACTCAACCGTAAGCCAATCAATGTCTTTAAAGAATTCGTGTTCCCTCACTTCATCAGCACTAGATAAAGTATCAATTGTTCACATTATAATACTGTTTTCACATGCGAAATTCTTCCACTGTTGATGAGACAACGAAATATTTCAAATGTTTCAGAAATCACAATGTGCAATAAATACTCTTGACTCTGAAGATGACTACAGCTAAGGTTGTCGAAACGTCAGTAACCATCAACTCCAAAAGGCCTTCTTATGACTATACTAACCTATAAGATCTATATCTACGTACATACATATAGCGATACTCTCGGGTCCGGATCTCCCAAAATTAGAGTTGTTTTCTTAGAGAGGTTTAAGTTTAAAAGAGTTCATAAATTTAGCTAAAAGGTTGCTGATTTCAAGTACTTAGGTGCAACGACGAGAAATGACAGAATAAAGAAGGAGTACATTCGTGGAAGTGCAAAAACCACAAGAATTGGAAAGAAATTAAGAGGCGAAGCTGCGGTGATTTGGACATGCTATGAGGAGAGCAGACGATTATTTGGGGAAAAAGATGTTGAAAATGCAGTGCCAGGACAGAGAAGAGGAAGACTCTGCAGGTGGTGGATGGATAGGGTGGGGGAGAATATGAGGAGCATGGGTGTAATAGATGATTATGTGATGGAAAGATCCTATTGGAGAATAAAAACGCGCTGTGGCTACGCTAAATAAGGGAGCAGCCAAAAGTAGAAGAAGTTTAAGTTCAAAAGGGAGTAAAAATATTGTAGTAGTTGCATGAATTGAACACTAACCCTCGTGCTTTACATCCCAGACGTTTGTAAACATCTCGCTGTAAAAGACCACGTAATAAGCTTTTCATTTCGTCGGAGAATTGATCAGGAAACGTAACATCCTAAAATAAAAACAAAAATATAAGAATATTTAGCAGCTTTCTAATGTCATTGCTGGCAAACATTTGTAGCAAAATGATGATAAAAAGAGAAGAGAAGTTTTTCATTAAATGAGTCGTGATGTAATCTCAGATGAATGAGATAAGGCAAAACGTTAGAAAGAAATCTAGATATGCAATTTCCATTTTTGTTTGTAAAAGTATTTTGTAAACTCCCATGATCATTTTTAGAAATATTTTGTTTTACAAACTCACCATTGTTAAGGTTAATCTGTCTATTTCGTGTTTATCTTTTATTTTGTGCTGTCGAAATGGACTATGACTAAAACAATAAATACAGTAAAATTCTTCTTTAGTTCTGTGAATTCGTAGTTTCGGGCGTATGTTACAAAGGAATTAAGTTGAATAAATAGAATGGTTTGATTAATAAAACGTTTTTAAATAGAACACTAATTAATGTTTTACAACAACAACAATGAGTATTTCTTACGGATACAGCCGCAGAAACAAATGTATTTAGCTGGGTTGTCGTATTATTTATCAAACTACATGCAAAAGATCATATCAGTGCAAAAGATACGTAATGAACAGCGAGAACACGGTTGCATAATTATCAACAAACAATTATTCAAACATAAAATGAGCATACTACGGAATTTTCCAGTAGTAGTTATTAGTGGTTTGTATGATTAAAACATAAATTAACGTTTATTTCGTAATTATAGCATATCGTTTGGCCGCAAATAGCTACGATAAAGTTTCTGTAATCCGAACCATGGTGGATGTCAAATTATTCAGATTAAAACAACATTCGTTTCTATTACTTACCCCAATAGTAATTTATATAACATACATCCTAAAGAGAACCAATCTGCAGATGAATCATAGGCAACACCTTTTTTTAACACTTCGGGAGCCATATAACCATGCGTTCCACTGAAACAAGACAACAATAAGCGCTTAAGGTAAAAGTCACTCAGAAAACTACCAAATTTCCCCCATTAAATCACTAACAATGGCATATCGTACTCCATAGATCACTAACTTTTACAAATCTCTTACAATACCAGAATACACACAGTCCCTCTGTTCTTTTTCAACACTTAAGTCTAGTAAAGATACTTACACACTAGCGTGAGGTTTTTTCTTGCTAAAGTCACAAGCCAAACCCAAATCTGAGATTCTCACATGACCATGTTCATCTAACAATATGTTTGCAGGCTAAACAAGTTATAAAAATGTCTATAACACAGATTAAAATAGGAAGCTACCTAAAACTTGTAAAGAAATAAAATGTATCTATCTAAAGAAATATGTCTAACACACTCATTTTCCATTAAATGTAATATTTTGTGAGAGCACTTCATTCTTTTTCATAGTTATTAGCAAAGAACAGGATTTTCAAACAAATATTAAGTAACAAAACCTTTAGATCTCTGTAACAGATACATTTACTATGCATATGCTGCAAGCCAAGGACTATTTCACAAGCGTAGAACTGAACCTAGAATAAAAAAGTAGAAGCAAAGTTGTAAGAACATAACAATAAACGATAGAATAAAGATGATAGTGAGTACTGGACAGTTAGAAGAATGTTAAACTAATGTGATAGAAAATAAAAATCATAGAGAGAGAGAGAGAGTCCTCAATACTATTATCTTACTAACATAAATAAAAGTCTCTTATCATGTAAGTATCAAACCTTATGAAACAAACTATATGAATGACATAAACTATTAATAAATTGCAAAAACCATTGAAAGATGTTGTTCTAAAGGTACCAAGTCAATTATCATAAACAACAAAAATTGCAGTCTTACATCTTCTTCTTTAAATAATCCATGTTGTGATAAATGATAATGAAGATCACCACCTACATATGATATCATGAAATAATTGTATTAATATATGTATAATAACAACATTTTTTTTCTCATATTGCAAATGATGAAAACAAACTTTCATTATAACTGATATAATCATTCCTATCAAATTCATTCTTACCATTCATAAGATCCAAAACAAAACATAATTTGTCCACAGTGTGAAATGCATAAGTCATACAGACAATAAAAGGGCTGTTGACCTACATAAATAATTGTAATTAACATCATTTTAGAAAATTTAAAGTGAACTGGACAAAAATATCAGAAAATGTTACATGTGAAAGCATGATTCGTTCATTTAATGCAAGTGTTTCTCCCTGTTTTAATTTGATTCTTTTCTTGTCCAAACATTTCATGGCATACCTAAAGAAAAAAACAAATGTTAAACACATCAAAATTATTAAAATTATACTTAATATCACAACATGGATTTTCATAATTTTTTCAGGATGGTGCTATAAATTTTAGGGGAAGGGTGAGCTGGTAAGGAAGTGACGTAAGAAATAAGGTGGTCTGATAGTGCTACTATCAAAGGTTGGGTAAAAAAATGTAAAACTCTGTTCGACAGTGCTACTAATTTGTTTTGCTAAAAATTGGGGAGTTGCTAAAACTTGTTTCTTAGAGGGTGAACAATTCATTTAGAAGGTGAAATCTGATGTTCTTTTTTTATGGGGTGGTGGTGGCACCCCAAATAATTCCGTCCATGAATTACAAATATTCAGCAACTTTAGTTGATGAGTTAGACATACATACATCTTGCCAGTGTCTGCCTTACGGCAACCATAAACCTCACCAAAACCTCCACGTCCGATAATTCTGTGAACACTGAAGTCATTCATGGTAAGCTGAAAATTAAAGACATTTTATCATCACTTTAGGTTTTAACTGTGACAAAAGTTATTTTGAACATACTATAAAACTCACATTAAGGTTGAATTCAACATTTTTCCACTGCGTGTAGCGTATAAATCTATCACTATAAAGAAACACATAATAAGTAAATTTGTTGGTCCGTAACTCAATGACATTAATGTGTTCTCATCTCTACCTTTTAAGAAACTTTTGAAATATAGAACCACAAAGGCTTTTCTTTATTTCTACAGTGTAAGGCTAAAAATAAATTGATTCATGATATTATATTGGGTTTGCTATTAACTAAATGCTTGCATGACATTTATGGATTCATTGTCAATGTTAAATAGTGATATCATCCTTGCAATAGTAAATAACATCATCCTTGAGTAGTAAATGACATCCTGAATTCCTTTAAAAGTACATGAAAATAAATCCTGCAGTAATACTTTATGCAATAATTTTTACAGTAGTTCTTGAGAAAGTTTTCTCTGAGATAGTTCCTAAGGACTTGGTTTAGTAAGAAACATATATTCCTGTAAAGTATTTAAATGACAAATAAGTATAACTACCTCAAAAAGATTTGCAGGTGCACATGATTTTGACAGCAGACCTTTTACATGCTCCAGAGACTCAATACTAAAATTCTATAAGCAAGAAATCAATAAGGACATTTAATACTCATAATATTAATATTTAATAATGATGATCTCACATGTGAACATGACAAAAGCTCTTTCATTATAAAGTCATCAAAAATCTCCCGAGCTTTTTTAAGCCTTTCTTCCACAGTTTGTAGTTTCATATATTCTTTTATCTTGAAAATAACAAGAAAGAATTCATAAGCAATAGTTGAAGAACAATAAAAAAATGGTATAAAAACACTTTGATACAACATGCTAAACCAGGGAGGGTAAAACACTTTAAAGTCTTAAACATCAAAAAAGATATCAAAATGTCCAAAACAGTTATAGTAAGTCTGAGATAACACCATATACGTTGAATAAGTTTGTACTCAAACAAAACAATTGAAATGAACAGAAGAAAGCGTATTTTGTTTATCATTACTACTGTTTACTAAAATCTCTACAGTATTGGGTGTTTTAAGCGGTTTTCTTCACAGCACAGTTGAAAGAAACGCAATATGGGAATAGCTAATTTTTACATATGTAAGCAAGTCCCTAAAAATAACTATTTATTTTATACTTTCAGACATAGCTGACAATTGCTCAAAAAGGGTCTCTACATACGGAACAGTTTTTTTTGGTTATTTTTTAGTAAAACTAGGAAATTCATATCAGACGTTTATTTACCGTTACCTGAAATCATAAGCTAATTTTATCAGCAAGAATAAAAGATCACAATGTGATGTTTATCAAAATATCAAATAACGACAAAAAGGCAATTTAGTTAGCTTCTTCAAGTTTTTTCAATCTTTGGTTAAGGTACTCAAGTTTAGACTTTACCAACAAAGTTGTGTTTTAACTCAAGATGTTCATTGAAAACATATACTGCGGGGCATTTGAGTGATTATAAGAAATTACAAAATGAATTTATGCAGCGAAGTAAAACTAAGCATAAAATGTAAACACTTGTTTGTTATGCTGATTTGTTTGCTCAGAAAATGGAACGGCAATAAACAGAGTTGCTCGCTCATAAACGCATGGATATTCCGCAGTAATACAAATGAAATACAAACGGAAAACTTTTCTATACTACTTTATTGTCATTAAAAAATTCTTAAAAACGTAAGCAAAGAAAGTAATTTATACCGAACAATTAAAATGATTATCGTTGCGGTAAGGCCACTAAAAGGTATTCAAATTATGGTGTAGTGTGTATGCATTACTAACACTCTCACTTCTACACTTTCATCGTTGACTCTCTCACATAAAATGAACAAATTTCAGCTGTGTATGTTTTTGTCGAAGTTTTGTACAGTGTCATATCAAAAAGGGGGAAAATTTGAGAGTATGCACGACAGGGATAATATTTTCCAAAACAAGGCCGTAAGTCAAAACGTGGTAAAATATGTAAACATTGTTGTGAAGGAGATGACAAGAGCCAGGCTACATTAACATTTCGTCGCCAGCACACTTATTTACGCAAATGGAGCAAATCCAAGACACAATTTTGCATCCCTCTGTTCTTAATATAAATACATTACAAAAGAAGGTTTTGCTTTTAACAAAATATGACAGCATTTTTCATAATATGAATATTAAAATTTAAAATCAAGAACACTTTCAACCAACATCTGCGTCTTCATCTAGACATACTGTTTGCTATTTCTCGCAAATCTTGCAATTATGCAGTGAAATTTATGTATAGTTTTAAGTTTGCTTCTTGCAAAATTGCACAAGATAATACACTGAAAAATTACACTTATGAAATATTTATTGAGACAATAGCGTTGATAAGGTTGTAAAGGCTAGGCTTGTTTATATGGTAATGGGGAACATGAACAGTGCAATCGTTTCGACAAGAGAAATGGGTTAAAATCGTCTCACCGCTTCGTAAAAAGCCAATTGGGGACAGGCTCGTCACATTGTGTCTCACCAAACTCTTTAAAAAGCAGATAGCCTAAATAAGGCAAGAGACGAAGTTCATAAGACCTATAATGTTAAATTCACTTGTAGATACCTTACACTAGTATTATAGCATTAACAGATGTTCCTTAAAACCTTGCACACAGTGCAGAAAATATAAATTATAGTTTGCATACACCAAACACTATGATTCAATATCTAAACTAACGCTGTACTTCAACTACAATGCACAAAGTTTGATATTCATAAGGCAACAAGTAAAATTTATTTAGTTGACATACCGATCGTCTGTTCAAAAATATAATCAAATTCCAACTGCCCGTTATCGTAAAAATACTTGTACATAACATGATAGACGCTATAAAAAGGAGTGTTGAAATGCTCGTATTTTAACATGCCACAAGGCAAGTATTTGAGATCAGCTGATCAATAATGAACGTATTTCTAAGAGAGCATGACAATATCAGACTACTTACGATGGGTCTGGAAGAACGATTTTCTTGCTTGCTCTAGCGGCAGGAGTGGACTTAGATTTCTCCATTGCCATTAGATAAGAGACATCAGCTAAAACAGCCTCTAAGTCCGCCATTTTGGCGACTTCAGGCTTTCACTACAGCTCTGTTAACTTTGTATATAATGGCGTCCTACTTCACTTCCGATCGTGAAGGATGATCCAATGGGTTGGTCACGTGACCACTCGTTTTCAAGAATATATATTTTTACCAACGCTTTTGCTTTTCCATTCACATTTAATGAAACGTGAAATTGGCGAATCGCTAGAAAATGCCAAAATAAGTCAATTTCATCGATAAATGCAAATTGCAAATACCACGCATCTTAGAGGAGACCGCTGCCATTGAAAATAGCCAAGAATTTTTAACACGTAAAATGAACTTAAAATGCAGTGATACTATAAAATTTTCTCTTCATAAAAGCAAGCAATGCAATAACAAATATTTTAGAACACATTTTTTCGTTTCTACCTAATATTTCTATTTAAATATTAATTTTCAACATTTATTGAAAATTGTCATCAAAAATTTATCGGGAAAAAATGTGTTGAAATACACGGTTTGAAAAATATTAAATTAATTTGTAACACTTTCTTAATAAGATAGGCCGACTCTTTCAAATTCCCCATGAAAGTTTAGTATCAGTAAAAAACGTTCCGTAGATGGAGATTAAATAGTGCTAGTAAAAAGCCTAAAGTAAAGAAAAAGAAACAACTCACTTAAAAAACCTTTAATATCTTCAATATTTAAAAAAATCTCGCTTGTGCATCAGTCAAAAATGAGTAATTGAGATAATATCTGGGTTTTAATAAGCGACACCAAAAATTTGTTAACTATAAGAGAAGTTTGTTGTGTGAAGATAGAAGTCTCTCCCGCAACATTACCCAGCACACACAACCAACGTAGAGCAATCTTTCACAACCATTTGAGTACATCTAGTGTTGAACTTTATAAATTGCAAAAGAGTTGCCACCACATTTGCAGCACACGCAACAGGAAATTCTCGTGTCACAACTTGAGACTTTAGCCATTAACAAAACAAGTAAATCCAAAAACGATGTTAATCTTGAAAAACCACATCTTCATCTAAACTCTGTGTACATGTTTTACAAATAAAACAATCTATCAGAGAGTGAAATATCGGGTTCTTCGTGAACAGCAGTGCCAACGAGATATGCCAATTTGTGAGCGTATTGACATGGAGCTGGTACGCGGATTGTTCCCTGAAAAATAGAGATGATTAATTAAGATGAAAATGTCAAGAGTAAATATATTATACAATGATGACACATTGAACTGGATCAATAATTATTGTAACAATTGATAAAACCTTCTATGCAAAACCTACATCAGGAAATGATAAATTTGCTAATGAATGGTGTTTGAAGTGATTTTATCTTTAGCGTAACACCAGCCTCTTCAACAATGCTGTGACGTAATAGATGGTAAAAAACCCCACAATTATGTTCATCTTACCGGCCAGTTGTAGTAGAGATGTGTTAGTTTGTACGTGAGCCTTTGCATGTGATCTGGTTTGAGGCCCGTTGTATCATAAATGACATTGTAATGTGTTGGTGTTACAGTGCCTTGGCGAACCGATTGACTTATCAAATAAAAGTCGTACCATTCCCTACGAGTGACACAACTATCTACTACAGTTCCTAAAGAAACGATAGAAACTTGCTTTAGTCAAACAATATAATCATCACATGACATTAAAATGAACTAAAATCAAATAGCTGAAGAGCGAATAAAAACAAAGAAAAGTCAAACCTGGCTTTGGATTGGTAAGACGTCCACTTCTGGCGAAGAAACGAGAATTAATTCTTTTCTTAACAACAACGAAACCAAACTTTGGTCGTTCTTGAAATCCTGCTCGTTTAAACACCTCCATACACTGTTTTACTTCGTGCTCATAAACTGCAGCAAGTTGACCATCACCAACACCATCACGATATACGATGATACGATCAGGTAAAGTCTTGTGAATATCATTGTAACGACGAAGAGCGCCTTAAAAATATCATCATATTCACTTAAAAAAATCACATAAGAATGGCTATATTAGTATTTTTGTCATTTCTCAATACTCTTGTTTGAAATAGTAAAAAGTTGAATTTACATCGGTATATATGCTTACTTGTTACACAAACTCTAATACCATCCACCAATTCCTGGCCAGTATGCTGTGACGTACATCTAGAATAGTACCTGCAAGATGCGAACGGATTTCTTTTATAATCAACAGGTTACGTGAATTTACCACAAAACACGAAAGTCAACGAACGAACGAACACCTCCAATTGCACTACACAAACATACTTTGTTAATGATTGATTCATACTGGCAACAAAACCAGCGATAGATTTTCCTTTGTTTTGTGAGTCATGGTAACAATCAATACCAATGGCCATAACACCTTTCAATGGAATTTTAACAGCCCACACTTCGCCGCCTAACTTGCAGTTCAATTGAATGCCAATCTTGGTACAAACAGACATCAACATTTGTTTCTTAGAAAGTGTTCTTGCAACAATAACTTGTGAAGACACTAAACAAAAATATTGTTTTACTAGTAGCTATACACACCCAAACAGAGATAAAAGGAATGACTGCATTTTCTCTCTGAAAAAAATGCAGATTCTAAACTGCACACAAAGACACACGTCGAACACAGACCTCGTTAAATTAACTAGATATCGTCAAAGTAGCAGACGAAAATATGACTTCAGCCCATGTAACAGTTTCTTGTTTTTTTTAAAAGAGTTTTCAAAAAAGGTTTTATAATTCAGCAAGTCACATACGTACATATTGATCACTCAATCAAAACATTGTCAAGAAACGTTTGTAAGATGCTTTAATACCTGGTTTTGAAACACAGCAAAACTTTTTTATTGCATCATAACGATCTTTACGATTTGTAGGCAAGATACAAGTTACTAAACGAATATCATCTGTCATTTGTGCCTGCATTGTCTTGATATAAGTATCGGTTTTGTCATTTTGCAACTCACACCTGTAAATAAAATATAACGAAAAAATCCATTTGATACTTTGAAGATATATATTTGAACAGCAAAACATTTCAATCAGGCCAAAATTTTAATATCTTCATTTTGTGATAAGTAAAGATCTCATAAAATTTTCCAATGCTGATAAAAACAGATTTTCTCCCACATTGTTTTATTTTTTTCATCAAAAGCTGGTGTAAAATGGAAAACTTCAGACAGAAAACAAAAGAGAAAATATCAAAGTTTGATAAATCCCTATACACTTGTATAACATTGAGTTAAGTCAAATCATATCCATTCTATTTGAAATTAATCACTGAGAATTTAAAACATAATTTGGAATTTCTTACATCTTTGGTTTGCTGACAGGTATTTTCATAGGACCACAGACACGTTGTAATGTTTGGCAGAAATCTTCTGCAATCCCTCTATCACGAGCTGTAAATAAAATCATCCATCTATCTAAAGCAACGGAAGATCTTAATTCCATTGAGCGCATCTCTTTGCTCCATTCTGCACTAGCTGGATTGTAGGTGTACTAAAATAAAAAGAAACATTAGTCACACATGTTTGTAAATACTATAGCACAACAATTACCTTGGTCACATATGTTTGTAAATACTTTAGCACAACAATTACATTGGTCACACATGTTTGTAAATACTACAGCACAACATTTACCTTGGTCACATATGTTTGTAAATACTACAGAACAACAATTACATTGGTCACATATGTTTGTAAATACTACATTGGTCACATATGTTTGTAAATACTACAGCACAACAATTACCTTGGTCACATATGTTTGTAAATACAGCAACCTTGGTCACATATGTTTGTAAATACTACAGAACAACAATTACATTGGTCACATATGTTTGTAAATACTACAGCACAACAATTACCTTGGTCACATATGTTTGTAAATACTACAGCACAACAATTACCTTGGTCACATATGTTTGTAAATACTACAGCACAACAATTACCTTGGTCACATATGTTTGTAAATACTACAGCACAACAATTACATTGGTCACACATGTTTGTAAATACTTTAGCACAACAATTACATTGGTCACACATGTTTGTAAATACTTTAGCACAACAATTACATTGGTCACATATGTTTGTAAATACTTACATATGTTTGTAAAACAGCACAACATTTACCTTGGTCACACATGTTTGTAAATACTACACAACAATTACATTGGTCACACATGTTTGTAAATACTACAGCACAACATTTACCTTGATCACATATGTTTGTAAATACTACAGCACAACATTTACCTTGATCACATATGTTTGTAAATACTACAGCACAACATTTACCTTGGTCACATATGTTTGTAAATACACAACATTTACCTTGGTCAGTTTGTAAACAACATTTACCTTGATCACATATGTTTGTAAATACTACAGCACAACATTTACCCTGGTCACATATGTTTGTAAATACTTACATTGGTCACACATGTTTGTAAATACTACACAATTACCTTGGTCACATATGTTTGTAAATACTACAGCACAACAATTACATTGGTCACACATGTTTGTAAATACTACAGCACAACATTTACCTTGGTCACATATGTTTGTAAATACTACAGCACAACAATTAACACATGTTTGTAAATACTACAGCACAACAATTACCTTGGTCACATATGTTTGTAAATACTACAGCACAACAATTACATTAGTCACACATGTTTGTAAATACTACAGCACAACATTTACCTTGGTCACATATGTTTGTAAATACTACAGCACAACATTTACCTTGGTCACATATGTTTGTAAATACTACAGCACAACATTTACCCTGGTCACATATGTTTGTAAATACTACACCACAACAATTACATTGGTCACACATGTTTGTAAATACTAGAGCACAACATTTACCTTGGTCACATATGTTTGTAAATACTAGAGCACAACATTTACCTTGGTCACATATGTTTGTAAATACTAGAGCACAACATTTACCTTGGTCACATATGTTTGTAAATACTAGAGCACAACAATTACATTGGTCACACATGTCTGTAAATACTACAGCACAACAATTAGAATAGAGATTAAAAGTTACTTACAATTTGTCCTTCTTCCTTGTGTTGCATTTCTTCTGGAGGAAGAATACGCCCTTCAACATTAAGTAACTGATTGTCAAACTAAAAAAAACACAATGATGAAATATATGTTTTTCATATTATATTCTATAATAATGCATTCTTTAATAGCTATAAATGAGCATTAATACCTTTATGCCCCAGCCATCGAGTTCCTGTTTACAATCAGGATGGCTAAACAACAAATTTATAAGTAATAGTTGTCAGGTCAGCTAAATAAAATGTCAAGACATAATCACATTAAAAGTGAGTGCAAAATGCTGTGATTTATGTAAAGTCAACTTAGTTTTAAACTACAAACATTTCTTTACCAAGAATATCCATCCTAGAAAGAGATTTTCAATGGCTATTATTTACCTCTTTATGTCATTCATGAACTTTACAAGTGCATCGTTTCGTTCTTGTGGAGCTATTCTAGTGTGTGTGGCAAGGTCTTTCATCAAATTGAAATCATTTCTCATTTCATCGGACAAACCTAGTTAACATAACCACACTGTAACTAAATTATAAACAAAATCAAGACAATTTTATAACAAGCACCTGTCATATAACAAAGTTCAGGAAGCAAATGAATAGGTCTGTCATCTAATTTCTTTCCACCTGGACCAAATTTGCTTTTCGCTCGTGTCACTAACAAAGGCTGTTGTGGATCTTGTATTACTTTATTATATTGCTAGATGAACAAATTTTTCAATTATACACGAAGTCTCAACAAGGAAATTCATATTTCCATAATCATGTTAAAAGTTTGTACCCTCTTGTAGTAATCAGCATATGTAATCGTTGATCCATCAAAAAGTTGAAATGTATCACCAGGTTGCTATCCCAGTTAATGTCTTCAACACGGTATGTTTTGTTATTATACCTGAAAAAATAGGACCAAATAACTTAAACTCATGATAATCATGTTTTTCATGATTAAATTTACAAAATCTAGGAGTGTGCAAAATTTATTTTTTTGCAAGTGTGATCAACAATTTTTATTAAAATTATAACTACAGCATACAAATATAAATGTTAAAAAACTAAATCAAATATAACTAAAATCAATGTTTAAAATATCCATGATAAAGGGACAGTCAAGTGTAAAGACAACATTCCCAATAACCTAGGTCAATATTTAAAGTATGTTCGCGAGTTGAGGAGTGTGCAAATTAACTTTAATTGTTAATAGCTGTTATCAAATATCCTTCAACAATATACATTTTCACATCAGTATGTTGGTTGTCATGGAAACAGCACGTTTAACAACTTCATCGTAAGTAGATGATACAAAGCATGAAAATAGCCTGTATTTATTGGTTAAAACATAACGTGAGAAAAGTGCAGTGTATTTTCATGTCAGTTTGCATTAGTTATATGTTGGCATAACATTGAACAAAGCTGAAGTCTTTCAAAAGCAACATTATTTTGTGAGACAAAAATATCTGAACAAACAGAAGACAATTAGTGCTGCAAAAAGGTGAAATCCTTTTGTTTTTACACAGATATACAAATAAAAATAAACTAAAACCAGGGAATAAGAAAAAAGCAAAAAGTGCTGTTAATAAATTGCATGAAATAATTTGAAATTTAGACATTACCGTGTCAAGACAATTTCACCAACAAGCTTTTTTGTCACTTCTTGATAAAATCTATCATTATTCCTCATTTTTTCTTTTAGATCATACATGAACTCTAACACAGTTTCCTTGCGCAGAACCTTGTGTGAGACCTCACAGCACAGCAAAATGCTTTGTTCATACATCAAAATTGATGTTATAAAACCAGGCCAAAGTTCAAGGCTAGAAAAAAAACATGATAAAACAAATCCACACACTAATATAAAAAAATGTATTATATGATCTACTTCACACAGAAAGTTTTTTGCAAACTCACTGGTGTTTTGGAATGGCAATTGGTGAATCTGGTTTGAAGTAATGTCTTTGAATTTGCTTCATGTTTAACATACCCAAAATCCTACAAAAATCATCAAATCTTGTGTAAATAAAGGGAAAAGTCAAATCATTCTTAAAAGGGTTCCTTCATACTAACCTTCTGAAAATAACATTGTAAACTTGCAGACCTAATGGACTGTTTTCTGGAATCTCATTAGTGAGTGTAATTGTTATCTCCACAGGTGAGTTATCACTTTTCTATGGGTGATCACCTTTGTAACAGTCTCTGGAAGTTTCTTAGGCATGAACAGGATCATACCATCAAATGCTCGAGGTCTACCAAGCAGTTCACCTTGACCATTTATCATTGCAAATCTGACCTTCTTATTATCAACTTCAGGTGAAAATGATACTTGATACTGGTACAACAAACGATCTAATCAAACAACATTTGGTTTTTATGTCAACCACAATGATCAATACAAACAATCATTAGTTCAATTGATGAATCAGTAGAGGGGAATTTAACATATTCTTGAAAAACACTAGTTATAAGAAACCAACAAAATATCTTGTTTTGGTACCCACCTACAACCATGGTCATCCTGAAATAATTGGAAACCAGCTGGATTCTGGTACCACTTGACCCTCGTTTATCAACACACCATTGTGGTCTGCATTCCACTTCTACATATCGATTAAATTGTCGTCGTCCTCCACCTTCTGCAACACTCATTTGTGCCATAGCTTGGGTGGGTGGGGCTCCTGCTCCACTTTCAGATGGAGCTACCTGTGGTGGTGCCTGTGGTGTTGGAGGATGTGCACCAGTTTGCGGGGTGATGCTCCATGTGATCTTCCACTCTCTTCTCCAGGTCTTCGAGCTTCTTGTTGAGGTTGTCTAGCCCTACCTCTACCACGAGTACGACCTTTAGCTCTTCCAGTCATTTTGCTTCACCAATCTGAAAACAAAGAAAAGATATAAATATAAACTCAATCATTTTATGTTGTACAAAATATATCAAGCTTTTTCTTCCAAGCATCTAAGTTTAATGACTTCAATGACAAACTTCTCATAACAACATGGTCTGACATTGCTAAAATAAGATTTGATATCTTAACAATACAATCTTAAAGTGAAGTAAAAATGAGTTACGTATCTAATTTAATTTCCATGCTGACAAACCAAAGGAAATTTTCATAAGGAAAATTTCACAAATAAATGTTAACTGATGTCCTAAAGACAATAACTCAAGAAAAAGAATGAAAAGCTGTGAAATCAACAATGTATATTATGGCAAAACACAGACTTAGTGAGTTATCAGGTTGCATAAGGCACAGTGTGTTATCTATTAAATAATTGTATTTTCGAAACATCTTAAAAGGTGCTTAAAAGGACACTTATGCATTTTTTTTGAGGTAGGGGTAGTAATTCCTTTGACAACTATTTTGGCTGTTGCAGGTTACTACACTGATCACCACAGCTTAGAACTACACCTGACAATGCAGAAACCATAATTTAGAATAACAGAAATACAATAGCACATACAACCATTGTTTTCGCAATATTTACTTTGACATACCATAATATTCAATACTCATGTCATTGTAAGACATAAAAAGTGCTGCTTTAGAACAACTAAACCCATTTGAACTTAACACAAAATGGATTGTAATTTAAATGCAATAGCTTTTTCTGAGTATGACTAGTTATTGTGATAAAAATTTCATTTTGAGAAATTCAAAGTCCATCATTATCTGACAATAAGTTCTATTTGCTTGTCAGTCTGAAAACAACAATGTCAAAAATTTGTTATCAAAGACAAATGAACTCCTTTATTAATTGATTTACCATAAGATTTTAACAAGTTTTTGGAGATACAGTATATGCAGCAATAAATTAACAAATATACTCTACTTGTACCTATAACTGGCCTGTTAGCAAAAAATCCACAATGAATCAATGTGTAAATAGAAGTTGATCAATTACTTTACGTTCTAGCTAACAAATGCCTTAAAAACGGCAAGTCATTTATAGCTCTGTCAAAACCTTACAAAGCCTGCTGTGCCAAGCACTCAACTAAACATGAAGACTACCCATTGTCACTATGATTATCAACATATGAAATATGATTTTTTGAGAATTTTGATGGAGATGCCTGTTTTTGCAATACAGCCTCCAGCTAAATCATTGTGAAAACACTGTAAATCGAACTTATTTTAAGAGAGCAGGTTCTCTCCCGTTATGTTTTGTCCAGTTTATCAACATGATGTTTTGCCTTTTTCATAAGTTTATATAACACTTTAGACTAATCCAGCATGGTGGGAAAACATTATTTACTATAAATAGCCCAAAAAAATTTGGAACACAAGTTTATGAGTAAAACATAATATCATTGTTCATCAACAATTTCCACTGCCAAGTTTTGACAAAAAAACAAAACAAAAAACAAACAAAGTTCCACTCAAAAGGGAGAAGATATAGACGACAGGCTAGGTCATCCCAAGGCGGGATAAAATATTGCTGTGAATAAAAACAATGAGAGTCCAAACAAATATCACCCAGAGAAAACTATAATACACACCAGAGATGTACTAAATAAAGCATTTCTTCAAACCGGCACAACTTAACGAAAATTTACGAAATTTACAAAAATTATGCGTACTTTTAAGGGTAGCCATGGTTGACCACGAGGTTCAACGTTCCCACACATATTTAAACATATATTTTCACAAAATGAAGGTAGCTCATCGCCACATGTTCCTAAAGCAGACCTTTTACAATATAGAATGACAAAAATAATTAACATTTCGTTATTTTAGGCCTCATTTCCTTGAAGGAATGCACAAGGGGAAGGTGTCTTAGTGTTCAGGTCAATAGATAGTATTAAGTTTAATAGCAAAATACACAGAGAAAGAGGAGTTTCGTTAGGTAAAAGAATCACATAGACAGCTGCAAAGGTCAGGCCAAACATGATTAATCATGAAACTTACCAAACACAAAAACCTTCCTAACTTCGCCTATCTTAATTTTTCGCCCACCAGATTTCTCTATAACTTGGATACTCCTACAATATGATAGCGGTAAGCCACGAGGTGTAGCTCAGCCAATCACAGACCTGACATTAACATAATACTAGTACTTTATTGGTTAATTATTTGACAGTGAAATCTCATCTCTATCAGGGGAAATAAATGATAGAGAGGTCTTGAAAACGAGCAATACACAGGATGTTTTGCACATAAATAATATTAGCAAACATTCATGTCTCATAAATGCAAGTAGCTTGAGAGAAAGAATGAGTTTTCCTTTCTATGTAACAAGGCCAACTCTTTTCTTGACATTAATTATGAACGTAATTTGCTTGCGTGAAACGAAATATTTTCCTTGACTAATGATATTTGACAAAGTTCCTGTTTAAAAGCCGCTATGCAGATTTAGAACAAGGTTCTTTATTATGACAAAACTGTTGTTCGCCTCCAGTAATAAAGCAACAGCGTTATTTATTTACAGTAAGCAAGATGTAATTGTGACGATGATAAATACGACATTTTACTTTTTCTAACAACCCTATTCAAAACAGAGTAGTAAAAATATTTTTATTTGACATGAAAAAAAAATTTATTGCGTTTCACTTTCAAAAAAACGAAGTTATTATTACATCAGAAGAATAACAGATAACTTATTTTAAGTTGACTTTACAGCACAGATTTCTATTAAATAAAATAAAGATTATCGTAACGTCAAATCAAATTCATCAATCAACTGGTTCAACTTATTCTGTCTTTTTCCCAGCTATTCATCCACAGATTCATACTTGTGCTTTATATGCTTCCACAATTTCTAAAAAATCATGTTTTAAGAATTACATAGTCTCTAAGAGACAAATATCACTACTACTAAACAGTCATACTTACACCTTGATTGACTCGTTCATAATAATTATCCCAACCTTGATCAAATATTCGTTCAAAAAGCACTGCACCCACCACAATGGTCAAAGCAAACGTAGATGTCCGCCGAAATAAAGCGTTGTATACATGACGTCCAAATGCCATGAGTAAAAGATGTTTATTAAATATAAAAAAGATTTCAAAATTTCCAAGATGGCGTCGTCAACAATAATAATTGTACTGGTGTTTCCACTTTACACTTCATACTCTATTTCATACACCATAACTTCATATTCTATATTTCATACTACACTACTTCATAATCATTTCAAATACATAAAAAATATTACATGCAAAAACAAAAGCTACATAAAACTTAAAAATTTTATTTATGTATGGAAACCATAAAGAAATAAAATTACTGTATTTGTAGAGATCAATAAATTATAATTAAGGGCATGAAAAATATCTTCACAATGTTGTTTCATTATATCTTTCTTCACACATTCAACAAATGACAATGGGACTTTACAGAGACCTTTATAACTTATATGGATGTTGAAAAGATATGAAAGTATATTGATTGCAATGAACAGGCGACTAAAATCTGCTATCATTATCTACCATCAGGGTCATTCTGCATACCCCATTGAAAACCACCAGGTCGATCTTCAGGCATTGGTTGATAGTTTGGATCAGTTGGTGCCCCATCAAATAAACTTCGTCTAAAAAAATAAACAGCCATTAAATTTTTTCATGAAAACTGCAATTTAAATGGCAAGAAAAGGTTGATTTTACAATATTGAAGGTGTTTTTAATATTTTAAATCCTCCAGATTGCTCAGGAAACACATCTTCAAGGAAATAATAAATATGTCCAACAGCAATGCCTAAAAAAATTCATTTTAAAAATTTCATGGTGTAATTCTATACCCAAACAGTGAATACATAAAGCAGACATAACATTACCCATCAAATCAACAACAACAGAATTTCCAAGCATAAGAGAGAAGCCAAACAAGACCCATGGTAGATAGGGAGCTTGAAAATTTAATAATCCAAAGAAATTCATTCTTACATAAGGATTACGTCTGCTCCAAACATATACCAACATTATTGTAAATGCTTGACCAAGAAACACAATGTTTATTCCTAAGGAAATAAGCTTTGTGACATTAAGAAAATAGACATGGAATTTCTTAAGAATATTTTATCAATAATAACATCCATTAAAAGGATACAATCATTAAGATAGCACCAAATATGAACATGAAAACAAAATCTGCTGTTCTTCCACGAAAAGAACCTTCTTCTAGCATTCTACAATAACGATATCTTAAAGCAAGTGTAAAGGAAGGTAGACAATCAGTCAAAAAGGATGTTACTCATTTCACTCAATAAACCACAATTTACCAAAAAGATACGTAAATATCATGTTAAATAAGAAATTGAATCCAACTGTGCCAAAGAACAAAAAATTTGTAAATAGCCTCCAGACCTAAAGAACAACACAAAATGAACAATTAAATAATGAAAAAAGGAAACACAATGGATATGTATTGTTTATTTTTACTGAAGGTATCGAACAAACCTGGTACTGTTTGAATATCAACTCAGGATTGAAATACAACTGAAACGGAGTTATAATATCCAATTGCTAAACATAAACAACGTTATTTAACACAAACGTTACTGCTTCGACATTACCATTTAGTGGCTTTTACTTACAACTGCCAACGTAGTAAGTACACAAGCCGTTGTATAAGCTCTTGTTACGGGAGGCATTTGCATGTACTCTGTTTGAAAAGTTTGATAAGCCATTTTATGCAAGAAGTGAAATATATACGATAAAAATGAAGATTATGTAAAGTTCACAACTTCCAAATTTCACACGCCACAAACACGAGATAGCGGAAACACACTTTTCATTATATCTTCGACCTTCTGTACCAAAATGTACTAATATGTACTATTATGTAGTTGGATGTAATGTGCTCGAGTGTGCTGTGCAAATGCAATGCCACGCAGCCACGATTTTATTGAACTGCAAAAAATACCTGAATAAGATGTCTCTTTTTGTTGTACATACAAGAAGGGAAACTAGACATAGTGATATCATAATTTATGGAAAATTCAATAAAATTATAGTTTTTCACAAAAACAGAGAATGAATACTGTATTGTTGGCTTTTTCTGGCACATGGTACCCATATGGTACTGCAAAAACATACATGCAATAAAAGGGATGAAAAAGTGTTTGATATTTGTAAACACTAGGACATGGATGTATTTTCAAAATTGGACATGACACTAACCTAAGCCATTTTGTGAGAGCGTTGATTCAATAATTTGGTGGGTGATTACTTGCAAGTGGAAAGTTTGACAAAAAATGTATTTATGACAAGATTTTCTCAATGGCAAAAGCAACCATAGAATATAATGCTATAGACTAGGGCATAGTTAAAAAGGTACATTTCACAGTGCAAATAGGCCTTCATATTTTTTAAAACACATTAAATTTCTTTTTACGTTTGCCCAGTTTATGTCTCAGGTCTGGTAAATCAGATATAGAGTTTACAGGATCAACATGATCCATTTTAGCGGGATCAAGAGGATAATCAGCAGTGCTCTTCAGTCGAGATTTTACATTAGTTAACTGGTGTTTGTCCGAATATAAATTTCCTTCAGGTGCTTGCCTTTTTTGGAAAACATCCTCTGATATTAAAACTTTAATTGAAGGCTCATCTAGATCCATTTCTTCTTCAAATGTTTCGGTAGGATTATATAAATTTTCTTCAACAATTTCTACATTTGGACCTTCATGCAACTCTTTTTTGATATGCATCAATTCAGCATTAATTTTTCGTTGCCTGAAAAAATTCAAAGCAAATATGTATTGTAATATTTTCATCAAAGTCACATACATTGTTTGGCACAGACTTCACAAAATCAATATCATTTACCTTGATGAAGTGATCAAACCTCTTTTCTTCACTGGAAAAATTGATAAGAAAGAAACTCACAAACATTAAATTTAAAAAATAAAACATATCACAATGTTCTTATAAAAACAAACCTCTCTTATTTTTCTTAGGCTGACCATGAATTAGATAATACATACTTCTTGATGAAGCACCTTTAATTTTCTTGTCTGCTGTTGTAGCAACTCTCATCAGCAGTTGTTTAGCTTTCGGATGTTGAATTCCAATCCTCCAAACATTTTCATCATGACCAGTTGCCTTGTTATTTTGGGAAATGAAATATTTTCCCACATTCATCAAGGCACGTTTTGCAGAATTGTCATCATCCCAAATAACAACACCTAGTGTAACAAAATCAATATCAGATTTTCTTTTTGTTTCCAAAACAAGAATCAAGTTACATACATGATATATCATCGATCCATTCAATGGAGTTGGGCACGTAATCTTTAAAATAATCAAAAACATCTTTTGTACTCATTTCATTCACACCAAACAATAAGATAGCATCAGGACGAAGTTTCGCATCTGCAAAAAGACAATTGACTTTTCGCATTTAATAAAATCAAAAAAAAAGTAAAAAAACAACTTATACCATCATTTACTGTTGGGAGGATTTCCAAGAAACTATAAAATATAAAACATCACAAATATCAACAACAATAATGTATGACAAATTAATAATAAAAATTAAAGCAACCTAGGAAGTGCTTCAGTAACAGATAAATCTTTGTTATCTTTCTCATGAAGACCAAACCTCTTGGCTCGCTTCATTCGTTTCTCTTCAGCTTCCTGTAGCAACAATTAAATTAATAAGGACGACTGAACGAGTAGGAATATGTTACACTTGTATATATTTTGAACAGCTTATTTACATTGCTACAGCCTACAGGGAAATACAGAAAAAATTGACAACTACTGAAAGTATCTCATTTATCAAAAATTCATCATGAATTCACTCACCTCGGAAACAACATCAAAACCAGTAATAAAACAACCACGGTCTTTATTCTCATATTTCTTAACCTGAAATAACACAATAAGAAAACAAACTACGTTCAGTTCATACTGTTCAAGCCAGATCGAATTAGAATTGAAATATATATTTGTCTACAATGTTCACCACAGAAAGATATTAAAGTACTTACAGGTACATTAAAAAGATAAGAAAAATCTGAATCTAAAGGAACTTCGATTTTTAAATCTTCGAATTCCATGTTTGTATCAGTGGTTTGAGCCCCTGATTTTCGTGGAAAGCGGCAAATATCAAGTCGAAAGAAGTCACGTAAGACAAATTAAATCTACCATATAATACCACACATAAGCACAACAATTTTTACATCTGACAACATGCAAGTAATACAAACACTATGTAAGATAAAATTCGATGATTTTTGTTCATCCATTTCAACTTTTTATAAACAAGGATTATGGCCTTAACGATCCACAGCAAGTTTAGCTACTTCTATTCATATACATAGTTCATTTATAAACAAGACAATTGTGAGATAAATGTACATAACCTGAACCATTAACTACTTAAATTCTCGTAAAATGACTTGCTTGCATATGAACCTTTGAGGTTGCATTACGTTTATTTTTTATTTTACATTTTGTTAATATGGTGCATCCCGTCTATCTCGTCTTCTGTCAGATCTAAACCAAGTAAAAATAATTTTTGATGTAAACAAATCATTATAATATTAGAATGGTAAATGGTACACAGCACAAAAATGAATGGTAAAGTCAGAGAATTGTAGTGTTTTTACCCTCATTAAAAATCAGGATCTTAATTTCATCACCTTTACCATCAGAAAAACTTCTTAAAAAATAAAGATTAATTAATTACAAAATACTTACGCTCCATCTCTACCGCCTCCATAACCACTTCCTCCTCCACGTCCTCGGAATCCTCCACGACCACCCCCACGACCCCCACCACGACCACCCCCACGTCCTCCATAACCACCTCCACCATAGCCTAGTATATAAACAGCTCATTACATATTAGGTGCAGAAACATTTCTGTGGCCAGATTTTGTAATTTTTATTACCAGAGTCACTCTGGTAAGCTTAGACAGCTCCACCTACCTTACATAATTGCACAATTTAAAACATGGGGAAGCTATCAGCACAGATCTATGCATTCTTGATAATAAATTATTCATACATGGTCACAAAGTCTATTTCTTACACAAAGCAATATGAACCTTCCACACTACTGATGCTATTCATAAGGTTTAGGAATATAACATCTGTTACAAGATGTTCGATGTACAAATTAATGTTGCCAAAACTGTTACATATCAAAACACTACCTTTTCCCATGTGACACAAAAAGTAGTAAAATTTTCAATAACATTCATGAACATAAGTATAAGAAATACAAAATTACCTCGACTTCCACCTCTCTCACGCATTTTCTTTGGCACAAACTTTTCTGCAAGTTCCACTTTGATTTTTGCTCCCATAAAATCTTTGCCTGTTAATGGAGGAAATAAAGATTGAATAAATGAAACATTTTTTCACATATTAAATATACAGTAGATATGAACTTACCGTTAAACCATTCAATTGCTGCACTTGCTGTGGGTGGATCATCATAAGTCACAGTTGCTTCACCTTTGGATTCACCTGAAGGTGTTCGATACAACCAGATTTTTTTACTTTGTGTCTTTTTATCAATCTATAATCGTCAAATGTCACGTTTCATTAACATCAACTGAGAGACAGCATGTATTTGGACATTAATTGCATCTATTTATCATAAAGTAAGATTTAAATCCTCAAAATGTCGTATTGGAAATAAAAGTATCCTTTCTTAACCTTAATTATCCCAATGGATCCAAACATATTTGCTATCTGCTCGACAGTGACATCAGGAGTCATACCAGATATAAACACTGTATCTTCTTGATACTCCTTGCCACCACCTAAAACAGTATAGAAAGTATAAGCATGTAGTCCACAAGAAAAATGTGCAGCATTGCTTGTAATTAGAAGTGTAAATTTACCTGAACTGTTATTGGAAAAATTTCCACCTAAAAAGGATGAATACTCTTTGAGAAATTGAAGAAAAATAACATTCTATCTTGGCAAATCTAAAAATTGGCAACAGTAACCACTCAAGACAGTGTTTATACATTATTTAATTCCCTGTAACGGTTTAGCATGAAAGAAATTTCAAAATGCTCTTATCATAGTCAAGAACACTTTGCACAATAATTTCAGTGAACAATGTTTCAATAACATTACTGCATAAAATGATGGTATTTGCAACCATCATTTTAAGCAATTTAAATACATTAATTTTCCATTTTATCAAAGACAAAGATAAGAAAATACTGTAAAAACATATGGCAATGGTAACGAAACATATCAAAATCAATCCTGCATATGATCCAACGTACTAAGATAAAAAAAAACTTTTTAGCTCTTGATACGTTGGCAACTTTTTATCCATCCACTTAACCCAACATATACTCACAGGCTACCCTTTAGCAAGTAAACAATATTTCTTGGTCACAGAAAATAAACTTGCATCATTTAGCCGAAAACCAATAATCTTTGATAACAGCTTTGAGCTGGCAATTAGTATAGCTTGCGGTAGTAGACTGAAGTTACAATGACCGAAATGTACTACGCTGACCATATTATGCTCGAATTGAGGAAATAAGGAGGTAAAATCTTCTTGCCTGTTTTTCATAACTTACCAGACCCATAACCTCCTGAATTTCCACCATCAGATCTGTTTGAACCTCGACCTCTATTAGACCAAATATTACGAAATCATCAACCATATTACACCAGTAGCACACATCACTAACGATATGTTGCAAAATACAGGTTATGTGTCATATAATATTAAAGAAATGTATGTCACAAACTACCACATATTGATTGTCAAGTATGTCCGGTAAACAAATATTTTGATACTTGTTCAACTGAATATTCTACAAAATGAAGATGTACCTTTTGGCTTTTTTAAACAAATTATAATTATTTATTGTTGATTTAAGTTGAATTTTGCAACTAATTCTGTGTGCTACTGATATAAAGTCATCAACTTGAACCATGAAATGACTCAAAAAGATAAACATAATCAAGCAGCTTCAGACAAACTTTATCATAAATAATGAATGTCAAGGCAACAAAAATACTATAAAATGGAAACACAACAACTGGTTGTTATTATAATGGAAGTTTATAGCAATCACAATTTCATTTCAACTGTTTGAACAAACTTCCGACTTTGAATCTCAAAAAATGCCTGATTGTCTGCATGTTTGTTTGCCAATCATCAAATTTAGTAAACACTTTAGTTTAATTTTAATTAAATGTCTGTAATATGTATGAAATAAAAGTGGAGAATTTTCACATAAAAAATAACTTAAATATCAACACATGCTGAGACAGCTACACAAAGATGATGGTACAAAGCATATAGTCAAACTTACAACTGTCGATATAAGTGTTAGTTTGCTAAATTCAAACTAACTTCAAACTATGATTTTCATCACAAAAGTTAGGGGATGAAACATCACTTGAATACCATTTCCTCAAACCGAAAATCAATAGAAATAATTTCAATCTCCTACATTTACCATTCACCTGACCATTAGAACTGATTTAAAAACATCACTATAAAACACACGTACCCATATCCTCTGTCCCCTCGATTATCATATCCACCACCACTGTTCCCATAGCGATTATCACTTCTGTTTCCACCATTGCCCCGATCATTGTAGCCTTTGTATCCACTATTACGGTCATCTGACCTTCTATCGTAGCCACCTGAGGCTTGACCATAGCCACCTGAGGATTGACCATAGCCCCCAGAAGAATGACCATAGCCCCCTGAAGATTGCCCATAGCCACCTGAGGATTGACCATAGCCACCTGAGGATTGACCATAGCCTCCTGAGGATTGACCATAGCCTCCTGAGGATTGACCATAGCCACCTGAAGATTGACCATAGCCACCCGAGGATTGACCATAACCACCCGAGGATTGACCATGGTCACCACTACCAGATGATTGACCATATCCACCAGACTGGTTACCATAACCTTGATAACCACTTTGTTGATAGCTATTACTTCCAGATGACTGGGAATAACTAGATTGCTGACCATATGTTGTGGTTGGTGGTTGGGATGTAGAACTATTATATCCTTGGTTACCATAAGCATCACCACTTGATTGCTCATAACCATATGACTGAGTTGCTCCCGAAGAGGAAGATCCATAAGACGAGTCTAAAAATAACATTAAAACATACAGCTTGTTCATTAACAAAATCACTTCTAAAAATTAATTTATGATTACAAAAATAGTTTGTCAAGCTAAGTAAAAACCTTCTTAAGTTTTATTGTAGGTGTCTCGGCAATTTTTACACAATGTTGACAGCAAAATTTTAGCATGAAAAACAGGAAATTTCTTAAATACTCTTAAACTCATATCGTTTTAATAAATCGCAAGACAACGCTTGCACATAAATCACAAAAATTTAGACGAAGAAATAAAACAAAAAGTTCACATTAAGCCACGTAACTGACTGAATAAAAAATAAATATGTTCTTACACTGTTGATCCGTCATATTTGTCTTTGACATGTAAAATTTTCAGATTAATAATATTCTCTCCGTTTTGCCACGAGGAAATCTAGCATTCAAACACTTTACACCCGTCTTTTTCCGTCTCATCGTCGTTAACCGTCAAATACCGATAGTATACGCTACAATCCGAAGAAACGGGAAGTCTCTAAACAGGAAGTCGATGAGCTATCCAAATCTGATACAAAATGTAAGCCAAACCAAACCAACCAGCAGCCAGAAAAGTAAAAAGATAGAATCAACAAAAGTTACTTGGAATTGGCTAATTCGTAAATTCAATATAATTCAACTAAAGTATTTTAAATTAATCCTTATTTACAGTAGGACATTAAAATAATTACGAAGAAAAATGTAATGTATAAAACTTGTGTTAAAATGAATTGTGGTTTGTCGTAATAAGTTTGTTAGTGTTAAGTTAATTATAACTGAAAATTGCTATCAACTAAATGAATCAATCAAATATTGATTAAATCGTACAAAATTATGAAATAAAAATCTATCTTCAAAAATACCAAGATACAACTTCAAAAACGTAAATGTATTGTAAATGACTTGTAATGCTAGTTTAAAGAGTCTAGCACTGGTCAAAATAAAGTACAAATAACTCAATTATATCTACACTTCAAAGTTCCTCTAAAACAGCTCAATTTGTAAAATTTTATTCTTTGGATTATACAACCAATCACATTGTCATGAAGGTATTTTGAATGAAAAATTGAGTTAGAATAATTTATTTTCTCCTTGTAATGGACGGCCACTGCTGAACATTAGGAGCAAATGGAGCTATCAACCGAAAATTTTTTGTCTTTTTTTTGAAAAGATACTTCAAGAATTATCAAAAACGAGTGGACAATGAGTGAAGGGAGATATGCTGCTAGGAATACAAAAAAATATTGGGTAAACGAGATTCGACTTGTCAGATAATTAGAAACTTTTTCAAGAAGTCAACATTGTACACTAGAAACATTAGATATTTATGTTCACGTTTAAGAGCAAAAAGGCCGAGTTGAACGTAAAAAAGTTGTTAATACTACGAATGACGAATGTATTGAGAAAAAGGGAGAAATTAAAACATTACAATGTAAGACAACAATTGCGTGACTAACGCAGTACAAGTTTCTTAATGAAGACGACTGAACTTCCTACATGTTCATCGTATAAATGTGATTGTTGACACCATTGTAAGATTGAGTGACGATGTTCTCATTGCGTGGGGAAACTGTATTGTAGCGTGTCATTTGCTGAGGGTAGGGTGCTGGTCTGTGAACGCGATGATATCCCCGCTGGGGACCTGGTGACTGCACCGGTGTAGGATAGTTACGTGAGTTAGAAACGCGATGTATCATGGGATAGTTCGGTGTAGAAGCGTGTGGAACATATGTCTGATTCAAGTCATTTTGAGCTGTACAAAGAAGAAAAATTCAAACATTAAGAAAAGTCAAACCTTACGAGAACATTTTTTAAATATCAGGTTTTACCGTTGTTAGTTTCGTTCATCGTCATGGCAACAGTAGTGGTGAGCGCACCTGAGCATTGAGGCCGCGAAACAGGCTCAGGGGAATGGTGTGGATTTCCAGATTGTAATCTCGTTCTGGAAGGCTGATGAGAAGCACCGTTGTCGATTTGCTTCATAACTTCAACCATATTGCTAAAGAAATTTGCATTAACTTCATAAGATGGACTAACTTACGAAATTTAACTAAGCATATAGAGGGAGGGGTTAGAACTACAGTAAAGATGAGGATAGTACACAATCGACTGTGGGTGTGGAAAACTGTCAAAGGGAGAGATATAGAATGATAAATTTTGAGGATACGACGTGCCATCTAAGACCTCAAAAATGGCGTAAAATGGCGTGATATGCCCATGTATGGTTAAATCCACGCCATTTTTGAGCGATGTTCGAGACGTTTCAGACAACACGTCGTTTTTGTTTTATCTCTATATTTGTAAATTACATAATATTTTGACAAAACCTTAGTAAACAGCTGTTAAAAACGAAAAGACAATTTCTCGTCGATGCATCATTGTTATATATAGAGAAGATGCAATCTGTCCTACTTTTAAAGGGAAAAAAACAATCATACTTGAATTTTGTCTTTATATTATGTTGCGTTATTGATGAAAAATGTTGACGTCATTTATTAACAAGGAATTTTAACACATCTTTCTTTACAAGGTAATAAATATCCTGATGGTTTTATGCACTTTAAACCATAAATGCTTTCTAGTCCAGTTATAATATCACATAAATCCAATGTTATTGTTGCCTGATGAGTAAAACTCTTCTCTTTTCATTCTTTCTTAATTAGATTGCGAAATTTAACTAAATTTATTGGCTAGATTTTTGTTTTTTATTCTTCTAATTAACAGAGAACGAACAACGTTACTACGTTTCTATATTGTTTGGTCTCCCACAACAGACAAAACAATTTGAACAAGAAACATGTGTCAACGACGTCTAGCTTAATTATCCCCAAACTGTACGAGGATTGCAAGATAAGAAACGCTATTTATAATTTTGTTTAGTTTAAGTTCTTACCGTGTACTAAGTAAGATGATTTAAATCTACCAAGAAAAGGTGACGTATAATAATAAAAAGTTTAAGTCACTATTGATGAATCAATTATTAAGGAGTTTTGTATTATATAGTTTTATAAATATCAGCATCCTATTGATCTTACCAATCATCTGTATCACAGTCGCGAAATCCTTTAGCGAAGGGATTACTGGCAATTTTCAACTGCGTTATCTATGGTAAAAATAGACAATAAAATTTACATTACATTAAAGCGTTCATGTTTCTTGCAGAAAAATTTTTCGCTATTTTTTTTAACTAAGCTGGGAGTCTTGATTAAACAGCTTGATCAACAAAAAAAGACTGATCAAAAGCATAGTGACTGGGCTGTCATTCATTAATGAGATATTTTTCATTAAAATTTTTTATTATGAGGTTATGACAGACGTCAAACAATGCCGATTGATGCACTTTATTAAGACGAAGAAAAAGAAAAGAAAACGAGAATTAGATTAAAGTATTAAAGCAATTAAATTGTCTAAACAATCAATCTGAGCCAATATTAAACACTGTCTGTGATCACACCAGTTGTAAGGCTGCGCTGATTTATCTGGTAAAATGTTAGAATGACAAGATACAAAATTATTATACCAATTTGTTGGATATAGAAACATAGCAAAAGGTTTCGAAACTTTTTTTCAACACCAATATAGAAATAACATGACGTATTTCATCCATTCTTACCATGTGATTTTGATAAGCAGTAACAGCCATGAACTGTGTTTCGGGAAAGACGAACGTCCTCATATTTTCTCTCATTATCTCAGGAGTAATATTTTCAACTTGGTGACCTTGAAGCTCAAACTCAGGCTCAATTAGGATTACGTGAAAGCGAGGCTGATATTTGTGCATTGAATTCAGAATGATCTAAAAAAAATGTTCAGTTTAGGAGTAAATGTCTTAGATCAAAAATTTTTAAATGATATAGCTTGAACGCTAAAACTTCCATGTACATCTGATAAACACTAAATATCCCACGATGATCCCATTTTACTAACATGTCCATTATCATCCATTAAGTTGTTTGTCAGTTTGAGCTTATCAAAAGAGACAATTTGTTTCATCCACTGCGCGCCTGTACAGGGAGAATCTGGATGCACGTGAACACGTCCAGGAACACTAGGGTCGGCTTTCCCCGCCACTAACCACTTGGAACTGTGAAAAGCGTATCTATAGCGTTTGTCGTCAACAGATACAAAGTCCATCATTAACATGTACTTTGTGTTTTGCTCCATACCATACAGACGTACTTGAAAGGTCGGAAACATCCGCCTAAATGATAGGAATAGGAAAATAAATAAAAATCTCGAACTTCCACCATTTCCTCTATCATGGAGTTCACCCCAATGCTCATTAGCAATATTGCAACGTTCGTGAGAATATAATTTTTCCCTAGAAGATGTCTCTTTATCATGTACGTCATACAAAACTGTGGATTAACTTTTAAATAAACACTTAAGGTGAAAGATCATAATTACACTGTATCTACATATTTTGTTTACTTTACTTTAGTGATCTAGAATACCTACATGAATATAGGAAGTCGATTGACACAACAATATGTACATCAATTTAGATATAATACTATATATTGCAAAGTATCTCATGAAATTAGAATAATTTTCATATGTTTAGTTTGAATGAGGAACGTTATCATTGAGATATGTTTAAAAATAATACATTAGTGTTGTCTCAATAATGATGTATTCATTCGATTATAGATTAGTATCAATACAACATTAAAGTTTTAGCGGCATTTGAATATCCTAAGATAAGTGTTCTCATTTGTAGGAAATGCATTATTTTTGAAAAATCATCTAACAAAATATTTGTAAATGCATGCTTGTGAAGAAAGCTTATAACGCAAGCTTGTAAATATTTGACATAAAAAATGCGCTTTGGTGGAAAAGAAATATAATCATTTTGATGTAACTTTCAAAAAAGATTACATAATAAAAGGAGTAGATGGTTAAAATGTTCAAAACATAAATGTTGATAAATGATTAAATCACCCAAGCCGCAGCAACTATTTTATAATCACTCATTAAGCTTTAAAAAAATGTCGCCATTTATTGGCGACCTGACTCCAGCGTTATGTTTATTAGGAGGATTTAATAACGCATATTATTCTAATGTCAATATTTGCGCGTGATTTTGGATAACTGTGGGAGTAATATGGATTGCATTGTGTGTATTGGCACAAAAAATATTCTGTTAAGAAAGGATTGAATTTTAGCTCAACTTTTCATCGCGCACCTCTGACGATATCTGAGAGGTTATGTTAATGCATGTCGGCATTTTTTGACAAGTTATATTAAAGTAGTGATTAGATCTTAACAAAATTATCTGTGTTTTTAATTTCTCTTAATACGATTGTAAATACTGATTATACTTGTGAAATGACTCGAATTGTTTTGCCGATTGACACCAGCTTATTTTTATAATGTTGCGTTTCAAAATAAGTTGCTGCGTATTCAAACGTCAGCAATGTCTCCAGGATAAATAACTTGCTGCAAATAATGTGCAAGTTATAACAAAGCCTTTCAAGACCTATTTAACGCGAAAAACTTTGATGAATATATAACTTTTAAAACACTAAATACTAAATATTATTCAGTAGAAAAGGAATGCCTTGCAATGTATGGTTTTAGCTGATTGCGAATTGGATAATAATCGCTTACAGAAAATGTTATTTCCCATTATGGTTTGCGCAAATCTTTTACGCGTATTTTCGCATTTAAACCATCTCGTCAGCAACAAAAAATATGTAAAACTGAAAGCAGACAGTTATACACATCTGTCTAGCGCCCAAAAATTCAAGATAACAAATTTCATCCTATAGTATGGTCAGTTTGCTTCAAGCACGAGAAAATCGCCAAAATTATAAAGTGATCATTACATTTATGTCTGTTGAGCTTGAAATTTTGCTTTATCTCACAGTTTCTTCGTCGAAATAATAATAGTTGAACACATATGGCAATGAGTAGACATAAAGCAAACAGAAAAATTCTCTGTACTTTTGAGAAGTGGGTTATAGCACACAAAGATTTGCTATATGTGTTAGCAAGAAAACATTTTCTAGTTGATGAAATATTGTTAAAAATAAAACAACGAACAACAGGAAAACATCAAAAAATCTTAGAAAGTCGTGAGAATGCATTCCGATTGCTGCGGAAATGTTCTTGATTTTCCCTTGTTAGTTAGAACAAAAATAATGGTAAAGCTATACAGATTTAAACAAAAATAATTTCTTTTCGATAGTAAACACAAACAGTTAATTTGCGTCCTTCACGTCTATTGCAGTGCGCAAAACTCGTCACAGACCATAAAAATACACAAATATTCTGTCTTCAAATTTGAATAGCAATGTAAACAACAGAGAATGCAACAATAATATTGAGATAATTTTGAATGAAGAACAAACAACAACGTCCGCAAAGAAATATGTAATCAATCAACAAAATGCTTGAAATCCATTTAAAAAAGAAATGCCACACGACTAGAAAATGCGAAGGAAGGAAGTTCAATCAAATGATCTGAATTGTTTATATTGAAGCAATAAATTGCAGTTTGATTATAGTATATAGTAAACCAAAGATTTCATAAAAAAAATTAGATTTAGTTGAATTTATACATTCCCAGACTAAACAAAGGACCGTGAAAAAGAGTGCGAACAGACTAATCCTGTGCTCAATCTTAAATATTCATAAAATTTATTCCCACAAATTCGTACATTCCCCAGAAACAGACATGAAATGTGTTTATATTAAATAATTTTTACCTTCCTGCCTTTGTGACAATCATTTCGGTACCAAGAGAGTGAAATTCTTCCCATAAACTTTTCATTTCAAGATCAACTCTAACATGAGCCAAGCTTCGACCTGTGTTGTTGGATTTCGTAGGAAACGAAGAAACATTTGATGGAGATATTGTTGGTGATGGTCGCTCCTCATCACTACTGCTGCATCGCTTGGGTGCTTTTTTACCTGTCCCAGCGTTTTGTAGGCATTCTGAATAAAGAAACGGCAAAATGATCTAATATAATAAAGATAGGAAGAAATCTAGGGTTTGATAGGAAAGTATACGACAATCACTATTTTACAAATAAAAACTACTTTTTTTATAAAATGTACATTGAAAGTGGTTAACTAAAATTAAGTTGATGACTTTACTCAAGAAAAACAATTTTATGGAGTAAAATGTTTTCATGCCCAAACATTTTTACAATAAACTTTAAATATAAGAAAATACAAAAATTATTGATCGCTCTTTGCACTGCAACAGCACCTTCCTCAATGGTTATATGGAGACTTTTTTAACAAAAAATATTTTGGAAAGTCAGCGAGTTCATTGTTGTTTTGTAAAAACAAATTACAAAGATGAGATAATTTGAAATAGAAGAAGACTTAGCAGATGTTTCCTTCATACCAAACCAGTCAATATGAAGAAAATACCACGACATAAACACGAGACTCGACTTCAATGATTCTGGCAACACTTCCTTTTATAGAATAGATAAAAAAATGTTTCTGTTTGTCGAATGAATACCATCGTTGATTTGATTGATACAGCGACAGACAAACGAAATAAAAACTTTATAACTATATTGTAAGTTTAACAATTCGTCTATACTATAGCTCAAAAGTAAGAAAAAACTCAAGAACGCGTTGAGACATGATACACGCAATTTATGCCTCAAACACGACATCCCTAACATAGAGATACATTATAAACGTTTCCAACAGCTGTATGTGAGTCCAAGAATATGATAAGGAAACATATCGATGTTTAAAAATTTATCACATTCATTTGACAAAAGTTCTGCACATTGTATCACAACACAAATGTCAGATAGTTTCAATCTTATTAAGCCAAAACATCAACTTTAATTACTTCAAAGTTCGCAATAATCCAAAAAACACTTGCCAAAAGTTTTTCAAATAAAGGAAAGGGAAAATGTATAACAAAACAATAGTTTTATTCATATTATTTCTATTTTGCAAAGCACGAAGAAAGTAAATAGACTCTTTTACTTTCGCATTTTACTTTTGTTTAGTATTGATTGTAAAACATCGAAGTGTTTTACTTGTGTATTCATCGTTGGCAAAATATAAATTATACTAATACTATATATTTTTAAAATATCTTAGTGAAATAGTACCTTCCATTTCCTTCGTCAATAACTGTGAGGACCAATTGAATATTTCGTTCATCCTCATACACGATCCATCTTGAATACATTGTGAAGCGTCAATAAGATGGGCAATTGAAAATGCGTTTGCCTTTGGCGATAGAAAGCCAGACGCATCCATAGAACTCGCTAACGTGTACGAGCAATCCACAATTGAAACTTTACGGTGAAAAGTTTAAATGAAATATCTTAAATGGGTCAACTGTTGTCCAACAACCTTTGGTTCACGACCAAACTCGTCTGCAGTTTATGTGAACTATTTTATTCCTTTAACTTGATCACTGTACCTTCAACATAGGCGGTAATTGTACTTTTTGGTTTCAATTTTACGTTACAAATTTGAAATCCACTTTGCAATTAAAGATGATTTAAAGTTTTTTTCACGCAGTTCAAACGACGCACAAATATACAATAAATTTTCCTGCAATGCAAAGTGTGAAAGCGGATGACAAAGTGTGAATTCCTCACACGAATCTTTCAAATTATAATGTCTTTAAAATATTTATTACCACACCAGTAGCATTCTCAAGTCTATATCAAAATGTTCTCGCTTTTGTAGTGATTTTCCAAACACAGCTCACAGACGGTAAATCACTAATGGAAGAAATATTTGAAGGATCCAATTTCATAAAATCTGCGTATAATGATCCAATAGTTTTTAGCTTCGCTCACGTGGACAATTAAAAGAGAATTTTTACAGCGAGAAGTGAGTAACTTTAGCGTGACATTCAAAGAAAGTTATGTTGATGTCGTGTGAAAATCAATGGGAAATGATACACTATCTTCAGATAGAAACTAATGAAGCAACCAATCCATCAACAGTCCCATTAATCTACTCGTAACATGTCAAATAGTTCGTTTTAGGGTACCGATGAAAGCAAAGGATTTTGACAAGTGCTGCCCCAAACAGCATCTGTTCTTCATAATTACTTTACACATATTTTATATGAGTAATACTTCAACGACAAGTTTATACAAGCTTTGATAAAATTTCGAGGTTATTTTTTACCTTAATAACCTCGAAATCTATTTTCGACATTTGAAATGAAAATTTACGTTTCACTACACTTAAATTGCTTTCTCTTTCAAAGATATTTATGCAGCGAGCGCGCATGTTTTATTTTAAATAAAAATTAGCATATCATGCGTGTCAATATACTGGAGAGAGATGAAAGATTGTCTGTGTTTGCTATATAACAATATTGAATAAATTTATGATACGGTTTTCTTTTGTTTAAAGCAAAATTATTTTATACAAACATGCTTGAGAATAAACAATTAAATGTCATCAAAAAAGTAAACATATCTATGATACAATAAAAACATAATGGATTTTATCATGGCCTACTTATTTTGATTACGAAATCAATTTAACATTCGTCGTTCAATACAGGGACAGTAAATTCTGCCGTTGTTAATGAAAACGATTGAAAATATTTGGTCAATTTCATGGCATTGCAATCAGTATTCAATTCTAAAATATCCACTACCGTATTAAGCGGTCTGCCCCGAGCCCCAAGGCTACAAGTTTTGACAAATACGTTCAATGATGAATAACAATTTTATGGAATAAAAGATGTTTAATCAAAAGACAAACTTAACCGAATCTACTCTAAAATATTTATATTTTTTGAATTATTTAAATTGAAGTTTTTAAAAAATGCAAAGATATACGATCATAAAATTATTGGCACAGTAAGACGCTTATTTGTGGTTAAAATAAGACATTATTTTGACACTTGGAGGTCAATATGAACGAAAGAGATGAAATTATTGACACGCAATCTTTTTAAGTAAATAATTTGTATAAACGATCATACAAAGCATAAACAACATTGCTTATAGTAGTAACCTGCATAAATAGGGCATTGTTCTATTTTGTTATTTCTCCGGGTTATACGATGTTATCTGTTTGAAATATCCATTCAAGTGACGAGTTTAGAATCAAGAGTAATCATTAAACCTAAAATCATCATTATTTAATGAATTTAATATAGCGCTAATGCCCATTATTGCAGTTGGAAACGTTAAGCAAAAGAGGATGGCTTTCACATGGTTTATAAAACTTTGCAAAACACGGACATCAGACAGCTTTTGAAACAATTACCCTAGCAGGGTAAACTAATTAAGATGCCTAAAGAGAAAAATAGTTTCCCCAAATTTGGCAGCAAAAAAACACAGCAATTATATGACAATTAAATATGCAGACATTGTTTGAAAATCTTCTGGGGAATGTCTTATCGCGTAGTAAATTCTTGTTCAACCTGGTTAAAGTTATAAAACTAGCTCCACTACTTAATAGTATAGTTGACAAAATATTTAAACCTACTTTCAATTGATGTGATTCAATCAATATCACAGCAAGTGAACACAATAATTAAACGTTGAAATATTTTAGTCATTTCATCGTCATTTTTAATCAAGAACGCGTTGAAAGATTGTGTTCTCTAGTATTGAAATACTCCATCAAAAACACCTCGTTGCAGCTAATTAATCAGTTTGAATACGACAGAGAGAATGGACGAAGGATTTATGATGTAATAATGGATGTTTTACTACTTTAATTCATAACAAAATGCTTTATGAATATCTAAATCCTTACGAGTCGTGTACATTTTATCGCATCCTTCACAGATAAACATGTTCATGCATTCATATGTTATCCCATTATTATCGTCATGCTTTGCAATGGTCGAACCCAGACCCCCTGCCGAAGTAGCGCGTATCAAATCAGCTTTATGTTTATTGCTATGACATATTTTAGCACTCAGTACACGCGTCTGACGTTTATCAACAACTCTGTTGTAACATGTAGATTCTTTTGATGAAGGTTTCATTCCGGATGGCGGACATGGCCGAAAGTTGTCCGATGATTTAATAAACTCACTTGAAGTCTTAGTCCCAGAGTTGAGATACACGTCATTTACGCCATCAGACTGGATTCTAGTATTGTAACGAAAATGACACAAACATATATGTAAATGTTCGAAAAGTATATTATGCAGAAACTGGTCACATATTTTACAAACATTTACTCAAATCCTTTAACTCAACGTCAGTTACTTTAACTCAACGTCAGTTACTTTCACTATCTAACATAGTTGTAGTAGTGGTCACAAGGCCAAAAATTGTTTGGTTTGGGGATCTCTACGTTTGTGTAGACTTGCCACCTTTTCAAAGACCAAAAGGATTTAGTTGAATGTTTGTAAAATACATTAATATATTATGCATGTCAGCATATTGCACTTTTTGAATATTCGTTTTAAGAAGACAACTAGAGGTAACACATGAAAGTATGTTCTCATCCGATGAAGTAATATAACAAATTACTATATGTGTGTATGAGGGGATAAAAATTATTAGAGGATTATTATAGTACAAGAGTGGATCACGAAGCATTAGAGAATTATTATAGTACAAGAGTGGATCACGAAGCATTAGAGGATTATTATAGTACAAGAGTGGATCACGAAGCATTAGAGGATTATTATAGTACAAGAGTGGATCACGAAGCATTAGAGTATTATTATAGTACAAGAGTGGATCACGAAGCATTAGAGGATTATTATAGTACAAGAGTGGATCACGAAGCATTAGAGGATTATTATAGTACAAGAGTGGATCACGAAGCATTAGAGTATTATTATAGTAAAAGAGTGGATCACGAAGCATTAGAGGATTATTATAGTACAAGAGTGGATCACGAAGCATTAGAGGATTATTATAGTACAAGAGTGGATCACGAAGCATTAGAGTATTATTATAGTACAAGAGTGGATCACGAAGCATTAGAGGATTATTATAGTACAAGAATGGATCACGAAGCATTAGAGGATTATTTTGAAATCAAGAAGACTTCGACTGAGGGATCAATAAGCAAAAACGCTCGTCCTAAATGCATTGTGACCAAATGTAATAACTCTTATTACATACCTGTCTACAGATGAAGTCTTCGCTTTGTTTTTGTTTGATGAATCATTTTGAGAAAGCCAAAGAGGAACAGGCTCACTCATCTGCAAAATAGAAGATTTCAACATAATAACATCTACACAGTTGAAGTTTTAATAAAACCACCAATTAGTATAATCATCACCTTTTGTTTTCTTGCATCGTCTTTATCTACTTTTTCATTTAATTTTTTAATTAAATCTCGTAGTTTGCTGTTGTTCACTTCCAACATAGAAATGCGAATGTTGTTGGAAACAATTTGTTTTTCCATTTCGCAAGTGATAACCGCAGGATTACTCACATCTATAAAGATAAAAACGATAGTTACCTCGAGATGATTCAAGGTAAGTTGAAGAAACAAACTTCTTGTAATTTTAATGACGTTGAAAAATTTTTTGCAATCGATAAAACAGGAACTATGTAATGGGATCTGTGAGGTAGTCTATATTAGCTGCAGGTCTGGAGCACAGGACAGCTAAGGTCTGTGAGTCTGGAGCACAGGACACCATATGATATTTCTTATTTAAAGATTTTTCTTCAACCTACGATTATTTAATAATATTCTAAGCAATCCTCTACTTACCCTCACTGGTGACAGTACTTCCATCAATAGGATACTGGACAATCAATTTTAATTTCTTTTCATTTTCCTGCAGTTCATCTTTCAAACATTTCATTTGAACCTGTAAATTTTTAACGACTTGCGATAAGCTGCTTTTCTCTGACGTAATCCTCTCAAGTTCATTCTGTAAATATAGCAATATTTTATATTAATTTTCATTATTTTTTATCTTAAAATTATCTTTTTTATTATATACCTTACCTGTTTTTCAGAGAACTCTTTAGAAAGCTTCTCATTTTTTTTCATTACTTTATCTAAAGTGTCTTGGATCTCGTCTCTTTCACCTTCAATATCCATCAATTTCTCTCTTAGTTCATCACAATCCTGGTCTAACTCATCAATTCTTTGAAGTAAAGACTGGTGTTTTTTTGAAGAGACTGAAAATGAGAGAAAACAAATAATTTACAAGATGAGAACAAGAACAATAAATGGCTATGATAAGAGAAAGGTAGTAAACATTCATCACTACGACATTAAAATGAAATATAAAAATTCACCACAACTGCAAATTGCCAAAATAACTACAAAACAGTAATTCGGTTGTTTTTTATAAAAGTGACCTTACTTCCTAATTTATAAATTACATGAAACTCACGTGACCAACAAAGCAAAGTTAAAGCAATGACGTCAATCGTACCTCGTCATGTGATGTCAAATTTCTATTCTTTGCTTCCATTTTGCCCAATTCCAACTTCATTTTTTCATGTTCATTTTCAAGTTCTTTCACATTTTCCATACTCAAATATAAACCTTGCATCTGACCTTAACATTTCTTTTTAAGTTTAAGCATGAGAAAAGTACTATCCTTCTTGAGCCATATCCTGCTTCAACAAAATTTCATTTTCTTTAACTCTCAGTTCTAACGATTCTTTAGATTTTGTCAATTCTTTGATCTGCTGAGAAGATTTTTCTTGCATTTCAGACATTTCATGACAAACAACAGACAATTTCTTCGTCATCTCATCTGAAAGTTGTTTCATCTCTTCCTTTTCTTTTAATGTCTTTTCTTCTAAATTTTTCATACTCTCCTCTAGCGTCCTTTTCCTTTCCCTTGACTTTCTCATCTTGCCGTAAAGATTATCATCGGCTGCAGCTAGAAGCGATTGTTTCAATAGTCGCTTTTGTTTAGCAAGACTGGACGGTAATCCTTGATTTTCACATAATTTTATAACCATATCACCTACAGCTATTAAATTTTCCTGGCTTCTACTACATGCCTCACATGGTATGAAGGCAGTATCATAAGTCTGTGTCTGAATATTTATGTAAGATTTCACATCTTTATTATTAAAGATGCTTTTATTATCATTGGCAAATGCTTGAACAAAATTCTTTTGATTTTCTCCATTTAACAGACACGATGAAAAGTTTTCACTTTTCTGTTTAGCTGCTTTTAAGTCTTTTTTTAACTTTGTTACATGGTCTTCAAGATTCACAATTTTCTTGTCTTTACTGTTCGCCTTAAGCAATACAATATTAATGATTATGTGACATCATATATATCATAAAAAAAATAATATGAAAATTGAAAATGTAAAATACCTGTACAAATTCATGTTTTAATGCACAAGTCAACTGAGAAAGTTTATTCCAGAATTTCTTGACAACCAAACCAACTGACATCACTGAGCCCACTGAAGTGGCTGAGCTCTGACGACTTCCAGAAGATGTATCCACAGCATGATGACATAATGACGACAAAGACTGCATGAATAACACAAGTCTGTAATGATAATGATGACAAAGACTGCATGAATAACACAGGTCTGTAATGATAATGATGACAAAGACTGCATGAATAACACAGGTCTGTAATGATAATGATGACAAAGACTGCATGAATAACACAAGTCTGTAATGATAATGATGACAAAGACTGCATGAATAACACAAGTCTGTAATGATAATGATGACAAAGACTGCATGAATAACACAAGTCTGTAATGATAATGACGACAAAGACTGCATGAATAACACAGGTCTGTAATGATAATGATGACAAAGACTGCATGAATAACACAAGTCTGTAATGATAATGATGACAAAGACTGCATGAATAACACAAGTCTGTAATGATAATGATGACAAAGACTGCATGAATAACACAAGTCTGTAATGATAATGATGACAAAGACTGCATGAATAACACAGTCTGTAAAGATGCATGAATAATGATGAAAGACTGCATGAATAACACAAGTCTGTAATGATAATGACAACAAAGACTGCATGAATAACACAAGTCTGTAATGATAATGATGACAAAGACTGCATGAATAACACAAGTCTGTAATGATAATGATGACAAAGACTGCATGAATAACACAAGTCTGTAATGATAATGATGACAAAGACTGCATGAATAACACAAGTCTGTAATGATAATGATGACAAAGACTGCATGAATAACACTGGTCAGTACATGGTTGTAATAAAAATTTGTTTTCATTGGCAGACATTAAGCAGATGGAGCAACTTTTTCTCAAAATGAAATATTTCTGCTCATCATTGAAAGTCTTTGTAATGTTATAGAATTCTTTATTGTCTTACCTATCAATAAGTAACTCAAACAGGATAACATGAGATAACTGACAATGTTCTTCGTCTTTAGAGTAAGAATATCTTTCAAGAAGTTTGCCAATGTCTAAATCACTTGAAATTTTGTCAGGATATTTCCACGAAGGAAATCTTACGGTACCAACACGGCCAAAAATATGTTCAATTGTCTCGTTAACATCCACGATGTCTACAAATAGACTATCAAGACAGTTCTTGGAGCCAAGTAAATGTGCCATAGTTTATTTATTTATGTCTTCTGTATAATGAATTGGACAAAGATTTGATTCATGTCTTTTCAAAACTTTAAAAACGATGTTATTCGTCGTTTTTGGTGCGTTCTTGTCTTTTAACAGGCGCCATGTTGTTTACCTTAACGACAGTTATGACACTGAGCTTTATAGAGAAACTGGAATATTACAAGCAACAAAACTTTTCCTTTTTATACTGTAATTTTCACATTCATTTCGTATTTAAATAATTTCGTTTGAATTGATTTGAATAAATCGTGTGTAATAAAAATACAATTTTAACAATTCTTGGTCATAACTATACAAAAATCATTAACATTTTAATATTGAAACGGAGAAAAACAAATTTTAATAGTGCGCGCATATCTGAACTTATTCCCATTTTTTCTGCAATTTGCGAAAAGGGAATATTGTTAAAATAGATGAGCGTTTAGGCTATACATTTAGATTTTGTTTAAATTGTATTTTCCCAATTTTTCCCTTGTCCAACTTATGAGAAAAAACCCTTGAAATAACGCTTTTGCTTAGTAATCGACATCGTTCTTCATACAAAAAGTGAGAAAGAACAAAATTTCTTGCTCTGAACGTAAAAAAATACCAATTTAAACAAGCTAATTTTAATCCTTTAATTCAACTTCACCATTTTCCTAAATAAAAGAAAGAAAAAGCAATTTAGTGGTGTAATTCTTCATATTTGTTAACAAGAATATCCTACCAAGGATTTGTGTTCATCATTTCCATAATAAATTTGAGCAATTTCTTCATATGTTTTATTCTTTGTTTCCTTCACATATTTAAAGGTAATTATCGCTCCAATAACCACCACAACCAAGAAAGGAATGAACGTAAATGCTTTAAATCCCGACTAAAAAAGAGAAATTTGCGGATTAACAGACATTAAAAACAAGATTCAGCACTTTATTTTATACTGTTTCAGTTCTGTAGAAAGGACCTGTGTGTACATGTTTCAATCTGATGATGTTTTAAGTTAATTATAGATTATTAGTAAAACTACTTATCTATGGCCATATTGAAAGCTGTATGGGCAATTATATTTATAATAAGAATTCGCTTTCCACCTGGCAAATTCATTTTCACAATATTTAAACTCAAAGTAAATAGAAACTACTTAATCACATTGGATCGTGTTAAAATTTCATAATCGTTTTTACAACAGATCCAGACGGGATAATTTCTAAGCTAACTTTATTCATTTTGGATGGTTTTATGATTTCTATCCATTTCTTTCAAGAGATGCAGTAAGGATGATTCAATGTTGATCACTTTTTACTAAAGAAACAAATATAAACTATTGGGCAATTTTATCAGTGAGTAATGAATGTAACTTACCAAAATGAAGGGAAAACTAAGTCCTACAAGAAAATTGGCTAACCAGTTTAACATTCCAGAAAAACTCATTGCGGCAGGACGCGGACCTTGTTTAAACAATTCACCACCAAGAAAAAGGGGAATGGGACCTAAATTGGAGAAATTATAGTTCTCACCAAATAAAGTTAGAGAATAAGCGATATTCAAGTGAGAATTACCAAGCCCGATAGCAAAAGACACAACAAACGTCAATGTACAAATGAAGCTAAGATACGATAATCCTGGAGCAACATGCTACAAATTATAAATATAAGATAATGTCAATATCAAAGAATTACCATTATATGTTTAGCATGAGGCAATACTAACCTTTACATTTAAGCAAATGGTAATGATGCCAGCAGATATACCCATACCAATCATACCGTATAACAATAATGGTCGTCTTCCACATTTCTCCATAAGATAAACCTACACAAAAATTATTTTAAGTCGTTTTTGTAAATATGCTTGTTGATGATAAAATATTCAGTCAACTATAATTACATAGAAAAGCATTAAAAATAAGAAAAACAACAATAGATATACATCCCAGGTATGATTGGGTGTCATATACTTGAGAAAACTTACCGTTATAATCGTCATGGCAACATTAATGACGCCAGTTCCAAGAGTTGCGTATCGAAGGTAATCATCCGGGATTCCAGCTTCTTTGAAAATACCAGTTGAGTAATAGAAGACCTACAGAATGATAAGCAGACACAATTAAAGGCAGGAGTTTAAATATCGTGATTTTGTATTGCTCATCAACAATGTAAAGAAAAAAACTTGTAAACTTACGACATTAATACCAGAAAGTTGCTGTCCGACCTGCAGGGCACAAAGAAGCAAAAGGGAAAACGAAGTTTTTTAGCCTTGAATAGTTGCTTCATCGTCCACGGAGGTTCATCTTGTAGTTGTCTTTGTTCTTCCCGCATTTCTTGCAAATCATCTTTAACATCATGATCTTCCCCTCGAAAAGCCTTTAACGCTAAAAAATAAGTGTTCTCCCAAACATCAACTATTACACCATATTGATTTATCTATGGAATATGAATTTCCTGTTTAACCCTATTGATCCTCATAAAGATCCACAAAGTACCTTCAGTAGCTCGCTTTTCATCTTTCTTTACAATAAGAAGAAAACGTGGACTCTCCGATACAAAAGGAAGAAGAAATGAAACAATAAAACCAGGAAACGCAGTGAAAATCAATAACACTGGCCATAAATCCACACCACCTAGAGAAATGCATATAGCGAGTTTGAGTTCATAATAATGTCAATGATACAGAGATATACTTTGCGTTAACAAAGGCGCTTTACTTAGATTATTTACATAACATAAACTTACCTAAAATTTCCTCAAGACCCAAGATCTGCGACAGCAATATTCCAATTGTTAAACCAAGCTGATGTAGAACACCTAGGGATCCACGAATGTGCTTTGCAGCACTCTCAGTAAGATACATAGGTACCACACCACTTCCTATGCCTACGCAATCAAAGTATCGCAATGAGTCACCCACTGCAGACTTCTGCTTGACACCAAGCAGATAACTACGGTGTAAAACAACATGCAGATACCTGCGTTATAAAACAACATGCAGATACCTGCAGAGAATCCAATAATGAAGCGACCAATGATAAGAAGTTCGAAAACTTTAAGTGGTCGAGAGATTCCGAAGAAGACTGCAGCTAAAACTGCAAAAATATGACTGAACTGTAAAGCTCCTCGGCGTCCAAATCTGTTAGCAAAATAACCCGCAAGAAATATTCCAACCATTCCACCCGCAAGGTAGACAGAAACTGTAAATGCCCAAAGAAAATTGAGAAGAGAAATTGATATCAACTTGTTATATCTTTCAGTAAATGTCTTGTTGTAAAAATCTTGAATAGTCTGCAAAAGAATATTATACAAGATATAGATTATTTAAATCTACTACAGTAAATTATGATAAATAAAAGATTATTTATGTTCGATCTCCAGTTAACAAAGAATAAAAATAAAAAAGACGTGCAGCAGTATAAAAACATACAAACTCGGGTGCATTTAAGACACCAGTGCTGTAACCATGAACGAGCGATGATCCAAAAACACAGAGAAAACAAACTGAGTACAACATTGGGGTAATTCCACTCTAAAACAAAATTAACAAACTCTTACAAAACGTTTTTATTTATCAAGCCAAATAGAGATGAATACATGATCAGAGTTGAGACAAAAATTCTTACCCCTGATTGAACATTAAATTTATCGCTGAATCACGAGTGAAAAAGATATTAATTTTTTACATTATGCTTTAACAACGTCTAATGTTTTAATTTAATATATGGGATTTTCAAGTAAGAAATCTCCATTGGATCAATAATCGTATCTATATGAAGAATGTTTGCTTTAGATTACACTTAATGAATATTTCTCAGACGATACTAGATTACAATTCGGAGAGTTGAGTTGAATTTGGATTTTGAAAGTAGACAAAGGTTCGGACGGATTAAAAAATTTCGTCAATAGAAAAGCACAACTCTGGTTCAGGAGGCCGCGGAGAGGTTTGAAAAGTGAGGGGACAAAAGAAGATCGCAGAATCGCATTGTTGTTAGCAAAGTTATTTTTAACAGTTTTATCAGGAATCGTTCAATATACAAAATTTGTTTGATTTCGTTTGTAAAGTTTATTATAGTGCGTTCAGACTGAGTACCCTGGCATGGTGCTCGGCCAAGGGCACCAATATGAACGACAACACCTGAGTAACGTGTACAGAGAGGCACGTTTTCAGCACATGATTCCAATACTTGTTTACAAAGAAAAACATGAAATTATAAATAGACGAAGCTAGTGAAGAAGGGCTTACAGATTTTTGACCAAACCATGGTATCGTACTCCGGCAATCAGTCTAAACGTGCTATAATTGATCAATCTAACGTCAACATGTAAAAAATCAAAGTGGAAAATAAGTGAGACATGAAACACTGTTAAAAATCCATATTTATCAAATGTAAGTATTTGTTAAAGCGTATGTCCTCTCGCAAGTGTTTTACTGGGGAGAGTCCTTTTTTATGAATTTTACCGGGGATTTCTTTCTTTTACTTTATTCAAATATTTTTTCTCACTACCCGCTGGTAATGCGTCATTTAAGCCAAGAGACCTTCCTGAGTAATTATGTAATTTAATGAACGAACGCAATCTTGTAAAAATGGTATTTACGACCTTCAATGACTTTATACTCAAGACGAACGTCATTAAGGGAACGTAAATGTGATGATCCAATATTTTTACATCAAAGTAGGCTAACACAAATAGCATAATGTCATCAAACGCTGCTTGAGGTATTTAAACAATACCTGAAAATAGTTTATTCAATGAAAATATTGAGAGTAATTTTCACGAAAAAAATTGACTTCCAGACATAAAAGTCATCAAGAATTCATTAAAAAAATATGATTTTTTCTTATATTTCTATTAGTGTAACGTTAATAAGTTTAAAAACATCGCGTGAAAAGAGGGCAGAACTTGTGGTAATGAATTGTATCGCTCGCGTGACTTCATAACTGGTTCCAACCAAGGTCGTTCAAGGTTACTCTATCGTCTTAAAAGTCAAATCAAAATTAGTGTATTATGATACTTCTTTGCAAAAAAACCGCCTCATGTGACTTCAACACACAAACACACATCAAAATATTTCACAGCATAAAACAGTTACAAACGCTTGGTTAATTCCTAGAAACAGAGGGGGCTAGGTTAGACTGTAGATGGCTCAACTCACCAAATGCTTTTTTTTTAGTGGAGGGAAAGCGGATGAACTTTAGTTTTGAGTGAAATGAACGAAACAGAAAGAACTTGATTTTGATTGATGTCCATTTCGTCTAATTTCTAGTTCTATTTTTTTGGACAAAAATTCTTACTTTTGATGCTCCTTCTTCTTTAAGTGTTAATCTTGATCGTTCTATGCCATCTTCATAACTTCGCTTAAACATTGTGATGGTTTGACTTATTAGCTCATCCAATATTCCAACCTACTCCTATCTTGAGACAATTGGACTAACTTGGTGCGGTTGTAAATGTTGAATGAACCCCACCGGCGCATACGACTGTGAAATACAAGGCGTAAATGATGACAGACAATCCATGAGAACTGAAACCCGATACAGAAACATTTAAGCGTATTACTTAATGCCCTCAGCACTCGCGTACAAGTAAAAAATACAGTCATCAAATTTTTATTTATGTTTAGCTTTATAGTCGTCTAATTAAAACCTACTGCAATTTGTAAAACACTTATATAACCGTCTATGTCAAACTGCTGCACAGTGCTCACTTTTAGATGCATTTATAATTCAAAATACTTTGAAAATATAGATTGTTGAAATTCAGGTTCTAACATATTCTGTACAAATTTAAATCAACGGAGGGATTAGTTAATGACACACGTAGGAAGGAGTCTACGACTGTTTTTTGTTACAAGTTGTAAAATTCAGTCAAAATATAATAAAGAACAAAACTCCTTTTATTCTTACTATATTTAATTTGTATATAAGAAGCTGAACTGTACAAACAAAATATATTTTTGCAATATTATTGAAGGCATTTTCAAGGGAATGTTGGAGGATGTTTGTGTTTGAAGCATGTTATATGTTCAATAAACAATATGATAAACAAAGTATCTTATTGTATATGACAAAAATACAAAAAACAAACTCAGAATGGTAAAATCATGATGATGACGCCAATGGCATTGTAATGTCATTCACTCAAATTTCCCTAACAGATGCTAGTCATTTGACTATCATATGCATTTAATAAGCTGTCCCAAGGTTAAATAATATAAGATAAACTAAAAATAATGTGACACACCAAGCACACAAAAATTTGATTTATTGAAAATGAAGGAGAGCAAATTAAGCAATAAAATCACAATTTTAAGCAGGATAATCACACTAGCCAATGTTTCACAATTAGGTCGATAAATTCTTTTTCATAAATTGAACTAAACGTTTCATACTAATGTCACAGGCTTCCTCACTGTAGAGTGGTCCTCCTTTATGAGTGAAGGCATGGCCTGCATTGTACCTGTACAACTCAAAGTTTACACCAGCAGATTCTAGCTTTGTCTTTAAAATATCTACATCTTTAGGAGAAGAAAATCCAACTAACTCATCAAGATCACCAAAATGACACTGAAGAGGAATTTTGATTTTGGTGACATCACACAATGTGTCGCTAGGAATACCATAGAAAGGTGCAGATGCAGAAATCTCTGGCACAAGGGCAGCTGCAGCTAGACTTAACGCTCCACCCATACAAAATCCTGTAACACCCACTTTAAGACAACCTTTTGACAGGAGATATTTTGCAGCTCCTGAAAAAGCATTAAAATTTTGATGAATTTTATGAATCCTTTTGCCATTGTTCTAAAAACCCATCTACAATGTACGTCTATTTTCTTCACCACGCCCCAATCACCAAAATATCTTTTACGGCAATCTGTGTCAATTCCCCACCAATAACTACAATATCTTTAATGGCTACAATATTCTTTAAAGATACCAGTATTACGTACCTGCAATGTCCTTTACCGCGCCAGGCCAATCTAGGTTATTCATTAAATGTCCAGCTTCTTCGTTATCTGTTGCAATTTTTCCTCGATACAGATCTGGTACCAAAGCAATAAAATCTCCACTCTCAGCTATTTCCGTCGCTTCATTTTGTATTTGTTCATTTATACCCCACCATTCCTGCAAAATGACCAATCCTTGCATGCTAGATGACTCCATATTTTTAATAAGGACGGCAGGACAGAGGCCTTTTTCATTTTCAGAAGGAAATTTAACTTTTTCAACAAGCATTGACATTGCTCTTGTTATACTTTGATGTTTAGACAGAAAATATCTTTTTGTATTTGCGGAAAAACTACAAAACATTCTACGTAAATTTTCGTCTCTATTTCCGAGGACAGATAATTTTATAACGTAATGAGATCATGGTCTTTGTCAATTCCGGAAATTTGCAAAGATTTTCCTCAGAGATAATGCATTACATGTACTGACTACTGATGTACACTAAAATAAATAAATGGCTCCTTTTTTAGCAACAAAAAGAATAATCGAAATAAGTCAAAGATTTCTTTCGCAGTATTTTTGACTACATGAATATGTACAGTCTGACAGCAGAATTTATGTTTATCTTACACTGCCTTACTTCTTACCCCCCCTGACAATTGAATAATTATATTAAACTATTCGGAATAAGAAAGCGTTTCCCGGGGGTACACTGATCTCGCACCATTCTGTACCACAACACACACAACCACTTTGACGTTTTATTTAAAATATGGCGTTAACAAGAAATCGTATGTACTGCATATTTTTCGATAAAAATATTGTGAAAAATATACGTGTGCGCTCAGGTACTTATTGCAACAAGAATATTTTAAATAGTTAAGAATTATACTGTGGTTTTAAAGCTAAATAGAGTGCATTTACCAAGGCCAAATTGCTTGTTATTTCATATTGTAATATTGTTTACGTCTGATGTCGCCATAGTTTAGAAGAAACGTTGTGTTTTGTTGGATACAAACGTTTTATATAACATTGTATTTGTTTTTAAAAGCACACTATTGGTTATTATAATTCGTAAAAAAATGACCTTAATAATCCTTGACAAGTGTAGACTGTACTGTCTGTACATTGCTTATAAATAATCTACTTAAAATAATAATTCTTACTGTGATTCTTCTTTAGTTCTGCTATCATCACCAAGCAATGTACATTACACACTTATAAATGGCACAACAGTTAAAGTATCGTCACTAGAGATGTCACTAATTGGACCATCAGTTCGTCGCTTGTTGGACTCCTATGGTCTTGACAGGAATATCATAAAAGCTACTGGTGAGAAAGGACAACTACTTAAAGGTGATGTTTTGAAACATATCCATGAAAATTCCATGACAGAAATAAAATTCAAGGCGAAAACCTCAAAAGGTAGGTGATCAATTATATAGTTTAATTTAACTTACCTTCAACATTTACATCTATTTTATTTTTAGAAACATTGCCAAGTTCAAATATTCTCCAATCAAATATTGGATATGTTGATTTTAGTATATCAACCATGCAACAGGACATTGCTAGAAAACTGACTGAATCAAAGAACAAAGTACCTCACTTGTATAACATGGTTGATTGCAAAATTGACAACTTGTTAAGACTTTGTGAAAAATTTGATGAACCAGTCTCTATTTATGATTTTTTTATCAAAGCAGTAGGTTTAGCATTGCATTGTGTTCCTATGGTAAATGCCATATGGTCAAATAATGGACCAATTAGTCAAAAGGATATTAATGTTGCTATCATGGTCAATTCACCAGTTGGAACTTTAGCTCCAATACTTCAAAAAGTTCATGAATTGGATGTAGTATTTATATCACAGGAGGTTTTAGTAAGTTCAGCAGTTGATACTGAATATTCATGTGAAACACACAAGTTATTATCAGTATCTTTTATTTAGAATTTGAAAGAAAAAGCTATGAATGGATTTGTTGATACCTCAAAATCTTCCTCCTTTGCTGTTTCAACTCTTGAAAATACTGGTGTAAAAAGTTTTACTGGTATCCTAGAACCTGCTCATTCTGCGTTACTAACAGTTGGTGATTGTCAAAAGTTAGTTGGGAAAGATAAACAACTTTCTAACATTGTTCACATTACCTTGTGTACAGATGCTAGAGTTATTGATAATCAGTTAGCTTCAAAATGGTTGACTGTTTTTAAAGAATTTGTAGAAAATCCTTTTGTAATGGCATTGTAAATGCAATATATTAAGTTCCAGTTGGTGCAGTTTTCATAGAGAAACAAAATATGACAACATGTACGTTGACAGTCAAGGTTGTAAATATTTCATGTGTAAACAAAAAGCAGAATATAGAAGCAAACAGTAGTCCTACTCTGCTGAAATTTTTTGTGTTGTGCACATCTAATTACACATATGAGATTATCATATTTTTGCCAGTAAATTGCATTTTCTGACGAAAAGGAGTGCTGAGGTGGCTCTCCTCAGCCAGTAATCTGATAATATACAGCACCAATAAAGTAAATGGTTTGAACCTGGGAGTATCATTACACGTTTGTAAATGTAGATCGTCCATGTTGGTATAGTCCTGAGAAGGACTGTTTTTGTTGTTGTTGACTGTTGTTGTTGACTGATGTTTCGACAACCTTAGCGGTAGTCATCTTCAGAGTCAAATGAGGCATAAATGTCAGGTTAGCCATATTTGTTATCTGGTTCTTACATCATTGTATTGTGTGTACAGGAAATGAGTATTGTCATTGTGAATTAGTGTGAAGTGAAATATTATTATTTTTAGTTTTGATGTGTGATTTAGGTGTGATGTTTTTAGTTGTAATGTGTGGGTGTCCATTGTGTATTGTCATTTTCAATTAGTGTGAAGTGTAATGTTTTTAGTTAATAGTTGATTCGTCTGTGACAATCGTTAATCCGTGCTCGTATATACGGGAATAATAATAATATTTCGCTTCGAATAATATTTCACTTCACACTAATTCCCAATGGCAATACACATTTCCTGTACACACAATACAATGACGTAAGAACCAGAAAACAAATACGGCTAACCTGACGTTTACTCCTCATTTGACTCTGAAGATGACTACAGCTAAGGTTGTCGACACGTCAGTGAACAACAACAAAAACAGTCCTTCTCAGGACTATACCAACATGGACGATCTACATTTACAAACATACAGTACCAAGTTACACAGCGGACTGTGAGACTACATAATGTTGTCTCTACTGTGTAAAAGTAAGCATAGCAAGGAAAGTGCTGCCACCTTGTCAACAATAACTTGTTGTTTATTGAAAATGGTGTCATGAGTCAATTTTACCATTGCACTGCTAGGGGTAAGACTACCTCATGGTATCCAGACGGACCATCGTGAACTGTTGCCCTTCTTATTGTTTTATATGCCAACACTTAACTCTGACATTGTGTAAACGTTAAATTGAATACCTTTAACTTGAATATCTAATATGTTAATTAATTTAAGTCAGTTTGTTGCAGTATTATCAAATGCTGCTTAATTGATCTCGAAACGAAAAGAACGCACTTCTGTAGTCTTTGCAGATCTAGGCTGTTTTTTTCAATTAAGTCAGTGTTGCATATTAGCTATTATATCAACTGTCAAGCTTATTGATCATTTGTATGTTATCTGAGCATAGAAATATGAAATATTATTCCTCTTACCTGCGTGTAACCTGCTGACTGTGCTGGTGACTTCAAGAATTTTCTCGCACTGATGAATGCCTGTCACGTGACGTTCGTGTGACGTGTTTGTAAAAAGACAATTTTGTTGATATTTATAGTCGTGGGGGCAGGCATTTACGTTGTCCAGTAAATTTATCGATATATTTTGCGTATTTTTGTTCTCGTTTCCATTTCCAAGTCTTTTTCACATCTAATGTTTTGCGCCGAAACTTGGAAAGTATGGTTAGTGAGAGAGGTCTGGGACTAGTCGGCTTTCTCTGATCTTGTCGGATGAAGTAGAGTAACTTCTATTTCCATCCGATTTTTCAGACTGTCGGAAGCTCAATCAATGTGTACATACGATTCGTTTTTAGGATCCGACAAAATCGGATTGACTTTATAATGCAGGAATATGTTTATGTAAATGTACGTACTAACCTACAATATTTAAAGTAACTTTCGTAAAGATACATGAAAAATTATGCAGTGCTGAGAAGTCGTTGAAAGCTTGAAGTTGAATAAGTAGGATCACTGATACTAAGCTCTAGCTTTTCAACACTCTCTTTGACATGTAAAATATCCTCTTCTAGATCATGATTGGCTGTTTTTGTAACAATTCTAGAATTAAAAATATTCAGAAGTTTATAAGAGTCACATGATCAAATATTCAATACAAGAGAATTTAACAAATTATCACACTTACTTTAACGACTTCAATTGTGTCATATGGTTGTTAACAAGATGAACAAAGTTATCCAACACATCCTTTGTTAACTTTTCGACAAAAATCCTGAATGTTTAAAACACGATGATTATTAAAAATTTACATAATTTTTCTCATCCATATCTTTGCTATCTTACATACATGACATGTGACAAAGTTGTATTCTCAGAAAACATGTTGATCCAATCTTGAAAACATGTTGTTCCAACACAGGAACATGGCAACGATAAGTCTGTCAATTCATCTGCATTTTCTAATGAAAGTATTAAATTCTTTATCGATTCTTCACTTGCTGGTTGAGCTTCACAAATTTCTTGGAACTTTGTGAGGTACTCAATGTGTTTCATCTAAATGCAAAAATGTGATTAAATAATTTGATGAAAAAAAATTATTAAATCAGTTTATCAATTCAACTGTTTCCTGATAACTAGTTACCTTTGTGTATTCAATGTCAAAACAATTGCCAAGATGTAAATGTTTGATAGCACCTTTATTTTCATGTAAAAGATTAGCAATTGCCTGTAGTCCTTGGTCACTATAATGACAACATGACAAATCGATACTTTCAATGTGAAGCATATCCGATAATCCTTCACAAATTGCAGCAACAGCATCTGGTGAAAGAAACGATTTAAGCTTCACAATTTTGAGAAAATTATTTTTCGTGAGACATTCAGAAGCGATCAGTTTTGCGTTTGAAGACGAGATAATAATTCCATTGAGGTTGAGTTTTTCGACTTTCAATTTTTTGACGAGAAGCACTAAACCTTGAACAGCCCCACCGCTCATTTCAAAAGTTTCTTCCGTCTTTCGAAATAAGTTGATATCTTTACAAATATCGAGTATTTCCGGACTTTTCTCATTCGTCCAAGCTTCAGCCAAACATGCAAGAAAAGTGTCCATTTTCCTACAGTAACAATTTTCAAAAAAGCCAGGGAAATCGCTTAATTCTTTGAGAAACTTAATTTCAGAATTGGCAACTTCTTTCTTTAAGCAAACCAGCCATAAACTTCAGCACGGAATGGTTATGTGAATGATAAGAATTTTCTGCTGTTTCAGAGCCGATCGTTATTCGGGCGATAAAAAAATCAAGAATCAATTGGTCAATGAATTGATAACATCTATTTTCTGGATGGGCGACAATCAACCCAATATTGAAATCAATCTATAATGTTAAGATAATAATGCAATTGACAGTTTGCTCCAAAAATAATTTCCTAACAGTTATTTTATTTAAATTTTACCTGACACAACTTTAGTTTTTCTTCAGTAAATTCTGTTGAAGAAGCATTATTGGCTAGCAAAGTGTCAAAGCTTAATAATACATCAATGTTATCCATATTCCGTCCTGTTTTTCGCATTGACAAATTGATGACCATCTGTATAAACATTTGTAAAAGTATGGTTGCTGTACAAGATTGATTTTTCTCATCCCAAATTTTGCACAATGTAAGCACAACTAAAGGATACCGAGCTAAATTCATTAGGTCAGAGTTACGTTGTACAAATTCCTTCAAAGCTTTACTTGTCTTCTTATTGTCTCCAAAATAGTTCTCAATATAATTTTCAATATTTTGTTCACTCAATCCATATATTTCATATCTTGAATGGAAAGTTTTTGATAGTTCAAACCAATTGTTTTGAATATGAGGTCGACTTGTGACAATGATTGGTAAATTTTTATAAATATGACCATTTAGTAGTTCTTTAAGTTCGCAGCCATCATCTAACTCACACTCATCAATACCATCAATCAATAAAAGAAATTTTTGTGGTTTCCTTTTCATGTAGTCAAAGAAAACTTTCTTTTCATTTTCATCACCAAGTTCCTCCCTTTCAAAAATATCTTGAAGTGTCAAACTGAAATCACGAGTGACAAAGTCTGATAAAAAATACCACTTTAAAATGCTCTAAACAAGGCAAAAGATGTCTTGCCCAATCAAAAGCTAGTTTTTGAGCTAGTGTTGTTTTACCAGTGAAGGGTGCTCCAGTGATTAGTATGCGTTGTTCATGTGTACTTTCAAATATATCATCAACAATTAAACTGTCTTTCGCACCTTTTGGTTTATCATCAATTGCTTTCAGAGTTACATTGACAACAAAATCAGACAAATATGATTGACATTGTTTCAAAGGATTACGATTCATTTTTGCCAAATTCCTTAAGTAATCTTGACGAAAGTTTTGAGAAACTTTTTCAACAATTTTCTCTTCATCTTGATGGTCTTCAAAGAACATAGAAGGATAAAAACATGTATATAAGAAATATTGTTGTTTCTTACAATTAATCGTTAATCACCCTTCTCAAAAAACAACAATCAACCATACATATAAACTAAAGGATCATCCATATTTTGTAAAAACAATATGAACATAAGCTTTAAATATGCTTTGTTTTTACCTGGTAATCCTACCAAAGACTTGTGTACAACATCCAAAGAAACTGCAAGTAAAATTATTAGGAAAAAAAATAATGATAATAAGCATTGTTACTTCATACTTCACAACTGGTAGAGAGTGCGAAGTTGATATTGCAATACAAAGTATACATAATTTTTATTAAGGTTAAAGCGTAAAATGATAGAGTTGCAAACTTACCTGGTGAGTTTGGTACTTGGACAACATTGTTACTACCAATAACAACTACACCATTATTATGATTTATATTTGTAACTTTCGTGTCCGACATCAAACTAACAAAGAAATTATCCAATTGTACAGTGTTATTACTTTTAATGAATTCGAAATAGAAGTCGTAAGAACTCATAACAACATCGCGTCAAATACATTACGACGTTTTTACCAAATACATATTGAATGCCCTCGAAGTAAAATTTCTGTAAATAATACTTATACATAATTTTACCTTGCATTTACATTATGTCTTAATAAAAAGCTAAATCACATTCATGATTTCATTGTATCATTTCGATAACAAGTTATTGTCAATTTCCTGCTTTTAAAAAAAGCTTGTGTATTTAGATTGATAAGTAAAATCATATTATTGATAGTTGAAAATCGACTTACTTGTTAGTAAACGTGCTCTCGCCCCTATAAAATGTATGAATCAAGCGAGGGACCACAGCTAACCTTTGTGAAATTTTTTCTAACTCTGTACTTTTAACTTCGCTGCTATAGGTTTGCCGAGTTGAAATAAGTGATATTTCATTCCTTCTTTCCAAGAACAAGACTCGAAAAATGTGTAAGCATGACAGGATGTACAAGATAACGCACACAACGCCCACACTACACAATATTTACTTTCATAGCAATAGATAATTTCATAAAGCTCGAGGACCGAGGTACGTCGGAAAGTTTGTTTTAATATCGAATCATAGTTCCATTCGGGCGATTGAGAAACAAATGCCTTGGTTAAGAATGACCTCAGCCTGGTTTAAACAATGGTTCGTTCATTGAATGCCTGTTTTAATATGTTTCTCAACACAACTGGAATATCCAGTCCAGAACCATGTAAAGACTGAAACGCTGGCGTTGAAGTGTAAAATCAAAGCCAAGAGAATTTCGACTGTCACCATTACTTAAACTCACTTTAAACATTACAGTGATTAAACTCTGCATAATGCAATCAACATATTTCCGCCATATTTCCCAGTCACGTGATAAAACGTGACAAACCACTTCCTTCTTTTTATCGTGTTTCTGTTAAAAACTAAGTTTATCGTCTACACCCATGATTGTATAATTATGGCGCAAGTATAGCAAGATATTGTTCTGAATCTCACATCAATGGCCAGAGATTACGACCATCTATTTAAACTTTTGATAATCGGCGATAGTGGTAACTTAAAAGTTTCATGGATTTTCTTAAAAACGATCATTTTAAGTTGTGAAATAGCGATGAGAACTTTTTACATTTTTATTTTTGAAATCATTCTGAACGTTTTATGTGGCTGAGTTTGCTAAAGTTCCATTTTATAATATTTTTCGGAAAAAGCGTGTGAAATTTGGAAATACGGTTTTCATGAATTGTTTTGAAACAACATATGTAGTTAACATTTAACTACACTGTTGTTTGTTTGTGATAAATACAAACACAATATTGTGGATTTTTAATTCTAATTTTGTGGCTCAATTGATTATACATTCTTCAGTTACCCAGCTTATTCAACTTTAAATATTTTTTGGATGTTTGACAACTGTAATTAAAACAAGATAAGTAATTTTTTTTCTTCATATTTTAGGGGTTGGGAAAAGTAGTCTGTTACTTCGCTTTGCAGACAATACTTTTACAGGTATTGTATAAGGAATAGAATGTAGCTGGAACTTTAGTAAACAGAAAGAAATAAAATTATTGCATATTTCATAGGGACATACATCACTACCATAGGTGTGGATTTTAAAATACGCACCATTGAGATAAATGGAGAAAAAATAAAACTTCAAATATGGGATACTGCAGGACAGGAGAGATTTAGAACTATAACTTCAACGTAAGCTTAAGTTTTCATTCAACATACTTTGATCTAAAACTTGTAATGAAACATAACATGTGTTATCAACGTCTTATTACAAGATATTATCGTGGTACCCATGGCGTGATTGTTGTTTATGATGTAACAAGTGCAGAAACATTTGTCAATGTAAAAAGATGGTTACATGAAATAGAACAAAATTGTGATGATGTTGCACGAGTATTAGGTATGACAAACATGTTGATTTTGTTTTTCATTTCAAGCTTGTTATGGAAATCATTTTATGTTTAGTTGGCAATAAAAATGATTGTCCCGAGAAGAAAGTGGTTATCACTGAGGATGCCACAAACTTTTCTCAACAGATTGGTATTAAAATGTTTGAAACAAGTGCCAAAGATAATATAAATGTTGAAGCTGTAAGTTTTGATAAAATATGTTTGTTGGTGTAATTTTTAATGAGTAAAATTTGTTGTTTTCTTTTCAGGTATTTACTGAAATAACCAAGGACGTTCTTGCAAAACGTAAACAACAAGCACCAGATCAAAACGATATAATAAAACCATCAAAAAAAGACAAACATAAGAAGAAGAAATCACGGTGCTAAATTTATACAAATTTTATGTTGTTGAGCTAAGAATATTGTTCATATTGTGCAAAAGGATATGTAAATATAAATATATACATATTCATATATCCAGTACAATACTATTACTTCAAGAACATTGAAAATCAATAGATTGAAATTTCCATTGATGATGTAGTCATGTGCACAATATTACCAAATATTATCAAAAAATTATTATATATCCCCTCAACAAATGTTATTGACAAGCATTATTCAAAATAAAAAAAATCAACTATTTTGTAAACTTCAAAACAGTTTCCAGAAATTCTTTGGGTTTGTCTGCATGTACAAAATGTCCTGCCCCAGGTATCATTTTAATATCAACATTTGGAAAGAAATGTTTCAGATCTTTCACGTCAGTATTCCTGAATAGAGTTTCAAATCATTCACTTAGGCTACTGTAACAATCAGTGTTTTAGTTTTTTCTACATGTAAACTGTGGGTTATCTGTTGATTTTCAAGAAAATTACTGCTATTGCAGGTTATATAAAGGCATTAATTATATAGCATGCATATGAGATCTAATATCACAGGGTGAGAGTTCATGCTTATGTTTGAAAACATTTTACGGATTGTTTTGTGAAAATAAATTAGCAAAAACTAACATAGAATGAAATGGATATTCATAATTGTGTCCCAGGTACAAATTCATCGTTTTTCCAAACCTTTACATCAACTTTTTCCAAAATAACATTCTTTTGTTATAACAGATTATATGGCAAAAATATGGAAATCAAACCCTAAGTACTGAAAATTCTTGTTTTAGTGTTACTCCCAGTTAAGCACTAATTGCAGACAAACATTGCACTCAAGATCTGGAAATGCCACAGCACTAAAATGAGCATTTAGTGTAATCCAAACCACCAATTCCTCTTTATTCACTTACCTTAAAATATCAGAGTTTTCTCCACCAACAAACAATGTTTCACCAATGTACGGTTTTCTGCCATTTATGTTAATGCAACCAAGAAGACTGTCATGATTATTGTGGATGGAGTGAATATTTGGATACCATTGGAAATACCCATTTTCATCTTTATATAAATTTGTCAAGACCCATGCTCTTAGAGGAAATGACTGTAAAGATGAAATGTTTGAAAAATGTATACATTCAATCAAAAATTTTTTCAGCAGAAAAAAAATAAAAAGCAAAATATTTATATCTTTTTAAACTTATGAAACATTCAAATACTTACTGGAATGGATTTTTTAAGCATGTCATCTGCCATTTTCTACTTGTTACTTGCATCAAATCTAGTTCCAACATGGTTCTTAACACTAACGGCACCATGCTAATACTTGTAAGATTATTTGATGATCGTTGTGGTGTTATATCTACCACTACCAATTTCTCAACCATACTGGGCATGCTCATTGCCATTTCCATAGCAACCTTTCCACCCATGCTATGACCAATCAGAATACATTTTGGAAGTTTTAGTTTCTTCATTGTCTCTATAACATCGAATACCATCAATGGATAAGTCATATGAATGCTTCTGCGACTTTCACCATGATTACGACAGTCAACGGCAATAACCTGTAGTTTTTCAAGGATATTATTTATTTTAAATAAATGTTTGTAAAATGACAAAGGAAATCTTTAACACCTCTTTCTCACCTGTCTTTTAGAAAGTTCACTGTATGATTTACAAAATGAATGCCAATTTCTCTTCGAGCCAATCATGCCATGTATAACAAGGACGGGTTCAATTATCTTCACCTTAGTATCTTGCACTTCACCATAGCTTTGGTATGCCAGAGAGAAAGATTCGTTTGACAAATTTCTCAACGTTATGAAACGAGTAACTGCAGTTAAGGATGACTGAAAATATTCACCACGTCTACTTCTTTGTAATCTTTGTATAAAACAAAAAGTTTTCAAATTAATATTCCTCATTTACGATTTCTTTTTTGGAGATTTTGACATTTCAACTTTTAAATTTCGACATTTACTCCAGTATCTAAAAGCAGTCAGTGGCAATGGGCAAATGATGAGGGTGACGAGTTACGTCACGTCCTGATTAGTTAAATTTAGCGTGACTGGTAATTGTCTGAAAATAATATTATTATCACGAGATTCGTTATTGACAATAAATGTTCAAACAATCACGCTTGAAGTCCTTATTCATTTGAAATCTTGAACGAAAAATTGTAAGGTATAGATTGAAGCTACAATGTTAGCTTTTAATTAGTGACAAAAAGAAAAGTTGTAAGCTGGAAAGAAATGGCTTTGGATGGTGACCATAACTATAAATTCATTATACTCGGAGATGCTGGTATTTGATGCTGTTTTTCTCCATAAAAACAATTACTGAAATTCTAAAAATTTCTCTTAGTGAAATTATGCTTTGATTTTCTAAAATTTTCTTAAAGCAAATGATCAAATTCTCAAAACTATGAAATTACATCCATTTAGCTGTTGGGAAAAGTAGCTTATTACTACAGTTTACAGAAGCCAGACACCAAGGTTTGGTGAGTCTTTCTTAGAATTTTCATCAAAATATTTAATGATATGAATATTCTGTAGTCAATTATGTTACAACCATTGGAACTGACTTCAAAGTAAAGATATTGAACCTGGATGGTGAAAGTTATAAGTTGCATCTGTGGGATACTGCTGGTCAGGAAAGGTTCAGGACAATTGTCACCACGTAGGTTTTTTTAGTTGCATACAAGCAATCTTTGTTATATATAATTATGTCTCATAAATGTCATATCCAGAACTAGATCAGCAATTAATGGGTGGCAGTGTGTATATTTATCTATTTAATTGTACCTGACTGATTTCTTGTGGAAGCTTCAAAAAGAAATCAGTTGGGCACAACTGATCATATGATTATCCCCTCCCCCCCTATAAACGTTCTAGCTACAGCCCTGATTAATGTACTTTTTTTTGGTAGTTACTATCGAGGAGCCCAAGGAGCTGTGATTGTTTATGATTTGACAAATCCTGAATCTTTCATGAATCTACGTTTGTGGCTAAATGAACTTCACGAGAACTGTTTTGGTGTTTCTGTTGCCATTGGTAAGTTTTACATGTCATTAGTGCTCTTATAATCATTTAATTATTTTTAAATTTTTAGTTGGAAATAAGTGTGATTTAATAGAGGAACAAAGTTTAAAGAAGAATGGAGAGGAATTTGCCAGAGAGCATGGTTTGTCTTTCTATGAAGCTAGTGCTAAAGAGAACATCAATATTAGTGAGGTAAAAGATGGCTATAATTGAATCAAAATAATAATTTTATTTGAGATATTATTGAACTATTTTGGTTCTTGTTCAAGTTTCTAATTGTTGTGTCAATATTCATCAAGGTATTTGAAGATTTAGTGAGAAAAGTGCGCAAAGCTGAAATTGATGCAAGGTCTACAGATATTAGTGATTTTAATAATCTACCACCACTACCTTCTGATACTGGAAACAAAAATCAACCAAAAAGTTGTTGCTGATATATTTTGTCATCCATTTTATCTTAAATATCGAGGAAAATTTAGTTGCTCAATAAAATCAATGCATGGAATTAACATTTTTAATTAAAATGCCTTTAGTAAACCTTTCTCAAGTCTATTGGAGAAATATTTGACCACTAGACCTTCATAACTACTATATAACATTGTAATAAATATGTTACATGGAAAGAAATAAGAATCTATGATTGTTGCATGATTTTGTTGACATATTTTAAAATATTATTTTGACATTTGTAAATCTTTAACCAGCTGCAAACTATAAGACTTTTCAAGTTTACGACTAAGATTTAAATTGATCATGAAAAAAAGAGAAATTTTGTAAAACATGCAAAAACATATTATAGTCACCACAACAAAAGCTTCAATATGTAATGTTGTTGAGGTGCTATACAATCTTATAAAACAAAGAATTACTTAAAATTGACTATATCTTTATGACAGTCTGTTGAATTCCCATAAATTTTTTTGTTGTGTTAACCACAATCAAAGGTCAATATTTAAAACTTACTATGGCCTTAGATATCAAAATACAAAGTCTAATAATTTGCAAATAAGCTGGCTATTAAGTTGGGGTAGCAAAATGATTAAATTTTATCTATTTAACACAATAAATTCTAAGTTAAAATTCAAGTTTTGCATTATGCAGTTCATTTCTAATTTCTTTTGACTCAACATCCTCTGTCATTCCATTAGATGTTAAAATATTGTTTATTTCATCTCTGCTCATTTCTGAAATTTCTACTCTCTACAGAGTATGAGAAATCATAAGTGTTAAGCTAAAGAGCTATGAAAAAATGCATCACAACAATGACAACTATTTACAAGAAAGGAAGACAATATTTTTTACCTTTACTTCCACACCATCTTCAAAAAATAAAATTCTAGGATCAACTCCTCCAATGTACTTCACTTCAAGATCTGAACTACACAAGGTTAAGGATATTTGTACAACAAAGAAACTTTAAGAAAGCTGAGTAAATTTGTCTGTTTTACTATAGCCTTTTAGGATACTAGTTGACAGCATCAACGTTTAAAAATGTCTTCACCTTAAAAAATAAATAGAAGTTTTAATACAATACAACAAATGGACGAAATAATTTCTTGAAATACCAGGTTTTTGTATTAAAGCTTACCTGAGGAAGGCTATTCAATCGTCACCCTCCACAAGTCTACGGAAGAAATATTGCAATCATAAAGTATTCTAATTATAATAATTGTAATCGTTTTGTGGCAAAAAAAAGACATAGTGACGTATTGCAGTGTTTCGCAACATAATAATATAATTATTAGCACAAGGAGAACTAAGAGCTTTTCTTTCTTTTGTTTGAGGCACCTGGCGTGTATTGATCATTTGACAAACATAATAAAGGTACACAACGTTACAATGCACACCTCAAGACGTGCAGTGACTTTCTTGTCATTTTCGGAGCCTGAAATTAAAAGTAAATTATACGTCAACAACGTGGCAGTCAGAAACCAAAACCAAACATTTCTCGCCATTTTCCTTTTTCTGTCGATTTATGACGTATGAGGTTCCAGAGTAAAATAGATACGCATTGCGTCATATAGCAGATATATGGGATAAAGAAGGTCAACAAGAATCATTCAATGTTATTAGTAAGAGATTGAGGTCCGTTTCAAACGTCGCATTTTACATGCACCGAATGCATTACAAAAAAAGAGAATGAGATAAAATTCCTCATTATCTTTTGTTTTAAATGCATTCGGCTCATTTAAAATGCGACGTTTGAAACAGGCCTGACTGAAGTCAACAACTTTCTATTGTGCCCACATGACGAAAGAAACAAAAAATAAGGCATTCGCAAACAGAAAGACAAAACTATTCATATCTTTTGTACTCTAAGTATTTTAACCACCTATTGATTGATGCAGATTGGTAGCTCCACTGGTTTCTTGTCATGTCTATCTGTCTATCTTGTTTTTGGTGGGCATGCTAAGTTGAGTAACAAATCTAGCTGACGTTTATGATTAATTACCAAACAAATTCTTCTATAATTTTTTACAACTGTAAAACATGCCAAAGTTTCTTACACTCATTAACACGTCAAGAAAATTCGACTTTAGCAATGCAAGTATTTTACAGTAAGGACAAGAGTTGCTTAAGAGTTGAGAGTCAAATAAACCATTGTTATTCGAATCATATCCTTTGAATAACTTACACTACAATTGTGTTGGCAATAAACCCGGATTTAACTGTCGAAAGAGCAATTTATCTCTCATTTAGCTGGATTTGATTTACTGACAATAATTTTACACAAATAATTTGTATAAAAAACTTAATTAAAGATGCATTTTTCACAAAATCTTCTTATCTAATACCTGTAAAGGGGCGCAGAATGCTAGAGGGAGCAAAGCAAAGTTGATATGTAAGCAAGGTCATCTCACCGGAAGATGTGATATCAATAGCGTTCAAATTACATATAATAAGATTTTTTGCAAATGGTTTCTCTAAAATTATAGATAAATGTTTAGCTTTTTGAGACAAATGTTTAAATCATTGGAGGTTTTAGCGGTGATATCAACATTGATTAGATTGTCATTATCCACATGTGGTAAGTTTTTTCTTTACGACAGCAGTCGCGCACATCACTGTTCAGTATTCACTATGAATTTATTCGAACGACTTTTTTGTTAAATTTCTTGGGTATATTTTCAATTTTAAAGGAAATTTTAAAATAATAGACAAAAAGGATTTTAAAATACAATATATATAAAGTGTAATTCTTCCAAAACTGTTGTGCTATCATCGTGATGAACATTATTTAATTTACTCACAGGCGATCTTCCACATGGAAATCTTACTGCAGCAGTTGTACAAGTTTCTACTTGGTTGAGAGAAAATTATCGTGATGACGTCACAAATTTAGAGCCCCACGTGGCAAGTTCGATGATAGTCGCATTACGATTGGCTGGTTATCAACCACGAACAATCCTTGCTGATTTTCGAACCAGTAACAACGAATCTATCATTCAGTTTCTCAAGGCAACATTAGACAAGATGACTGATATGAAACTGGGTCACTTGGCCGCTATACATCAAGCTATTGCATCATTATGTTACAATACGCTAGACTTTTATGGCCATAACGTTACAAATGCATTTTTACAGAATCTACCAATATTAAATGACGTACACGATGTAAGTTGCTATGAACAAAACTTCGTTTTCTTGGTTCTATGTCAGACTACAAGAACCACAAGAATTCAATCAAGTTTACTGAGTGTACTGTATGACAATATACGAGTTTGCACGATGAAGGCTGTAAAATGTTCTAAATCACCAGATACTATAGCAATGGGTCTTATGGCACTATCTTGCTTCTACAACAATATTCACAACGGAGTTTACGGCAAAATCTTGAACAGATAATCGAACTATATTACAAAAATATTCTTGGTAATCTGAAAAAGAAAAATGAAGTTTTGTGGAATGTTCAATCTAAGGCTCTCGTTCTTCAGGTATCGTGTCCTTTTTACTTATTTCTTTATAAAAACAACAATAAATAATGGAATAATATACTTTTGTATTTAACAGTCTCTTGTAGTTGTACCCAATCATCTTAAAAAGAAAGATTGCGGGTATCATAAAAAATATTATCTGGTATTTTGGAGCATTACGATCCTTTGAAAGTTTTTGGTAATGTTGTCAGCAATATTCAAATTCTCCCGGCTTTAATGGGCAGGTCTATAGTTCACTCAGATCAAGAATGTTATAAAAGAAGTAAGAAGAACTTTATCTTTGTTTCTGTTAAAAAATTCTCAGCAGATCACACTATTTTTCTATTTTGATGGCATGCATTATGAAAAGCATTTCCACCTGATTAAAGGTTGTATAATTATAGATTTGAAGTACAAGAAGCCAATATTGAAGGTAGAAAACAAATGTTAAAAGATGGTTGAAAAAACAGCATGATAAGTATTTATCTGCTTATTTTCAACAGAATATTTGCGTGAAAATTGTTGATGTGAAGACGTCATTGATAAAACAAAGCAGGTGGTTTAAAGTGTACGAAAATACAACAGCTTATGAAACATTGAAGTTAGCTTCACAAAGACATCGAGACAGAACGTTTGATTTTGAAGAATTACACTCATCTTATGGTAAAATGATTACCTCAATTTCAGGAGTGAAACAGAATCCAGAATCCAATTATTACTGGGCTTTGTATGAGAGCGATAATAAAAGTCAAATGACGGAGTAGATGTTCTAATACCCAAGAATAATACATGTGTGATTTTTAAATATGAACAATATTCATGCAAAACAGAAAATGTTCTTGAGTTAAATCAATCACTAAACGATAATTCAGATGAAATATTTTGATTTAAGGTGTCATAGCACCATGACTACATGGAATCATTCATATTTTTAATATAAATAAATAAATTTCATTAATATGATATTATCATTTTCAATTGAAACAATAAAAGTTGTTTTTATATTGCAAAATACTTTCTCAATTCTACTCACAACTCAGAGACTACAGCGAACTAAATATTATACTCGTCCCAGTCTTTTCTCAAACCTGTGAATCACGGTCAACATCACTGAGATGTTTTACTGAGATGTTTTTGTCCCAGTCTTTTCTCAAACCTGTGAATCACGTTTGACATGAAGAGGTTTCATTTTTCGTTGTTAGTGTGAAGTTAATCAAAGGCAATCTTACGACGACGATAAGACTGAAATAAAATAGCGGGATATTAAACTCTGACATAACGCACAGAAATAATGATGAAAGATGAAAGTATTTCACGATAAAGTGGAAGCTCAATATCTCACCTTCTGCCCCATGCCTCTTTCGGTTATCCTTTCAGCCTCATGACGAAGCATTTGTTGATAAGAATCCTCTTGTTGTCTGAAAATATTTTACACAAGTTACAAATGTGTTAGAGATTTTTGTAAAATTTGGTGATTGATAAAAATTAGGAAAGTAGGGATCCAAGGATAGTAAAAGATTTAAAAAACACTGTCTTTTGACATTTCTTTCGTTTCTCTATTAACTCCTATTTAATTGTAATTCGTGTATCAAGAGACGAACATCCATTGACTTCAATACAGAAAAAAACGATTTTAATAAAACCTAACACAAGCTATACTCAAAATAACCAGTTGTTGTCCAGTTGTCCATGATTCACATGTAAGCAATTTTCTTTCTGTCCATATTTTATTGTATAGGGTTAGGGTTCGGACTACCTACTTTGCTTTTACGCATGTTGGGGATTTTAATTATTAACCACAAATAAACTATAGTCCGGTGATTGACATTAAATTTACCTCTGAGTTTCAAATCTCTCTTTGTCTTTTAAATTTTGTTGCATCTGTATTTGTTGTCTTTCTTTAATCTAGAAACGTGCAAAACACCAGTTTCACTATGAGATACAAATGCTCTTCATAATAAAATATATTTCACATAGTTTTCTTGAAAATTACTTTACCTGTGTCTGAAGTTCTCTTTCTCTAAATCTCTTTCTTTCTTCTGCATGTTTTTTTTCGCGTTGAGTCATTCTGTTTACAGCTTCCATTTCATTTAATAATGCTTCCTGACTCTCTAGAGATTCCTCGTGTTGTTTTCGTATACGATTTAATTTCTCTTCAATTTGTTTTTTACGTTCATCTAAAACCTGAAAAATATTTGTTATAAATGAACTTGTATGTCTGTTTGCAGATATAAGAAAATTGATCATAAAACCTCAGTCATTAATCTTTCTCGAGCTAATCTCTCACGTTCCCATTCAGCATCACGTTTTTGCCACATCCTTGCTGCCTCGTCACTGAAAACAACACAACAATATTGAACTGTTTTATGAGCTTTGTTGCCACATCACTTTAAGATAGTCGAGCTCATTTATTAATTGATTTTTCGTTCTTCTCCCTATTCTAATATGCAAAATTTACCAACATATCATTGCAAGAAAAAAAATGCAAAACATCTTGAATTGTGACTAGGGATATACCGGGCGGGATGCGAATTCTTAATATAAATATTAAAGCCCAGCAAAGTGCTTTTAAAAGAGCCATTCAATACAATTTTGTATATTTAATATTTATATTAAGAAAACATCTTGAATTTTGCTTGACCACGTGACAAACCTTTGTATGAAAAAAATTTACCGCACGGAGCTTATTCAATCAACTTCACATCCATGGGCGTAGGAAGATTGATAACTGTAGGAAGGGGGCTCATATTCAAATATTCATAATATACAGAGTTAAGTTCTTTTGAAATTCATTGTCTTCAAAGGATTATGGCTTAAATATATGAATATGAGACCGTACAATTATCAATTTTCCTACGCCCTTGTTCACAGTCATGCCAAATTTATAGAATTAAAAAAAACTAACCGATACATTGAGTCTAATTCAGCCTCCCTTGCTTTTTCAACTCGTAACTGATCTTCTATAACCTGAAGAAAACGTTCGTCATTCAAGCTAAGAGTAGATATTTTTTAAAGTTAAAGCTAAACCGTTTTAGCGATCAAATCAATTTATGGAGAAGGAAAAAATTGATTTTATCATTTTACTTGTTGCATATAACGAGCATCTGCTCTTGCTTTTTCCCGTCTTGACGTTTTTATTTCTTCATCTTTACTTTCCTGTAAAAACATTTATTCAATAAGTACAAAAAACAAGCCTTTCCGTCTTGACGTTTTTATTTCTTCATCTTTACTTTCCTGTAAAAACATTTATTCAATAAGTACAAAAAACAAGCCTTTCTGTCAAGCCCAAACATCTCACCTTTTCTGCCATGTTGCGCAATATTTCAAGATCAATTTCAAGCGCTTTCTGGACTTCAAGACTTTTTCGTTTCATCTGAGCTTTATGTTGCTGGATCAATACAAAACTAAAACATGGTTGACGATAGGTCACGTGAGTACAAGATATGTGATAAGTCACGTGACTGCAAGATATACAATGAGTGACGTAATAAAACGTTCAACCACGAGATAGTTATAATGTATGTTGACCATAGTTTGAGAAGAAACACATATTGATGGATAATGAAACTTTATGTTTTACAAACCCATGAGATTTTTTCTTTCTTTCATCGTCAATTGCCTTTCTTTGATCTTCCTAAATGATAAATTATTCATGTTATAAAACATTTTCATGGTTTAAAACCAACATAGTTTGCTACCATACTGCGGCATTTTTTTATCAGCAAAACTTACTGCTTTATCTATAATCCTCTGTTCAATTTCCAGTCTTTCTTCTTCTTGTTTTAACATTGCAGCCTAAACAGATGGTTCAATAAAAAAAATTAACAATTTTATTTTACACAATAACAACTAAAATCAATTTCTTCTACAATAAAACCTCTTCTTCTCTTATTCTTAATTCATTTATTTGCATCTGAAGTTGTTTCGCAGTTTCTTTTTCCTTCCTTTATTGTGATAAAAATATTTAATCATTAACAAAACACCCTTCTGAATGAAGAAAGCATACATTTTCATACAAACATTTTCTTGGCATGCTGAAGTTCTTTATCCCGATGAATCAAGAGAAGACGTTGTTTTTCCATCTCCGATTCCATTCTAAAATATATTCATCCAGTTCACAGATGCAGATTGTTCAACAAGCCATGTATAAAAGATCTTCTTACTAACCTTTCCTGCTGTTCTTTGTCAAAATTATCTCTCTAAAAATATTGTAGAAAAAAATATTTACAAGATATACATATTTTATGAATGATATAATAAAGAAAAGGAAATCAAACCATTATTTTGTCATCATTTTGATCTTTCCAAGAATCAACAACATGTTTTTTAAATTTTTCTGACTCAATCTATAGCAAAGATTTTAAAAAACATAGAAATACATCTCTTGACTAAGTAGAAAATATTATTAGGTATAATTTACCTCACGAAGTTCAGGAGCATTAATTTTCCAATGTTCATACAACTTATCTTTAGCAGTCTAAACAATACAAGACAAATGAGAGGATTTTGTACAACAGACAGTAAATTTAAGGAAACAAAAAAATTTCTGGTGAAATGAAGAATATCGATAAAATATGTGTATGTAAGGACCACTAAGATTGATAATTGGGACAGATGACTGGGAGCAGGCTCAAATTCATACATTCATATGTTAGAATGTACAAGCACAAAGTTACATCAATAAAAAAAATTTACTCCCCAATGATCCCTTGCATGTTTTATATCTCCCCAAACTTTCTTTAGATAGATGATAGAGCTAAAATATTTGTCAAATATCATCACCTTTTTCCTTCTCTCTTCCCTTGCAGTCTTTAAAGTTTCAGCTCTGCAATATGAAACAAGAGACAAGAACAGATCTATGGATGAAAAACAATCAAACTGACGATAATAAATCCAATAATATTTTACCTTGTTTTCATTTCTTGACCTCTTTGAGAAAATCGCAGCTGCTGTAATTCTATCTGAAACATATAATATAACATATATGATAAGTTTTCAAAAGCATATTTCAGTTATGTTATATTTTGATTCTGTAATACCTATATATACCTCATATTCTTTTTGTTCCTTCAACAAAAGTTCACTAAGTTTCTTCCTGCGTTCTGCTGTAAGAGACGTCTTCCTATCCTTTTGATATAAAGCATCAAGAGCATCCATACTAAGAAAATACGGCGTAAGCGGTAATTTTAAAACAAAACATGAATTTTCACTGCACTGACACAAGTTAAAACATACCTTTGTCGAAAACATTGATCTGACTGCCAAGCTCGTTTTTTGGTAGCCTCAACGTTTGAATGGATAAAATATTTTCTGTTTTTGTCCCAAGTATTTCTAAAATCAAACTCGTGTTGTGCTCGCTGTACATGAAAATGTTCAGGGGCATTTTTATAGCGTTTCATCCAGAACGGTTGAAGTGTAGGTAGCGCCATTTTCATCTTTTTCAAACACTAGAACTCATTCTTTACCGGACAAAACTCCATGGCGACGACGCCGAGATCGTTGAAGGGGGAAAGAAAGGGGGAAACATGATATGTTACCCCTCACACCGACATAGCTCATTGAGGTTTCAAATACAAACTGTAAGCTTGTGTAATATCTAAAATTGGGTATTTTAGAGAAATTTATGGAGACAACAACATTACAACAAGCAATAATATATATTATTTATACGCTAAAATTAAAATAATAAAAATCTTCCATCGCAATGAAATACTTTTTGACACAACCATTAACGTTGTTTAGTATTAGCTATCGTCATCACTTAACGGTTCATATTGTGGTGTTTGCATTGAAATATCAGTGGAATCCGCAGGTTGAAACATGTTTGGTATAGGATCAGTTGACAGACAGGAACTAAAACCCAGTGGATTTGGTGACGAATTATTACTGTTTGATGCAGAACGAATATTTAAGGAGGAAAACGGAAATACGGAAAGCAAGCCTGTGGTTTGAATAGGTGCTTCTCTGCGTTGTGTTGTCAGTTCAAAATCTTCACTAGATGTTATCGTGAACGTTGTAAACTCTCTAAAAGAAGATGATATTTCACTTCCATTAGCCGGTGGAGATATAGGTATGGTGTCTAAAGGCGGATAAAACAATCCTGATGATGATATTACATGCTCTGACGCGTTGTTAGGAACAGAGATATCGTCAACTGAGCTAACTTTGTTAGGAATCTCAGCAATCTCTCCTTCTTCGAGTTCCTCGTCACTTGATATGGCCTCAACGGTGATATCATATGAAGTACTTGAGATTACACCTAATGTAGATCCAACAGTGTCCTCAGGTATTGACAGACAACCTGTGTTACCCACAATATTGTTAAAAGTATTTTCGTTTCTTCCAAAATAACCAATGTTATCTCCTATTGAACTTGCAGTATCATTTGAATTTGTTTCAACGTATTCAGGAGTACCAAGATTTGAATGAACTTCATCAGTAAAACTAACAGGAGATACAGTAGATGAATCTACCATGTTGTCTTTGTTGTTCTGAGAAAATTCTTTTGAACTTCCTTCGGTTACATATTCAAAGGTATGTGCTTCATTTCTATTTCCATTTTCAATAGAATCCGTATCATCGTTGACAGTTCGGGTTTCGTCGAGTGTCGTCGTTTGTATTTCTGAATCACTGGTTATCTCTTCAAATGGTACATTTTTATTAGATAGTGGTTCTGCAAGAAAACTACCACAAGATACCACTTCATTTTCGTTCTCTGTTCTATTCAATTTATCATTAACAACCTGAGAATTGTTATCATCTTGTACACTCTCACTAAAATTATTCCAAGAATCAGATTCGTCAACATTTTCTGGGTGTTCAGCAGAAGATGTAATATGAGAGGATTTGAAGTGATTTGTAGAAATTTTCTCATCAGAACTGCTAGACGCAACACTATTCGGTATTCTGGAATTTGTGCTTTGATTGCCACCCTCAGCTGTATCACATGTTAAATCGAGAGATGACGTCTCGCTGGTACTTGATGTAATATCCGCGTTCCTGATAGTGTGTGTTTCCCTCGACATCGAACTTGCATCTTCATGTGATTGTGACAGTTGATTAATTGATACTATAGTTGATGTAATATCTCTTGTTAGCTTTTCCTTGATTTCATTTTTAGCCAAATAACTTGTCGATACATCGTCTGTTTGCTCTTCAGTCAACTCATTTGATGTCATGTGATCAACACTAGGAGATTGATTGGACACTGGTGACATGTGATCATCATCATTAGATTCATAGGACACAAATGTCATGTGATCATCATTATGAGACTGGTTGGACACTATTGTCATGTGATCATCACTATGAGATTGACTGGACAATGATGTCATGTGATCATCACTTTGAGACTGATTAATCTCTTCGATAATCTCTATTTTATAATCTGTTACTATTTTGTCTTGGTGATGATTATCCACTTTACCGTCTCTAAATCGTTCCTCATATTTTTCTTTCTCCTGTTTTCCTTCATCTTCACTCGACAATAAGTTTACAGATACGAGATCTTTCTTAGCAATTGTTTTTTCAAATTCATTGACTCCACTACTGTTGCTGCTCGTCACATATTCATTTGTACAGTCATCTCCATCATGAAATGTTTCCATTTTAGTTTTCACTTTTAAAATGACAAAGATCAGTGGATTCATGACATACTTTCGTCATTTCAATAATCTCGTGTTGGATATTCTCATCAAAATTACCAGAATCAGACGAGCTTGTGATATCTTTATTAATAGTTTCCTTAGCAATAGTTGCATTATCAATTTCTTCGACCACAGAAGAACCCAATAAATCGACGCTTTCTTCACTACTGTCTATCATATTTATGCTACCATCAGTAAAATTTTCCGATTTAGTAACACTGTCAAAGGTCTTGATCACAAGTGGACAATTTGTGTTATGTTTATCATTAATGATGTTCTCGGTAATCTGATTATTATGCTCGATGTTATTTAGCTGCGCAGTAGTAACACCATCTTTAGCATCCATCCTTATTCCTTTATTTATAGACGTTTCATTTTTATCTGCAGAAACAACTACCATTTCTTTATCACTATCTTCGTTAGACCAGTTCATCACCTGAGCATAATTAGAGCTGCCCACTTCGTCACTTTGTGTTTCTTCTTCTTCTTCAACAATCTGATGAATCAATTTAATTTTTGAATCATCGTTATCATCTTCAGTCGTCAAATCGTCATCTCCCTCATGACCACTAATCGTTTCATCCTGAACTTCTATCATTGAACTCTCATTAAAACTGCATGCTCTATTCCCCGTAATACCACTTTCCACATTCAACTTTCTACGGTGAGTTGGCGTTTCTTGTAACTTCTTCCCATCCCGGGTGCATTGGTCCACATCGGAAATATCAGATACAGTACTGTCGACTACATCTGATGAAGAATTTAACGATTTATCACTGAGCGCCATTGTAAGAGACGGTTCTGAATTCTCAATGTAAGTACTATCTGTTGGTAAGAATGTTCCATCTTGCTGTGACAATTCATCACTTATATTACCTTCAGATACTGGTGATCTACCAACAGGTAAATTATGAGAAATAGAGTCCTTGAATTCATCTCTTCTTTGGTTGACATAATTTTGCAATGAATTGTCGGTTGCATTAACATTTAACGATACTTCATTGTATAGCTGCTGCGGTTTTGAAGAAATAATATCATTGGTCTTTATTTTTATATTGGTAAACCTTGCGGAGGGAATCTTGTGAACTTCACTTTCGACAGTTACATGATCTAACCCTGACTTACGAACATATGTATAATCTACATTATGCTGGCCAGTCACAGCACTCTCATTTGACTTAAAATGTTCATTAATATTCGTTGAAGTATACAAAGGATTTGCACATCTTTTTATGTCTACAGGGGAAACCAATCCAGAGTTTTGTGATTCAACCTTTTCTGGCAAAACTTTTGTTAAATAATCGTCTGACTTGTTTTCTGACAGTGGACAAGAGTCTTTACTTGTTGTTCGAGCTTCATTTGTAATGGCAGCTATTTTTTTTAAATCTGAACTTTGTGATTGCTCAGAATTATTCCGACAAGGCCCGAAGGTACTTGAGTGAAGACTTTTATCTTCAAGAAATGCTCGTGGATTAAATCTTCCCATGTTCGCAGGAAAGCGATGAACGGGATCAGGAAGAGTTGTTGTCATGTGAAGTTTAGTAGCTTCGTCATGGTAGGGAAAGCAACGAGGATCCTCTTTAACGGTATGGTCCAGTAGCGCTCTTGTTTCTACTCCTGACACTATCGTACGGGGAGGGGATTTCGAATGTCGATGAAAAATTTGAGGAAATGATGAAGAAGTGGATTTGGATGACGACGATGAAGAAAGGTGAGAATGCAAGAAATAAGGGGGTCTCATTCTGTCATGAACATGACTTAATGAAACAATATCTGCTGACTGTTGTCTTTGAATTGGTTGTTGAAGAATACCAGACGTATGACATTCTTTGCTAGGTTGTAGTAAGTCGATGTGATAGGTTTGTTGCAGTGGTGCTTTGTTAGTAAAAACCTGTTGATGACCAGAATGACGTATATCTCCACCTGGAAGATGAGAATAAGAAGAATTAGATGATCTTTTCAAGATTGTCTGTGATGGTACTAGGACACCTGTAGTATCATTTAACAGTAATGGTGGACATATAGTCTTTAATGAAGAAGGTAACAAAGAATGAACTTTTGCATTGTCTTCCGCCCAAGGACGAAATAAAGTCTTTGTAGTATGCGGTTGTTCAAACTCTAAACCAGAAATAGTTTCTTCGTGTTTTCGTCCACCTTCAACATACGGTACCTCTTGAGAATATAATTGATGTCTGCATGGTTCTGTAGTTCTACATCCACAGGTTAAAATACTTTTTTGGATTGTAGATTTTTCTGTAGATGTCGTAAAGGGAGTAAATGTGAAGTTGGGAAATGGGGTATCTCGTACATAACGGGGCGGTTTAGATGAATCTATACTACAGTGGGATATAGATGGCGTTAGAGTTTGAGAGACAGAAGGAATTCTAACAGTGGATATTTGTCGATGTGCAACTCTTTCTTCAGAGACACTTTTTTGCTCAGAAATTTCCATTTCCACACTCGCCATCAACTTATTAGATCTCTGTTGTTCCGTGGTTTCTAAATATTTTGCTGTAGATGTATCCTTAAAAGATGGTGTGCCCGTGATAGAGAGCAAAGGTGGAGGTTGAGGTAAAGCGCGACCTGAAGATATTCCATGAACACGAGAATTTGAATTCGTAGCAGACGAGCTTACATGAAGTACAGTCGTATTGGTTACCACACATGATTGCCTAGTGAAATGGGAATAAGAATTTGTCGTCTCTTTATCTTTCACCAAAGCAGGCGTTGCTTCATATGTTGTAATGTCGTTTTTACATTGAAATAAATCCCGACCACTTGGTGTGTGGTTTATGGGTTTTGCTTTAGCTGCTGCATTCACTAACGCTGTCAGCGGTCCAAATGATGTTATTTGATTTGAATTTGATTCATCTTGCGCCGATAAAGCAACCATTGAACGAACATCAGTTAAAGATGACGAACGTTTTTGAGGAGCAACTTTGGAACTTTCCATGTGTATGTGATCTGGTGTCATTACTCTTGGTTTAGATGTAGATGTTTCAACAGAACGCGATCTTGATGACGATGCACTTGAAGAAATTACATCGTTTCCACTTTCTCTTACTTTTGCCAAATGTTCAATGGGCAACATATATGGTGGAGGTGGCTTAGACAAAATTCTTCGATGTTCCAAGGGTGACAAAATTATCCCCCCAGGGTTAGAACGCGTCACTTCATGTCGCAGTGGAAGTGAAAAAATATTTGGATCCATCCCCGAAAAGAAATGTTCACGAAACACTGGATGAAACATGGGATCAAAATTTGGGCCATGGGGAATGGGTACTGCATACATTTCAGGATGGAGATAATGATGGCGGGGTGGAGCAATGTGGGGCAGAAAAGAATGTACAGGGATACCATGAGGATGAAATGGAGGATGTGGTAGTCGTTGCGATCGCACCTACAGAAAGATAAAATCTCAAGTTTCAAACAAGATGAGAAAAATACCGCGTAAAGTAAAAGTTTGATGTCACCTGTTGTCTACTGGTTGTATCTGGAGGTATACACGGTGAAAAACGACTAAATATTCCAATAGCTTCACTTTGTTCAAACTTTGGCAATTGAGGATCAGGAAAACGAATCTTTGTCGGTTTATCCTTTTCACTGTTTTCATTACGCTCTTCCGACACAATCTGACAATCATCTGTATTAAAATAAACAAAATAAAATCCTTAAAATATATTCATAAAACATGAAAGTCACAAATATTCTCAAACAAAAACAAACCGTCATCATCAATAGTCGTCGTTACATTTCGAGCCAGGTTTAGCAGAAGTTTTGAATGTCCCCCAGATATAGGTGTATCTAATGTGAGGGGTCTATAAGGTATACTAGGATACATTAAAGTAGTAGCAGTAGATGTAAGGACATTGGTAAATGTGCTAGGTGAGTCAAGAGACATATGACGTTCTTCAAATGGTTGTTTTCTGTCTTTCACTTTAACGGCCAAAGATGGATATCCTAAAATAAACAAAGAAAAATATTAAGAAATGAGCAATATTTAAAATGCAAAAGACTAAAGAAGCGATTTAAAGATCTTTGCCCTCGATTTATCATTAGAAATCATCATCTTAGAATGAATATTATTGCCCATTAAAGAATGCGTAAAAAGGCAATAAAACATAAAATATATTCAAACAAAATCAACTTTGGTAAACATATCGTCTTTAGACATCTTCAGAGTAAATGAAGACCATGCAGGAAATTGGGAATACATATATGTAAAAATGGTATAGATTTATTATAGAAACACAGAAAAGGTACCTGTTTCAGTGATCATTGATGTCGATTGTTGAACTGTGGAAATTTTGCTAATATTATTAGATCCAATACAATCCACGGCTTTTTCTTTACATTCAGGATTTTCCAAAACATCTACTACGATGATACCTGCATCATCCGAGTCTGCAGTACTCAATGTTGAAGTGCCATGAGCTTCATGTAATTTTATCGTATCTTGTAGCGAAGACTTGACATCAAATGGTTTGTTGTTATTGCTGCTACGCTGACTGCGAAGAGTTCTTTCCGAAGGATTGAAATCCATGCGACGCTCAGTGGTATCAGATGGACCTTCTCTCAAATTTTGCTTGATCCGTGCGACATTAGAACTGTCTACGGTAATTTCGCAATCGTCATCAGACGGTTCTGATGCAGACATGGTTTCTTCTGATTCTTGTCGCTGAACGATCTAAATAATTTATGATTTCAATACATACAAACATACACGAACGGGGCAAGAATACACGAACATAGATACTTCAATGATTTTCACACTAAAATCAAATATAGGTGTAAACGTTGTTTTGTACGTACCTTAGCTGCATTATGTTCAGCAATAATGTTTTCTAAGTCTAGCTTTCTTTTATAGTTGAAATAAAAATTTTTACACTGAGCTTCTGTCTTTGTTTTTACCATCTGTGATATTGCCAACCAGTTGCGACCATGAAGACGAAGACCTGTGGTTAAACATGTATTCCTGTCATGCAAGCACTTCCCTCCACATCAACAGAAAGCTATGTACTAAGTATTCTTCCCTCCACATCAAAAGAAAGCTATGGACTAAGTATTCTTCCTTCCACATCAACAGAAAGCTATGTACTAAGTATTCTTCCCTCCACATCAACAGAAAGCTATGTACTAAGTATTCTTCCCTCCACATCAAAAGAAAGCTATGGACTAAGTATTCTTCCTTCCACATCAACAGAAAGCTATGTACTAAGTATTCTTCCCTCCACATCAACAGAAAGCTATGTACTAAGTATTCTTCCCTCCACATCAAAAGAAAGCTATGGACTAAGTATTCTTCCCTCCACATCAACAGAAAGCTATGTACTAAGTATTCTTCCCTCCACATCAACAGAAAGCTATGTACTAAGTATTCTTCCCTCCACATCAACAGAAAGCTATGGACTAAGTATTCTTCCCTCCACATCAAAAGGAAGCTATGTACTAAGTATTCTTCCCTCCACATCAAAAGAAAGCTATGTACTAAGTATTCTTCCCTCCACATCAAAAGAAAGCTATGTACTAAGTATTCTTCCCTCCACATCAAAAGAAAGCTATGTACTAAGTATTCTTCCCTCCACATCAAAAGAAAGCTATGTACTGAGTATTGTTTCCTCCCCATCAACAGAAAGCTATGTACTAAGTATTCTTTCCTCCACATCAACAGAAAGCTATGTACTAAGTATTCTTCTCTTCAGAAAGCTATGTACTAAGTATTCTTCCCTCCACATCAACAGAAAGCTATGTACTAAGTATTCTTCCTTCCACATCAACAGAAAGCTATGTACTAAGTATTCTTCCCTCCACATCAACAGAAAGCTATGTACTAAGTATTCTTCCCTTCACATCAAAAGAAAGCTATGTACTAAGTATTCTTCCTTCCACATCAACAGAAAGCTATGTACTAAGTATTCTTCCTTCCACATCAACAGAAAGCTATGTACTAAGTATTTTTCTCACATCACCAGCAAGTTACACTTACCATCAATAGCAATTTCACGTTCGTTCTTGGACCAACGCGGGGTTTCGGAGCCTCCACATTCTTTATTTATAAACATAAACATTTACCATGTGACATAGGACGATGATTATAAGACATTACTAAACAGCGTGTATCAAAAAAGTGTATTACACTATTAAAATATTGTGCATTTTATATTGTGCCGTACGCTTGTATTTTTACAAAGCAAAACAGAAGAGATCTTTAGTTTCCAATTATTTACAAGTACCCATATAGCATTAGCGCATGATAAAACATTGTTTGAAATAGCAGTGAAACCACATTATTCACTCAACTAGATTATTTCTGATTGTTGTGAAATTAAAAGCATATTATTGAAAACGAAAGAGCTACTCTTTTTGCAATATAAAAATATAAGTACAAAGCACAACATCAAATGCACGGTAGGATAATAAAGTTGTTTATACATACTGTAGATAAGTAGAACTACCTCCTGTTTGGATTGCAATGTTAACACGAGGAACATCTATGGTACTAGAAGACACAGGTATTCGAGAAGATCCATCTTCTGTTCCGTCCGAATCAACTTCAAAACCTTCGTTTTCTTCAATTTCGGGGTCTGATGTGTCTCCTTCGGGGCTGATCAAGAGTTTACACATAAATATATTTGTATATAAATACAACAATATTTCTTTCAGGAGGTAATGATGTTCTACCGTGGTTTTAAGATCTTTGATTTAGCTGTTTCATCTTTGACAGCAGCCGAGCTCTACAAACAAATAATTAAATCAAATTTAGTTTGATGAACTTGAAGATAAATGTGAAAATTTCACCTGAAGTCGCTTTCTTTTCATCGGTTGTTTCTTCACAAGTTTTTTAAAATTTCCCTTCCTCTTCGTCCGATAATAATGCAATATACAATCTTTCACGTTCTTTTATAAAAAAACATGACATCAAAAATGTGACCTAACGAGCATTATATGGTATAGTTTTATCTATATTAACGAATACCTTATTAGGAAGAAACGATGATATGAACTCAAAATCTTTAGGAGCTTCAACATATCTGGCGAAAGAAAAAAATTCCTATTTCTCAAGTGCGTTAAATCTTACCAAAGGAGAGTTACGAGAAAATTTTTCAAGAAAATAGTAGCTAACAAATTGGATCATAAAGTTTACGATAAAATTCTTTGAAAACTTTCTTACTTTTCCTTGAATATTTCTGTTTCTTTTTCAGTCCATATGTTCAACATTTTACGTTGTTCAACGTAAGTTTTCATATCACGAATGAGACCTGTTGAATGAATGAACATTACCAAAATAAGATGATTGAACTACTTCAGTAACATTTTAACAAAACTCAAAGTAAAGTCTAGAACAAAACTAGGGATCCAACAATAGTGCAAAATTTCACAACAATAAAACTTTGACTTTAGTCGGATGTATAGTTTCCATGCTAATATTTTTACCCATAACAATACTGCATAGTCGCGCAATAAATTATCATAAATTTACATACCATTTCTGTTAATGTATTTAATTTTTCTTTGGTGTTCGTCTAACAATGGTGGAGGTTGTACAGCCAATTGTCTCATATGTTTCTCATGTTTCTAAAATCATCGTAATATTGACGAAAGTAAGCATTGCTACAACGAAAGCCACTATATCACCACAAACAATATGTAGTATTATCATCAAAAATGAAAAACTATTGAATACAACCTCTTTTTCTTCCAAATTTCGCAAAATCTCCTCATATTCTGCATCACTACGTGCAGACATGCCCCAATTAGCTCGAGATCCAATTCTTTATGTCAAATTATGGATCATAAAGTACAAGTAATGACATTAATGGATAATATAGTGAAAGTAATGTCATCCATTTATTATATTTTGAAAAAATGTTGTTCATGCCTGGTATAAGAGAAGCTCACCTTGAAAATCTTTCTGTCTGTTCACGATGTCTCTTTATTTCAGGGAAAATTTTCTCGTAAAACTCCCTAACGCGGGCTTCTTTATTTCTACAATGTACATAATTGTCAAAGTTTGCTCTTATTTTGCCCAATGAAAATGAGATAATTATCTAAATAAATTTCATTGTCATCTTTCAAAATTTTTAATATTACTACAAACAATGAAGAACTTACTTTCGTTTTTGGTTGTTTTCCATCTTTTCCACTTTTTCAAGCCATTTTTTTTGAAGAAGTCTGTACTGCTGTAGAAGTGCTCTTTGCTATGGTGCAATAAAACCACTTTGAATGAAATGACAACAGTCAATGACAACGTAACACACAAGAAAAAACACAACAAGATGATTTGAGCTATACGTCATAGGAAACTTCGTCTTTCCTTTGACAGAACAGCTTTGAAAAAGTATTTAAGCATATACAAGAACCTACATTATAATGGATGAAAGATTGATTATATGGACAAAAATCAGAGTATTGAGTATGGAATTACGCTATAGACAGTCACTAAAAGCTACTAAAAAGAAAGTGGACAGGTTGCTACCGTACACTATGCTGTTTTTATGCCATTTTCATATGATTTTTAATGACTAGTGTTTTCTCTTTCATTCATTTATGAATTAAGAAAATGTAGAAACGTTTTGAAAACGGTATATCGCAAATCAAAAACAACGCCTTAAAAACAAGCAAAGCTTGGCAGCCTGGCAATAATGCTTTGAAGATAAATATATAACGATGAAAATACTTCATCTAAATAACAATGAAAAATACCTTAATCTGTCGATCCTTACGTTTCCTTTGAAAATATTTAACAAGTTTTAATTGGATAGATCTTGCTCTGAAAGACAACAGTTTAACCATACAGTTTGGCATAAACCATAAAGATGACATCAGACAATAAAATACAACAGTTTAACCATACAGTTTTGCATAAACCATAAAGATGACATCAGACAATAAAATACAACAGTTTAACCATACAGTTTTGCATAGACCATAAAGATGACATCAGACAATAAAGACAACAGTTTAACCATACAGTTTTGCATAAACCATAAAGATGACATCAGACAATAAAGACAACAGTTTAACCATACAGTTTTGCATAAACCATAAAGATGACATCAGACAATAAAGACAACAGTTTAACCATACAGTTTTGCATAGACCATAAAGATGACATCAGACAATAAAATACAACAGTTTAACCATACAGTTTTGCATAAACCATAAAGATGACATCAGACAATAAAATACAACAGTTTAACCATACAGTTTTGCATAAACCATAAAGATGACATCAGACAATAAAATACAAACTTTTTTCGATTCTCCTCGTAAAAAGGTAAATCTGAAGGCTGATTATACAGTGGCTAAAAACAAATCATGAAACTATATTAATTAAATATGGAATTGAAAAAGAGATAGCAAGTGAAATATTAAATCAGTTCCATGTACCAGAGCATTAGGAAAGGGAATTCCAATTTTAGCAAACTGTTCATGAGCTATCGCTGCTTTTTTCTACATAACAATGAAAAAGAATATTTTGAAATAAAAGAAAGAGAAATTGAGCAGAAATATAATTTTGTACCTTGTTTTCTTGATAGATCCTCTCAATCAATGAAATTTCCTTAGCATCCAATCCTGCTTGAACTTCCACTTCATTTTTTCTAGAATTTTCATTTTCTGTTACTTTAATTTTCTTTTCAGGACCATCTTCCACTTCTTTTAACAAAGATTCCTGGGATATATTATCTAGCAATGGCTCCTGGGATATATTATCTAGCAATGGCTCCTGGGATATGTCATCTAGCAATGGCTCTTGGGATACGTCATCTAGCAATGGCTCCTGGGATATATCATCCTTTAATAATTTCTACCAAAATCAACAAATCATAGTATTAAAATTCCATAATGAGAAATAATAACATATGACATTCAGTATAACCTGTTTATCTTTCAAGTCAGTAATTTTCTGTGTAACTTCTGATATATCTTTATCAACTTTTTCCATTTGTTTCAGAAGTTCATTTGATCTTTTTTCATTGTCTTCTTGCAATGGCTTTTCTCGCTCATTTTCTAACAAAATATAAATAATATATCATAAAAACAATTAAAGATAAGAAAAAGCAAAATAGAAAAGACTTTTCATGCAAAATGTGAAATACACAAGGTACACTTGGCCATATTGTTTATTGTTTGTTTCCACCCAATGTCCCTTGTTGCTAAAATAATAGGTATGGGGATTTTTGAGGATCAATGTGGACCTTTATCAGAGGTCATTGAGATAGCAAGGTAAAAATCAACCAAATGGAGTTGCCAAGGGATTTTTGAAGTACAAAAAAGTTATTAAAGAAGTAAATATTTGACTAAAAAAATCATTAGGATAACTACCTGAATTACTTGGTGAAATGGCTTCAATTTGAGGTTTGTAAACATTTTCAGACTAAAGATAGAAATTAGTATAGTCAATAACATTGCTTAATGTGTATTGTATACAGATCATTGAGTGTGAATTATTTTACAATGATTACAGCTTTATTTAAGAGTAAAATACAATGGCCTATGTACATCTACGAATATGTATCAACGTTCCTCGGTTCAAACCATTTACTTCACAGCAATAAAAGAGATGTTGACATGCTCATTATACGCACCAGTTACTACATACTTAGACATATCTTTTGAACAATGAACAAGGTGAAATATGAATGACATCATTTTTTAGTGGTGTAGTCAGTTGCACAAATCACAGAAGTTGTTTTAAAATTGTGTACCTTAATTATTTTTGCACCATTTTTGGAGATCAAATCGACAGAGTTAGCTTGCAACACATCAGTTTGACTAGATCCACTCATGTTAAAATTGACAGTCATTTTATGTTCTGCACTTTGATAGTTTTTGAATATGGGTTGTTGATGTTGATGTTTCTCATAGGACTGAGACTGAGGGACGGAGGAGTTGGATGATAAATTTGTAACTGATTTACTTTGAGTATGACCTGATACAGAAACATTTACTGAATGAGATGAAACTTTTGTTGAAGATTTTTCACATGATGTTGTCGTATGACATGTTTCAATTGGGAGATTTGATCTTGAAAGTTTTGTATCTCGTCGATGATCCCTAAAAGCAGGCCATTAAAATGTTCATTATTAATTTCTTTGCTGTTTTATGACTTTTAACTACAACCTAACAATCTAGAATGGTTGCTTTAAGTTTTTCTTGAGCACATTAATATATGTTTAATATATTGATATAAGAGATGGAATAAATCACCTTGGTAAAATGGCATCTCTCCTTATAGCACTGAAATCATTAAAGTTTCCTAAACCGACATCTTGATGACAATCTTCATAACTAAATATTGTAAAGTCACTTCCGCTAGAATGTCTTTGACGTTTGTTGGGAGGGCCAATGTCATGTCTATATCATAGACAAAAGATGATTACATAATTTAGACATCTGTATTTTCATAATAGCATTCGTTACTTTTTCACATTTTCATTTCTGAGTAAGATACTGTTGCATAATGAAAGTTATAACAATACCTTACATCCTGAGAACAATACTTAGATCTTGGCGTGTAGTATGGATTTTGGTGATACCTATATGAAGAATAATCACACTTCTTTTAGTTCATGTTGACATGCTCCAAAAGTATTTACACAAATGTGTTAGAAAATGTCTTGCAAAATAAAATGTTAACAAAAAATATTTTTAAGGTCAAATTTTTGAAATACTCGTCGTATTTCCTGTATGAATAATAATCATTGCCCATCATAACATTTCAATAACACAAGAGACAATTTAATAATATTTAAAACGGACTGTCGTTAAAGCAATAATTGGCATGTGAAAGAAATTGGTGAAGTAACATAAAATATTGAGAATAATGAAAGACAGGTTGAAAATACGTTGAATTTTGAATCTATAAGCTCTTAAATATACGTTGCATCATTTACGAGGTTGTGGGGGCGACATTTGTCCGGAGAATTATGACATCTATAATCTGTTTCTGTATAGTTAAGAATTCAAAACAAAGAAATTTTTATAATCAATACATTTTAAAAATATTAACGAAGTTGAAGGAAGAAATGACACACTACCTGTAAGGATGGCCTTTTGACATTCTTCTGTCTTATCAATATAGCATATTTAGGAGAACAATAGCTAAAATAATGTTCAAAATTTCCACTCATATTTTGATTGATGTTTTGCGGCCATTACAGGAGACTCTTAGTCGTCAGCCCACTCGCAGGCTACAAATTACCCGAAAAATGGGCACAATGGTGATGGACAGTGGTGGATAGTAATGGACAATCAGTAAATCACTGTGAATAATAAAAATATAAGATGTTTACTGCGTTTGCACGCGAGCATATGTAAACCGAGGAGACCTTATGGAGAACTCTATAGAACAGGGGTCTCCAAACTACGGCCCGCGGGCCAGATGCGGCCCGTTGGGCCTCTCAATCCGGCCCGCAAAGGCACTTAAGAAAAAATATTATTATTAAACAAAATAAATTTTGTGCAGAAAGTTCACGTTATGTCGCAAGCCAACTAGAAAGAGTGGCTTACGTCAATTTTTCTCCCAGCTTCCTACTTCCGTTTCAAGCACATTGTGAAATTTAAAAAGCTGAAGGATAACGTGGAAATTTTTTATATTCTTCGGCCCTCAACATGCTGGATGAAAGTTCATGTGGCCCTCTGGCTGTAAAGTTTTGGAGACCCCTGCTATAGAAGATCAGTGCAAGCCTGAGACCGAAGGTCGAAGGTTATGGTTGCACATGCTCGAGTATAAAGTACTTTTCCAGTAATTTATTAAAAGTTTGAAACGAATGAAACTTGAGTTACTTGACTTATGATGAAAATAACTAGAGGCTAATTTTTTTTTATTTTTGAAATTTCTAAAAAAATGTTTACAAAATGTTTAACTTGTATAAGTAAAGAAGGCCAGTTGGTTACCTGTAAAAAGCCTATTTCCTGCTTCATCAAGAAGATCTGAATTATCAAAATGTCCCAATAGTTTTGCCTGCCCCTAATATATTACAAATGTTACAACATTTTTGAGTTGATCAATTTATTGAAAAAATGGCATTGGAGAAAATTGTGTAATCTATGAAATATTGACTATGTATCAAATGTGTTTTTCTATTTTAAATGTTTGCTATGGTATAAGTATGTTGTCACTAGCAAATTTTTTTTTTTTTTAAATCAGGTTTGCCCATCAAATAACATTTAGAGCATATTGTTCTTTCAAAAAAAATAGATTAAATACGAAGCATTTATATATGGTTAACATTCTCATATAGTCAATACAATAACTTTAAAATGTCCAATACAATCCTTTTCCAATGTTTAGTAACATGATAAGATTTCTAAAATATATACTAGAGTCAAGGCATTCTTTTCAACACATAATTTTCTTAAATAATTGGCAAGTATCTCATCACATTTCAACAGTTATTCATCTTTTTTGCAGTAATTATCAAACAACTCATCAACTTCCATTTGAAAATAATCAGCAAGTTTGTCAGGATTTTGGATGATGCTAGAATTTACCTTCACATTTAAGCGAATGGTGTCAGCATAGCTAAAAATCCCAACAGTCAAAGGACTACCACCAACTAGTGGTGGCCATACCATTATTGACTGAACCGCTTCCACCAATCACCATCTTGTTAAGAGGACCAGGAACATTAGACATTATGAGGCATGTGTGACGATTAATTGAGTTGATAATTATTTTACCAATGAATTCTGGTACATTTGCTATTACCTGATTGAATATGAAACCAAAGACAAGAAAATCAGAACTTCTTTTTATCACATCCATGTTCTTTTTTGATTGTTTAACTCTTTCTAAAACTGTCTTTTCCTTAACTGGAAGATCAAGTAATACACCAGTTGCATTGTTTTCCAAAGGAATATGCTCTTTAAGTAATAAAGATGGTGATCTAGTATTAAGACTCACAGCTATCTGAACATTATTCATACACTTTCCATTGATTGACATGATGTATTGACGCAATGCTCCAGCAAAACAACCAGTTACTACATCATTTATAGTAACAACATCATGAATTTTTTCACCTACAAATAAATAGCAAACATATTGATCAACATATAAATTCTAAACAAATCCAAAAACATTCAACTTTACCAATCTTGTTCTTGACTTCTTTAATCTTTGGCAGGCTGATGGCATTTGTCCAGGCAACTTTTGTTTCACCAACAAAACTTTTTGCTTGAGGAAAGGGATTTTCAGATGAAGAAAATGCCAAAAACAACAAAGAAAGGGGGCCATTAAACAGTGCATGAAGAATCCTTTTATAGGCATTACTTTCATACTTCTTAATAGCTTTCTCAGAGGGTTTTAAAAGCAATGGCTTGCCATCCATAACTTTACTGAATAAATGCACAACAGATATACCGTCACCAATGATATGGTGTACACGATTAAATAATGCAAAGCAATCCTTGTTTTTCATTGGTATGACCAAAATCTGCCATGGAGACATGTCTTGGGGAATTGGTGTACTTAATATTTTACCATACATCGTTTTTAGCTCTGCTTCATTCGAAGGTAGAGGACCGTCATACAATATTAAGTGTTGTGAGATATCAAACTTTTCTTCATCTGTCCACACATAACGACCATATTTCAATACAAGTGTTTGTTGCAGTCGCTTGTAACTAGGATGGCCATTGTTCGTCACTACTCGGTCATAAAACAGCTTGCGGAGGTTTTTAAGATTTGGTTCACCATTCATAATGAAGACACTTACGTTTACGTTGGTGTGAAAGTCTGATTCATGAATATAAGGTATATCTTCGCTTGAAATAAGTCGACCAATACCCTTGTACACAATCCAGGCAGCTATCGACCATTTAAAGATATTAAAGACAAATAGAAAAGGCACAATAATTGAAGACACCAAGAGCCAAAGAGTTACTGCTATTATACAAAATAAAATATGAACAGCAACCGGAATGGAATTCTCGTTATATATACGATAGAAATTCATAGCGAAGCTCTGTCTGCCAAACGTCGTCCGATTCAACCGAAAAAACAATGAGGAAATTTAAAACTTCACATGAATGAAATTAAATTTGGTGGTATCTATTACAACCAATCTTTCACAATTTCAAAATTTTAACTTTCAACACACGAAGACGAGATTACGACATCAAATTAATCTCAACGATCTTTAGTCATTTGTCACGTGGGCGCGTGATCGTAATCATCTTTCATTGTAATATAATAATCTTTCATAAGTGTATAAATTGTATCACAGTTTCATATTACTCTTATATATATTCATCACATACATAATATTCCTTATAATACTGAGGAAGGCATCGTGAGATGTTGAAACATGTTTATTTAAAAAAAACTTGTCGTTTTTATTAAATGCGCAATCATCTTTCAGTCATAAAATTATCTTTGCATAAAGTATGTAAAACAATACTAACATACCAACATAGATGGCACCACCCTAAATTTGACAATACTTAATTGTTTTTCACTTTTCCAAAACTGTTGCTTATCTTAATGCAAACAACCTGCGCACAACTCCTAATTTTACATTTTAATAAAATTCCTTTGTATCTGACCATGCGCATAGCGGCTTATATGAACAATGAGGTATTTTTATTGCGTCACTTATGTGCATGGTGCAATACTATTGAAAGAGACTTATGTATGGAGGGTGATCTCCGCCAAAATTAAGAGCTACATTTTCCAATTACTAATGCGCATTTTGTCCTTTGCAATGTGCATTTTGTCTTGATCATTTGCATTCTGGAATTTCATAATCGGATTTTGTCCTGTTCAATTTCCGTTAAAACGCATTTTGTTATTGAACATTCCATTATGATGACGTAACATTATTCGTGACTCGCAGAACATCAAATTTTACTCGATCACATTATAATTTATTTATAATTTATTTTCTTCATGCGATAATATAAATGAAAACAAAATAAACCAATTGTTTTACCTACAAGTCTACAACCCTAAAACATGGCAGAAAGGTTATACTTTGTAAGACTCCTTCGCAACTCTATTTTGGGTTGTATTGCTGACCTCGAAGGAAGTCCAGATCGGGATTTTTGCGTTTTTCGTATCGATTGTCTTTACCATACTACTTTGCGATTTGCTGAAGTATTTGAGCTTGAAGAGGCTGTTCTGCAGTTAATCTCAAACGCAAAAGAACTTTTAAATGTCAATGTTCATCATGATATTAATCCATCTTCTTCATTAAACTGCCCTCAAGTTTTCAGTGGCACACCAGGGCGACCAATGTATGAAGTAAACGAAGATATTCTGCGTTATTTTTTGGATAAGCGTTTTACAGTGAAAGATACGGCAAATCTTCTGGGAGTCAGCAAAAGAACTATTGAAAGGAGGATGAATGAGTTTGGTTTATCAGTTTCTAATTGTTATTCTGACGTTAATGATTCAGATCTCGAGTTGGTCATAAGAAACTTAACGAACGAGTTTCCCAATCTTGGCTACAAACGTATGTCAGGATTGCTGTTAGCAAGAGGTTTGCGAATTCAGCAGGATAGGATTCGTGAAATGATGCGAAGAGTTGATCCACAGGGTACATTGTTTCGTGCTTTGTCTCTTAGAGCAGTGCACAGACGTAAATATCATGTTACTAGCCCCTTGTCACTTTGGCATGTTGATGGCAATCACAAATTGATTAGGTGGGCTACTAAAAATACCTATTTGGGCGTTAATAAATCTCAGTTTTGCATACAAATGTGCTAGTAGTTTCATATTTTTAGATGGAGATTTGTGACTCATGCAGGAATAGATGGCTATTCACGTTTGCTGGTATTTATTCGCTGTAGCACAAACAATCGAGCTGATACTGTTCTAAGACTATTTCTATCTGGTGTATCTCAATATGGACTGCCATCCAGAGTAAGAACTGATAAAGGAGGTGAAAATGTTGGTATTGCTCAATTTATGTTAAACCACCATTTACGAGGACCTGGTCGTGGCAGTCATATTACCGGAAGAAGTGTGCACAACCAACGGATTGAGCTTTTGGCGAGATCTTTTGTTGGTTGTACAAGTCTTTTATCATTTATTCTATCATATGGAAAGTAATGGAATATTGGATCCATCAAATGAAGAACATGTGTTTTCATTGCATTATGTGTTTTGTCCAATTATTAACAGAAATTTGGAAATTTTCCAGGAAGGTTACAATAGATCTCCCATAAGAACAGAAAGAAATCTATCACCTGAACAGCTATGGATCCAAGGATCTTGCTTAGCCAATAATTCAAACGACCATATACAGCAGGTATTTTTATATTTTATGCAATAACTCATGACTTTACTTTTAGACTACACTTTACATTATAATCATCAGACTGGATCCAAAGCTAATTGATGTATGTTGAAGTCAGAATCTAATTTAATGTTCCAATTCACTAAGGTAAACCAAGAATTTCCACCCACCTTTACACAAAACTACATGTCATGAAACAGATCAGCAACAAGTGATTGTTCCAGAAACCAACATTCCATTGAATGAAATAGATCTTGTTGAGCTGCAAAGAACCATTAATCCTTTAAGGCCTTCTAATCATAATGGTGCTGACATATACATTGAGGTGCTTCAGTTTATAAATACCAGACTGCACCAGGAAGACGAGTGACATTGTGAACTCACAAAACAAGAAAAGCTACTTGACCTATTGTTCATTGGTGTCAATTCAGATAATACAAAAGAAGATATGTATGGCAAGGAAGGCTATAAATTTTTCATTATGTTGATTATTCAAACATTTTAGCAGAAAATGTTTTTTAGCACATAAATGCTAATGCACTGCCAGAACTAAATTTAATGAAACATTAACATATTCACTTTAAGTCTTTAACTATAAAAATGATATCCAAAACAAAGAATAAAAATATTTCAATTTTGTGCATCATCCATATTAGCTGTCACAATCTATGTTATTGCTGAAAGAGATGTATAAACTGTTCCAAGATCAAATATTGGTAAATCCTCTTGAACCAAATTGCAAAGCCCTATCCAGTTTAGCTTTCAGTTCATCGAAGTTTTCATAACATGGAAGAACTAACAAATGAAAACAAGTTCTACTTTCTGGCAGCAGAGTACGATCTTTTGTTCTGTCAACTTTGAGATGCAGGATTGCACCATTTGCAGGCAGTAAATTACACCCAGTCCAAAAAGACAACAGATCTTTAGGATTTGCCCCTAGGAATGGACAGGTATTAAAGTATTAATATAACTAGTACCTCAAACAGTCAAAAATATAAGTTTTTTTGGAGAAAGCAAAGGTCCAATTTAAAGGCAAGAAAATATTACTGACATTGATATTGTTCAAACAGATAAAGTTACTGCTGCTCCAACATATAATATATAATCAGTTGTGGTGCAAATATTAAAAAGCAAATCATATTCACACAAAAAACACATTCAGACTGACTACTACCACTTACAAAAACACTTACCACTAGTTCTACCAAAACACTTACCACTAGTTGTCCCATCAACCAGATCATTGTATTGTTTCAAAAACAACATCAGTTGATTAAAATGAAGGCCTTCTTCTTCTTACATTTCAATAATTCTTTTTAAGTTGTCTTTATTAATAAGAGAAGCAGTTGATTGTGGAAAAAGTTATGGTTGAACAACATCTTTGTGTTTCTTCGAGAAATCAACCAGTCCAAACTCATTCATTCCATTAGCTAGATCTTGCAACTTTGATTTTCTACGGGTAATGACTGCATGTAACACGATTTGCTGGGCAATAACATGACAATTTGCACCAGAGAATGATGTATCTAAAATTGAAGCTTCATCTCTGTACTGAGTTAAAACATCTTTCAATGCAGTTCCAGGAGCTTCATCTTTGCCAAGGCTGTTCAACTATGTCATAAAACACATTAGCTCAAACAAAATACTGAAAGGCAATGCTCAGATGCAATAAAACTTTTCAAACCTCATTCAATGCAATCCTCAGGTCAATGTCAGGTATATCCACAACTTCTATTAAAGGAATCTCATCTTTGTCACATACCAAATAATCAACAACTACTTTAGAAATTCCAAATAGTGGTGATCCAGCATGTAGGAAATAATGTGCAATCATTCTTCCAATGCACTTATAGAAGCATGTACTTCTAAATAATGAGTTGGCTACAGGAACTTTATGGTCATTTTCTCCTTGAAAAACAAGAGTTTTGGGCCTTTCTTCACCATCCAGTGGAAAACCATGAGGAATCATTTTCATTACTAGGCTGAAAAATTCTTGCATAGGACCACTGCCAACTGAAGTTTCGTTTTCAAACTTCACACTGAACCGAGCACACAACTTACTACTGTGATTTTTGTAAATTCTCAAAATGTTATTGGCAAAGTCACTTGCCATGCGGTTGACATAAACTCAAAAAACTGGACTGTCAGTAACAATTGTAGCATCTCGATACTCTTCAATGACTGTCTTCTTTTGTTCTTAAATAGAAAACCAGTCAAATGTTTATTGTAGTAATACAAACCAGCAAGTATTTGCTAGACTAAGCTTACCAATATCACAACTTCTACACCTAAATACAACATGCAAAAATCACAATAAGCATGTTCAACTCTATTCATATTGAGACCTAATTGTGTTGCAGGAGCATATTGCCAGTTAAAACAACAAGCTAAAAGTCATGCATAAAGCAAAACATCATTTTTAACCAATCAAGAAAACTATGTCAAATCATTTACAACTCGTTTCTTTTGAAAATAATTAAGATAAATGCTACAATTATGATGCAATTATGAGTGTTTAGCAGCATGTATGTACCTATTAATTCCTTCGTACCTTCTTGCAGACAAACTTCTGTTGCCTGTTGAAGATTTTCTGAATCTGAGTCTGCACTATCAACATCATAATTAGGCATCTCCTCTTTAAGTAATATTCCTTTGTCTTTATAATTGAAGTTACATGTATAAACACATTAATCCATTCATTATCTGGAGGTAGTTATTAAAAAAATGAAAAATAAAATATTTGTCTTTTCACATCCGCCATTCAGCCTTAATGGAGTCTATGCTACGACCAAAATATATTGATAATCCCATACATGGAACTTGATATAATGATGTAAGTACTTACTGTGATCCAACAATGATGAAACTGCCACTTCAATGTCTCCCTCACAAACTCTTACAGCTTCTGCTATGACAGTATCATGAAGGTCAGGAAACATTTCATGCAGTTCAGACATTAATGGAGTTCCAGAAAAACTTTCCTGATAAAAAATTATTCATTCAATTTTCAAAATAAGCAGGTAAACAAAAAACAGTGTGACATTTTCACAGTAAATGTGTAATAGGAATTAATGCAAGCTTATAGCATACATTGATCTTGACCTTCTCAAATTGTTTATGGTGATTGTCCATTCCACATTCAACCATATGATTCCTGATTGAATTCATTGGAATCTGCACTGAGCAATTTAAGCATTTCACTGTTGGTGCAATAGATATATCCTAGCAAAAACAATGTATGTATATGTATAACATTTCCTGTCTAATAATTTATCACTTAAATTACTCAAAGCTATGAATACAGTACCTTGTTTTCTGGAGCATCTCCTGCATGAGCGTGATCCTTCGTTTCCAAGGATGAGGAATCTAGATCAGCTTGAACTGGTCTAATATATGCAATTGCCTGCCCTAGGCCAGAACTATCACGAAGAAAGTGGACAGAATATCCAATATTTGGTGGAGGGGTAACAAGATACAAATCTTTGGGTGATAAACCACTCCTTAATATCTCAAAACCACCGCCTGATACCAGCCGGGGATAGATCTCTTCTAATTTTGCTTTCACTTTGGCTGCACTTGAATCTTTATGGAAAGAAATACGTTTACGTCCAAGACCAGCTTTTTGTAATTTAATTTTTTCCATTCTAGTAGGCACACAATCTTGCCCATGGTTTGCCAGGCAAAAAATCGTGAGTCCAAGTTTCTGTGGTTTATAACACCGACCTTGTTGTCCCCACGAATTAGATCGACCACGTTTTGCTGGTGGATGAGAAAACATCTTTCCATTGTTAGCTCGATTATACGGTGCAAATAACCGCCTAAACTCCTGCTCTCTTATCGAACAAGATGATCTTGATGTTGAAGCTTGAGATGACGAAGCCTGATGTTGTTCTTGCAATGTACTGTCTAGTGTTGACGATTGGACACGTTGAGCAGCTCCATGATTGGCAAGATTACCATCTTGAGCAGTCGATGAAGATCTAAGACTTGCTGATCCAGAAGAATCTGGATTCAGTAAATTTGCTGCTCGGCGAAGCAAAGCTGCTGCCTCTCGATTTTTCGCTCCATTATCATCCCCCATACCAAAAAAATCGTTTCTTTTTTAACAGAATACTAAAGTTGCTTCGAAGGACAAAGATCGTGATAGTTATTGCATAAAAATTGCAACAGTATAATTTATTGATATTAACAATTTTTGGCGGTAAATAATTATAAATAAATTATAATGTGATCGAGTAAAATTTGATGTTCTGCGAGTCACGAATAATGTTACGTCATCATAATGGAATGTTCAATAACAAAATGCGTTTTAACGGAAATTGAACAGGACAAAATCCGATTATGAAATTCCAGAATGCAAATGATCAAGACAAAATGCACATTGCAAAGGACAAAATGCGCATTAGTAATTGGAAAATGTAGCTCTTAATTTTGGCGGAGATCACCCTCCATACTTATGAAGTGCCAAATGCGTCAACATTTCAAATCGCACGAAATGTCATCAAGCATCTGAAGCCTTTGTCATATGAACAAAAGTCACCATAATTAATTACATTATTAAAAACTCAATGAAATTATTTCTATTAAACTTGATGAAATTTTTAACAACAAACTTGTTGATATTTTTGCTAGTAATTGGTCATGTAAGCAAAACGTTGTGGTTGTGTTTTCGATGGTGATTTTTCTTCATATAACAAAGTTTTTAGATGCTTGATGAAATTTCGTACGATTTAAAATATCGACGCATTTGGCACCTCATAGAGACTCGTGAATTTACTTAAATACACGTCGATACCGGTGGGAGAAAAACAAGTACTTCCTTCGACTTCGACATAGAACAGAGAAATATTTTAAACTTTAACATTTATTGTTTGCGCAAATTCATTTTAGTTGGTGAAAGTAGGTTCTGCTCATCATGAAACGGAGCAACTTTAACAACACTGCCTCAGCAGTAACCATTAAAATGTAAAGATGTTCTCGGGGAGAATGAATATATAAAAAATAATGTTCTAGGTTCCAAATACGAATATTGTTAAAAACTCCAAATTATTGTAAGAATACACAATGCAGTATGAAGTATCGTGGATCTTAAGACCTGGGTTACAATCTTGTAAATATTCATGAGTTTTGAACTAAAAAATTATATGATAAGAGAAGCAGCAATTGAAAAATTTAAATCAATTTTCAAAATCAATGATACTGTTACTACGTCATTTATTTCTTATGGTCACGTGATGCTTGCACGTATAAATGCAAATTAGCTCTGATGAAAAAGAAAACCTGTTTTAAGTATTAAGGAATCCAGTCTAGCCGTATTTGATTTCAAATGTAGTAGAATCTACTTCTCCAGGGTTGTTGTACAGCATACTGCTTTTTTTCGTGTTTTAAAGATTATGTTTAGAGAAATGTAAGAATTAAATATCGCCATGGTAAAAAAAGGGATTGCACACAATGAACAATTTTTACTTTTTGTAAGTTTATTCAAATGTTAAAAACATTACTTTCGATAATGAATTGATAATTCAAACAGCCAAGATCACAGCGGTTAGGTAAGAAGATCAAATAGGGAGATGATCAATAACTGCCGTATTTTTCCCATAAGATGTGTGCATGTTCATGAGTTTAAAATATCAACATCTATAAATGTATGCAGTTTTTATAGCAGTTAAACAAGGTTCTTCTTTTACAACATTCCCGAGTGACAACGCCTTTTACATGTAAACACGTGTCATTTTCCCCTAAATAAGAAATTCTTTCATACCAAATTTTTAATGAGCGATAAAATTATCATCCAATGATTATGTTTGTTTTAAAGTACGTACTGTCAATATTGCACACAGAAAAAAACTCACCTTAAAAATGCAATATGAGAAAATTGAATTGCAGTTGAATCGAAAGCAGAAATAACAAAAAAACAAGCTTCTTTAGAAACAGTCGATGAATGTTGCAATATATGTAAATACTTTAAATTGATTATAAAGGATATTGATGCAGCAAATAAATTGAAGATATTTGACCTTTATTAACCTGCACTTGGGTTTCTTTAAACTAAACGTGGATCACATCCCAACCTTGTTTGTCCCAACTGAGTTTTTTTTCGAAAATATACTTTGATAATATTTTTTCTTGCAAAATCCTTGCACAAGCACAACATGTAAATTACTCAGTTAATTTTGGTAGCAGAGTTCATCTCCAAATAATTGAGTACGTCAATAAAAATTTTAGTATATTAAGGTCAATTTAAATTCCCTCTTTCGTCTTGGTCTTTCTCAATAGCTTCAAATAGACTTTTAAAATTGCCAGCACCAAATCCCTAAATAACGATGATTAATAATGGTATAAATTATATACACAACAAATTTTATAAACGAATATTTCTACAACACAAAAACATTCCAAGTGTCAGAAAAAATGTTGTTTACCTGATGGTTATGTCTTTGTATGACCTCGAGAAATAAGGTGGGCCTGTCTTGAACAGGTTTACTAAATATCTGCAGAAGATAGCCATTTTCATCAAAATCTATCAGAATATTCAGTTTCTCAATTTTTTCCATATCTTCCATGATTTTTGTTTGTGAAGATTTAAGTCGTTCCTTTAGCATCACGTAATAAGACTTTGGAATTGTAAGAAACTCCATTCCACGTGTTTTGAGATCACTTATCTAAAATTTCAATTTAGACATAAGAATACGTCGGAAAAACTTTGACATGTCGCCACACGTGCTTTAAGAATGGCTGTGCTGCATTAAAATCTTCATGAACACAGTTAAAACCTGACAAAACTGCCAGTCTTACCGACCATACAAGATTTTAAATAAGGAAAGTAAGAGCGAAAGAAAATGTGCGCGAGAAGACCAGGAAGATAAAGATGGATATATTTTGTCCACAGCAAGTAAAATGGAGAGGAATATTAACGTTGTGATCATGTATAGGAGTTTTGGTGAAAAATAAACTACAAAAAAAAGACAAAGGAGGTGTAAAAGAAAAGTTATGGAGTAATGACGGCAGTGTATTGGCAATACCAACTAGTTTTTTTTATTCCTACAATGCAAATATTAAGTGTCCATTCACTGGAATGGACGAAAGAAATTAATATTCCAAAGAAATGAATAATTTTGACGAAAAACTTTCATACAAGCAAATTCGCATTGACTTTGCCAATGCGCAGCGCTCGGAGAAGAAAGTGGTAAAAATTTTAAGTGGGTTACGTTAGTTTGGTGAAGAAAAAACATTCTGATAATTTATGAAGTATGGTGGGACCTTAACAATGCTACAGTGAATTATGATACTTATGAACATTGGAAAACAGATTAAGGATTGAAAAAGAGAAAATAAAAGTGGAAGATTGATTTTGTACTCTTATGAATAGGAAGTATGAAATATTTGTGAGATATGACAGCCATTCCAAGGTTAGCTTCAACATGGACAGTGAGAGATGTAATTAATGGGTGGAAGTAGGTGGACAGTGGATGGACAGTAGGAGGACAATGGATGGACAATGGGAGGACAGTGGGTGAACAGTGAGTGGACAGTAGGTGGACACTGGATGGACAGTAGGAGGACAGTGGATGGACAATGGGAGGACAGTGGGTGAACAGTGAGTGGACAGTAGGTGGACATTGGGTGGACAGTGGATGGACAGTGGGAGGACAGTGGATAGACAGTGGGAGGACAATGGGTGGACAATGGGAGGGAATGGTGGACAGTGGAGGGTGAACATGGATAATGGGTGGGTTGAAAAATGTGGGAGACCATAGCCCCACTGTCAAACCCTCCCCACTCCCCCTGCAATTCAAATACTTTAAAGGACTCAAAGAAAAAGTAGAAAAAACAGAAAGCATTGTCTTGAAAATGTTTTAAAATTGGTGTCAAAGGCATGTGATGAACTATGTGGAAAGAAGAAAGGTAGATGAAATGTAGGATCTAACGGTACAGGGTGAATTTCCTAAATTTTTACATAGTCTTATAACTCATAAACTCAAATAAAAATTTCAAAATACATAAAAAACCAATACACACTTACAGTTTTAGAATATCACTGGTATTAAGTGCTATGTGTTGTACTCCTGCAGATCCATAATAATCCACATATTCTTGTATTTGACTTTTCTTCTTCCCATTGGCAGGCTCGTTGATTGGCATCTTTATTGATTCCTCGTAGTTTGCCATAACTATAGAGCGAAGAGCACTATATCCTGTGTGAATCTTAAATTAAAAACATAGAAAAAAACCTTCAACAAGATTTCACCCATTTTAAATGAAGTACAGACAAATACTACCTGTGAGTCATCAACTGACCAAAATCGATGAAATTGCAGGGTCTTAACATACCTTAAAAAAGAAAATAAATATTGCTCCCTTTACTACATGATGTTTCTAGCTAAGACAAAAATGATTTTCTTTACACATACCATTCAGTAACAGGGATCATTTCTCTATCAGGAACATTGCCAACAATATGGTCAATGAAATTGATTCCTATAGGAGGTCTAATGAATAAAAAATAATAACATTACATTTTATACTATACTTGATTATTGATGATTGATTATTTACTTACAATATAGCAGTAAGTGGATCGTTAAATGTTGGTTTCACAAAACCTGGCAAAAAGTTACCATTATAATTCTTTCTTTCAACAAATGTATGGCAAACGTCCCCATACTGAAAAAGAATTTTGAGATGTTGAAAATAATTTAGAATGAAGTATATATGATAAATGCAATGTTTTTACAGTTTGTATGGAAGCAAAAATGACTTTTCCATTTTTATCACACTCTTCCCATGGTTCCTTGATAATCTTAGCTCCACGATTCACAGCTGCCTAATGAAATTAAGATTGGAACAAGATCATCTTCAAACAATAAATCACCCAGTAATGAAGCATAACCTTAAAAACACTGATACAATCCTCTACATTAAATGCAATATCTTTGACACCATCACCATGTTTAGAGAGATGGGCACCCATTTCTAAAAATGATGATTATTTCTTCAATTCAGAAATTTTGTACAATTCAAACTATTTTTGTTCTCGTACCTTCAGAAATGTGCCCAGATGGATTTAGTGGTGATTCTAAAACAAACATCACCTAAATCATAAATTTGAGAAATAAGGAATAGCAAAGTTTGTGCTTCTTCATGTGAATATTTTATCAAGGAATACAGTAATTTAGGAATAGAAAATAGATTTCCATACAATTTTTCTTTTACTATCATTATAAAATATTTAAACCAGTCTAACCTTATCAAGTTTCAATGCATAAGACACAATCTTCCTAGAGCCAGTTTCCAGTCCTTTATAACCAATAGTCTCAAATCCCCAGCGAGTGCAGTAATATGATGCAGACTATCATTAAACACAATTCATTTTAGAAATATTCAATTTATACTGTATGTGCAAATACAGATACAACCTGTTTGGCATTTCCAACCCAAAATTTAACATGATCAAATGCAAGGTATTTCCCCGTATTGGGCTGAAAATGAACAATATAGTGGCAAAAACGAAAGAAAAAACTGTACAAAGTGTTGAGTTTGACTACCTTAGGTCCTTTGTCTGTATAACTTGTCTGCGTTGAAGAAAAGTACGTAATTTGAAATATGACCCCACTAAGCTTACAGCAGCAAATTAAATTGTATTGAAGAACTTACCATGGTTTCTTGGAAAATATATTTTGAAATATAAATACTTGAAATAATAGTATAAAATTTCAAAAAGAATAAAATAATTTTAAATTATGAACCATTGAAGACCGAGAGGCGCCATCAATACTTTGGAGGCGTACTCAGGTAGTGCCATGGGCAACACAATGGGGCAACATTATATATCACGTGTACAAGACGTGATTAGATCATTAGAAATTTCTGACGATACATAACACACATTTTACGTATGATTTAAGAGAAGTAAATGTAAATGTGAAGAAGGAGTCAACTCAGTCACATTGTTAACCAAAAAGACAACTATTATATACATTTGATAAAGTTCATAAGACAATATCTTCTGTGAAAATCATGGCCGAGCATCTTCCTTTTCCTTTTTTGATGAATGTTTTTTAATTATGAAGTATGATAAGAAAGTAAACACAAAAAAAAAACAAGAGTCTTCACATATTAGATTTCTTTTAATTCATTCCAGTTTTTCAATCTTTAGATGATTCATCTAGTGAGAAAAATAAAGAAATGAAGAATAAATAAGAAAGAAGAAAAAGTTTGAATGAAACAATACAAGGAAGAGTTTCACGCTCATCCGATGTTTCACCTTTTTTGTGGGTGTAATGCATTTTAAATCCATTGCTTTTGCCTCTTCAACAAGAAAATTTACTTCATTTACAGTCAAAGATGGTGGAAATACCAATTCCCTTTGATTTTCATCATTGTTAAAACCTCTACACACAAAAGATAATTCAAAATCTGTACCACATCATTCATCGTCATATCCACTCCGTTAACTTACTTTAAACGTTGTAACATAAAGGCTTTAACTTCTTCGTTTATATCACTTAAATTTCGATCTTCTGTTTTTTTTGTGACTGTTTCATCAACTGAACGAGAAGAAAGTCTTTACAACACATAAGAATCACTTAGTTAATTCATCTACGTTCGTACATACTTTAAATTGCTATATCATCATTTACATTTTAACAAAGAAGTACTTCAAACACACACCTGACGAATCTTGACCCTTTTTCACAAACATTTTTTGACACATTTTTTTCTCGCTTAGTCTCCAACGTTTAACGTCCCTAAAAATGCGTGAATGTTTTCCAATAAATGAAGGACTACGATTTTCAAGGGAATCTTTTTTATCGATAAAACGTACTGGTCTAATTTTTGGAGAGCTGCTCGTATTTCTGAATTGTTAGGTTCCTGTTTCTGTGAACGTAAGAACCATTCCCGAGCTTTTTCAAACTCTCCTTCCTTTTGATAACCCTGAGCTAGCCGAAACATTGCCTTGATATTCTTTGGATCAAACTCTAAAGCCTTAAAACAAAAAGTCGGCACATAAATATAGAAATGCAGACAATTAAAATTAATTTCCACACACTTTACGACAATATTTCTTTGTACGATTTCCTTGACCAAGTTTCAACGAACATAATGCAGCATTCATGAACAGCAAAAGCAATAAATCATTCATTTGTTTTTCTTCTGAAGAATTGCGTAGTCGACTACCTTCCAGTATACGGATGCCCTACAAAAACAAAACGAGATGACAATTCCTTCATTAACAAACAACCGGGCAAAAATATGGACTTACTTTATCATATTTTTTAACAGCTGTGTAAAATTCATTTCTTTTAAACAAATCATTGCCACTCTAAAATTTTAACGTAACATTATCAAACATACAGTGGAATAATTGTCACATAAATACGTTACTACCTGTCTAAAAGATTGTGCAACTTCATAAATATTTTCAAATGTGGCCTTTTTCTGTTCATCCTTAAATTCAATAGCTTTCAATAAACAAAATGTAGGCACAATGTGTCAATGTTGAAAACAAAAATACCATTGAAAATTCTGAGAATTCATCAGAAGCTCCTTGATCAATAAAACTCACAAGCTCAATTTGAAAAAGAACTAAATAGGAAACAAAATCTTTCTACATAAAATAGCTTTTACTTTCATCGTTAAATACAAGAGCAACAACAACTGTCATAACTGATAACATTACCAACAACTAGACTGTTATATGTAGCCAATCACATGATCACCAACCTGTAGCATCAGGTGGTACCCTGGGAGGGCAGCCCATTTTTTTGTAGGCATAAGATGGAGAAAATAAGAACTTCGAAATCTCTCCCTTCTTCATTGTTGCCACAGCAACATCAAATCCTCTAAGTGACTCTATGTAATACAAACTTTCTTGTAAGTTTTAGAAAAAGATTTGGTTGGAATTTTTAAATTGAAAGCCCAAAACTTTTAGCAAATTACTTAGTCTGAAGTTGTCTTATATTAAAGACGAAAACATTAAATAAAATCATTTACACATCAGAAGTTAAACATAAGCAATAAACTAGGAAACCATAGTAATCATTCAATTCTGAAAACTCTTAACCTCCCATTCCTAGCTTCAATTGATCTTGTTTGTTTCTAAGACGTGTAGAGTCAAATGGTTCATCTCTGTACTCCAAATAACCGCTGTAGTGCAAACGACAAATTGCACCATCTGGGACCATTGGACCAGTTCCATTTTTGACTAACATTTTCCATACTCCATCGTCATTGGTAATTTTTGTCATTTTCTCTTTGATAAGTTCAAAAGGCGACTATAAAGTTCATAATAAATTACATCAATGTCATTTGACAACATTTATTGTTAACTATACTATAAAATTATATCTTACATACTTTATCTGAGTTGGTATTTGAACTCGATGTACCATCAATGCATTCATAATCAACAACTGACAACATCTCTTCACCATCAAAAAATTTTGCACTTTCATCTTCTTCTTGATAAGAAGATTGAGAAAAAAAAATCAGTAAATACAGGGTATCCCACCAAAGTGACATTATAGAATCATTGTTCATGAAGCTTTGTTAAATGTGGTGATTACACACAAGGAAATCATATGTATACAAACAATGAGATGATTTCTATTGTGTCACTTTTTTGAAGGGAGTCTCCGTCCGTGAATAGCAAGGTAAGTAGTACCGTCCTCTGAATCTTCTCTATAGTTTTCCTTTATTTCTATATCTATGCCTTGTCCAAGAAGATGGCTTGGTTCGAAACCATCTTTGAGGATCACATTTGGACGATGAATTGTGTTCTAAGTAGATTTTTTTATAAAGTTTGGAGAGTTGAGGAGACAGATCAGGGCCATTCACAAATGATGATTACAAACTTACATATATCATTGACCGTCTGGAAAAGTCCTCTTCCGCAGAGTCTATTAAATCCATTCCTGCGTCGATATAACTACAGCTTGTGAAAAGAGCAATACGCTTCTTTTTATAGTTTATTGATCGTAATTATTTACTATCTAAATACCACATGAATAGTAGCATTGCCAAGACCATTGGCTTTGGCTCTGGGCTAGACTTGCTCAACACGTGCTGCAGAACTTGCTTTGTGGAAATTTTTTACCCGTAATTTTTAGCGACGCCCACTGGGGTATTCATCGTAATATTGAATATCAATTTTTTTGCACAAAAGAACACCAACCAGTTTGTACACTGGACATTGCGTAAATAAAATTTTAATTTTGTAAAATTATCAGCGAAGAATTGTAAAATTCTTGTCAACGAGACGAGAATATTGTCAAATACAGTTTTTTTAATCCGTGCAATTTCTGAGGCGAGAGTTTTAAGATATATTTAACGATATGTTTGGAATTGTCGCAGAAAAAAATTACGTTAGCACGTGGTGAAAATTTTAAAACAGAAACGATGAAACAAGCGTTTTGTTAATGGTAAAATCATTGAAAACGGATCTTCTGCGATCCAAATATTGCGTCAAAAATATTGTTAGGAATAATGCCGTGTTTTCGCACTCAAAATATGCTTTATCAGGCTTGTAAAATCCGTTACACTGCTTTGAACTAGTTTGAACGAAAACAAAATGGCGAATGAGAATTTGTCGCACCTTAAGTCAATTGCTGATTCAAGTCACATTGCAGAAAAGAACGAAATGGAATTACTTCCATTTGGGCACAGTGATAAATTAAGTTGCACTTGGCCGCAAAAACGTGATGCCAAACGGTCTTATCTTGAATTTGGCTTAAGCACCTTGACCAGTTTGGAAAGTGGAGGGAAAAAACGACCTCGCAAAGATTACAAAAGAATTTCTGTAGACAAACTTGAAGGATTTACTTTTATCTCTGCTTATGCTTTAAATGATTTTGTTGATTATGACAAAAGCAGAGCTAGCTGTTCATCCAGGTGCAACAAACAAAAGTCAAATACAACGATTAAAAGTAAGTCGAGCAAAAAAGTAACTAGTTTGTTTATTAAAAAAGATATTCAAAAACCTTTAGTAGGCGTAAATAAGGTATCAGATAACCCTTCAAAGTTGGAATCTCAAGTTGATGAAAGTGCTGTGATCAAGGATTCATCTCCGTTGACGAAGTCTGCCCTATGTCGTTTGAAAAATATAAATATTCGTAGTTTGAGAAATATCAATGAATTGAATAAAGAATCATCAACTAGGTCCTGTGTGTCGAATGCTTCTTTAGAATCAGAGACACATAATCTTGAGAAATCTAGTACATCGTTCAAGAAAATGAACCTTCAAAAGGAAGAAATTGATGTGTCAAGCTTTGATGATGAAGATGATGATATTGATCTGGATGTTTGTAGTGTTGACATTGAAACTTCCTCAAAATTTATACATGAGAATAAAAGCACACATGATTACAAATGTGTCATATCTGTTGATGAAAATATAAAGAAGGTAAAGAAGCCTTGTAGTACATGTTTTTCATACCCATGCAAGATTGTTGGAGCAAAAAGAGTTAAAAACCAGCATGGAAAATTTCCTTGTTTTAATGTTTCATACTCTTTAAAGTGTCAAATACATACTCCAGGTGTGATAAAAGTTGATGAAAGCAAATTATCAAACAAAATGAATGTCTCTATTCAAACAACGTCAACCGATATACAAATTCACCAAGAGTTTGCTAAACGATTTCCTTATCGAATTATTTCGGTATTGTCTTGTGAACCAAACCTTTGTAATGATGATTTGAAGTTGACTGACACTGTTGTTAAAGAGGAAATCTCAAGATGCAGCGAAACTCATCGTGTTCTTGAACAAAAGCGCCGTGATGAATTACAAGGCTTATACTGCAATCTTGCAGAAACTCTTTTGTTGTCAAAAACAAGAGCTAGCAAGATATGGATTTTACAAAATGCACTAAAGCAGATTAATCAGCTTGAAAGTGACAGCAGTGCACTCTTAGAGAAACTGATTTTGTTAAAGTCTGAAAATCAGATTAAACGTAAAAGATGGGAAGAACTCGCTGGCCAACAGTTTGTTGTACCTGAAAAGATTTTATCAAAGCAGGAGAGCCTATCCAAACTGCTGCAGACGAGCAAAACATGTGAGCATGAAATGTCAAGACCTACAATTACTAATGAGGTTAACGCGGTTCTATGTGTTAAAACTTCGGAAAAACTATTGTTACCAAAAAATAAATTTGAAATTAATGCGCAAGAGGAAATGAAAACTTCGCAAAGTTTACCAAATAGTGTGGTTGACAAAAACACAGCTAAATCTAGTCTTATCGATTCACGAAGTCCTTCAAATGCTATAAATTATGGAAATGTAACGGCTCATAATTTCGGCGATATTGAAAGCCTGCAAAATCCTGTGATAACATCCAATGAAGAGTTATCATTATCAGCTGTTTCTCATAATGCAAGCAACTGTAATGCTGATGTTAAAAAAGAATACATTAATATAACTTTACTTGTTGATAGTAAAGCGACAACATTTAAAGTTCCTAAGTCCAACGAAGGATTTTCATTTTTAAATAAATTGTCACTTGCAAAGAAGATGAGCAATAATTCCCGTTTGAAAATTGCCAAATATTTTCCTAGTACTCAAACGTTTACATTCAACCAAATGTCAAATGTTAACATCACCAGTTCAAACAATACATCAGTACCTTCACAGGCGTCTAATTGTTCTGTTAAGGATACTGTAAACAGTGTTATGTCTGTTACAAACCACAAAAAGCTGAAGCAATAGTGGAATCATCTGTCTATGGTGGAAAAAATGCGAGGCATTACTAAAGAATGAAGACAAAAAATGCGTACCTGAACATACTAAGTTCATCTTGCATGATTCAAAGAAGAACGATGTGTTTCCTATAAAAATAACTCGTCCAACAAAACCAAGAAAAACTTCAGTAGTTCAACAAAAAACAGAGTTTTTAGGCAGGTTTCAGTCAGTCGACAAAACCATAATCGTGGATTTTGTTGTATAACAAATCCTCCTGTCATCGATTTGACTTCGTACCAAGATGAGTCATTAATAGAAACTACAGCTGTCCCATTGATAGAAAATAAAGGAACTGTTATTACCACTACAACTTCCTTGAAACTTTCATATTCAACACAATCAGACCAAACCAAGCAAATTTTATCATCTAATGCACCTGTTGTCCAGACTATAACCAATAATTCTTTATCTCATCTACAACGTGTTTACTCTGTCAATAACGAAGTGAATAAGAGTATGAAGTCAGACATCACACAAGACTTGTTTAAAGTAAGTTCACAGTCTCGGGAAATAATGCCAGTTTCACATAAAGAACATCAATAACGAAGTGAATGAGAGTATGAAGTCAGACGTCACACACGACTTGTTTAAAGTAAGTTCACAGTCTCGGGAAATAACGCCAGTTGTCAAGGATGCCTTTGACATAAAGAACATCAATAACGAAGAACCTGGTCTTTGTGTCATAACTGATGTGTTTAGTCTGACAAAAATTTGACGTCACTTTTCAAAGAGTGCAAAGTAGAGTACCATTCACATCAAAAAGTGTCTGTTTATCCTCATTTGGCAATTCTGCAAAATTTCATTGACTTTATTTACCTTGTAGTTCTATGAATATGTTTCACATAAAATTGCAAAGTTTTACGTGTTAATGTGGAACATTGTGTACATATCTTTTGAACATAAAATAGTGTTGTTCAAGGCATAATATAATTAAGAAATGAAATATCATAAATTCTATACTTTATTTTTCAAAATGTGTGCAATATTTCACACATGTGTATACAAGCTGGTATTTGTAGAAATTAGCCGCCTTTTTTTATATTGTAGGCCTTTTTTTATATTGGAATCAATTTTCTTTCTTTGAGACATAGATTGGAATAATAATATGGTATTATACTTTGAAGTTTGAATTTGTCTTTCATGTAAGAAGAGATATTTTAGTTGGAAGCATAATTCTTGATTCCATTCGTCTCACCAGGGGAACTACAATAAGAAATTTTGTATTTTTATATGTCACAGTGTGTTGATATTGAAAAATATTCTTACCTGTATTTGCAACACAATCTGCCCAGTTTGGGTTTTCCCAGGCAGCCTCGCGTGTTTCCTTTCTAACCTTTAGATTTCTGTAGGCTTTCCATATTAATGACATGATTATGATAAAAATGTTAAAGAGACTATAAAATAAACAAGTGTTGGAATACTTACCCCATAAATGATGAACAACATAAAGTTCTCCAATCTGTGTAAAAAATCCAGCAACATCTTCATTATTTTTCTGTCGATGTACAATGGCTTGAATCCAATTATTCCTCCACTCAATCAGACTTCCAGGCTTATCACCCACAAAAACAAACATGACATGATGTAAAAAATGCTAGGAACTTTTGAAAAGTTCATGTTGTAAAATATACCTTCAAATGATAAGTTCTCAACTCATAGACATTTTGTGTTTCACGTAAACGAGGTTCACCCCAAAAATCAAATCCATACAACAGTTGGTTGTATCTCTTGTGAAGCATTGATGATTGTTCTTTTTCAAATAATTTGAATTCCTACAAAATGACAAATAAAACTTTGAATTACAGCAAGAACTACGCATCATAAACAATTTATTTTACCTCATTTGTTTGAAGATAATCATTGGCTTTATTCACATCATCAAAGCCACTTTTGTACACCCAAAGATGTACTAAAGGATAAAAACATTTGAAGACTGTTGAATAAACTAAGGATAAGCCACCTGATCCTACCTACCGGCATTGTCTAATGGTCCATACAATGTTGTCCAGCTACCAAGCAGAGTTGCTGGGAATTCTGGATCTTTGCTAATCCGAGGCAGTTCTGACGACCTGTGGATTTATGGTGAATGTACAAATCAAACTCTTTCACTATGATTCTAAACATCATCATATACTTACACCAATTCAGAATAAACATCCATGTTGTCTGGTTTTATATGATGAACTACAATCCATAAGCAGATGCAATCAGATCATTTGTTATTATTGTAGGTGAAAAATTTACAATTTGATGAAGTCATGGGGTGATAACCACGATTTCATAAATGTGTTTCTAATTATCTTTTCAACGTTTCAAGCAATAAATTGGTAAACACAACTCGACAGAATAGTAATGTTTTAAAGTAGTGAAAATAAATTTAAATAATAAAAATAATTTAAAAACTTACATTGAAGTTCATACAACACGTTATTCGTCAAGATTTTTGAATGAGCGTCGCTTCTAGTGTCCGAGGCTCCATCAACAAAAGAACTCCAAAACCCTTTATCTTTTGAATATGCACGACATATAAACGCCTTATAGGAGGAGTTTAAAAATTTGTTTGAAAAAACACGACGAATCATTAGATTCTTCGCCATTTCGTGACCTTTGATCTAAAAAAAAGTTTTTCGTTCTTTCGTACATATTCTGTGGTTCTGTCTAACATCACGTTTTTCTGTTTTCAACCCAGAATACTTCATTTAATGCAATTTTTAAGAATAAGCAAATGACTAAACCTAATATTTCAATGGGATATACGATTTCTGGTGACAATTTTAAATAGACCAATTGCCCCGAAATAAATCATTACTTCTAAAATACTTGTTTCATAACTATTTATTAATCTTCAGCAGGGAGGGATGTCTTAAGAAACTTTGCCAACTTGCCGTTCTTGTTATCGCAAAATGCTTTTATATGTTTGACCAATTTGCAGATTGTCTCATGATCTATTGTTACTGAGGATTTCCAACGTTTTGTCAGTACATTATTGAGTCTCCATACATATCCATACATGCCACTTTTGTCCTTGACATCCATCACAAATTGTTGTAGCTTACTATCCAGTAATGTCATAAATAGTGTACCAGTAAAATGGACATAGCGATAAGAAGATGGGGGCTTACGGTTTCTGCTATGATTTTCGTAGATTCCTGAACCATATGGAAAGTCTTTTAAGAACCCAAACCTACAAGAGAAAACACATCGTAGATCGTGTGACTTGCTTTGTCGTAAACGCTTGTGTTCTGGTAAGAACCACACATCCATGTGAACTTATATATGGGTTTGGGGGGATCTTAAATTGAACAAAAGACTACACACAGGGAAACGTCCCAATGGATGTAATATTTGTGACTAGCATTATTTACATAAACATTCACACACAGAAGAAACACCTTGTACCTTTCTGTACATAAACGTTCACACACAAAAGAAAAACCTTGTACCTTTCTGCACATAAACGTTCACACACAAAAGAAACACCTTGTACCTTTCTGTACATAAACATTCACACACAAAAGAAACACCTTGTACCTTTCTGTACATAAACATTCACACACAAAAGAAACACCTTGTACCTTTCTGTACATAAACGTTCACACACAAAAGAAACACATTGTACCTTTCTGCACATAAACATTCACACACAAAAGAAACACCTTGTACCTTTCTGTACATAAACGTTCATACTGAAGATACGCGTAGTCATTCACTGTGATAATCAAAACTTGTCCAAAACTGACCTTCTTAAAATTTTTTCTTGTAATACTAAGACCCTCAAATCAAACTCCTTCTTTGATATATCTGGAAATGTATAGCATAAATGGAGAAAATACAGTTCATTTGCATTTAAAAGTCTCTCCCACAATCCCAAAATTTAATTTAATATCAATTTTGAAGATAATCAATGCTGAAATCTGAAAAAGCACCTCTTCATCCCTACAAGACGCCGCTAAATTCTTTCATTTCGTCTTCGAGAGCACAATATGCTATGTGCATCCTGTAGATTTCATTAATACAATGCAAATCCTTCTAGAAATATCATGTTTTGAGCGTAGTGCGAGTCTCAAAATTTGATCAAAAACCATTTTCAGGACATTAATTGCTGACACTTAAAAGAGCTCCACATCACATTTAGTTCAACTCCTAGAGTACAATGTTTTGAGTCCAACTATGATATCTCAAGAAGGAATTTGCACTATGTAATAGAAACTATCTCTCTCACATACACACACACAATAACTATCATGAAGTATGCCATATTTACTTTGAAATGCTTCGTGTCCGCTAAGCAACGTGACGTCCAACGGAATGTAGTGAGCGTTTGTAAAAGGATCATTTCGTGCTAGATGATTGTCGATGAGAAACGTAGGTACTGGAACCAACTGAAATCCATAAGATGTCGCTTTACGTGCCCAGCTTTGAACCTATAACAAAAATTAATGTACTTGAAACAGAAAAGCTTGAAACAGAAAGGCAGATGACGCAGATATCCTACGACTCAACTTTAACTCTTTCATATTTCTATGAATTTTCAAAAGTTATCAGTATTCATCCGTACCAATTGATTAATAACGGATCCAGTTGATATTAACCATCCAACTTGTAAACCATAAGCATTATCTGGGCAGTATATACCATGGTATCTTACATTGCACCATTCAGGACGGTCACTAGAATTGTTATCAAGATTCAACTCACAATCTTTGTACAGATCAGGAATCTTTCTTTTATCTAACGTAAAATGTTAAATCATAAATATAATTTGTCATAAATATATCTTCTCAATATTGAATGGTTTTAATGCAGTTTTGAAGCAATCGTCCAATATAAACTATCAAAAAAAGTTCATTCCAGACATTAAATAATGACAATTATTTGATCTTTATTAGTCCTTGCTGTCAAAAGAACGTGATTCAAGTGGTCAAAATATTTATGCAAGCTACATAAATTACCTTGTGATATGTCATTGTGACTAAAATTGGCGAAAGGAAAGGGTGAGATTTCAGAACCTTGCTCTTTTAATTCAACTTCAAACCATTTTCTCTGAAATTGATCTCGAGTCTCCTCTAGAGGATGAAATGAAGGTTAAAGTGTTTTATCAATAAAAGATTAAATCGACAAAATATTAGCAACTAACTCTAATCTTAGCACAAATCCTAACGATAATCTTAACCATATTTAAAAACTGAAGGAAAAGGTACGATCGTTAATAGATTAAATACAACATTCAATTTACTCGCCTTGTTTCCTTTTGCCATTTTCCACAATTTTATAAAAATAAAATCCATCAATAAATGGATTATTCAAGCCAGATGCATGTTTAATAAAACCTTCATCTAACATTCTCTATAGAGAAATTTCAATGAAGACGATGATATTAAATCATTTGAAAACAATGAACACGAATTAACATAAAATCACCTGTGCAAGAGATACAGCTTCCGAGCGCGATGAAATAAAAGAGAGAGTTCGAATTAACCATGATGTTAAATCTGTTCCAAGGAACGACAAACGAGGTAGACTTTGCATTTCATTTAGAAAGTTTAAGCCAGACCTTGAATTAAAAGAGCGTCGTTACTTCAATGTGATGTTTGTGAAATTTTACATCATTCAGTGTTAATAATTAATTAATAAAATACATCTTACTTTTTCCTTTTCAATTGTTTGATGACATCTGCTAGAGATGTGTTAGTGTTGTCTTCATTCTCGCTACTTGAGGATCGTCGTCTATGACTTTGACTGATAGTAAATAGAAATTTGTTGTTTTTAATCTACATGAAGTAATGGCCAATCTGTGAGCCATAATTATACTTATTAGTGTCCTGATGGCGTGGACTTTGATTCGCATCAAGGGAGGCTATTTCATTTTCATCCAGAGTTTCAAGATCCTTACTACCTTCACCACTTCTATTACGGCGATGTGTTCGAACACTTGAAAGCGGACTTTTTGTGACAGTTGGCGTACTTGGTCGTCGTGATTTGGTAGGACTTTGACTCTCGGCAGCAGCAGGTCTACGGATACGATTTAATGTCTCCAAAACCTCAAAAATCCTTGAATGTATTTTGATTGAAGGGCATTATTATCCTCTTCATCACGAGTCAAATATTTCAGCTGTTGCACAGGTAGTAACAAAAGACGTATGCGCCAGTAATTGAGAGACTGGGAACAAAACATACACTTTAGTGTTATTATGAAGATAAATTAAAGAACATTTTCATCAATACACACCTCAATTAAGTTTAAATAATCCGGATCACGTGCAATATATTGATCCATGTAATTCCAGTTATAATTCGTGATGTCATTATTGTTAAATATTGTTTTCATTTTGACGTGTTGTTGAGTAAATTCACACCACAAACGATACGAATAAAATACCGGAGGAACATTGATAACGTGGGTTGGTTGATACCGGGTAAATGATACCTGAAGGTTAAATTCCCTTATTATTAACATGTTAAGCAGATAACATCATAATACTACCCACTTACTTGTTCGGACGACACAGTGTAAGTTAATTTATGAAAATTTCTTCCCATCATAAAAAAATATTCTTTATCCGGGACACCTTGTGGAATCACGCCAAAACGTGGCTGCACAACAGGCGAGAAAAACATACCATTTTCTTGGGAGGTTTTTGAGCATACAAGCTGGAAACCCTAAAAAAAGTTTTCGTGAGAAAATGATTTCAAAGATTCTTGGTAAAACCTAACGAAAACCGACCTGTGCTATTCTTTGCGAAATAAATTCTTTCAATTTATCGTCTGGTTTCATAACAACTCCTTTATCATCACTATTTCCTGTACTAAAAGTGACAAAAGACATTACAATTTTAAACAACAATAACGTAGATTGGCCGCAAATAAAACTCCTCAACTTACAATTCTTCGTCAATACATAAGTCGTAAGTATAAACTTTATAATGGTTGTCAAGTAAACTTTGTTTTGGTTTGTAATCTGTGGTCACTGGTAGACACGCAGGAATAGTGAGAGACTTCCAGTCAACACTAGTTGTCATTGCCGCTGTCCAATCATCTTCAGAGGGTGCATGGAGTTTTTTAACCCAACCCAATCCTTGCATGTTGATTGCCTTGTGTCTGAAGGAAGCTGAGCCTACAGAACGACTCAAGTGTGAGGTCAGCGTTGTTCTCTTGATTCCACTTTCTTCCTTAGGTACTTCTGAATCTTCTTTGTCTACAAGACCTGCAGTCAATCCACTTAAATCCTGTTCAATCTCCTAAAACAACAACAAAACACAAAATGAGCGCCCAGGTCCTCTCTTAACAAGAGAAGTTTCACACACCAAAGATTTGAGAAGACTATCGTCATCCACGTGATCAGAAATCTTGTAATGATGTTCTTGTTTCATTTCACCTCCTGGTCCCTTGGGAAAGGTGTGTCTCCAGCGATGTCTGTTACACGTCATCTTACAAGGAAGGTAGTTAGGACGAAATGGATTAGTTAGGGATCTTCGTGGACGTCCGATGTCTTGGTAAAAGTATGACGCATCTGCACTACCGACTACAGCACGTTGTGAAGCGATTGGAGGTGAATGAGAAGATAAAAAATCAGCATTGGCGTAATCATTAACAGCTGTAGGTAAAATAAATTTAACTTTTATATACAATGTAATTTTGGAAAAAGTTAAAAGAATTTCTATGAGAAAACAATGGATATTTTTATGAAGAATGTTTTATGCAATGAATATTCTTATATAGACATGTTTTATGGGAGAACAGTACCTATGTAGAAATAATGAAGGACATGCATGAATAGCGATGAATTTAAGAAGATAATCATAGATCTAAGGATGTAACGATAGGGATAGGGGTGGAAGTGGGAGTGCTCTAGCTAGGAGTGGTACACACCCTTCCACCTCATCCAGCCAAAGCTAGGAGTGGTACACACCCTTCCACCTCATGAAGCCATGCCTACAAGTGGTACACACCTCATCTAGCAATGATTATGAATGGCGCACACCCTAACTGCACCCCATCTAACGAAGGCCAGGTGTGGTACACACTTCTTCTCCATTCCATCTAGCGAAGGCTACGAGGACCCCTTTCCATCAATCTATCTCTTAATCTGAGCCATCCATGTTGCTAATACTGAGGAAATCTTCATTATGATTCTAGAGGATTTTCTTAATATGATTACAGACAGAAGGCATAGAGTAACACTTACATGAATTGATGCAATCAAACGAGTTTATCGCTCCTAAACTTCGTGCTTTGTGAATGCAATTCTGAAAATACAAAACAAAATAACATTGACGTTATCTAATGATCTTTAAAATACATCAACGACATAAAATAAAAGGAGATTTTTCTAAGATATTTGCCAATCACACTAACATTGTCTCGCTTTCCATTGATTTCAATAGAGCCACTCTTTGACACCATTTTTTCCTTCTTCAAGAACTTCTCTACCTTAGTAAAATCTACTTCAAACCCACCATCAAAACGTTTCCAAGGGTTATTTCCTGGGGTTAAAGTCTGTGGGCGAGGTTTTGTTTGAGCACATTTAAACACTTCTGTGTCATAAGCATCGTAGTCAACAAAATCGGGAAGTTTTTTCGCTTGAATTTCCTCAGAATGAATGTGACTTGAAACTGTAAATGCAAAAACATTCATAATCTGTGTTAAACGTCAAGAAAGCTTTCACATACTTAAAATCCTTTGTGTAAAACAAACACAACATTGTAAATAAGTTCATATGCTGTGTGAAAAGTACGCAAATAGTTGGGTAAGCTGAGAAACGATTACGTTTAGGAAGGTTAAATGTATTAAGGAGAAAATAAGTTTCATGAAGATGAGACACAAAAGAAGGCTTACAAAATAAGTTAGACGTGAAGATTTTTTTATCTTACAATTGTGATGCTTTTTATATTCTCCAATTCCTTGATGGCAACGAATGATATCAGGGACCTTTATACGAGGTACAAAGCATTTCTTTTGATTGCATTGAGATTTTGATGAATAGAAACTATGATTTATCCAATGAGGTATGCCATAATCATCACCAATCAACGTTGATGAACCAAACTTTCCATGAAATTTTAGCAAAGGCACAGAATGCAAGGGTTGTTCTGCCATACATACTAAATCAGCAGACATACCTACAACAAAACTTCTTATCTTAACATCGACACGCTTCAAACAAAGGAAATATTTCACTCTGTTTTATGAGAGATGATTATCTTATTAAACTGGCATAACATAACCCACCATTATCCACAATTCTTTGTTTCGTCAGTGTTGCCAACTCTCTATCAACTTCAAACATTCCTGCACCCGCAGTTATAACTACCATTTGTTGACCTGTTACTTCCAAACTTTGGTCAATATATGACTTCTCAAATACTACAAGGATTGATCATTTTATCAATACATCATAAAAATTATGGGGGGGGGGAGGATAGAAAATCAAATGAAGGAAGCAATGTGTGGTTTTTACAATAACGCACCATTAGCACCCAAGTTTAAAACTTCAAGGAAATTTCCTTGAGAAGCTGGTGCAAGAGAGTTTTCAGGAAAACCATCTTTTTTTAACATTTTTGGAAATTGAATAAAATGTTTTTTCAATTTGATAATAATTGAAGACCAATCATCAAGTCTTTCATCCTGAGCTATTACATGGTAGATATCTTCATACATTCTACCCATATAATCACAACAAAGTTGAGAATGCTTCTCTTTTGATGCATTACCTAGTGTAAGAGCAACAAATTCAACTAGAAATATGCCATTTAAAGCACCATCAAAAATGTCAATTCAAAATATTTTACTTACACAGCATACTCTTATCATAGAATATTCGAGCAAAATAGACAACTGTCAATGAATGAGTACATTTCATTTCTTTCCATTTCTCAAACAATTCAACAAAAAACCCATTGACTGTCTTCTCAAAATAAAGATCTCCATTCATATCAAATTCCCACATTTCTTGACTCATTTGAATAAACATGAAGATTGAAGCACAAGAAGACCTAAAGACAATCTTTAAAAACAGAGATCTTTCAATTTACACTAAAATGTAATCATTTCAATATATCAAAAACTTAATAATCTTACCCTCGTATCATCTCCAACTATGCCACACGCTACCTTCTTTGCAACATCACCATGAGACCACATCTCATGAACTTCGGCTCGAGCTTCAGCAAAACTTACTCTTTTTGATGTATAAACAGCAGAATGAATGAGAGTTTTCCCAAATCTCCACATATCACTTTGACCAAGGTATTGATCTTTAAATTTAAGCTCAACTAAGGCTAAAGTATAAGCTGTAGGTTCAACCTGCCTCACATAGACATCCCTCAAAGTACGAAAATTGAAACGACTTGCAATCCAATGCTTCAGACTAATCGTCTCTTTCTGTTGAAAATCTGTCTGCAGGTTCGTTATTTGTAACAATAGATTTCCTGTGCTTGTTCCATCTTCAAAATCTTGATAGATCTCCAAAATGTCTCCAACTTTTAAAGTATTTTGAAAATCCTTTGGATTTATAACGAGATCGTCTTCACTAAAGTTTGCCTGATGTGTCTGGAGTTTGCAAATTCTATTCATTTCTTTTTTAAACTAAACTAATGTCTATATAATATTTCTACGTTCACCATTGCTTATTGGGGAACATAACATTATATTACATCCCGTGCGCCGGAGAGAGAAGATGCGTCTGCGATGCATTATGGTCAGTGTAGTGGATCCAGTGGATCATAGTCAGGATCACGATCATAGTCAGTCAGATCATAGTTGATAATCATTGAAAATCTTTGAAATGTTAGTTAGGCCGCAAGCAAGGTTTACAAATATACAAGTGTTCTTTGAAATACGATCCTGACAACACAAATACGATTGAATAATCTAGATTTTTGAAGATTACTTCGTGGACAAAAACGCGTGTAGATCCAAAAACGCCATAAAAACTGCCAAAAACTAAATTTTGCAACGACGACCAGGAAGTACTGGAAAGGAAATTGGACGAGTGGAAAGCAAAAGATCCAACTTCGAATTTTTTTATAGCATGCGAGAGGAAACGACAAAGAGAAATAACGACAGTGATCCGGAGAGCAAAGCTTTTTGTTTGATCATCAAGAATAATGGCAGCAACGTTTGTTGAAAAGATATGGATACGAGCTACTTTCGATGGATGTTGAATAGAAAACCACGAAGTGTGCTATACTACTTTTCTTCATTTGTGTTCCCACAAATGTTGGTTACAAAGTCGTAACTGAGTTCATGTGAGAGACAGAGGACAGAGAATCTATCAGCGAAGATTTGAACGTTGTCAAATTATAGAATAATGATTGGAAGCATGTGTATTTCATAGTCGACTATTCAACAGTCGAGATTGGGGCGATCGATAAACACTTTCATGGCATAACAGTCTACATCTGCGATTACCACAGAATACAAGTAATGCAAAGACAATTAAAGACGATAAATGATTTAAAAAATGATAAAAAATCATATTTTCTTTCTTTCTTGCATTAAGATCATCCAGTCTCTTGATCGTCTAAAAGACTTAATATGAATATTTAGGCTACGTGTTGGTTTGATCCAAAAATAATGACCGTCTATACAAAAAATTGATGTAGTAAATACTTGAGAGATTATCCAAGATGAATGGTAGCTAAGCTAGCCCAGCAATCGTGTAGTTATGGTGCAGTAAAAGACATCTGTGAATATATATTTTAAAACATTAATAATTGCTACTTCATGTAGTCATATTTTCAGTCTTCAAGTTTGAGGGTATATCTTACAGACAATCGGCGACCACTAAATTGTTGTCACCCTAACCAAAATGTCATCTCGAATGAACAGTTTCTTTTTACAGTAAACAAACAATAAAATTGCCAACCACTTTTATACATCTCTATACATATCAGCTCATGTAAAAATAATTCAGAAGCATGACTGCCAGCTGCTTACCTGCAGAACTAGCAGTTGTAGTAACTTTCATTGTACAATACGACATTAATCTTACATTAAGTATGCGATACCAAAGTTCGACGATGCAATGACATGTTCAATACCTTCGCCAACTCTGTCGTCTTGTTCAGAAATATTCAACAACAGTGAATCCAACGGTTGACGTTGAGCGACTAGTTGGCGATATATTTTACCTGCATAATGCAACAAGTTGTTGAAACTTGCGACGGCCTAAAGAAAAGATACCATATAATGATGCTGTCCATCTGATGAAAAATTGACGTCATATAATATAACATCACGATACCACGTGATATTTAAGAATAACATGACATCACTCTAATAAAAATTTGATTACATTGTAACTGATATGAACTTGTCGCATTCTACGAATGAATATGACTATTTTGGAAAATGTCCGACTTATTCCAGTAAATATAATCACAATTTTCTTGTAATTTGCAAGTAATGTGAAGTTTGTTATTACAGTTCACTGACCATTTTCTTTTTTTTCAACTGTCGTATATCACATTACCAACATTATGTATATCACAACGCATCATACGTATTTATGACGTAAAGATAAACATTGCTCAATGTCCTGTGCCATTGTTACAGAGGCCTTTGTTGAATATTCAGAATATTATATAGTCAAATAGATGTAATTAGCTAGGCATTCTTCTTGGTTTTTTTTAAAATCACTAAGCATGAATCGAGCTTTTCTTATGAAAAGCTTCAATTAGAAAACAAATTTTACAATTATTAAAAATATGAAATTTCACCATAAATGGTGAGATCCTGCCGGATATTTAGTACAGGAAGTGCTTCTTTTTATGAAATAAATATCTGATCACATTCTTGACTCGCATCGTTGTCGTCAAACCAGACATTGCTTCCTTAACATTGCATTCTTGTGTCTCCTAAAGAAAATAAAATTCGCCATGGCTGAGGAAGAAGCAAGATTAAAGGCTTTGGTAAGAAAAAATTATCATTATTAAGAACAAATACAATATAAGGACAACCTTATACGACCTATAGAGCTTGTATTGGACTCATTATTCTGAAAAAATTTTAATTTGATATCGAGTACTTAATCTTGTCCTGATATTCTGTTGACCAGATCGACCATTTGCTTAGTGATTTAGCAGTGAATTCTGGCGTATTATATTTTAGAGTAACTTATAAAATGCCTAACAATCGTTTGTCACATGAAGTGATATTTTTGTTATGTATACTTATAACCAGGTTCTACACGACTGCATATCTTGGTTCTGGAGTTTCCTGCTGTTATTCATGAATACATTTCATTCAGAAGATAACGCCGCTTATATTCTATTTGCGACTTGCTATTGCTTCTTTATTTAAAAATTCATTATTTCTATAAACAGTCAGTACATGCACCTTTCCATTAAGTGAAAATATGACGCATTAATTCTGTACAATGTTTGCTGTAGATGGCATTTAATCAGTGTCATGTTTGTTTAACAGAATTAGAATTTTAAGTAAACAAATTCGTGTGTTTGCGACTTGACAAAAGAACGCGCGTTCACTGATACAGTTCACTGAAAAGCAGCCGTTCAAGACCTCTGAAATATGCGAATTATTTCAAGTATCGCATTTAATACCATATGTTATTAAGAAAATCCACGTTTAAGCTGATTTCCTAGCAGTTTTTACTAAATACAAGTTGGCAGTTATGATATGGTGCAGACAATTTGACAAGATTTGCAAAATTTTCCTAACCAATTACTTTATTTAAATGTGTTATTTTTAATTATCATAATCTAGTTGCAAAGTAAATATTTATTTTGGAAAGAGTTATAGATAGCTAAGGATTACCATTCATTCTTTATTGTGAATATAAAATAATGGTTAGTAATTTCTTAGGATTAATGCTAATTTTTCATTAAATGAAAGGAAATGATAGCTATTTCATCAGCTGCAGAAAATAACATTTAAATTTCATAATGCATTTCTTATCCCATAATTTTCAGCTGGAAAAAACAGAAGACTTTGATGAAAGACGTAAAATTAGATCTGAGCTACGAGCAGTGCGAAAGAAGATGTTGGATGCTATGAATGCAACAGCAGAAGCAGAATCAAATGAGAGAGCTGCAAGACGCGCAGAACGAGCAAGAACAAGAAAGGCAGAAGATGAAAGTAGTAGTTATAAAGGTGCAGTTATTACAGATGAAATTCTAACAGCAATGGATAATGAAGAGTCTCTTCAAACACTTGTAAGTTGATGGTTTTTTTCATTAACTGTTTTTCTATAGTTTTTACATAGAAATCGACATTCTCTTTTAGTTGAATGAAATTCCAACATCTCAGATTGAAGATCGCAGAAGGATTCGTGCAAGGCTACGTGAAGTCAAAAGAAATAAAGGTAAAAAAACTTGTTGATTAAAAATTTGTTAGGGTTTGCTAGTTCTTCATTGAAAACAAAAAAAATATCATTAAGGGTTTCAAAGGAATGCGTATAAAAATATAAACTATAATTGTTTTAGAAAACATTGCAACATCTCAACCAACAAGAGTAACAAAAGAAGAGATACAGAAAATTGATGAAAACTTAAATACAACAGAGAGAAGTCAACAAGATAACATCGATTCATTTTCTGATGGCCTTGAAAATCAAAGGCAGTCCAAAACAAATGATGATATTACCATGGCAACCTTATCATATGGCAATCGTTCAAGAGTTGATAACAATGAAGAAATTTGTGTTAATGAAGAAACAAAGAGTATAGAGGACAATAAGCAAGAAGATGAATCTTCTAAGGAATCAGAAAAAATATCAAATGGTAATGATGGTTTATATATGAAATTGAGTTCAAGCCAATGTGAGGCAGTAAATATCGAGACACTAGCTGAGACAGAGAGTGTTGGTAATATGCAATTTGAAGTAGTGCTTCAACAGAGTACTGATCAAAATGATAATAAGGAACCCAAAGGATCTAATAAGGATATTGGAGATGTTGAAAAATCAAGCAAAGATAATGTGCCATCAAGAGAAAATCAAGAAACGATTTTGGTTGAAGAAAAGAATAATCATGATCAATTGGCTGCAAAGGTAACGGTAAAAGAAATTTCTGTTAAAGATAAAAATGACAATGACAATGTTGAAAAAGAAACAAATGTTGTTGAGGAAATTTCACTTCAGTTTAATGGTGATGATGGAAATTTCAGCATTGATAATGATAGAAAAAGCACCAAACAACGGCAAGATGTTAAAGAAGACAAAAAAAAAATGAAGATATAGAAAATATGAATCACGTAGATGGTAGAAATACCACAACTAATGAAAGCAAAGAGAAAAAACCTTTGTTGTTGTCAGAACAAGATGACAAAAAGAATCTTGGTAAGATAAATCAAATTGATTTTCGACAAAACTTGAAGAAGTCGGGTAAACTTGATCAGGGAAAAAATGCTGTGCATCTTGAGAAGAAAAACGTCACTGCGGGTGCACAGATTGATTTTCGAACTGGAAATCTGAAAAAATCTGGTCGTATTGGCGGTGGAGCTGTGAATTTGGAGAGTAAGATATCAACACAAGGAGCACAAGTGGATTTCCGCAGTAGTAGTTTGAAACCTTCAGGAAAAATTGGTAATAGTGTTTTAAATCTAGAACGAAAATCAAACACTGCTGGCGCTCAAGTTGATTTCAGAGGTGCTTTGAAAAAAAGTGGTAAAACACATGAGTCAGCAGGCGAAACAAAAGACGATGCTGCAGAATCAAAACAACATGTTCAGAAAGAAATTGTGAAAGAAGTTAAGAACGACGTAAGTGATGAGTTGAAGAAGGAAAAATCTAGAGATGATGATAAAATGAAAGCAAATACCGCGAGCAAAAGTACACCACAAGTTCAAATTGCTCCTGCGAAGATAACGAAAAAGAAGGAACCTTTCTCTGTTCCCGTGAAAAAAGACAGTTCAAGTAAAACGGAAGAAATTCAAGGCACTGTTAAAATGAAGGAAAGCAAGGCAGATGTTATTCCGAATACTTCCGATGATACAGGAGAGGTTGTAAAACATAACGATGAAGATAAAGCAATGGTGAACGTTGTTGTGGATAATGAGGGCGACAATGCAACTGTAATGAATGTTAAACTCGATACTAAAGTTTCAACTGAAAGCAGTTCTAAAGGCAAGGAAAAATTAAATACAAAAAGTCAAGTTGGAACAAGATACAAACCTCAAGATGGTTATCGAACAACTAAGGATTTGAATAAGACGGCTCCAGCAAGAAATAAATTTTCAGATCGAATGGCTAAATTTCAATCTAAAGATGAAACGACTGATAAACCAAAGCAAAGTTTCTTGTCTTTTGACAAGAGGTATGTTTTCACCATCAAATAACTATTTTGTTTAAATATATGTATTAAGGTTTCTCTCATTGCCATAATTAACGAGAGATATGCTGTTACTTGTTTAAAAAGATAAGACAGAGGTTTCTAATTATTATTGAAGTATTTGCATATTTTACTTAGATAATTAACTGTGTGTTTACTGTCTTTGTATAATGTTAGTCTGTTCACGATTATTACAAATATAAGTGAAATAAATAAAACAAAATAATTCTAGTGCATTCGCTTTCTAATCTTAAATTAATCTTTGATGCTAAGACTTAAAATAAACAAAAAAACACAGTGCAACAATATCCAGATGTTTTTATTTTTTTCTGAATGTTTACCTTTTTGTAGTGGATTTAATACAAGCCTTAAAATCACAAATAAAAATGAAATAAAACGCAATTAACAAAATAGTGTTTTGATTTAACGTAAAACGATTGAAAAGAAAAAGACATCTTTGAATTTATTGTTCACCAGCTGTTATACAGACATACAGATATGATCATTTAGTTATATGCTAATTTAAATCAACCTTGATAGAATGGTTTCAGTGTTGTAGTTGATCGAAAGAAATTGTTGTATAGCAATGTGATGACTTCATAGCGAAGACAGTACAGTACGACTTACGTTAACGTCTGTTTTATCGTTCTAAAGTTTTCTAAAACAGTTTAAATAAATGTCTTCAGTGTATATTGTAAGGTTAGTTTATACTACTAAATTTTTGTCTACTTAAACTTTTAAAAAGCGCTTTACTTAAAAAAATCTAAGTTTACTAAACAAAGTTTAGAACATTGATTAGTTGACTTGAATAAAATCTTTTTTCAACCTTTGATAGAAAGGAGAACAAGAAAGATGTTACAGTTCCTATGAAGGACAACACAAGCAAAGAAATAACTGTAAAGATGGATGGCACTGCCATTACGTCAAAGGAATCCATTAGTACAGTACAAAGTAAGGTCAATGATCGTATTGAAGATGGTGGTCCTACTCGTGCGGAAATCCACGAGGATAAGACGATGACTAACAAAGACAAAACGGCAAAGACTGTCAAAGAAGAAACGGCAAAGACTGCCGACGAGAAAACGGCAAAGACTGCCGAAGAAGAAACGGCAAAGACTGCCAAAGAAGAAACCACGAAGACAAGCAACGATAGCGTGGTTATGGAGAAAAAAGACGCTAAATCGGCAAGCATTAAAACAAATGAAATCAAAGTGAACAATCAAAGCAAAGAAACTAAAAAGCCAGCACGGAAGACATTTGTTGGTGAGTAATAACTGTTGTGTTGTTCTCACACCCTCCGGTTAAAGGACATTTTACGTTAATATTGTGGCCTACACTCTCCTGAAGATATCGTGTTTCATTATCATACATGACTATTCTTTTTAGATCCTGAGCTTCAAAAAAGGATGGCTCAGCGTCAACGTGACAGAGCAGCTGCAAAACGTGAACAAGCATCATCGGCAAAAAATAAGAGAATGGCTTTTATGCAGAAACTTGAGGCAAACAGTCCAGAACAAAAGTAATGATGGTTTTTATGCTATCACATCAAATGTTTCTTAATTAATCGTTCAAAATTTGCTTTTGATAGGTTTTACATGTTTTTGATGACACAATTGGTCTAAAAAAACGTTTTTGTTTTTCCACTTTTTTTTTCGTGAATAGAGGCCAGTCGAACGTAACGAAATCAGGATCAAATGTCGAAAAACTTCTTTCGTGGTGTCGTTATAAACTTGGAAGATACAAGGTACGTGATTATTTTGTAATAGTTAAAAAAGTTCTAAAACACGCGAATTGAGGTGAATTACACGTGAAATCCTTTGTTTTATTTAAGGGTGTCCAACTGACAAATTTTTCATCAAGTTGGGCCGATGGTTTGGCATTTTGTGCCTTGATACATGTTTATCTTCCGGAGAAAATTCCTTACGATGAGCTTGTTGCTGGCGGAGATAAACGACGTAATTTGGAAGTGGCATTTAGTGTTGCAACGTATGTGTCGATAAGTTCGGTTATATTAAATGAAAATGTCTTTCATTGAAAAATTACATTTTCAATTAGTTAAAGCTTGTGTAAGGTAGATAGTGATAAATATGGAATACACACTACCCAAGATTGAATATAATAATTGACTTATTGTCTGAGTTGTCACCAAACGTGAAAAATAGTGTTGGTGTGTTAAAACTTACATTTAAAATTTTTTTATTACATACCTTCTTTAGTGAAGCTGGTATTCCTGAGTTACTTGAAGTTGATGATATGCTTTCGTTTGCAAGTCCAGAACCCAAGAGTGTCATGACATATGTATCATCAATTTATAAACATTTTAATCCTTCTTGAAGTGTTTCCTTTGAGTATTCTAGAGAAATATAAAGTTACACATAAGAATATATATAGAATATAGTTAAAAAAGAATTTTAGTTTAGTAAAATTGAAATGAGGTAGACATGACTGCACATGTATTTGTGAATTTAAAGAATAAAATTATATTTTTATAAGTACTTTAAAGCTAGCATAATTTTTATTATACAATTTGTTTGAATTTTGAGCAAACATTAGACTTGTTGTATAACATTGATGAAGCTATAAAGTGCTTTTAGGGTGTTTGTACAACATGGTTGAAGCTCAAAGGAACTATTCACATTGTTTACGTTCTGTAGCAAGAGCAATGCCCACAATTTTTAACGTCCGTATTAAAAGTTTGTTTTTCTTGCGAAGTCTTTATTTTATCTTTTTCTTGCAAATTCTTTATTTTCTCTTTTTCTTGCAAATTCTTTATTTCATCTTTTTCTTGCAAATTCTTTATTTTATCTTTTTCTTGCAAATTCTTTATTTTACTTCTCCTTTTGCCCAGTCTACAGTCTTCATGATTTGGTGTCCAAGCTCCAAGACTTAGGTTGGAATAATAGTCCATGGGATATTGTTGCTGCCAGTCAATTGATTTTATAGCAACCATGGTCTAAGATAGATAAATGTTGCATTTTTTTCAAATTGATGATATTAAATGAATTAGGTCAGTCACACAAAACACAGATAAAGCGATTTTCGTTAGATAGTGTCTTTGAAACGTATGAAAAAGAAACGTTTTGAACATTAGAAACAATCATCAAGACGAAGAAACTCCAGTGTTTGTGCAACCGACTGGTGATCATGTGGTGTTTACGCACCTCATATGGTGTGAGTAGTGGTTTCGTAAATGACATTCCCCAATCAATAGAAATGCGTGGACAGGTTATTTGAACCCAACTAAAAAACGAATGATTAATTTCTACAGAGACAGCATTTTCATCCAAATGCACATTTCAAAATGATTTTTAAACATACTTACGCATCAACGTTGTTAAATAAATCAAGTTTAAAAGGGAATATTTCAGATAATAATAATCTAACAACTTTCTTATTGCGCCCTTCAAGGCATTTTTCAAGATTCTAAAACAGAAAATGGAAAGTTAATAGACCATTTAAAGACAATATTAAGTTCTTAGGACATATAGCCTAACCATTAAAATTTTAGGATTTCCTTGTCGCCCAAGAGTTCCTAGAATTAATCCAAATGTTTCAGCATTTGTTGCTTTATTTATAGCCATCTGTCGACTTTTATGCATCTTGTCAATATCATAATATTCCCGAGAGAAAATCTTACTGTATGGATCGTATCTAAAGAAATACATATATAACCATGATGTTATGTTGATGAAACAAAAATATGAAATCAAAATCACATACTTATATGCTGGTATAGTTGGATTTGCAATCATCACTGACTCCAAATGAAATCGTCCATCACCCAAATATCTGAAGGAAAAAAAGTTCATAAAATTACTTTATGGAAGCTAGATAATCTGAAGATGGCTCATATAAGACTGGTTGATGCAGAATTATAATAATATGACTAAAACTAAATTTATCACCTACATCAAGGCATCTTTATTAGTGATTGTTGGAGAAGTACAACCAAGAATCTCACCAGGGGATAATGGTTTACACTGTGGTATATCTATGGTGAAGTCTGATGATAACTCCATTGCAGAGAACTAAAAAGCAAAAAAATCTTCCTAATAAATCTCCTTATAATCCAATTAATTTGTCGATATCAAAACTTACCTGCAAAGCCGCAGCAAATTGTATAGTACTAACAAGAGAAAGCTTTGAGTTGAGAGGAAAATTATATTTGAGCGTATCAATGAAATGAGCTGTGTCTATCTTGATGTCAACAAACACATAGAGCATTTTGAGACCACACATTGCATCAACAGGAACTAAAATCAAGTTACATACTGTTTCATATGATTATCTGTGAGAAAATACTTGAATTTTTAACAACCCAACTTAAATCAGTGAACATAAAACTGTCACCCTTAAAGTGAAAACAATAAAAGTTCTTACTCAAGCAACTATGAGCATAATGTACCATAAAGTCACAGCCTAGAGCTCTAGCAGTAAAATCATCAACACAACACGCTCCATAAGTCACATCTCCCATTATCACTGTGTCAACCTCGGCATACCTGAATGTACACAAAACCCAAAATAAATTAAAGCATGTATGTAAAGCCATTTGATACATTAATAAATGTTATCAAGTTATAATACAGAAAACCTTGTCAATAATATCAACAAAAGGCCTGACTACATGAAACAACTAGGACCCACAAGCAGGGATAATTTAGACCAAGTAATCAGCTCCAAAAAACCTGAAACTTAGTCTCCCTATAGCCATGATGCTCACCATTTATTCATGAGATGACAACATGAAACCATTTATGTAACAAAGATAATTTAAATGGTTTTATAGGCAGGATGTATTTATAATATTCTAATATTTTAACCATCTTACATTTCAAGGATATCAGCAATGGCACAAGCAAATATTAGCAAACCTTCAGGAAATTGCAAAGCCACTGCAAGAATAAAGACAAAGATACATAAAAGAAATATTCACAAAACACATGTTTATTTGTATAAATGTAACTACCTTGTTTTGCTTTGCTCTTTCTCAGACGCCATATTGTTTTATGAATTTCAAAATTATAATTTGATGGAAGCTGAACAAAAACAAGTGAAGAAATAATAATTTGTTCATTATGTGTGTTTGGAAATTTGTGCAGTTGTACTTGTAAGAAGAATTTTGCCATGGATGGAAAACCATACCTGAGTGATTGCACTGTTTAATTCACTATTATTCAATATATCATCTGGAATTTGGCTGACAATTTTTACACCTGGATTAATCATTGGATAGAAAAAACGATATAATCATTCGTCTTTGACGAAAATATGGCCTGAGATGTAACACATACCATGTTTGCCGGTAAAATGTTTTCTGTTCTTGTTTGCTGACGATACTTGAATGCGATACTCAGGTTGATGGTCAATATGGTCCTTTTTTTGTGGCTTGTCGCCCATATTTTTCACCTAGAACACGATTTTAAATGTCAATGTGCTATTCTTGTGAAATATTAAATTTCACACAGATGTAACACGTGGTATGTCACGAAATCAATAAGAACTTCGATCATCAAACATTGCGTAATATTGTACCACAGACTCATCATCTGTAATTGAATTGAAATCGATTGAATTTCTATCGCTGGTTGATAGGTACATAAAGTCTCTTCATCGCATTTGTATTTGAAGCAATTGTGAAAGTGCGTCGTGAAGTTTTATGCAGATATTACACTGCATGCTTAATATAAGGTTTTAATAATACGTCTATTTGAATAATTTGACTTAAAAAATTTAGAATGTCGGATGATAGTGTAAAACAATTGCAGTACACTTCAGCTTTACCTGTTGGATTTGTTGATATATTCGTATTTTCATCGTTTGTTGGTGTGTTATTTTATTGGTTTCTCTTTCGAAAGCCTAAGAAAGACGAAAAAGAAACTTCTGATACAGATACAAGGTAACTATGACAAACTCTGATTAACTTATTATATGTGATAAAGTAACTGTGAAATATCAAATATTGTCATGTTAAATGATACGTTTAGCTTTCATTTGAAACAGTATTATTTAACGTGGGTTATGTGTAATTGCATTGGTTTTTTATGAAATAATTTTTTTACTAAACATAAACAGTGGTTTTCTCTATACTGTACTGTTGTTCTATGCTTTGTACTACCTGGTACAAGAATGTGATCAGTCTCTTTAAATAATTTTAGTAAAAATATGTGTATTTCTTGCTGAAGACTGAGGTATTTCTGAATATTTTTTGTTTACTGTTGTTTTTCTAGGAATGTTGTAAAGGATTTAAGTTTTATTGAAAAAATGAAAAAGGGGGTGCGTTATATTTGTGAGGATATGAGTTATTCTCTAGAAATATTTTGTTTCCATCAATATTCATTTTATTTAAATTCATAATGAGAGTTTTCAACTTCTAGAATAAGCAAATTGCCATTTTCTTTGGTTCACAAACTGGAACAGCCGAGGAGTTTTCTAACCATTTAGCAAAAGATGCATCAAAATATGGAATGAAGGCTTCTGTTTTTGATCCAGAGGAATATGAAATGGTAATTTCAGTGATGTTTGTGGCTGATGATTTTATGTTTGTATTTAATTTGGGTGAGAATTATGATCTTTAAAATAAAATTTAAGTACCATTCAAGTTTGTTAAATTGTCATGATTATGAATTACTTAATAAAAACAGGACGATTTGTCTCGTTTGGAGGAAATCAAAAATTCATTTGTCATATTTGTTGTGGCAACCTATGGTGAAGGTGATCCTACTGACAATGCACGTGAACTTAATGAATGGCTAGAAAATGATCAAAATGGACTTGACAATTTAAAATATGTTGTAAGTTTAGTTGTTTTTGCAACAACTGCCCAACCAACATGCTTAGGTATTGAAAAAGAGAATCTCATTTTTTCCAACAACTGTTGTTTTAGGTATTTGGTTTGGGTAACAAGACATATGAGCATTATAACGTAATGGGAAAATATGTTGACAAACGACTTGAAGAGCTTGGCTCAACTAGACTTTATGATGCTGGTTTTGGTGATGATGATGAGGAGTATGTTACCTCATTGTTTACTTCATGTAATTTTTATCTACAGCACATTAATCCCAGCTATCACTTACTATCTTTTTCAATTGAATCGTTCATCCATCACTATCCATTCATTATCTTTTATTAACTTTTATATACTCTGAGTTCACAGTACTTAGTGCACACATTGCCTTTGTGCTCATTTTTTGTGCTTGATATTATAGCATTGAAAAGGATTTTGTTACATGGAAAGAGAAAATGTGGCCTGCAGTTCTTGAATATTTTGGTATTGACATGAATGCAATAACGTATGTTACTTGGCTGAAATACCAATTCATTCAATAACTAAAATAAGCTAAATATTACTGCTAATAAAGTTGTTTGCATTCTCTCTTCTGACCTAGGCTATCACAGGACAATATTCGACAATATGATTTGAATATTCACACGGATCTATCAAAAGATAAAGTTTTCTCTGGTGAAATGGGAAAAGTAAATTCTTATAACAATCAAAATCCGTAAGTAAATGAAGTATATTATTTGTTATTGTCTACCATTTAATACTGGCTTTCAGTCATTGTTTACAAATCAATTCAATAACTTTACAATCTTTTTCACAGACCATATGATCAAAAGAATCCATTTTTAGCACCAGTCGTCGTCAATCGCGAACTCCATCATGGTGGTGATAGATCATGTCTTCATATTGAGTTGGATATTTCCCATTCACACCTAAGGTTGCAATGCAAACATTTAAAAAACGTTTACAATTGTAATATTTAAACGTTCTTTACTTATGATAAATTTTTATGTTTTCAAAGATATGATGCTGGTGATCATGTGGCTGTTTATCCTATAAATGACGAAGAACTTGTGCTGAAAATTGGCGAGATTTTAAATGTTGATTTAGATGTTGTTTTCTCCCTTGTTAACAAAGATGGTATGTGCGACAATGCGTTAAGATCTTTTTGACTTAACGATTTTACTTGTACCATGTATAAAATATCCAAATTTCATAAATAGGATTGTTGTAGCGTTGATTATTTAATCTTATGCTAAACTTGACTTCATTTTGTGATTGTTCCTTGAATGATCAAATATATTTAAAAAATTATATACGTACAACATTGTTGTTACTTCAGAGGAGTCAAACAAAAAGAATCCTTTTCCTTGTCCAACTACATACCGTACAGCTTTGCTTTATTATGTTGACATTACGAGTAAAGTGAAAAGTAATCTTCTTCATGGATTGATCGAGTATGCTCAAGATTCTAAAGACAAAGAATTTCTTGAGAAAATCACAAAAAATGACGATGAAGGAAAGGTATGAGTGGCAATAATTATGTGATGTCAATGATGATTTTTTACTTTGCAGAACGAACTTTATTGAAATAACTTTATAATTTTAGTTTTCTTTTGAGAGATTATCCATCAATTCAAATGATTGATTAGAAAAATACTCCGTATACATTTATAGGATCTCTTTAAAGAATGGATTTCGGATGATCATCGTACCATTATAGATGTTCTTCAAGATTTACCTTCAGTTCGACCACCTATTGATGTTTTACTGGAGTTTTTACCACGACTTCATTGTAGATATTATTCTATTTCATCTTCATCTAAAGTTAGTTGACATCTTCATATTCTAACTTTTATTTCAGACGTTATTGTTAATCTCCCTTTTGTCGAGAAATTTGAAAAATTTTTATAAGTCCATTTGCTTTGATACCTATACGTATTAAATCCTCGCTGCACTTTGTTTTTTACAGCTCTACTCTCATTCTATACATATTACTGCTGTTGTCGTTGATTATAAAACACGACTAAATCGACGAATTAAAGGTGTTGCTACAACATGGCTTGCAGAAAAAAAACCTGACGGTATGTATTGGGTATTGTTGAAACAACTCACAGCCGGGTGAAATACTGCTGTCAAAATCTACTTATATAAATTATCACGATGATTTATTTTCTTAAGTGTATATTTTTAGTCGTGGAAATTCCTCGGGTTCCAATTTTTATACGTAAGACTTTGTTTCGTCTACCCATTAAACCGAGCACGCCAGTCATCATGATTGGGCCTGGTACGGGATTTGCACCGTTCCGAGGTTTCATTCAGGAAAGACATGTAAAGAAAAAGGAAGGTTCGTATAAGCATTCTGTATACAAATTGTGATTCCTCTCTTTCTTTTCAATTTAATAATGACTCTCGTTTGTGTTTGTAGGTAAACCACTTGGAGATACAATTTTATTCTTTGGCTGTCGTCACAAAGTTGAGGATTATATATATGAAGAAGAGATTAAAAATTATCACGCTGAGGGGACAATTTCTCATTTGTATGTTGCTTTCTCTCGAGATCAGGTTTGTCATTTAGATAAACTGAGAAAAAGGTGGAGAGATAACATGATATGCAGTTATTTTCTATTTGTTTAGCCTGAGAAACGTTACGTACAACATTTAATTGTGGAAAATAGTGAAACTGTGTGGAATGTTTTGAACAATGATGGTCATGTTTATGTTTGTGGGTATGTAAAGTAAAGATTTGTTGATTTTGATTGATCTTGTGTTCCTAGCGATTCAGTAAGGATCATTAATCATTGATTACGTATTTTTAAATCAGAGACGCCCGACACATGGCTAAAGATGTTCATGATGCTTTGGTCAATGTTGTTCATAAACATGGTGACATGAGCGAAAGTTCTGCTGAAGATTTCATCAAAAATCTACACAATAAAGGAAAATATTCAGCTGATGTTTGGAGTTAGACGAATCGCGTAAAAAGTTGATAAATAATCATTTTAAAGTCGTTAAGGAAGGATAAATATCGACTTATGAAGATGTTATGATAAATTTCAACTAACTTTACCATAGCTCTTCGTAGTAATTCTCGACGTACGCACTCTCCCACATACTATACATAGCAGTAGCGATCATTTTCATTTCCAAATTGATTATTTTCTGAAACTAGCACTTATTGTTTTATTGGTTTCTTAAAATTTCAAAAATATTTCCAACTCACGTTACGATACTCGTAGCAAAATGGTCTATGTAAATATAACAAATTGACATCTTTGATCTTCAATACAGAAATTGGTGTAGTTTTATGTAATAAATTTAATGATCAATGGAATATTATAAATCAATGGAACAATATGATTGTAAGTATATTAAATAATAAATTGAGTAAAAACGTCTTAAACTCATATGATTATGACGATATTGAAATATATCTTCTTATAAATTTTCTGTAATGTGTAAATAATATTGATCAACGTGTGTATCGAAAATACGCACATTCATTCGTACACACAAGTTTGCTTTTCAATATTATCTTCTCGTTTTAAAGGTGTTATTTCAACGAGATTAGTTGTAGGAGATTCGACATCATAACATGAATCATCAAAGTCCGCTGTGACTGTTGTTGCTGCAAACTGAAGTGGTGTTATCTTTCCTCTTTCGTTCTTTGATGTATTTAACATGCTAGGCAAATTTTCATCTTTTGTACTGCTCTCATACTGTTGCTCCATACCAATAAGTTCGCTAGATGAACTTTCCAAACGCAAACATTTCGGTGGGTTATCATCTGCTCCAGAAGATGAATCGCGTTTCATTCTCTGCTTGCGGTTGTTAACCCAGTTTCTGACGGACGAAATGGTCAGATGATTTTCACGTGCAAATTGTTCAAGTTTTTCATGATGTAATCGCGGATTTTTGGAAATAAAAGACTCTAAAGCATCTTTCTGTTCATCCGTAAATCTTGTTCGACTACATCGCAACGCTGTCATGGAAAGGTGATCCTGTCCTGAATGAAAGATTTTAAACAGTCAAAGAAAATTCTTATTAAAAACTCAAATCAAGAGGCGAATACGGTTACAAATCCTAAAGATAACAAGATATCCACTAAATGAAAAATGGAAAAGATTTTACTTTAGATTTTAAAAGCTAAACTCAATAGTTTCTTATACTAAAATATTGCCCTTTTTAAGTTTCTAAATATCATATTTAATGGGAACAATAATGAGTTGCTTTTCTGTCATAATTTTATTAATTTGACCCAATTTTTACTGTTACCTTGTTTAATCTGCAGTAACACTTCCAAATTATGTTGAAGATCACCATCTAACCATGACTTCATGCGGCGATATGGTACTTTACCATCTTCACTCATCCTCTCCCATTGTTTGGGACATCTTAACAAATCACTTGTTGTACCTTGAGAACGTTTAATGACATATTTTGAAAAGATTGTTTGACTTATCTTGTGTTTTTCTAAAACTTCTCGTACTCTTTTAGCAACAGCAACTGTATCAATTGGTGAAGTGTCAGGTGGAGCCTCGATAAAGAGAGAAGGAGGGGAACAATAAGTGTCCACCAACGATAAATCCGGCTGAAGCTTAGCTACTTCTGTTGAATCAGTTATAGCCAGAATGTTTTGCCCATTTTGATTCGGTTGTCTACATTCAAGTTGAAACAATCCGTGACTTCCTCCCAATCGTGTGAATGTATCATCACCACTAGCATACACCACGCTCTCATCAGTTAGTTGATTAAAATCATCTTCAGTCAATGGTCGGGCATAAAGAAGTTGCTTAACTTCTGGTATGTGTTTTTGAAAGTCATTAAGAAGATTGTCATAGCCAGATGTGGCTACTTCATATAACATTCCTTCATATTTGATTTTCACCATTTTGATGTTATGTAATTTAATGCAAACTGGAGATGCCATTGGTTGTCTATAACAAAATCAAATATTATTATAAAAAGTAACAACTTTCCATTAACACTGCCATTATCTTTAAATAGGCTAAATTTCGATGGCCCACGAGTGAAATATACGAACACAAACAGAAGCACACGAACACAAACAGAAGTACACGAACCAAACAGAAGTACACGACGAACACATTTTGACGTAAATAATATTAAATATATAATTTTATTTAAACTATGTTGATTAAATCTACTTCTTTCAGTAGCTATATACTTGCAGGTTACCAATATGTACGCATGCGCACCTATTCTTAGAAATATGTATTCAGTGGTATTTATAAACGCAGTGTTTTGGGAGATATACCCAAAGGCCAAGAAATGAAAAAGAAACGCGAAAATTCATGATAGCAACAATAAATAATGACTTCCTTGACCCCAAATGTGGACACTGTTTTTTCTTCCAAACCAAAACGAAATGGGAGGGAAAACCGGTGGATCCGGTAAAAAACCCTCCAATAAAAGAAACGATCAAAAATTTAGAAAAATTTCCTTGAATTTTTGTAGTTTTTAAAATGTTTCATACTTTTGCTGTTTTCAATGATCCCGATGATCTACTTTAACATGTAGCGTAGTCAGATCGTGCGTTACAGTTGTATAGAAATTTAAATCTACAGAGCGAGAAAAAAGCGGGCTGACTACCCTTTTGGCACAGCAAATATTTTGTGTCGGAACAAAAGAAACGCAAACTTTGGTAGAGAACTAATAAAAATTTTTACATATGGACGAAAAATGAAAACTAATATCAGCCATATATAAATCATATGAAAAAATTATTCAGTACGTACGACCTGACCATTCACTTGCCAATAACAATGAAAAATGAAATGACCAAAATGACGTCATGATTTGCATAAAAATAATTTTTGACGTCTACTAGACTTTATTCGATTAGAAAATTTCCATATTGCTTCATTAAGACCTTTCATTAATAGCTGGCGTTCACTCGTGTGTTTAGTAAGAAAACTTAACAATGGTGAAAATTTAGTTTCACGGAAATTTGAATTTCAATTTTCACGGTTGAATTTGAAAATGCTTTATACTGATAAAGATTATGCATAGTAAAAGCCGCAAGTCTGAATCTTTCAATAAGGACGCTTGTTTCTTAGTGCTTCTGTCGGACTTGGTCGTTCCATGTCCAGTAGTATAGGCCTACAGACATAGCTACTCTATAAAACACACGTTATAAATGTCAGTATAATGAATGAACAACAAAAACAGACTTTAAATATATTGAAAAGAACGATCGATTATTTTTTACCTGTCATCCAAGCATTGTCCTAGTCAGTCTGATCCATGCGACAGGTCGGTCTCTTCCTCTTTTTTTTCACCGCGCTTTCGCTGCCCAGTTTTTATGCGCATATTGTAGAAATTTATTGTAACAAATTTTTATCTTGGAAATTCAATGAGGCCTACTTGCAGCATTGCAATTTTTTTTATAAATGTTAAATAAATTTAGTAAAAAGTAGCGAGTGAAAGCCAGCTATTTCCTCATAGCAAGTGACATCTTTTGACTTTTTTTAAATTTCGGTTTTCTCATGATTAACACTCAAATTATAAAAATAGACCATCAGGATCCTTTTTTTAAGTATTTCATGCAGTTACTCATACAACACCTATCTACACAACTTACAAACCACAAGACACGGATCGTGTTTTTCCCCTCGCTTGTTTTCCATCTTCGTAGAATATAGTCCATTTTTATAGTCGAATCATTTCAATGTTAATGTATGTTCATACGTACATATGCAGTTATGTACCAGCATCATCTACCAATAAAGTAGCTACTGATATCATGAATCATCATTTCGATAGATTACAGTTGACAACGCACTTTTATGGTAACTTCAAGCGAAGGAAAAGGGATCACTTCAATACCCCAGTTATATCATTACTCAAAGAATGCTCAGTGCAGAGTTGATCTTCTGTGAGTATCAGCTGACCACCTTTAGTTGGGTTCATATAACAATGGGGCCCATCATCATTATATGAACAAACAACTGACATCCACAAAGAATCCAAACTACAAATGAACATTCTTGGCCATGAATCACCATGACACATGAGTAATGACAAACTAGTAAGAGTAATTGAAGTGAATGACACAGGTGGTAAAGGGACTTTCACAACTCCATTCTTGTGGGATCTACAATATAAGAAAATACGAAACACGCGTATGAGATTTCATGATGAATAACTCTGCATATGATGTTAGTTTGCGTTTTTAAATTCTTAATCAGATATATCGAGAATGAGCAAATTACAATATGTTTTCCGTTTGACTATCCAAATGGTAGAACATTCACCTACATTGCACGAATAGCTTTAGTCAGTTGAGTTTGAACGATGCAACAAGTTTCACATGATCCAAGGCTTATCATCGCGATGAAAGCATTTTACAGTGAAAGCTTTCGTATTACGAGGCCTACACTAAGACTAGTTGATTATTCCATGTATCTCATACTTCTGTACTTCTTCGGTAAAAAGAGATAATATGACTTTCTTTCTACAAAGTTAAAGTGACTAATTTTCTGTTAAAGTGAAATCCCACGACTTTAAACATGTTAACATTGACGTCATGACTAAATTTTTTTATAGTGATTGGCTCCTTAGGAGCTTTTCACTTTCACAAGGACAATAAGTAATCCTTCAATACGTTTAAATAAAAAAAAATCATTAGAATCTGTAAATATTTTAGCGTTTGAATGTCGTTATGGAAAGTAACGATGCATGATGTTGTAAGTTCGGGCCTAATTACATGAGCCCGGTAGCCATCATTCAGCCATGCGTTAATGAATTTCGGCAAAATGAAACGATTTAATACTTATCATCAGTTAAATCTTCTCAAGCAATTTCAAAATATTCTGATTTAATAACTTCTCAAAACATTTAAAATTGAAACAACCAATTTGCCATAATTTGAGAATAGCAACCGGAGTGATGTGTCCAACACCTTAATCGCCAAAATCATAATATTTGCGTTATTTAATACGTTGAATAAACTTAATTAATTTATGATTTGTGTAATATCACAGAAAAATGGTCTATAGTCATTTGCATTTTTTGTATACTAATGAATAGAGTTCTATTGTTGGCAACAATACGTTTTGTTTACATTTGATAGATATCCCATAAATTTTGGCCAGATGAATCCGCCCGCAAAGGCACTTAAGAAAAATATTATTATTAAACAAAATAAATTTTGTGTTTTTAACGTCACAGCTTCCTACTTCCCACGTGAAATTTAAAAGCTGAAGGATAACGTGAAATTTTTATATTCTTCGGCCCTCAACATGCTGGATGAAAGTTCATAAAGTTTCTGCCATAAATTGTTCAAGTACGAACAACGAATATTAAGCAATCGTGTCGAACAAATACATACAATGACATGCTTAACACCATGTATAAAGATACTATTCGCTTCAAGTTTTGCCACCTATAAACCATGAGGCGTTACGAAAGCAGATGTCGTTCATTTGAGACGAAACAAACTATACACATAGGTGACGTTTATAAAGATTTGTGATTGTGCAAAGCAAAATAAAGTTGTTGCCTTCAACTGTCATCGATAAAACGTTCCCGGAATTAAGACGCCTCATTTGATTGCAGATGTAACTTGGTAATATTCGATAATTTGGGCATAATTCAATCAACAGCAAGATACCTTTTCCGATACTTGTGAGAAAATTCGGTTGATAAGATACAACGCTGAGAGGAGAAAGCAAGTGAAGTGAGTTTGGAAACAACTGTCAACGAAACCTGCATTCGAACTTTGATACCTATCAACGCAGAGCTGCAACGATGTCAATCATAAAAAGTTTTTTTCAATGGACATACCGAAAAATTTGAACGTTGTAGAAAGAAAGGTAAATTCTGTCATTTTGCTAAGGAATTACTGAAGTATGAGTTACATGGAATAATCAACTAGTCTTGGGGTAGGCCTCATAAGATGAAAGCTTTCACTGTAAAATGCTTTGATCATGATATTAAGCCTTTGATCGTTTGAATCTTGTTGCATCGCTCAAACTGAACTGACTAAAGCTATTCTTGCAATGTAGGTGAATGTTCTACCATTTGGATCGTCAAACGGAAAACATATTGTAATTTGCTCATTCTCGATTTATCTGATTAAGAATTTAAAAACACAAACTAACGTCATATGCAGAGTTATTCATCATGAAATCTCATACGTGTGTTTCTTATTTTCTTATATTGTAGATCCCACATGGATGGAGTTGTGAAAGTCCCTTTACCACCTGTGTCATTCACTTCAATAACTCTTACTAGTTTGTCATTACTCATGTGTTATGGTGATTCATGGCCAAGAATGTTCATTTGCAGTTTGGTTTCTTTGTTGATGTCAGTTGTTTGTTCATATAATGATGATGGGCCCCATTGTTATATGAACCCACCTAAAGGTGGTCAGCTGATACTCACAGAAGATCAACTCTGCACTAAGCATTCTTTGAGTGATGATATAACTGGGGTATTGAAGTGATCCCATTTCCTTCGCTTGAAGTTACCATAAAAGTGCGTTTGGTGATTCATGGTCATTTCATTTTTCATTGTTATTGGCAAGTGAATGGTCAGGACGTACGTACTGAATAATTTTTTCATATGATTATATATGTCTGCTATTAGTTTTTGCTTTTCGTCCATATATAAAAATTTTTATTAGCACTCGGCGCTCTTTCATTTTTTGTTCTCTACCAAAGTTTGCGTTTCTTTTGTTCCGACACAAATATTTGCTGTGCCAAAAGGGTAGTCAGCCGCTTTTTTCTCGCTATGTAAATTTAAATTTCTATACGGCTGTAACGCACGATCTGACTACGCTGCATGTTAAAGTAGATCATCGGATCATTGAAAACAGCAAAAGTATGAAACATTTTAAAAACTACAAAAATTCAAGGAAATTTTTCTAAATTTTTGATCTTTTCTTTTGTTGGAGGGTTTTTTACCGGATCCAACGGTTTTCCCTCCCATTTCGTTTTGGTTTGGAAGAAAAAACAGTGTCCACATTTGGGGTCAAGGAAGTCATTATTTATTGTAGCTATCATGAATTTTCACGTTTCTTTTTTATTTCTTGGCCTTTGGGTATATCTCCCAAAACACTGCGTTTATAAATACCACTGAATACATATTTCAAAGAATGGGTGCGCATGCGTACATATTGGTAACCTGCAAGTATATAGTTACTGAATGAAGTAGATTTAATCAACATAGTTAAAATAAAATTATATATTTAATATTATTTACGTCAAAATGTGTTCGTCGTGTACTTCTGTTTGTGTTCGTGTGCTTCTGTTTGTGTTCGTGTATTTCTATTTATGTTCGTGTATTTCTATTTATGTTCGTGTATTCTATGCATGAGTCAATTCCAAGAGATACCCCCAAGGAATTTGGCATGGCATTTGATTTTCTTCGTTTTAATAGTCCAATCTCCCCGCTGCCGGGGAAAGGCAAGAAGGCAAATACACAGCCCCCGGGCAAGCTGCCAGTGGCAAATGCCCCTCTCCGGGATTAGTTAATTTTAAATTACGAAAATAGGAACACTTCCAAACTAATACATCTTTTTAATACTTTATTAAACAAGATATATGAGAGATCCTATTTAATACCAATAAACAACCTTTTTTAATTATTTAATGTCGCGATTAATAGAAATCAATAGTCGCGACTCGCGTATTCAATTGGTGTCAAATCCCCGGTGGTATTATTGCCGGAGTAAATACTCGGCTCCCGAGCATCTCTTTTACGAGCAAATTCCCGACCCCCGAGAAAGGTCTCCAGGGCAAATGCCCAGGGGTATCCCGGGGGGATGGTAACTCTTGGAAATGACTCATGCATCACTTGTGGGCCACCGTGTAAATAACTTTGCAGTAAAGTCACACTACTGCGCCGTCTTGCCCACCTGAAGTCGTAAATCATAAGTGATTTTACCACAGTAGTGGATTTTACAGGCTGAACTGGTCAGATTTTTTGTGCAATTCAGTTCTGTTGAAATGTTGAAGACAAATCTAGTTGTTCAATTTTTTATATCGACTAAAATATTCAAACAAACTTAAATGTAAATGGCTTCGAACGCGTACATATTTATTTATATAAAGATCACAGATGTGCAATAAAATATAGAATAAAGAAAAACGTTTTTCCTATATTTTGTCTGAAGCTCAAGTGAAGGCAGTAGCGCTGCCACTGTGCAATTATCGATGAATTTCGTCTTGATATTTATGATTTTAATGATAATCTTCGATCATATTGGACGAGACATACCTTTTATTGGACTGTGCTTTTATTAAGTAGAAATTAACTTCGCTTTCAACAGCATAATATCTGACAGATTTCTTTCGAAAATCGATGTATTAATCATCGCAAACAGATTTTAGGCTGGCCATGTGATCTTGTATCTATTGATTACATCATCAATGATTTATGCTGGCTTGCTGGCCACGTGCTTAACACATGTAAATTAATAAATATTGACTAGATTTGAGTCAATACTAAATAATTAGGAATGTTGTATTGTTTTATCAATAAATAGAGAATCATCTATAATGTCAAAGCAAAGGAAATTTTTCAAGCTTCTTGCTGAAGAAATCAATAATGGTGAGTTGCTGAAATATTCAATATCATGTAAAGTGTTAATTCATTTCAACGTTCGTAGAATCGTAGATATATATAAAATACATATAACTTTTCCAACTTTCCTTATCTTGTAGAATTGGAAGTGTTTACTTTAGAGAGCTTGAAGTGTCATTTGAATGAAGCAATTTCTGTTTTACCAGGCATACAAATGAAAGAATCTCTATTACAACCTAGTGATGAAAATATTTATTATTTGTGGAAGTAATAGATTTATTTTGTTCAGTATTTCTCCATTTTGGTCTTGTTTATCATTAACTCACTTTTCATTAAAAAACTATAGTCTTCTCAAACCTGAAAGAAAATGCTCCACTGGGATTGATTTTGTTTTCTTTAATGAAACTGAAGAAGAAAGATCAGTGAACAAGATCTTAAGACTTCAATCATTTGAAGAAAAAAAATCTTACTGTTAGTTCAAATCCTTTTATTGATAATTTTAATGGATTTTGTTGATCATCAATATTATGATACATTCCATAGTGCATCAAATGGCTTTGGCTTGCCCTTCTGGAAAAGTGTTTAAATCCCTATTTCAAGTTTTGGTAAATACTGCCCATTTATTTATTAAAGTCTTATAAAATAGCAAACAAGCTTTTTAAAGTTTTTCATGTTCTAAAAATAATAATTTTACTTTTTCTTCAGAATGAAGAAGCCAATTCAAATGAAGTAAATGTGTTATATACTGCTATGAAACTCTTTGGCTCTTTAAATATTGGCTCTCTTGATTTAAAGGTGATTTTCAAATTTGATTTGCAATTTAAACATATTCATCACAATTGATTAAAAGTGTGAGAATAATTTCTGGTTTTTATTTAAGGTTTTCAGTGAAATAATAGGGATTTTTCTGAGGTGATGCAATTGTGCTACTTTTTGCATTTAATAGTTTTATTCTTTTAAAAAGTTTTCCTAAAAATTTGTTTAGTGAAATGGACATCATCTATAGTACATACAAGAAAAATAACGCTACAAATGAATGGTAATTAGCTTATTTATTAATTTGTTTTCATTTGCAGAGAGTTCTTATCAAGGTACTTCATTCATACATCACAAAGTCTGTTACTGCATATTTTTTATGTTTTAACACTGTTTTTTACTTTTATAAATAGATTTTGTCTTTGTTGTCTTAAACAAGGTTTTAACTAACAAATAAAATCTTGTCTTGATCAAATTACTCAATAATTAAGTGCAATTTAATAGTTGGTCTAGATTTAAAGATGTTATTCAACATTTTTTACTACATTGTCATGTAAAACAAAAAGTGCACAAAGATGTCTTCCATGAGGTAAATACTTCTATTGACAGCTAATCTATTTTTCCTATTTGAATTGAAATAATATAATACTTTTATGTATGAAAAGGTTGATTTAAAGTCATATTATGATTCTCTGGCCTCAGTCACAGCTTTGTATGTTGATGTTTTACTGATTGTTGATGGAAAGTATGAGATATTTTTATTATTGTACGTTTTTATCAATAAATGCTTTTTACATCTGTTTTTACAATTATAATTTTGTAGAAATCCACAAATAAATGACATTATTTCTAATATGACTGTATCATTGTTGGGCGAATCCCTCAGTCATATTTTGGACGTATTCAATCAAACATTTACTTTGGATAGGTCAACAATGCAAAACATTTTTCCTGTTTTGAGGTAAAGCATTAGTTGAGGATATTGATATGTACAGAAATAAGTTGTACTCTCGTTATTTATTGTTAAATCTAGAAAGATGTTAAATATGACGCTGGATTTTGTACGGAACAATATAAACAACTATATCAAGTAAGTTTAAACTGTTATAAATGTAGAGTTTATTTGTTAAAACATGCTTTCTGTATTCTAGATTTGTTTGTCTTGCTTGGAAAATTTCTCATGTTCACCATAAAGGATTGTATCTTATTGATGATGTATGTAAAATAGATATGTACTATTAGTAATTTTTCACTTAGTTTGAGTGTTCAATTCTAGGTTATAATAAGTATTTGCTTTTAGATTTTGTCGTCTCTACTACCACCTGAAGACTTTCTTTCATATTTATCTAGTGTCAACATAAAGTAAGGACATAATTTATTGGTTGTAAAAAAATTGGAGTATATTGCATATACTTTCTTTTTTATTTGAGCTTGGTTCAAGACTTAAGGATATCTGGCTTGTCCGGATCAAAAATCACAAAGAAAATATTAGAATGTGAAAGTGAAGAAAGAATTGAGAACCTTTTGGATGTACTGATGTGTTTAATTGCCAGAAGTATTTTTAATATTGTTCATTTTAACTTTAATTATAATCCATTAGATAGTTACGTATCAAGATGAACACATAATTGACACTTCAACAAAGAAAAGAAAATCTGATCATGGAAATGACAATGAAACAAAAGATCATTTGTATTTTGTTGATGCTAAAGGTGACACTGGTATCGTGGAAGAATGTCAGGTATCAAGAAACTTCTATTAACGACATGTGTAGTAACGTATATATATTTTGTTCATATGTATCGTTGTTGTCGTCGTCTTGTGTTCTGTCTACCGACAAGTTCTTCGTCATGATCATCTTCTCCTTATATCTCTGTTCCCTTTTATACATGTCGTTATACCTGACCTCTTTCGAGTCATTGGCACGTCTTTTGCAATAATTTAGGAACAAGACTTTACGGGCAGTAAAAGTGATAAAATATTGCAAATCCAAATCAACTCATTGGTTAAATCAGGCGAAGAAAATTTGTCAGACTGCGAGGTATCATGATTTGGTGCAATATTCCCACACGTTTTCAAGATTTTTTTCATGAGTCATTCCAAGAAACTTCGGGAATTTTTAAACTCGTTTACTTTAGGAAATTGATGAATTGCTTCACGTAGACGAGGAAGATAACACTACCTTAGATTGTAGTATTACTACTGAGAAGAAAAGTAGTAATTATGAAAGTGAGATGGTGCTTAGGTCTGATGAGAAAAGAAATCTTGGATTCAGAGAAGTAAAAAGCAAGAAACGGAAAAGCAATGTGTATGTTAACTTTGTCGTGTGTTCTTGACAGCAGTAATTTTGCAACCAATAATTTTCGCGATGTTTTTAGATGGACTTCCAAGGCAACAGAAAATGGCGAAAACAACAAGAGGAAAAAATCAAAAAGAAATGCATAAAGTGTTTGTTGATAGCACATTTCTTGACTAACGCAGTGACGTCGCCAGCTTTATGAATGAGGGGGGTTTTATTCATATATGCATGTTTTGGTATATTAAGTTCTTTGAAATCTTTTGTTTCTTAGGTGTTAAAACATGAATATATAAATATTGTCCCCTTCACTTATCTAGCTGGGACGTCACTGTCAATAACGTGTAAGAAATCTATTGAATATTATGTAAATTTTCCAAATGATCCCAGTGAAGTTATTATATGCATTTTTTGTCGATGAAATGAGGAATGAATTAATGTACAACAAAATTACAAAGAATTTGAGTTGTTTATCACTATTGCACACCATTCTTGTTTTATCAGTAAACATAAAAAGTGTTGTAAGTTTAATGTGTAAAAGTTGGATTTAAAGTTGTTTTTCAACATGTAAAACATGGCATTTTCAGCGCTGAAGTAAATCAAAGTAATGCATGTTCTACGTACTCTAAGATGCAATAAACTTCTATGGAATATTCTTATGAAACGTCATCGACAGTCATATATAGACATACTCTTGAATGTATTGTCATACTCTATCATCTGCTATCCTACTTCTTTATCTACTGTCATACTCCATCATCTGCTATCCTACTCTTTATCTACTGTCATACTCCATCATCTGCTATCCTAATCCTTTATCTACTGTCATACTCCATCATCTGCTATTCTTCTTTATCTACTGTCATACTCCATCATCTGCTATCCTCTTTATTACTGTCATACTCCATCATCTGCATTTATCTATCATCTCCATCATCTATCCTTTATCTACTGTCATACTCCATCATATCTATTTCTTTATCCATCTGTCTCACATTGTACTCCATTATCTATCATCCATTATTTATATCCTCTATCTCCTATCTCTATCCATTATCTATCCACATCTTTATCTACTGTCATACTCCATCATCTGCTATCCTACCCATTTATCTATTGTCATACTCCATCATCTGCTATCCTACTCCTTTATCTACTGTCATACTCCATCATCTGCTATCCTACTTCTTTATCTACTGTCATACTCCATCATCTGCTATCCTACCCATTTATCTACTGTCATACTGCATCATCTGCTATCCTACTTCTTTATCTACTGTCATACTCCATCATCTGCTATCCTACCCATTTATCTACTGTCATACTCCATCATCTGCTATCCTACTTCTTTATCTACTGTCATACTCCATAATCTGCTATCATACTCATTTATATGTTTGTAAATGTAGATCGTGCAGATTGGTATAGTCCTGAGAAGGACTGTTTTCGTTGTTGTTGAACGACGTTTCGACAACCTTAGCGGTCATCTTCAGAGTTGTTTTTTTGACGATACTCCCGGGTTCAAACCATTTACTTTATACTCATTTATCTACTGTCATACTGCATCATCTGCTATCCTATTTCTTTATCTACTGTAATACTTCGTCATCTACTGTCATACATAGTCATGTAGAGTACTGTCATACATACAATCATCTACTGTCATTTATAGTCGTCTGTTTGTTTGTAGATGTAGATCGTGCAGGTTAATAAAGTCTGAGAAAGACTGTTGGTGTAAACTGACGTTTCGACAACCTTAGCGGTAGTCATTATTAAGAGTAAAGTGAAGACTAGTCATCTTCAAAGTTTCTATAGCGTATAAGCATATAATCTGTTCTTATCAGGGATGCGCCACGAAATATTTACGGAGTGTGATGTATATTTACTAAATTTACCGCGTAAGCCAAAACACTGAGCTAAAATATATAAATGCTTGAAAAAACTTTATTTTGGGGGAAAATGAGGGCGGGGGCAAAATCTACTAAATCCAATTCTTCATCTAAATCAAGACAAATGCCATCAATCTTTTAGGGATTTCATTTCCAATGTAGATTTGAAGCAAATTGACTAGTACACGATATACAACCTTAATAAAAAACTTGACCATTATTTTGGCCTTTGCCTAGTACAATACCATTAAGGATTTTGTATATTTGTAGGACACGGAATTATTTGTCAATCTTGGAACTTAAGAGTGGTCGATGGGGGGGAGATTTTACCTCGACATTATCCGGTTCCAGATCCGTCCTTACCAATTTTAGTCCAGCTCCCAGCGGATCAATATGGCGTGAAAAGCTTACTACTACGCATGCGTGAGTAATTCTCTGAAAAACCAAAACAAGATGGCCGACAGTTAGTGCTTGAAAGCAGATTTGTGCAAATATTTACCTTGTTATTTGACTGATAATGCTTATACTATGGCTATGATGTTAAGATTTCAGCAAAATTTTTAATGAAGTTATGTCTCAAGGCTCGAGCTCTTATTCAAGACATCACAATCACCTCATTAATGTCAGCAATAAAAACACCTTTGGAGTTGGAGCTAGCTCAAGTTTGTGTTGTTTTGGAGGCATGTTTTTGTGCGATAATTGCTAAAATTCCATATTAATATATATTTATTCTTTCAGTTCATAATGGGCAGCCTTCATCAAGACAACTGGACGGGGAAAGAAAGAGAAATTATAAACTCATTATTGATCCAGTGTTAAAGGGCAGAGGTTTTCAGAAAATATATCGGTTTGATGGGGAATTTGAAGGAGTATGTTATCGACTGAAATGGAAAGCAAAGACATATCTCGTCATCTTCACAAATTTATTTTGTTTTTGTGTAGCAAGCTGCAGTCATTCCTAAAGATCCGCGTTCAAGACGTACACGTTTATGGTCAACTAGAACAAAAGCTGATTTGCCCGTTCCAAAGTTTAAGGTTTAATACTGCGGAAAAAAGATTTTCATAACGAAAAACAATCGTCTAAATGCTATTTCATTCATGAAGATTTTCTAGCAACTTTGGTGCACTTTTGTCCAATGAAACACTCGTATTTTATAAGCACATAGTAAAAAAACACTGGTTCATTGAACGCGTCTTCCAACATCTTTTTATTTAGATTGATAAATATTACGTTGGAATTCCACCACAGCGTGATGTTATCCTTAATGGGCTCAATGATAATGTTGACAAGAAATTTTTGCAAGAAATGTGTGACAAATTTGGCAATATTGAAGGAATTAAGATATTTTGTGACCCCATTACAAAACGTCATTTGGGGAAGGCCCGAGTTGGATTTTCTACATCGGCAAGCGCTAAACTTGCTGTTGCTAAATTGGATGGAACTTCCATTATGGGTTGTATTGTTCAAGCTGAGTTTGAACATAAAGGTAATGAATTTTTGAAAAATATCATGTTGTTTTTGTATACGATATATGAACAATGTATTGCAAATGTTAATACATCTTACACTAAGTAATCAATAGTATCACGTTTGTGTTACCTGAGTTTCCCTTCCCCCATATCATGGTAATAATGTGATTGAGGTGTTTTTCAATTTTTGTAGTGGAAATGAAATATTCACAGAAGCCTCACTTTGTTGTTGATCCAGCTCATAAAACACCACCATCAATTGAGCGCATTGTGGGTCGTCCAATATTACCAACCCCACCTCCATCTATTTCATCACCTGCAAACAGCACTCCCTCAACTCCAGGCTCCATGGGACTATCTGATCCACGAAAACGTAATTGCACAAATATTGTAATTGGAGAAAAACTTCCTTCTAAGTCACCATCATGGCCAATGTCTATCACTCAACAAAATAAAACTCCCATGTTTGAACCTGTCTCACCCCCTTCTGATAAGATACAACTTCCTCCTCCACCACCCCCTGATTGTCCTCCACCTATGCATGAAAAATGTCGTACACCTTCTCCAGTGCACAATTCTTCTAAATTGGATCGATATCAAAACAAAGATTATAAATTATCCAGCAAAGGTTAGTAAAATAGCAATTGCTTTTACCCCAAGATCAAAAAAATACCAGAAAATTTTCACAAAGATAGGATTGTAACTTTTTCAAGAGGAATAAAAAGAACGGTGATGTTTTTTAATGAAAATGAAATTTGTTATCTTTTAAGATGTTTTTGGAACATTAAAAAATTGCATGTCTTTATCAGCTTCTAGAGACGTATATAGGAGTAATCGCCGTGAGGAGGATTATGATTGTCGAAAACGAGAATATGGAGGCTTTAGAAGATTATCTGAAGAAAGAGGAAGAGACTCTCGTTATTACAAAGATCATTATACAAGAGAGAGCTTTGATAGAAGAGAGTCTTGGCGATCTAGTTATAATGATTGTGATAGTCGTAAAAGTCGTGATCCTGATGACAGCTATGGCAATGAAAAAAGTTTCAAAAGCACTAAAGGTATGGATAACATTAAAAAATATACATAGTTATGTATGACTACTGAAAATGTGCCTTTGTGACAATTACCAAAGTATAATGATGATTCTTGCACTTTGTGATAGAGCGTATTGTGACATGGATAAATTTAGGTGTTCTATGTACATGTATTTATTTTATCTATGTTTATTGAAGAAGTATCAAGGAATCGAGTGAACCAAAATTGTCGAGAAATTGACAGCAGATCAAGGTCACCGAGACCACGCTCCGATTCCTACGAGAAGGAAAAAAGATCCATGACACCAGATATGAAAAATGAAGATAGTTTGTCAAAGAAAGACAGACTAAACAAGATAGAAAGTACTAAACTAAACAATGGAAAAAACATAGTATTATCTAGCCATGATAATATGTTCATACAGCCACCACCTTTACCACCTGATGTTTTCTCAGATCTTGTTGTACATATGAACACAAGTTTTGAAAATAGAGAAAAATTTGTACCTGAAGTTGAGGATATTTCTCCTGTATCATCACCAACACAGCCTGAAGACATTGCTATCACTGATCAATGTTATCCTTCCATGCTTCCCTCTTATCCAACAGACAACTCACCATGTCCACCATTACCCAATCAAGTTGAAGTTAAAGATGAACAGGCTGATGTTTCTATGGATAAAAAGATACAAAGTTTATCAACAGAGGATAATGATGATGCCATGTCTCTTTCATCAATCAGTTCAAATGAAGAAACACTTGAAATAAATAAACCTGTGCCCCCTGTTCCACCTCCACTACCCAATTTTACTCCTGCCTACCCTCCAGCACCTCCAATTATACCTCCTCCTTTCATGCCTCCTTATAATCCTACTATACCCCCACCACCCACATATTCTGCCGTACCTGTTGTTGCCCATCGTTTGCCCGTACCACCTCTATCAATAGCAACTATTCCCCCTCCTCATCCCTTAGTACCACCTGCATTTCATCCTACATATCCTCCACAATTTGTGTCGACCTTGAACGGAGTGCCCACTCCATCAACTTACCCTACGTTCCCTTCGGGACCCCTACCCTCTCCCCAGGAACAGCGTATGCCTCATAGGAAGAACTGGAAAACTCGCATTTCAGAAGAAGTGTTGAAAAGGATCGCAGAAGAACTCGCTTTAATTTTGAAAAAAGATGTTCTCAAAAGACTTGTGGAAAATTCTGCTTTTAAGGCCTTAGATGGTTGGTGGGATAATGTTCAGAAAGCAAAGGTTAGGTAACCTGTCCCTGTCTACTTTTGTGTAAATATTGTTATAAACAATCTTTGTTTTCTCTAATTTAAGGATATTTCTCAGTCAGAAACTGTATTGAATTTGACGAATTCCTCCACAACTGTTTCTTCACATACAGTTGATATGACATCAAATATTACATCACCATTATCGACGACCATCAATCAAGGTGGAATTCTTGGTTTAGGACTGCGCGCTTCTCTTCCCAAGATGCCATCATTCAGAAAACGCCGCCCACAACGCACAACACATCGAAGTCCCGATCGCGATCAAAAACGAACGGCTACCGACAGTGACTCGGATATAACTGTAAAACGTAACAGTGAATTAAAAAGGCTTCGTTTAGACATTGGTGATGATTTAAGTGTTGGGTCACCATGTCAATTTGATGATGACAATATGGAAGCACCACCTGCGACCAGTGTCCGAAATGAAGGTAGTTCAAGTCACGACGTTTAATGAATTATGAGTAAAAAGTTTACAATTTAATTACTATTGTTTTTTTTTAAAAATATCTTTTACGTGTAGAAAAGCGTGGAAGACTGGGTTCCAGTCTCTACAGGAACATATACTCCAGTATGAGTGAATCAGAAAGCTCACAATCTGAGGAAAGTGACTCTGAAGAGACTGGTGAAGATGATAGTGAATGGGAGAGGACAAGTAGGACATCACGGAGAACATCCGAATCTGAAGACCAGTCAAAATCAACGCAAAAAGAAATTGCAGGTAAGAATATTTTTGTTGTCATATTTGTACCTGTATATCAATTTTTACCTTTATCCTTTTCAGCACCCAAAATACCTCACACGCCACCTGATACTCCTCCAAGAACACCTGTTAAGTCCCCTGTACAGGTTACAATGCCTTCAAATGCATCAATTACTCCAACTGCTAGTCCCATTGATATTACTACCGTTGATGATGGAACTGAGAAAATAACCGTGGATAATGATATTTTACCGTACAGTAGATGTACGTTAACAACAGAGACCACAGGTATAACGACTATTGACAATGTTTCATCGACTTGTGATTCAGAGCCTTCTGTCATAAAGAAAGAATTTGAAAATATGAACAATGAGGAAAGTAATCTTAGCGAGGCTTCAAGTATAATTCAATCACATAAACACATGCCTCAGAAAGTTATGTCTACTTCGGATGATTCAGCCTTCGAAGATAAAAAACCAGTTGTAATCACAGAGAATGAATTACAGAGAGGCAATGAAGAAACAACAGCAAAACCTACACATACACCAGTAGTTGAACACCCACTTCAGTTTGATCTTCGACCATATTGGGAGGACGATAGACTTGTTTACGACTTTCTTCTCTCTGGGTTGGATCATGAGGATGCAAGTTACCTCAAGATTGGTTTTGAAAGTCTCTCTCAAGTTGATTCAGATTCTGTTATTCATGCATACTGGTCTTTCCATACTAGTATCCTTTTTGTAAAAAATCTTTAAAGTTCACTATTTCATCAATTGCAGCACAAAGTATCATCATCTTTCATTGAATTTGAATCAAAATATCCATATTTTATTCATTATTTGAATGATAAATTAGGAATAAACTCTTTTTACGCCCGAGGAATATAATACTCACTGCCTTAAAAAATGACCCTTAATAAAAATTAGCTACTTCAACTGGTGTTGTTAACAAAGGAAAAAGGTTCAAACAAGAGGCTAGTGGCATTCGTGTTCACGAATCTGGCTGTGCAAGATGTGAAGGTTTTTATAAAATTGGTATGAAAGAGAAAGCAAAATATTTGGAAGCTGCCAGACGACAAGTAGACATGTCTGAGGCCGTTACAAACAAGAAAATTATTGAAAAGGTAGAAAATACTTGTAGAAAGTGTTGATTTTCTAGGTAGAGACAATAGTGCTAAGAGGGGATTGAGGTGGATATCCCAGTACACTTTCAATGTGTTCTTATTTTTATTTACCAGGAAGCAAATAAGGCAAAGCAACAATCACGTGAGAATAGAGCTCTTCAACGCAGACTTGCAGCGTCGTTTCAACTGGAAGATTTTGGTGATATTCTTAAATTCAACCAACTCAAGGTTTGTGGTTATTTCAATCCTCTCTTCAACTCAAAGTTTGCAGTGTTTCACCCCCATTCAATTAAAAGTTTGCAGATACATCCCCCCCCCATCCAACTCAATTTTGCAGTTACTTTACCCTCCGTCTAACTCCAGTTACTCCATCTAACTCAAGTTTGCAGTTATTTCACATCCAACTCAATTTTGTTTACTCCGTCTAACTCAATTTTGCAGTTACTTATCCGTCTAACTCTTTAGTTACTTCAGTCTAACTTTGCAGTTACTTCATCCAACTCAATTTTGCAGTTACTTCAATCTAACTCAAGTTTGCAGTTACTTCACCCCATCCAACTCAATTTTGCAGTTACTTCACCCTCCGTTTAACTCAATTTTGCAGTTACTTCACCCTCCGTCTAACTCAAGTTTGCAGTTATTTCACACATACCCTATACTCTCAATTATTTATCTATACTTGATTTATTTAGAAACATCTTTTCATTAACGATGCTTTATTTTTAACCAAGGTTCGCAAGAAAAAATTGACTTTCTCCAAATCTTGTATCCATGATTGGGGTCTGTTTGCACTCGAACCTATTGCTCGTGATGAGATGGTAATTGAGTATGTTGGTGAGGTCATACGACAGGCGATTGCCGACGATCGAGAGAAACGTTACGAGCGTCTTGGCATAGGAAGTAGTTATCTTTTTAGAGTGGATTCTGACACAATTATTGATGCAACAAAATATGGAAACTTAGCAAGATTTATTAATCATTGCTGTGAGGTAAACTAAAGAAATAATGATAATAATTAATCAAAACATAATACTAGCATTGTCGGTATTATTTAATCTTTTTTAATCCAAACGAAACGTTAATGATCCATTTTAACTTTTAAATTTCTTACATAATTTCTTTATCTTCAAGGCACCTCATTTAAAATGATTAATTATAATCAGTTGTCCGCATAATTTCACGAGCTTTATCAATTTTTATTTCGATTCACACAAATTTGTATGTTTTTAATTTTGAACATCCTGTGGTCTCACTTGATGATTAAGTCAAGTCCTTTCTGCTGTTTGATAATTTTATCGCTATTTTTACAGCCTAACTGCTATGCGAAAGTTGTGACCTTTGAATCGGAGAAGAAAATCGTCATATATTCAAAGCGCGATATCGGTGTAAACGAAGAAATCACTTATGATTATAAATTTCCGATTGAAGACGAGAAAATTCCATGTCTTTGTGGAGCTGCGCAGTGTCGAGGAACTTTAAATTAAGGTATTTATTCCAAGTTTGAAGTAGCTACTTACATTTAATACTCGAAAGCATTGAAAATTCCATGTCTTTGTGGAGCTGCGCAGTGTCGAGGAACTTTAAATTAAGGTATTTATTGCAAGATTGAAGTAGCTACGTACATTTAATACTTGGAAGCATTTGTACTTCATTGGATGGCATTTGAAGGCAATTGCAGAGAATAAGATTGTTGACGCTACTGACATTTCGAGTTAAACAGTATTTCAAGAACTACTTCATATTTTTCTGTCTATAAATCAAACGCAATGTTATGTATATACAATTTTCACCTACAAAATATTTACGTTTTCTATTTTCATCGTTTTCTTTGATATTGTTCGTTCAAAGCAAATATTTTCTCAAAACAAATGTTTCTGTTATTAACAAATAAACACATACCAAGTATATATTACAGCACTAAAATGAACAAAATTACAGGAATTTCATCAAATAGTATTTTTAATGACGTGAGCTGCTTCGACGACTGTTACAGGAACTGATCTCTTTATTCTACCTTCGTTTACTGGAACCATAAACCTATAAATTAATAAATTAACATGAGGATGTGATGAAAAACGTAAATTTTTTAATAATCACAAAAGTTAGCTAGCTACTTACTTTTCATTTGTCTTATTATTCACGACAAATAACGGATTATCCTGAGTTAGGATTTCGTCATTGACAGAAATACCTAAAAAATAATTTCTTCAATGAGTATTGTGGTCTCAAGGACTTCATGAAAAGTTTTAAACATCTCTTGATGTACCGTTTAGGTATTGTTTGAGGACTGCACGAAGTTGCGTATTTTCATTGAGTAAATCTTGTTTTTCCTTTTCTAACGCTAATTTATCAAGATTGACTTTATTATATCGTTTCCAAAAGTTCTCCAATGATGTATATTCGTTAAGAATTACAAAATTTTTTGTATCTTAACAAGATATCAAATAAGTTAGTTATGAGAATCTACAAAAAACTACATTACAGGAATTTCAAAAATTAAACTTTTTAAAACTTTAACCACACAAATTCTCCTTGTTTCAACTTCAAAACATTGAAATTCTGAAGAAAAGAAAATGTTTCTTGTCTCATTAAACAAAGATGAAACTTTAGTTTAAACTTTTATTTTTCTCTTTTTAGTTATACATTGCAAAGAAGGAAAACTTTTCCTTAGTTTACTGAAATTTCAAGCAAAACGAAACATCTCGTCTTTTTTTTTTATAAGACGTTTCTGTTCTAGATAAATCAGCTTTTCTTCTTGTCATATATTACTTTCTTGCAAATTTTGCATTTTGACAAAGATTTTACAAAAGAAATTATCAAAGATTTAGAGCATAACCTGTTTTGTAAACTTTATTCGATTTCACTTACTCAAATCACCAGTTTCACCATTGAGTTCTATAATAATGACCTATCTCAAGCTTCTTCTATGTTGTAAAAACATGGATTTCGTCCGTTTGAGATTTGAAATTCGCTTTTAAAATTTCACAATTTCCACTCCTGAAAGAGTGAGGAAAATGTATGTGTATTTGTTCAAAATTTTGTGAAAATCAGGTAAAACCTTAAATTCATAACAGCGAGTCAACTGTGGTTGTCAGTTATCTGCACTACGAGGATGCATTTATAACTTGACGAAAGACCTATATATTACATGTATGAATGCAGATTGCGTGTTTTCTTCATCAAACTTGTGATCATTAAACTCTTTAGCAAAAAGTATATCATAGTTCATCTCCACTTCACTCAGCTTATTTGTTATCATTGTTGTCTTTTCATGCAATCAATTTCTTTTGCAATTGTTTTTTACTTGTTTTTTCAAGTAATATTAAATCTCTGCATTTTACGGATTTTCTGTAATTGAGTTTCATATGAAATTTCAAAGACTCAAGTCTGCATAGGTTTGTAAATAAAACAAAAATAGTAGAAATTACTTTAAGTAACCTTTTTGACAGTTCAAAAGCAACTGAATACTTGTAGTTGTGCATTTTGATTTTGTTGTATTGAATATGAATTGGGCAAAATGCAAATAATCATCAAAACACTTATGCTTCCAATGGTGTTTATAATTCATTTGTAGTTTTAATACTTCTACCTTTTTTTCACTTTGTTTTGTTTTCCTAATTTGAATATAATGCAAAATTTGAATGATTAACACAGTCTTCACCTCAATAATAAATTTCATGTTGGTAGTGCATTTTGTTCTCTGAGTATCATCTTGTTTTGACAAGAATGATGAAGTGCTAGATATGTCATGCATTGAATTACATTCTTATTGTACTTTTATGAAAGCTTCTTTTAGAAATTAGAAAGTTATTGATTATATTTCTATATCATCAATCTCATCAAAAATTTGTTGAAAAGCTTTGAAAAGTGAAAACTTTTCTTTAAACAGCAAAATGCTGATAAATCTCTTCTGAATAGGTAAATAAGCTCAAATTTTTCTTGAAGAAATATAAAAATATATAAGAAATATACAGTACAACTTTAAAGGTTTCATCACTGAATCTTTAATGCTTCAGTATAGTGCATTTATTAGTAACATTCAAACAAACTCTAAAATATTTTGACAAAGATATGACATGATTTAAACATTAAGTTACATAAAACCCAATGGCTTATACAGTTTGAAGCTTCACATCTGCATCAGTCATCATCAATCTCAGTACAAATGTTTACATAGACACAAACTTATGGCCTTCCATTTTACATGTTTGTGAATTGACATTTCATTAAGCATCAAACACACACAACCTTCTTGCCATCTTTCTTTTGGATCACTTCAAAGCATTCAATTAGTGAATTTGTCTATCCATTTGACAAAAAAACATCTTCCAGTCATTTTAATCTTTGCATGTTGTCAGCAAATAGAATATAACAAGCTCTGCTCCAAATCATTACCAATTGATCATTTCTTTTGACCAGATCATTTTTGATACAGAGCAAAATTTGCAGTGTCTTTTTTTTTAAACTTTGAAATAGAGGTAAATTTACGATTTCTGCATTAACAAATGACAGAAAAATTATTTTATAAAATTAAAATACAGAGTTTTAAAACAGGAAAACATCAGTATAATTCAAGTCAATTTAAAAATACGATCTTTAAATGTATTTTATGGCTTTTCAAGTGATGTATAATTGCTTTTCAATCGTTGACGGACTAACAAAACAAGCAACTATCTCACCTGAGAAGCGATATTTCCTTTTTGTGGAAACTACGACATCCAACAATTGAACGATGAAGTGGCATTATAAAGAAATGCCAAAAATATTGTCACAGAATAAACTAACGATATCCATATTTTGATACGTTTTGTTTTGAAAATTCAATTTACTATAGACACCAGGGGAGGTCGAGAAAATTTTTCTGCAAAGCGATCATTTGGAAATACGTCCTTGGCCGCCATGTTTTTACAACAGTTCAGTTCACTAGCCGCTCAGTTATTATCACTCAAGTTATCACTAGTTATCACCAGTTATCACCATAGATAGTATAGTCATTACCAAATTTAGATTGCGAAGGAGTTGTTACCAATGGTTGTGACCAAACCGCGAAAAATGTTCAACGAAGCACAAATGTGAAAGAATAAAAAAATAGTTGAATATAGTTGTAAAGGTGTAAAGCCAAGTTTGCTCAGCAACTAGAAAAATGGACTCTCTTATTTTGGAAAAAATTGTGCTTTTGACCATTATATTTAAAATTTGGTGAATTTGCAGGCATGTTTCTGTGGTTTTGGGTGATCTTAAAGTTCCAACAAAATGGAATAGTAATTATTTGTATGGATTTAAGGCAGGAACGTTGGCTTTCACAATGGAACCATTTTCAATAAGTAAATGAGGGAGTTTAAAGACATGACTAACAACTTTGTTTTTTTTGTCGGAATATTTCTTTACTTCCTGACCGGAAAATAAAAAGCAGTATGGAAACTATGTATTACGTTTAACAGGCATATTATTCCATGAACAAACTTATCACGAAACACAAAAGTGAAAATTTTAAAATCTAAAATATTACATGAACTTTGCTGATTGCTGGTTTCTAAATCTTTAATTTCTTCCAATTTTTTTGCAGTTGACATATATTTTTGTAATCAGGATTGCATATCGTGCAATATGGATCAAAATATTGTGACCAAAGATATGATATATGACGTTCACAAAGCCACACCCACGTTAAGTGGAAACTTTGAGTTTTCATTTCCTTAAACACGTAGTGTCCTATTACTATTGTATTGTTCGTCTTTCAACAACTCACATCACCTCTATTTTTCATTTTTCTTTTAAGATATAACAAACTATTCAAGTGTACTTTTCAATCGTGTTTGTGATCGTATAAATTCGTCAACTATACATACTCGCAGTATCATTGCCAACGTTGAAATGGACGAGGAAGTAGCTTCAGATAACGAAATTGGTCGAAAGAAAGTTAGTCTTCATACTGACGTTGCTAATGGAATAAAATATGCGATAGCAACGTTAGATGAAAACGAGTCGGGAAAAGTAGCCAAATCTCACCTACAAGCTGTTGTTGCCAACATTTGTCAAGCCTTTGGAATTTCTTACGTTAGTGATGATTTGGATGGATATTTACCAGAACAAACAGAGCTATCTGTTTCTGAATTTCTCGAATTTTTAGAAAGTAAATTACTTGTCAAAGGTGCGTAAGTACTAATCTTCTTCAAAACACGTAGTGAAATACTTACTGACGAACATTCAAATATCTATGTATGATCTTCCTTTTATAGATAACAAATACTAGTGATATTATTGACCTGAAAGTTATCGACTGTTGAAAACCATGACTACGATGTTTTTTTTGTTTACAAAAATGAAATTTACAATATAATTTCAAATCTGATTCATTTCGTGAAACATTGAACGGCTGGTTATAATAATTTAGTGTTTTAAGTCGGTTAATGAGTGAGATTATAATCGCCGGATCTCGTAGACATTATTTTGTAGAGCATTGGCGACTGACACACGTATTATCTTCTTATTTTTACCTTTCAAACAATGTATTTCCCTCGACAGGAGCTCAAATAAGCACAAAATGTATTAAAGAATAGTAAAGTTAATGTGTTCAAATGTTTTTGTTTACATTTGAGTTTTGAAGAAGCGATAAAATAGTATGAATTTGAATATATGATTTTTTATGTCGTAAACAGTGATCGAGTCTTACATACATGATTTTTAAAAGAACCATGTGTGAGTAGTTAAGTTGAAGATATTTCAATCAAAACTTGTAGATTTCGATACTTGAAATAACGTGTCTCCTCTATACAGGAAGTAATCAATTGAAAATGACTTATGACGTCATCATGTGCTTACAGTTCACAATGACACAATCGCAATTAATGCCAATTAAAACAAATAGAAAGTATTTACATACAAGAAATATACAACGCTTTAGAAATTACTGAAGAGAAAAAACAGAAATGTGCCTTTTCAATTGATTGCAATTTCATTTTTGTCTTCTCATTGTTTTTTTTCAATTCATCATAGTTTAATGATTGAAATATACCCTAACTTATTGTAGTTTGCCAACTTTGTTATTTTCAAGGGAAAAAGCTGGATCCTAAAAAACTTGATAAGCTTTCTTGGGTACTAGTTGGTCAAAATTATGAAGATTCTCCTCACATCTTAACAAAAAATGATGCTTTCAAATTGTGGTGTATCTTCAAGAAACTTGATGTTGGCTGTGATCTTCGTGTTGACATTGAAGAACTTTGTATCATTATGGAAAAGTTTGTTAGGGGTCTTGGACTTCAGTGGAGTGAGGCTTCCCTCCACAAGTATGAGGTGGATGGGGCCTTAACCTTTTGGAAATTCATCAATTGTATGGAGGAATTATTAGAAGGAGTCGAAAAAAGGTAAATAAGGGTAAATTTTTTTTGAGGGGGCTGTTGAAGATTGATTTTGTCATGTAATATGTTTTATAAAAGCTGTCACATTGTCAATCCAACAAAAAACTTTCTAGTTTTGTTATAGGATTTGTAGTTTTGGTTTACAAACTTTGCATTTATTGGATCTTATTTTGTGACTTCTTCCTACTAGTATGCAGATTTCTTTCTAAATACATAATTATTATTGAACAAAGCTTTAAACATTTCTGGTTTGATTATTTGTAAATAAATAATTATTTTTACTATCATGGTCTTGACAAACTGTATGATTTGATATTTCCAACTTACTTTTAGTGTTACATGTTTGTAAACATAGATCGTCCAGGTTGGTATAGTCCTGAGAAGGACTGTTTTTGTTGTTGTTGACTGACGTTTCGACAACCTTAGTGGTAGTCATCTTCAGAGTAGCGGTAGTCATCTTTTGACTCTGGGGTTCAAACCATTTACTTTATCACTTTTAGTGTTCTAAATGAAGGTCTTCGGGAACTGTATGATTTGATACTTGATGAAGTGATGCGAACTGGATTTCTTACAAAGAAGGGTCACAGTGTTATAAAAAGTCAAAAAAGTCGATGGTTTGTTCTGAAGTCTGGCACCTTGACTTATTATGTCTCAAGTGGTTATTATTTAAAGAAAGGAGAAATAATCTTAAATAAAAATGCCAAAGTCACTAGTATTCCTGATAAAGGAAGCAACAAGTACCGTTTCTCTGTTGTATGTGGTTCGACTAACAAAGAATTTGAGCAAATTGCTCCTGATCAAAGGACCAAACAAGCGTGGATAAATGATATACAAATGGCTATAGGTAGGTTTTATTCATTCTTAAATTTGTCTTAATTTGTTAAACTTAATATAATATTTCTATACGTCAGATTGCTTTGGTGGCAACTCACCATTGATAAGAGATCTCTTATCACGAAAAGCAAAGCGTGATGAGATGCGTGCGAAAAAGGATGAAGAAGAAAGAAAACGCAGAGAACAGGAAAATTTGCTTAACGAACAAAGAAAGGTAAGAAACGTAAAATTGTGTGAAATTATTTAGTATACGATGGTTCAGAAAAACATTTATTTTTTTATCTCGACAGGAAATTGATTTACTTAAGAGAAGGAAAGATGAAATTGAGAAAAGCGCGGAGGAAGAGAAAGCGTTGTTGGATGCTGAAATAAAACGCCGTGAGGAACTTGAGGAATTACAACGAAATCTACAGCAACTTTTAGAAGATCAAAAAAAAGCAAGAGAAGAGGATGAGAAGATCCGAGCTGCCAAAGAAAGATTGTTGGAAGAAGAACGCGCGAAACGAGAACAACTGGAAGCTCTGCGACAACAGCAACAAGAAGAACTACAGAGTGAAAAAATACAGAAGGAAGAATTAATAGTGAGACAGAAAGAACAGGAACGAGTTCTTGAAGAGGTTTGAATAATTATGTTTTACACTGTGATAATGATAAATCTATTGATTTCTCATATCAATAGAAATTCTTTGTTTAAACTACCGTTTTCATTGCTTTAGGAACGTAAGAGACTTCAACATTTGGAGGAAGAAAGGGAGAAAGCTGAAGAAGCAGCAAAAGCTGCAAAAGATAAGTTAACAGCAGCTGAGACAGCGGCAAAAAATGCAGCAGAAAAAGCCAAGGACAAAGTAAGACAACTGAAAACATCAATCGGTCTTAAAGGAACTGTTGGTCCAAAAGTTGATCCTTTAGTCACTCATCGTGGAAAAGGTGCATTTACTTTGGAAGAATTTTTAAGTCGTGCTACTGAATGGAGTGGCCTAACCTTGGATGAAGAGAGAGCAAAATCATCTGCACCAGAGGTTGACGAGCTAGTCAAGGCCTCGTCAACTCCAGCATCAAATCAGAACATTCCTGAATTTTTAAAAAAAGCTGCTGCCTGGAGTGGTCTCAACCCAGACACTTATCTAGAAAGTGGAAAACTTGAAAACACTGAAAAAGAGTTCTCCACCCAAAGTTGCGGCAAAACCTCCAAAACCTGTATCATCTTCGGAAAACAGTACGGAGCCCGATCAAGGCGGGGAAAAAGTACAGTTTGGTATGAATGCTGGCGATGATGTTAAAGAAATACCACAGAGAGATGATTTGCTTGCACATGATAGTGGTGAGAGATACATAGATGAGCCACTGAAAGGTGATCAGGATACATGTAATGGTGGTGAGGATAAAGAAGAACCACAGAATGATGTCAAGGAAACGTGTAATGGTGGTGAGGATAAAGAAGAACCACAGAATGACGTCAAGGATATGTGTGATGGTGGTGAGGATAAGATTGAGGATAAAGAAGAACCACAGAATGACGTCAAGGATATGTGTGATGGTGGTGAGGATAAGATTGAGGATAAAGAAGAACCACAGAATGACGTCAAAGATATGTCTGATGGTGGGGAGGTAAAGGTTGAGGATAAAGAAGAACCACAGAATGACGTCAAAGATATGTCTGATGGTGGTGAGGATAAGATTGAGGATAAAGAAGAACCACAGAATGACGTCAAAGATATGTCTGATGGTGGGGAGGTAAAGGGTGAGGATAAAGAAGAACCACAGAATGACGTCAAGGATATGTCTGATGGTGGGGAGGTAAAGGTTGAGGATAAAGAAGAACCACAGAATGACGTCAAAGATATGTCTGATGGTGGGGAGGTAAAGGTTGAGGATAAAGAAGAACCACAGAATGACGTCAAAGATATGTCTGATGGTGGGGAGGTAAAGGTTGAGGATAAAGAAGAACCACAGAATGACGTCAAAGATATGTCTGATGGTGGGGAGGTAAAGGTTGAGGATAAAGAAGAACCACAGAATGACGTCAAAGATATGTCTGATGGTGGGGAGGTAAAGGTTGAGGATAAAGAAGAACCACAGAATGACGTCAAAGATATGTCTGATGGTGGAGAGGTAAAGGTTGAGGATAAAGAAGAACCACAGAATGACGTCAAAGATATGTCTGATGGTGGGGAGGTAAAGGTTGAGGATAAAGAAGAACCACAGAATGATGTCAAGGATATGTCTGATGGTGGGGAAGTGTCTAGTAAAGATACTCAAGAATCTTGTGATGATGTCAAGCTGGAGGCATTGGTGTCTGAAAGTGACATCAGTGAGGTTGAAATTATACAACCAAATGGTCCGAAAGAATTGTGTGGAAATAACGATGAGGTAATGAAGAATGATGAGGAATTACAAGGAAAGACGACGGTGAAAAGTGATGGGAACGTTGATAACTGTAAGATCCTTGCTGATGTTGATAATGACGATTGTTCCAATCACATGGTAAATGACAATACTGCTGTTTATTTAAAGAGTGGTGGAGATGAAGAGAATATGAATGTCTTTGATGTCGGATTCAAGGAAGGAGAGAAAGAAGAATCTTTTAAAGGAGATTTTGAGTCTTCTGTTGAAACAAAACAGTTCGTATCCAAGAATGAACCTACAGGAATCCCGCACACAGATGAATTTGAGAAAAAGAAAGTCGAAGTCGACAAAGTAGATCCTGTTGTTGAAGGTGTGAAGAAATGTGACCCTACAACAGAGACCGAATGTCTTGAAAAATCACAGTTCTCTGAAAATTTTTCATCGTCTGATGTTGTTAATGAGAATGCTGCTGAAGGTACAACCCAAGACACTGTCAAAAATGGCCTTTCATCAGACGAGATCGCAGTGAAAGTGGAGAATGATAATATAAAAGAAATTAACGAACTTAGCATGATAACTTCAAAAACCAACGAATGTTTAAAAAGAGGCGAAGACGAAACAATCGAAAAGTAGATGTCTCATTAGCAGTAAAATAATTTTATTGAGCAAAGTTCAAATATATTTGCTTGCTAGACGTAATTTTCACAACATTCATCTAACGTAAATGGCAGTATGAACATTACGTTTTTGATAGGAATAATATTAACTATACTGTGTATCGAAATAATCTAATTACTTCCTGTCTATTCTCAATACAATTGTTGTATTCATGATATATAATTGTTGATGGCTCATTATTCAACCAATTCATTCTTTTTGCTTCATTATCTTCGTTGTGTACACTCTTCTTTTTTCTCCTCAATCTGATTGGTCAATCATTCCCATAATGATGTCACAAAATATGACGTCTTTCTCTGTTGACCCTGCAATATGTGGTGGTACCCCCGTGCAACAGAGTTGCTCACGTGGCACCTCCCTCAAGTCGAGGCTCCTTCAAGTCCTGCCTGAAGTTCGAGAGACATTCGTCGACTTACTTTCCTTATTTGTTGGTGTTCTTCTCTTTTATATTGATTAATTCATCGTTTCTGCAGTAAAATACGTCGAAGCAAAGTTTTTATAACGATCTAGTTTATTTGTTTTGCCTGATTTTTTGCTCAACATCATGGCACAAGTTTTACCAATTAAATTTCAGGAGCATTTGCAGGTAATAGTATGTTGGTATAATAAATCAGACGGGAATGGTAGTAACGTTCAGTCCTAGATCTTAAACTGAAAGCAATCACATAGTTCCTTTTCACTTAAGGTGGGAATTTTTATATTAAAGATAAGAGTTTAGAATTAGTGCATAAAAGTATGATTTGTAAATTGTAATTTCACTTGGTGAGGTATATTTGATAAATCGTTCGGTATATTAGGAAGCATGCGACAGGTTCACCCTAAATTACATTCTCCTCCTGATGAACAGCATTGCAACTCAGGAACTTAAAACTTTTTGATTATATTTAAGAAGAAAACTTATTTCCGGACACATCCAAAAGTTGCAGTCTTCACATACACCCGTGATGTATAGTAGTTGAAATGAAGTGTTTCTTTCTTTACGTTTTACTTAAACTTTTCCAATAACTTAGTCTATTATTTGCATCAAAAATACTTTATTACTGTGGTGTGAGGTGAAGCGGTGAAGCTCATGCTTATTGTGTAATATTTAGTAGCATTTCTTACCAAAGGTTTCGTTAACAATAAACAAAAATAAAGGGACTTCCTGGGGTAGGCTATAGTCATCATATTTTAATATTGTATGATCTATTCTGTAACTTCTCATAAGTCTTGTAATCCAGGAGAAGCTTATGAACTGTACAAATGTTTATTATTTTAAAGTCCTTTGCATCTCTCACATTTCTAAATGTGTTTAATGAAGTTGTGGTGCATATGAAGATCAACTCTTGAATATTATATTTGAGTCAGTAAAATAATAAATTATATCAAAGCAGTTTGTTTGTAAAATGTCTATTTTCACTTTTGAAGCTTCAAAATATTGGCATCAATGCAGCGAACATAGGTTTCTCTACTCTTACCATGGAGTCTGATAAATTTATCTGTGTTCGTGAGAAGATTGGTGAAACAGCACAAGTTGTCATTATTGACATGGACAATGCAAATAATCCAATTCGCCGACCTATCTCGGCAGATTCTGCTATAATGAATCCAAAATCCAAAGTCATTGCTTTAAAAGGTAGTACCATAGTATTGAACTGTGATATGTGCCTTTTTTTCATATGAAATATTTTAAAATGTGATTCATCTTTTTAGCTGGACGTACATTGCAAATTTTCAACATTGAAATGAAAAGTAAAATGAAAGCTCACAACATGACTGAAGATGTTACTTTTTGGAAATGGATTAGTGTCAATACTGTTGCTTTGGTTACAGAAACAGCTGTTTATCATTGGCCAATGGAAGGTATTTTATATAAAGAAACATTATAGAAGCTATTCTATTTGCTAACTTTGTTGTACATTGTAGGTGATTCGCAACCTCAGAAGATGTTTGATCGTCATTCAAGTTTGGCAGGCTGTCAGATTATCAACTATCGTACGGATCATGACCAGAAATGGCTACTGCTCATTGGCATTCAGGCACAAGTATATGCACATAGAAATAGTTGTGTTTTATTTGCTATGTGTTTGTCAATATTGTCAATTGTCGAGATTTTCTTATTTAGCAAAATCGTGTTGTTGGAGCAATGCAATTATATTCTGTTGAAAGAAAAGTTAGTCAGCCAATTGAAGGGCATGCAGCTGCATTCACACAGTTTAAGGTTGAAGGAAATCCCCTTGAATCAACATTATTTGCATTTGCTGTTCGTGGCCCTCAAGGAGGCAAGGTGAGTCACAGATTATCATATTTGTCTTGAAATGTTCTTATTATTCATTAGCCAGTCTATGTTGTTTATGTTGCTATAGTTACATGTGATTGAAGTGGGGTCACCACCATCTGGAAACCAACCTTTTCAAAAGAAAGCAGTTGAAGTTTTCTTTCCTCCTGAAGCTCAAAATGACTTCCCTGTTGCCATGCAGGTACGTATATCAATGCATTTCACTTATTTATTTTTACATTAAACATTTCCCAACAGGTTCATCTTCACCATTTTTATCTAAAATCAATCATTGCAATTTTTATTATTTAGGTTAGTCAAAAACATGGTATTGTATATCTCATCACCAAATATGGTTATGTTCATCTTTATGATGTTGAAAGTGGTACATGCATTTACATGAATCGAATCAGTGGTGACACCATTTTCGTGACAACTCCTCATGACCCAACAAGTGGTATTATTGGTGTTAATAGAAAGGGACAGGTTAAGTTAAATTTTTTTATTTATACTGATTAAATATATAAGGTATTCCCTTTTTTAGCTCTTACTTTGGATGACATTCTGTGCAGTTTTTTTTTGAGGGAGAGTTATTAAACAAAAATAGAGAAAAAAACTCCAATGGAAATTTTTTGGTGATGGATTGATGGTTATAGAGAATTGTTTTATTTATTCAAGAATCAAAAAGTAAAACAAATGTTATTCATAAAATTACAAATGTAGTTCTTCAAATTATGTCCTTTAGTTTTACTAAAGTTTTACTAAAGTTACTTCAGTTTTACAGAGCTAATAACTGATATGATAAAAGTATTAATGTTTTTTTCATAGTTTAATTCAATGTTCAACTTTTGTTTTACATTATGTAGGTTCTTGCTGTTAGCGTTGATGAGGAAAATATTGTATCGTATATCACCAATGTACTTCAAAATCCTGACCTTGCATTGCGCATTGCCGTACGAAATAACTTGGGAGGAGCAGAAGAGCTGTTTGTGAGGAAGTTCAATAACATGTTCAGTAACATGCAATATGCAGAAGCTGCCAAAGTGGCTGCAAATGCACCGAAGGTTTATTTACTATTTATTATTTATATATGGCCAATTCATCCATCTTTTGATCCATCTAAAAAATTATGTTTTAATAAAATATGAGTTTATTTTTGACAATTTTGTGCTCATTTTCTTTGTAGGGTATCCTTAGAACCCCTCAAACCATCCAGCGATTTCAACAAGTACCAGCACAACAAGGACAAACATCACCTTTGCTGCAATATTTTGGTATCTTACTTGACCAAGGACAATTAAATAAGTATGAGTCTCTTGAATTGTGTAAACCAGTGTTACAACAGGGTCGTAAACAACTGCTTGAGAAATGGCTGAAGGAAGAAAAGGTTGGTGATGTGTCTTTTATTACTTTTATTCATCACAAAGTTTTTTCAAATTTTCAATAAGACTGAATTTTAAAACTTTTATTTTATGATTATTTGGTTTTAGCTTGAATGTAGTGAAGAACTCGGTGATTTAGTTAAACAAGTTGATCCAACTCTTGCATTGTCTGTCTATTTACGTGCAAATGTTCCACATAAAGTAAGTTGTTGATTAACTTTATTTGTTTTTTTTTACTCTATGGCAAACTATGTTATGTTACTTTGTTTTATTTAGATTATTCAATGTTTTGCGGAGACTGGACAGTATCAAAAAATCATCATTTATGCAAAGAAAGTGAATTTCACTCCCGATTATATTTTTCTTTTGCGGAGTGTAATGCGTGTGAACCCTGAGCAAGGAAGTACATTTGCAAGCATGTTAGTTCAAGATGAAGGTGAACCTCTTGCTGATCTCAGTCAGGTAATATAAATATTAAATAATTATAATGAAAAATGGCTTTAAAATGATTTCATTAACTAAAATATTTTCTTGCGTTAGATTGTCGATGTATTTATGGAAACAAATCAAGTTCAAGCTTGTACATCATTTCTCCTTGATGCTTTGAAAAACAACCGTCCAAATGAAGGTCACCTTCAAACACGTTTGCTGGAAATGAATTTACTCACTGCTCCTCAGGTTATGATGATTTATCATACATCCCTATATCATCCATAGTGTGCCTATATATCCATTAAATGATTGTCTGTATTTTTTCTATTTAATTAAATACAGGTTGCAGATGCAATCCTTGGAAATCAAATGTTCACTCATTATGACAAAGCTCACATTGCTCAATTGTGTGAAAATGCAGGCCTTCTTCAACGGGTGATTATCTTGTCATTTTGTTTTATCATTATTTTAAAAACCTTGAATCTCAAATTTTGACTCTCATTCTAGGCTTTGGAACATTATACAGACATTTTTGACATTAAAAGAGCCATTGTACATACTCATCTTCTAAACCCTGAGGTATTTTTTGTAAATTATCTTCTGATATTAATATTGATTCATTTTTGTTCAACCATTCCCTTACATTTTTAGTGGTTGGTAAATTATTTTGGCACTTTGTCTGTCGAGGACTCAATGGAATGTTTGAAAGCAATGTTAACAAATAACATCAGACAAAATCTTCAAATTTGTGTTCAAGTAGCCACCAAATACCATGAACAATTAGGAACAACACAACTTATTGAATTATTTGAATCATTTAAAAGTTTTGAAGGTATAATTTCATACAATATTTTTTTATATTTTCAAAATGCTTATTGGAAACAATGTAATTTTATTTTAATGTCTTTATTTTTTTCTCTTGTTTCAGGTTTGTTTTATTTTCTTGGATCAATTGTCAACTTTAGTCAAGATGCAGAAGTACATTTCAAGTATATTCAAGTTAGTAAATAATAAATGTACAAATTTTTCATTTGAATGTGTGTAATTTTTGCTTGTATTATAACCTTTCATTTTATGCTTTGTCATTATGTGTTTTTTTATGAAATTGCTATAGGCTGCATGTAAAACTGGACAAATTAAAGAAGTTGAAAGAATTTGTCGTGAAAGTAATGTTTATGATCCAGAGCGAGTAAAGAATTTCTTGAAAGAAGCCAAGCTTACAGATCAATTGCCTTTGATTATTGTTTGTGATCGCTTTGACTTTGTTCACGATCTTGTCCTTTATCTTTACCGAAATAATCTACAGAAATACATTGAGATTTATGTCCAGAAGGTATACTTCAAGTATCACATAAATATATGTATTAAAAGAATGGACTGTTTTATTTTTAGATATATTGTCTCTTTAGGTTAATCCATCTAGAGTTCCTGTTGTTGTTGGTGGTCTTTTGGATGTTGATTGTTCCGAGGACATCATTAAAAATCTTATACTTGTTGTACGAGGACAGTTCTCAACTGATGAATTAGTGGAGGAAGTTGAAAAACGAAACCGTTTGAAATTGCTTTTGCCATTGCTTGAAGCTCGTGTACATGAAGGCTCAGAAGAACCAGCTACCCATAATGCACTTGCAAAGATATATATTGACTCAAATAATAATCCCGAACGCTTTTAAGGTAGGATTGATTTAATCAAATGTTATCAATAAGTTTATGTCTTTGAAACTACAATTTATACTTGTGAAAAAATGATAAAGGAGAAATAGTCTTATAAAATTTGTTTTTATTTTTTTGTAGAGAGAATCCATTCTATGACAGCAAAGTCGTTGGTAAATATTGTGAAAAACGTGATCCACATCTCGCATGTGTTGCATATGAACGTGGACAATGTGACATGGAACTAATTAATGTTAGTTTTAAACACAGATATGTTCATGGAGGAAGGTTTTCTTAATAAAAAGATTTGTTATGATTTCTTTAGGTATGCAACGAGAATTCATTATTTAAAAGCGAAGCGCGTTATCTTGTCAGACGTCGTGATCCGGATCTTTGGGCAAATGTTCTTGTTGAAGACAATCAATATCGTAGACAGCTTATTGACCAAGTGGTACAGACTGCCCTTTCTGAGACTCAGGATCCTGAGGATGTGTCTTGCACGGTGAAAGCTTTTATGACAGCTGATCTACCAAATGAACTTATTGAACTGCTTGAGAAGATTGTTCTTGAGAATTCTGTCTTCAGTGAACATAGGTATAACTATGTAATACTAACAAATTGTGTCTATGTTGAGATGTTGTTTTTTATGAAGTGGAAACTATTTTCAATGTTAACATGGAGTAGTAGCAGGGTAAATGAATAAAGTTTTGCATGGGAAGTTATTTCTAAGGTTAACATGGAATGTTGTTTGCATAGAAGGATGAATTTTTATCAAGGAAATTTTGAGTTTAGATATTTTTGGACAAAATGCAAACCTAATAATGAAATCTATCAAAAAAATAACTTTTCTATTTCTATTTCAAGGAATCTTCAAAACTTGTTGATTTTAACTGCTATCAAGGCAGATCGTACGAAAGTAATGGAGTATATCACTCGACTTGATAACTATGATGCTCCAGATATTGCAAGTATTGCTATTGGAAGTGAATTATACGAAGAAGCTTTTGCCATTTTTAAGAAATTTGATGTCAACACTTCCGCTATTCAGGTAGGATGGTCACGGTGTATTAGGGACATTGTTTTGATGTTTTATGGTGGTGCTGGGATATTTATGTATTGCATACAATGTCTATATCATGTAGGTCCTTATTGAGAACGTTCAAAATCTTGATCGTGCTTACGAATTTGCTGAGCGCTGTAATGAACCAGATGTCTGGAGTCTTCTTGCTAAAGCTCAACTTGAGCAGAGTCTTGTAAAGGAGGCGATTGATTCGTTTATAAAGGCTGACGATCCTTCAGTTTATACTGAAGTTGTCGCTATTGCAAGAAAAGAAGGTAAAAATAAATGCTATGGATGATGATTAAATTTTTAAATTTACTTTGTCATAGTTTGTGATTTTGGTGATCCATGATTTCTTTTCATTTGTAGACAAATATGAAGATTTAGTGAAATATCTTCAAATGGCGCGAAAGAAAGCTAGAGAAGGATTTATAGAAACAGAACTTGCATTTGCTTTGGCAAAAACTAACAGATTAGCTGAGTTAGAAGAATTCATTTCTGGACCAAATCATGCTCAAATAAAAGAGGTATATTTATCATCAACTTGTATGCATTGCAAAATTTTTACGTATTTTATTCATTGATTTATTATTGTTTAGGTCGGTGACCGATGTTTTAATGATAAAATGTATGAAGCAGCAAAAATTCTCTACAACAACATATCAAACTATGGTTGTCTTGCCTCCACCTTGGTTCATCTAGGGGAATTTCAAGCTGCTGTGGACGGAGCAAGGAAAGCAAACAGTACGAGAACGTGGAAAGAGGTTGTATTTTACTGACAATTCTTGATTTTAAGACAATTTACTTTGCAGTAACTGTGACTTCATGATATTTAGGTATGTTTTGCATGCGTGGATAGTGAAGAGTTTCGTTTGGCTCAAATGTGTGGTCTACATATCGTTGTCCACGCTGATGAACTGGAAGAACTCATCAATTATTACCAAAACCGTGGCCATTTCCAAGAGCTAATTCAACTCCTGGAGGCTGCATTAGGACTGGAACGAGCTCATATGGGAATGTTTACTGAGCTAGCTATCCTTTACTCAAAGTATAAACCAATGAAAATGAGGGAACATCTTGAATTGTTTTGGTCTCGAGTTAACATTCCAAAGGTGAGGCATGATTTACTAAGATTTTCCAACCCCTAATCCTAACCCTAACCCTTAGATAAGCAAATCTTAGTTAATAGAAATTGGTAGAAATTGGATGTACTAAACTCAATGTACGGTTGGAGGTGTTACACTGCATGTTTTATTGATAAATATACGCTGAAGAATGATACTCGAATTCTGATGGTAACATGTTTGTTTATGTTTTTTCTCAGGTTCTGCGCTGCAGAGCAAGCTCATTTGTGGGCAGAGCTAGTGTTCTTGTATGAAAAATATGAAGAGTATGACAACGCAATTCTTACTATGGTTGCTCATCCTACTGTGGCTTGGAAAGAAGCTCAGTTTAAAGACATCGTCACTAAAGTTGCCAATATAGAGTTGTACTATAAAGCTCTTCAATTCTATCTCGACTACAAACCTCTCCTGCTCAACGATCTACTCATAGTCCTCACCCCTCGAATGGATCATACCCGTGCTGTGACCTATTTTCGTAAAATCAATCATTTACCGCTGGTCAAACCGTATCTTCGTTCCGTTCAAAATCACAACAACAAAGTTGTTAATGAGGCGTTAAATGATCTCTTGATCGATGAAGAAGATTATAATGGTCTTCGTGCATCCATTGATGCTTTCGATAATTTTGACAACATCGCTTTAGCCCAGAGACTTGATAAACACGAGTTAGTCGAGTTCAGAAGAATTAGTGCTTATTTATACAAAGGAAACAATAGATGGCAGCAATCTGTAGAGCTTTGCAAAAGAGATAAACTTTATAAGGTATTGAAATCGTCAATATTCATTCTTCATCAATGTGTAATTTATTGACTCATTTGCTTTTCAGGATGCGATGATCTATTCAGCTGAGTCACGTGATCCTGAAATAGCAGAAAATCTTCTTAATTGGTTCTTAGAGAATAAAAATTATGAATGTTTTGCTGCGGCGTTATTTACGTGTTATGATTTACTGCATCCAGATGTTGTCCTTGAATTAGCGTGGAGAAATAATATTTTGGACTTTGCCATGCCTTACATTATACAAGTTTTAAAGGAGTATATAAACAAGGTAGTTTTTATTGTTTTCTACGAGAAATTTCTCATCAATTAGTTAGTTTTAATTGAATTATTGATTTTGCAGGTGGACAATCTTGCGACGTCGGAGAAAGAACGCAAAGATCAAGAAGAAACAAAACAGGATCAACCATTAGTGTTTGGTAAATAATATTTTTATGATATTGCGATACTCCTCTGCAAATGTTCATTTATTGGAACACTTGTCAATGATGATAAATTTTACACCATCTTTCGTTTGAAACTTGATGAAAATTTGTTTTAAAAATCTGAGACAAAGTGTAGAAAATAGTTCTTTTGTTCCTTTGAAACAAGTTATAAAAGTTTAATTGGTGTATTCTTTCTTTCTTTGCAGGCAGTGATCAGTTGATGTTAACTGCTGGACCAAATATGGCAGCAGCACCAGCTCCAGGAATGGTACCAGGAATGGCTCCAGGCATGATGCCTCCTGGTGGCCCTATGATGTACACAGGAGGCTATCCACAAGCTGCGACTGGTTTCCCCCAGCAATATTAGGACGAAATTTTAATGTGTAATAATATTTAATTTCTTTTAAACTTTTGCAATTGCTCAGCCTTCCCTCTCTAAGTGTGTAAAATTGTTCAGGTTTTTGTCTCAGTTTGATTAAAAATGTAAAAGTAACTTAGAGACAACTGGATCATATCCTACACGAGAAATTCAATTTTTGTTACTCAATAATAATTATGCATGCGTCGTAATAAATTAATTCAACTCTCAACAGTAATGAATTGTTTTGGCTCTAGTTGTAATGGCCCAAGACCCAAACGGGTACTCGGAGTTAATTTTGCAGTTATTTTATTGTTATTCAAAGACTTTTGTTAAGGAAAAGAAATTTGTCCTTTGCCATAAGTTCCTGATGGATTTAAACTATGTAATACGACGATCCTCCTTACAATACACATTCTTTGTTGTCATGAATTGGAAATTGTTTGTCTTGCATTAAGCTATTAAATTGGGTTATGCACTAATTATTAACAAATTAATTTAATTGCTTTTACACCAATTTCAATGGTCAGAACTTTGTTTATTTTCTAGTTAACCATTTTTAGTATGAGCCATGATAGCCCAATCACCATTTCTAATATGAACATGATTGTCCACTACCATTTGCTATTCTTTCATATAGAAACACATCTAACTTTTCATTCATCCTACCTTTCTACTTTCTTTATGTGTAAGTTAATAACATGTAAATACACAAATATTTGCTTTGAAGTCTGGTGGAAATGTTTCTTTTAAACCATTTATTTTTCAAATTTGTTTTTGAAATGGCTCCTTTGAAAGTCTTATGTTGGGCTATCATGTCTGTACTGGAAATTCCCTTTCTGCCAGGCAAATTTCTGGCCACAATCAAAGCGTTTTTATATCAGATGATACTATCATGAGACAAAGATTTCTGTCATTTTTTACTGTAACAACATTATTCAAACAAAGGGCTCGGCCACACGGAAGTTCTCAAATACAAATAAATGATGGCTGTAGGTTTATTATTATACATAACATATTGATTATATAGTAATTTACATGTTTAAAATAACTTCCTTATTTTTGAGATGATCAATTTCATTTTGCTTTTTTTTTCTGTTTTTTCTTCGGTGGTATTGTTGATTTAATAATTGACAGTGCTTTGGGCTCTTGTTTTACAGCTTGAGTGATAGCCGTGGTTTCAATACTTTGTTTGATTTGAACCTCTAGTCTCTAAAATAATAAACAAGTTATTGTTGCTTGATAACCCTTTGTCTTCAAATACAGTAAATTTAACTTCACCTTTTTAACTATAGTTGATGAAGATTTAGATCCTTTCTTTGACTTGACAACTCTTCCTGTAATCACGATAGACAAGGCAGACAGTCAATCCAGTTAATCAACGCAACAATACAGTTAATACTCAGTATCTTCACATACCTCCTTTCTTTAGAGGCTTCTTTTGTACATTAGCTTTCTTTTTAGCACTACTAAATTTCTTCTTACTGTTTCCTTGAGCCATTTTTTCAAAAAAATTATTAATTGCGATTAGACGAAAAGATTTACCTTCGATTGTATCGTCTACAAAAAATGTCAACAGTCAACATTATTTCTTCTAATTGACAACTCTATTGTTAAAATTTAATGTCAGTAAATGGAAGCACCCAATGAAGTTGCGCAATGAAAACAACGACAGGATGCAGAGGAAGCATTACATTTTTTAGTCAAACTGGCAATGCAGACGAGACAATATAGTGGATTGAGCATGATTTCAAAAGAACATGAAAACGGCTGCAATACCTCAAAATGGTAGAGTGTATTTAGGGAAAAGATCTCAAATGCAGTATTTAATCGGATCATTCATGTAGGCAGCATAAACGTGGGAAGAAGGGGGGTGGGTAGGGGTGTAAAGCGTAGCGGGTTTCATCACTGGTGCTTACATATGAGTACATAGTTAGGTGGTCAGTGCTAAAATAAAGTTATCAAAGAATCACAACTCTTTGATTATTTTTGCACTATATTAGTGTAATAATTAATTAGTGTTATCGCTCTAAAATAGTATATTTTTAAATTAAAGATTTAAGTTTAGATTTGGTTTTGCTTTAGTCTAAATTATTTTGCAATGAGTCAGTCTAGTAGAGACTACACCTCCCCACACACACAAAAATTGATATGTACACCCCTGCACGTAGGACCTTTATTTGCAACATTTTTTAAGCTTGCCTTCCATATAACATATATTTTAAAGTCCCAACCAATACCTCAAACAAAAATTAAGAATAATTTAAGCAAAGCAAAAAAGTTTGGTTTAGTATTCTAGTCGAGAGTGTATTTTTGTTTCAACTTATTTTATGTACTTTGGTCAGAGCCATTGCTGTGACGTTTATGTCACATGGTCATGGTCACATGATATTCCCAAATCTTCATTCTTTGATTTTGGCAAAAAATTGTGTCGCTGCATTTTAAAGTCCAAACCTCAGAAGATACGTTTGACAAGAAATTTACGAAATATGAAGAAATGTTGCGCATGTTGCGGATCCAAGATGAAATATTTTTGTACCATAATACTTCTACTAGTTGGAGGAATATTTATTGCGTTGCCTTTCGTCACACGTGATTACATCGACAAAATTATCAAAACGAAAATAGATAAAAACGTAAAAATTTCTCCTAGCTCTCAAATCTACGACGAGTGGTTGAAACCAACATTGCCAATATACTTGCAATTTTACATGTTTAGTATAGTCAATCCTTTAGAGGTTATGAGAGGAGATGTGCCGTTTGTTGTTCAAAAAGGACCCTATTCATATCGTGAAAGTCGCTTAAAATACAATATAAGTTGGGGCCATGATAAAGTGAACTATAATCAGAGAACACGTTATAAATTTGATCCAAGTACGTCATGTTCCACTTGTGATCCTCACATAGATATGGTAAGATCCCTCAATATTCCATATAATACCCTTGTGCAGAAAATTCCACCTTCTTTAAGACATCATAAGCTGTTTGACAAGTTAGTTTCCACTTTTATGTCTTACTTCAAAGAAGGTCTATTTATCAACAAAAGTGTCCACGAAGTGATTTGGGGATACAATGAACCACTGTTTGATGATTATGATGAATTTAGAAAAGATCTTGAGAAAATTTTTGGCAAGAAGTTAGTTGATAATTGGTTGCCCAAAGTACCAGCAATTTTTGCATTGCAGCAAAATCCTAATGTTGATGGATATACAACTGTAAACACTGGTAGTAGTGATGTTAACTTAGTTGGTCAGTATGAACAGTGGAAGGGTAATGAAGGTCATCTTCATATATGGAAATCAGCAACTGCTAATATGATTAATGGTACAGATGGATCTCTTTACAAGCCTGCTTTATCAAAGCATGACATTCTCTACATTTTTATTATTCAGTTATGTCGCTCATTGAATGTAATCTATCTTGATAAGCAGACTGTTAAAGGAATTAATGGTTATCGTTTTAGACCACCTAAATATTTGTTTGAAAGTGGAAACATCAATCCAAACAACAAAGGTTTTTGTACCCCTAATTGTCTACCATCAGGATTATTAAATATCAATGGTTGTGTACCTTTCAATGCACCCATCATTGTCTCATCACCACATTTTCTCCATGGAAACAAATCTTTATTGCAGGAGGTTCATGGATTAAAACCTGTTGAAGAAAAACATGACACCTTTTTAACTTTAGAGCCTCATACTGGTATTTTGTTACGAGCATCAAAACGGATCCAATTTAATATTCATGTAGTTCCACTTGCAGGTTTTAAAGATTTGGAAAATGTCAAAGCAGTGAACATCCTATTATGTGGATAAATGAACATGTTGAGATAGATTCTGCTAATGCTGAAAAATTGAAGAAAGATGTTCTCAGAAATATTGAAATAGTTAAATGGGTTGGATATGGACTCATTATACTTGGTGGTATCATGGTTCTCATTGCTTTCATTTTGGTTCTTCGTTTATGTTGTGCATCAAATGATGGTAAGCAAATGAAATTAATTGCAGAAAATGGAGAAGGGGATTTACATGATGAAAGTGGATATCCAAACTCTACATTGATCAATGCATCTACCTAGGGAAATCATATCTTCTATTATTGATTGAAGAGAAAATTAAAATATTTTTGGGATAGCAAATGTTTCATTTCACCTTTGTGAAATGAGCTAGATAAACAACTTACTTTTAAATTCTTAAAGATTTTAAATAAATATATATAGTGAATAAATCATGTCCCTTTCTTCTCTCTACACACATAGGTAGGATTATCGAATGGTAATATAATTGTATTACACAAAGTTTCAGCCTGAATGTTAAGTTTTTAAAATATATTTTGCATTTTATATGAGTTTTGAGGCTATTCAATACTTTACCAGTGTTAGTTGTATAATATCAAAAAATTGTGTAACTTTCTGGGTCTTTGTTTAAAGTTTGTTTGCTTCTATAGTTTAGATTGTTGTGACTAAATATTTAGAAGTTTTTTAGATAGTCATATGTTAGTGAAGACATTTATGGATTTGCTACAGGAAAGATCTCATTTGTGGTGGTTTTTATTTGTGCATGGCTCATATTTTGACATCTTCATTGAAAGTGCCTCTGGTGTTCTAAACTATTTGCATCTTTTACCTTTAGTAACTTTGTTTTGTTTCTATAGATAAGCTATTAATTTGTTTTGATAACACTTGTTGGACAATTGCCTGTTGTCCCTCTTGCTCAGATTGTAAATCATGCGAAATGTCGACATAAATGACAATCTATCGCCTATTTTGTCGGGATTTGGGCGATAATTCCTATTCGACGATAAGTGCGACTCAAACATGAACTCAAAGTAGCAAATAAAAATTTTATCATGGCCGTAAGAAGTAAGAATTATGCATTGAATTATGTACTAATAGTCGTTCAACTTTGAATGATTTTTGAACGTTTAACATTGAAGTAAGTAATTTTATAAAAATAAAATGCACTAATTGGGTCATGGCTTTGCAGTCTCCTTTGGTTTATGGACGGGTCTTAGCTTCTCAAATCCGTCAAGCTATTCCAAATCTTTTGCGACTGGAAAATCAACGATCCGTCGCTTGTAGCAATTCACGGAGATACACAAAATTAATTACCGCCTATTGTGGCTTCTCGAAAAACCTACTGCCTTCAAAAAAAAATCGATCTTTTGGAGAAGATGCATTTTTCATAACGGAAGATAAAGTGAGGAATGTGTTAGGTAAGTAAAGTGTGATATACATATCACATCATTCATGTTGTTTAAGCTAAAGTTTGAACTAAAAGATGTCTTGTTTTCAAGTTATATTATTTTGTGCCATTTTTATCTTAATTTGCAAAGCGCGAAACAATTGTAAAACTACATATGACACAAACTGCTCTTTATAACAGACAATATTACATTTGTTTAGGAGTTGCAGATGGTGTTGGAGGTTGGAGGAATTATGGAATAGACCCATCTTTGTTCTCAAGTGCATTAATGGAGAATTGCAAAAATTTAATAGAGCAAGGCTTGTTGAATGATCCATCTCCAATTGAAATTATGAAAGAAGGTTATCATGAGATATTTGAAAATAAAGAACCATTGTTTGGTATGGTGAAACAACTGGTCAAAAATTTCCAAAATGATTTTGAATTTTTAATAATTATGAATTTCCACAATCTTTCATATCTTTCAGGAAGTACAACTGCTTGTATTGCTGTCTTGGATAAGAAGAACAGTTTATTGCACTCTGCAAACCTTGGAGATTCAGGATTTCTTGTTATTAGAAAGCAAAGTGTGATTCATTCATCAATGGGTCAACAGCACTACTTCAACACTCCTTATCAACTGGCTATACCTCCACCAGAATGTGAAGGAAATGTTATACAAGACGAGTATGATTAAGTTTTGTTTTGCTTCGTTCTTCCAAATCTCCCAAAAAATTCTATCACAAGTGCACATTTGTTTTTAGCTTAGAGTCAGCAGAGGAAAGATGTTTTCCTGTTGAGGAAGGAGATGTTGTTGTCATGGCAACTGATGGATTGTTTGATAATTTGACTGAGTCACAAATTCTTGATGAGATTTCAAAGTTGAAGGTAGTTATGTCAATTTTTTGTGTCAATGTCAATTTGGCCTTTTACTTGTTTTGACCATATTGTTTTATATTTAAAATTTAGGACCATCAATTGTGCTCAGTTCAATCAGTTGCTGACTCCTTGGCAAACCTTGCAAGCTCGTTATCATATGATCCAAATTATTTTTCGCCATTTGCTAAGCAAGCAAAGGAAGAAGAAGGGATAGAAGCAGTGGGAGGGAAGCCTGATGATATTACTGTACTTGTAGCTATAGTATGTTTAGCAGCAACTCCAGTATAGTTTGTTGAGAGAAAAGATAATCATTTAGGTTGCCCATGTCAACACTATCGAGAGAGGTAAAGATTGTTGGGAGGTAAGGCTGGACCTTATGCCATTTATTGGGAAGACGCTTTGAAAATAGTTCTTTGATTTATTTGATTTGAACACAATTTTCATGCATTTATATTTAAGGTATGAATTGCTGCTTGTAAATGGTTTCAAATATTTTTAAAAATTTAAAGGGAATGCAGTTTGATACTTTGATTATTGTATGCAGTTTTATAAAATAATTTTTAGAAAGTGTGGTATGAATCTAGTCCATCTAGTTTTTTTAGTAAAAAAATTGAATTCTATAAGATCTTGAAACTTGGATACGTGACGTTGAAGCCATGCTGGTGTTTTGTATAAAAGCTGTGAATAAGGATGTTACCAGCCTTGGGGCTCATCTGTTGGTGTAGATGTACATCTGTGGGCCTAGGTGTGCATCTGGGGTCCAAAATAATCATTTGAGCAGGCTTTCCATGATTGCTGTAACGAAACTTGGTTTACCATGGCGTTTAATACCGCGATGGTAGTTTTAAGCTCGTTTCTCTAAAGAGATTTTATAGTAACTTGAGCTTTCTTAACTATTGTAGTAAAAACATTGATTTTTATTTGAGATACGTTTACCCAGATGAATGATGTAGACATAATAACATAGAACAAATAATTGTGGACTCTAACGATTGCTTTGAATCTTCAATAAATTTTTGGTTATGGTTACTTTTCAACAGCATTGATGTGCAAAGTACCATTACAGTTATAAAACACCCTTAAAACATTGCAAATTTTTAGACGTTTTAATGGTTTGGAACTTTGGAGGTAATACGTCTACAAATACGTCACAAGTTTTTAATGCTCATAATTCTAAAAACTTAGTTCACGATTTGGCAACACTGTTAAATAATGGACGACCTGTCATCATACATAATCATTATGGTACATATATATGATGATTCGTGTTTAGTTTGAATTAAAGGAACAAGAAGGAACAGAAAATTTCCCGCCAATCTCGCATCTTGCAATCTAATTGGGTGATTTACACCAATGGCAGCCTGAATTAAACTAGTGTCAATCACTCATTTCTGGATGCATTTCCGGTGAAGACGCAAACTCCTTCAGTTAGTACAATTCTTCAAGAAGACCTTATGTCTATAAAATTTTGGCGACAATTTCGAAGATTTACCGCAAAAAGAAAAAGAATTGATAAAACTGTCTTTAATCCGATGAAAGGTATTGACTTTCTTGTTTAGAGAATTTTTTGTTGTTATTTCGTTGTATTTATGTGGTCAATAGCGCCTTTGAAGGAGCGTGGCGATGAAAGTTCGTCATATTATCCCTTTGTTTTACCCTTTCTTGAACGTTTTGGAATGCTTGGAGAAGAGACTTGTTCATTTTTTCCACGTTTTTAGCAGGTACTTGTGACTACTTCCATTCGACTTGCTCCGGCTTGCCCAACAAGCTCACACGTGCAAAGACGGTCCCATTTCAACGCTAACAAACAACAAACTTAACGGGAAATGAAGAATATCAACTGAAATTACTTAAAGGTAGGACGAGAACGAATATTTTCTTTGCTTAGTTGAAGTTAAAAGATGAAAATACGAAAAGTTTTTTGGGGTATGCATATTCTATCGTATTGTATAAACAAATTTGGCGCCAGTTTTTTCACCGCGCACAATACCGGAGACTGGGTGCAAATTTTATTTTCAAAAATCTCATGATAACCTTCTTTCATAATTTCAATTAGAGATGGATCGGTCAGCGGCCTTACTCTATTTAGTTTTTACTATTGTCCATTAATGCACTTGAGAACAAAGATGGGTCTATTCCATAATTCCTCCAACCTCCAACACCATCTGCAACTCCTAAACAAATGTAATATTGTCTGTTATAAAGAGCAGTTTGTGTTATATGTAGTTTTACAATTGTTTCGTGCTTTGCAAATTAAGATAAAAATGGCACAAAATAATGTAACTTGAAAACAAGACATCTTTTAATTTAAACTTTAGCTCAAACAACATGAATGATGTGATATGTATACCACTCTTCACTTACCTAACACATTCCTCACTTTATCTTCCGTTATGAAAAATGCATCTTCTCCAAAAGATCGATTTTTTTTTAAGGCAGTAGGTTTTTCGAGAAGCCACAATAGGCGGTAATTAATTTTGTATATCTCCGTGAATTGCTACAAGCGACGGATCGTTGATTTTCCAGTCGCAAAAGATTTGGAATAGCTTGACGGATTTGAGAAGCTAAGACCCGCACATAAACCAAAGGGAACTGCAAAGCCATGACCCAATTAGTGCATTTTATTTTTATAAAATTACTTACTTCAATGTTAAACGTTTAAAAATCATGCAAAGTTGTAACATAATTCTTACTTCGTACGGCCATGTTACAGTTTTCATTTGTTGCTTCGAAATATTTACCTTAAATTCATTGGTAAATCAAGTATTGTTTATTGAGAAAGTTTTTGTAACCACGACAAAGCATTTTGAACAGACAATTCGGGATTTGTGATAAATTGTACGATATAATCAAACAATTGAGACTAACACAAAGAACGACGGTTTGTTTGAAAATTTTTATTTACGTGTTCAATATTTTCTGCTATATTGTGCACAAGTAAATCTTACGATGAAAAATTGATCTCGATACTTATGTAAACTACTGAACAATAGAAATATAATACGTATATATATGTTGTCTAATTGTTTTTGTGTTGCATAAAGTACGAACTTTGAACGATAGTTAAATTGCATTAACTCGTGCACAAAATGCATGGAATATGCTGCTTCGTCATATCGTGTGATGATATCATACGTTTTGTCGAACAATGGTTTGAAAACTTTCCGAATTTATGTTTGTGTCAAACACTATGTTGGGAAAATTTATTTGTTGTGTATTGTCAACCAAAACTCCCTGTTTAGCTTAATCAACTTATTAAAATTTTGTCAAGAACTTACGATTTATCAACCGATGTACATTCACAGTTGCTGTTCTTTACCTAACGGTTGCTGCCATCAATATTGATCCAATATGTATTTAAATTATGTTAAACTTTTTTTGCTTATAAACTATGGTAACTGCTTACAAAACATACAACTCTAAGAGATTTTGCTCGAAAAAATAATTTCATAGTGTTCCTTTTTTTAAATAACTTCTTTCTGTGTGTTAGGAATGATCAATTGATTACATTACAGATACCATGGATGATATCATATATGTTATGTGGAGTACATTATGGATATCATGGATCATATCATGGATTAAATCACATATATTATCGATTAAATGTTATGAAGTACATTGTATGGATATTATTCCTTATGCTGTCGATGTAGTGGAATGTACCATAGATATCATGAACTACATCAAAGACATATTTTACATATGGACATCGTGGTTTATATCATGGACATCGTGGTTTATATCATGGACATCGTGGTTTATATCATGGACATCGTGGATTATATCATGAGTGTAGCGAATATTGATTACGTCATGGATGACGACGATGAAGGTGCAACATTTATGTTTACTTAATATCTTGGTGATCAACATTAACAGGAAAATAATTGACCAATGGCCGAGTTGTAAAGCAAAGTTATTGGTTCTCTTGATTCCTGTTAGTGCTAATAGATATTTCTTATTATTTTTATGTCATGTCATGGTTGCTGTACAACACAGTGCTTATCAGCGCGAACATTAGCTAGAAAATGACCGTACATCTTGCATTGCTCAAAAGCTTTTACCAAGTTATAGTGTCGTGTGAGAATACTAAGCTTCTGTTTACTTGTCTCATGTCAATGTCTAAAAGTCTGGGCATGAAAAACTGTCTAAGAAACTGATAAAGTTCGTCTGTTTTAAGTTGAATTTTTTGATCACCAAGATACATTGAAATAAGCGCGAGCCTCCTTAAGTTTGGTTGTGATTTTAATATTCTAAGCATCAAAGTTTTGAAACAGTCAGATATTTAAAAAAATATGGTTTTTGTTCACTGTTCCGTCAAATGGCCCATTGAATGTAAATCCTTTCAGCGAATTTTAGTCAGAATTTTATTGATAAATTCATTGTCATTTTGACAGGAAACACAAATTAATCATCTTTTAAAAGAGTTTTTGCTCTTCACTGCATTTATGACTTTCTAGCGAGGTTTTATGAAGAACACAATATAATTTGTTCGTCCAACCGATAAATTGATCTCGGTTTAGTTCCGTATAAATAGATTGCAAAGGCAATATCATACATGCTCGTCACAAGTGTTGTTTCGTCCGTATTGTTTAATAGTTAACACTTTGAAAGCGAACGGACGCTTCACATCATGCAAGTATTATTGCACAAAGTTTCACATTTATAATCATGAGCTTAGATTTGATAAGACATTATTACGCAGTAAAATTTTAAATGTCTTAAATTTCCCTTAAAAATGTACAAATAAGCTATTGAGATACCAAATATGACCAATATAATAACTTTTGTAATTCTTGAATGATTAAATTGCACTTTGACTTCAGTTACAAAAATGTAATTTCGTATATGTAAACATTGACGTAATAATCGATTCGCATTGTCAAATTTAGAAATATTTTATTTAAATATAAATTCCCCATTAGAAAAACTTATAAAGTTTACTTTCTAACATTGCTAACAATGACATTGTTTTTGCTTTTATTAATCAACCGTTCTTTGACAAGATCTTTACCATACTATCGTAGAAACTAATCGAATACAACAGCTCAATTTGTAGACACTGAAACAATTTTATCGCGCTCTTTCTTGATTGATTGTATGTGAGGTTAAATTTTACATTTTTCTTTTTCCCTGCAACGTTGTTCGGCATATGCCTTGTCTAAAAAAATAGTGTATCTGTTCTAAACTGTTTTACAAAAATAAAAGAAATTTATGTGGGTTTTTTACATAAGTTAGCAGATATGTATCAATAAGTTAATATTACACTATTATCGAATTCGTTTTATACCTACCATATATATCGCAGTTTTAACAATGTCTTTGATTTTTGATTTGAGATGTTTCACTTCATCAAACGACAGTGGAATCTTTTTTGGTTGCTTTTGTATGTCCACATTTACTTCATTCAACATTTTGTAAAATATGATAAATTTTTGTTTTCTTTGGTTTAACTTATCTATTTCCTACAAACACGAGAACACTTTATTATACTTCTTCGGCAGTACGGTGAAAATATTGCTTAAACTTGCCTAAGTGCTTACTATGTGTAATGTTTAACATTTTTCTAATGTGTTTGACTTACTGTAAGGTTTAATGGTGTAATGGAAATTGAACACACTGGCTTTCCTCCTTTTGAACCCTTGAAATTCAGAGAAGTCATTTGAAAACGGTACATTTTTTATTTAACTATACCACCCCCACCAATACTGGAGCATAGAAAGAACAAGAATTCGACGGGTGTTATCGTTTCAAAAATGTTTACGGAAACCATTGAGTATTTTTACAACCACGATAACTCCAGGTAATAGAATATGGAACTTTGAAGATAATACATGAATGAATAATTTAAAGTCATCGATAAATCTAATATAGAGTGATGTCGATTTGTTTTTGTTTAAAATGATAACACATACTAACCAAGCTTTTTATAGCTTTCGAGCACATTTTGTGAGCTAATTTTGCTGTTTCGAGGAGATTTTTGTATTTAAGCAATCTTTCATTGTTGCTTAAGTATTGCCCCTTTAGTCCAATTATATTTAATGTTGTCAAGATGTAAATGATACTTTTCACCTTTACGTAAAGCTCTAAAAACAATAGCGTGATAAGAATATGATAAGTTTAACTGAAATAAAAATGATTTCTCATGGTAATTGCTATAAAATAGCTCATACATCCAAATCATGAACAAATTCAGGACGAGGATACGTAATGTTTAGAGGGACTTCCCCAATTCTCCTAACTGTTAATTATTTACTATTTTTTGTAAGTATTTGGGGTTTCCCCTAATTGTTTAACGTGCTGAGTGATAAAAATGTACAATTGTACATGTAATGTAATAACGTTTTGTAACACGTGTTGTACCATTGAAAATATATTTTCTATTTTCTATATTTTATGCGATATTTTATAGTCACATGGAGTAATTGTAACTTTTAAAAATAATCACAACGTTTGGTGATTGATGTTACGTGGATTTTGCTAAATAAGGTAATGTTATTCTCTTTCATCCTGATAAAAACTTGTTTTAGATAAAAACTTGTTTTAAGAGTCTTTTTAGACTATGAATATCAAAAATAACATTTATATCTAATACAAGATAACGTAGTTTTAAAGTATTTTTATTGCAATGTTGTACACTGTCTTACCTTGAAAATTCATTTTAATCTTCAATTCTCTTTTCTTTCTCTCTATAATTTCTCTGTTCTAATGATGTCTTAATCTTACCTTCTCATTGCTTTGTTTTATATAACCATGTTAGTTTCGTAGGTACCGGATGTTTTACAATAATTGGTAAAAATTGATCTAAAATTAGGGCATTTTCACTTTTCTGTGTGTTTTTTGTGTTTGTGGTAAGTTTTCAAACTGAAGTATGTGTTTTGTTCTCAATATATTAATTTTGTGTCAAAAGTTACAAAATTTCTTCTATTAAAAATATTTACTTTTATTGCTACATTATGTTTCAATGTTATGTAAGAGAATGCTTCTGCAATTTTAGTACAACACCATTCAAAGTTGTGAAAAAGACTATAATAACTGCATTCTTTTTAATCAAATGTTCCAGGGGATTTTTATGCATCGTTTTATTCATTTCGCATTGATATCATCAAATGTTTGTGACTTCCTGAACGCTTTGTGAATATATACAATGTTCTTCATCAACATGGTAAATATTGCTACGAGATTGGATCAACTAACAGATTGAGAGGAACTTAATCATTTGAAGTATTGTATGAAGTTACTCTTTTGTTGTTTTTATTAAGCTTTGCAGTTAAAATTTTGTTGATACATTATCCTCTAAACATGAAAAATTCTTAACCCAATCTTTATAAAGTTCTATATCATAATTTATTTTGATAGCAATATTATGAAACAAAGTAAAACTTCAATGTTTTAAAACCCAATTGTCTCAGCTAAACATTATCAAACTATTTTCAAACTAATGTATGCGCTTGCAGTAACTCCAATGCAATAGTTCTCAAATTATTCATTATTATTTTCTAACATTCAAAAAGTTATTGATCTAACTGAATATTTAAACATTATTGGATGATTTGAACAATTTTGTTGATCCTTGAGCAGCTAATTTATAAGTCTTGGAAATTAAAAGCTATCAGCTAGTGTGAATATCGCAGTTTTTGTTGAAATTACTTAATTTTTGTCAGAAAGTCAGTTATCCTTCTGATAAGTTTTCTTTGTTAATGCCAATTAACTAATGAGCGCTTAGCTAGACAAACAGAACCTACACGTCAAACTTTTTATTGTCGGTTTCAAAACTTTTGCATCTTAGCGTTTTTATAGGATTGTTTATTTTTGAAGGTATTTTTGTTATTTCGTGACACGAATGATCTTGTCGCACTAATGAAAACGACATTTTGTTTTCAATAAAATGATTATGTTAACGTTATTTTCTTCATCGTTCTGTTTTCTTCAGTCAATGAAATTTTCTTCATCGTTATAATAATTCTTCTACATTCATGGAAAAAAATTCATGAATAAAATAAAGCTTTCTTTGAATCTTTTTGGTTTGTTTATATTCGTAGGAAAGTGAAAGATCATTTTGGTAGGGTAACTGCATGTATTATTGTCTCAACTATACGCCACTAATTTTTGGTTTTCCCCATAATTATTTATGCTTGAAAAATCCACCTTAACGTGGGCGACAATGCCGGTTTCTTTCATTTCACTGCTCAAAACATCTACACATTACAGCTATTGATATTGAAAAAGCAAGAGACTGTATACGTTCCTTCCATGTATTTTTATTTCGTTCTTATTTGTATGTATAATTTTAATAATTTTTTTGATGACATTTAGACTGCAAATTTTGTCGATGTGAAATCAAATACTCTAATAATATCGTTACAATTAATTTATGCATAGCATCTACTTTCCACTATTTTACATTTTGAAATATTCGTTTTAACAAGCGGAAATGATACAATTTTTTATTTTGAAACGTTTTCTCATTTGAAGAATACGAACATGTACTTTGCGTAGTATCTGGATTTTTGTTCCGTGTATGCTGCTCTTTGAACTGGATTTAGTCATTGTCATGGTATAAGATAAATTCTCTTGAATATTAGTCGGTAACTGCATTTCTTCTTGCTGTAAAAGATGGATTGTAGATGTATTTTCATAAAACCAGACACAATTTTTTTCTTTTGTTATTTGTATATAGAACAATTATTAATTTGGACCATCAATGGCCTGTAACAAAAATATCTGACCGTGTTTTTGATCCAATATCTGAGAAGTCTTGCTCTCCAGCTAACTTTTTTGATTTTTGTATTACATTTCACGCTTCTGAAGTTTCTTTTGATGTACTGAACGTGAAATTTTATTCTATTTGACATCTCTTGAAGAAAATCTTCAGTCTAAAATAGATTATATCATGGATGACAAACTTTCATTGTTGGTATTTGATAATACATTATCTCTATACTTTTCTCTTACTGTTAAATTAAATCGTAGTGCACGAGGAAAATAAATTTTCATCTTTGTTCCTGGATTGTTACAGAGGCCGCCTTTACACTTGAAAATTAGATTTAAGTTAAAATATAATTAATACAAAAAATGATGTGATTTTACGCGATATTCAACAGCAAAAGTTTGTAATGTAATTACTTCATTTTTAAAATGAAGTGATTGTAATGTTATACCAAACCAAAATATTCAACGACCAATATTTTGAATTAATTACCTCGTCTTTTAAACACGTTTTCAAATTACCAATAAGTTTACTTAGACCTTTAAGTTCTTTTGAAAAGTTTTTACATCGGCTTCTTTCGTCAATAATACATTTCCCAAGGCAACATCCAAGAAGACTGATTGCAATGAATGTTAAAAAATACGATCCTGCTGGGAAAGTAAACTTTTTTAAGAAATAAAATACCATTTATAATATAACAAAAGCTTATCCCGAAACTTTACCTGACATATTTGTAAGAATAATTTTAGCCATTTTAAAGCAATTTATTTTGCTCGGTAGTATGATTTAAAGTACAACTAGTGAAACTGTCTGGATTTTAAATTCAATTGTCATATTTATATTTTTGTACTAAGCAATTATCTATAAAGTAAAACCCCTTTCTTTTGTCGACTCGTTTACTTCCTTATAGCTTCAAAATCTATTAAAAAAATCATTGACGTAGCTACGTCTTGCCACATCATTCGATTTAATAGCAGCAATTATCAAATTCTTTACTGTTCAATCGCAAACCAAAGCTATCGCAATTCTTTGTTGTACTTTGTACTTACCTTTCGTTCAACATGTACTGTAATTTTGTGATCCGTAATGAAATTCAATTTGTGCTGCTAAAATTGGTTTAATACCACATTTATTTCAAAGAATATTGTGTCTCTTATAGATAGTTATGTTCTTTTAAGTCAAGAATTTTACTGTTTTGACGTATTTTACACAGGGAAATAGAAATTGTTCTATTTAATGCTTTTATTTCCGCAATGGTTTTAACAATCTTTGATGCCTCATTTACTATAGAAAAATTGTTTTTATAAAGAAATTTGTAAACATTATCAAAATAATTCATCATAACAAACTTATTAGGTTAAATGTATATAACACAATAATGTATTGATGATTTAATCTATATTTTGAAAAGATATGTGTTTTGATCGTTTGTTATAGTTTTATAGTTATATTTCGTAATAAATTTTAATCATTTCTGTAAAAAAAGTTAAGCATATCAAAACATATTGTTTTCGCATTGGATTTTTCAAGTTTTCAGTAAATGATGATTTCAAATATAAGTGATGTATTGTCTTGTAGTTGTCATGTTAAGAATACAGGGAACTTTCTTGTTGCTAAGCAATTATTAAAATCGTTATGACTTGACATTTTTTACAAATGTTGAAAAAAAAACAATTTTTTTATCTTAAAATATTGTATATTGATTTTTTTACGTTTTATCAATTTTCTGCGTGATATAGCATTTACTTTACTTAAAACATTTATTTTATTCTCACCTTGTTGAAAACACTATAATACGATGGTTCATTTGAGTTGAATTTTATATAATACTAGTAATAATAATAATGTTTTATGTATTTCTCTGTGGTGCTTGAACAGATTCTTTTGATGTAAAATCAATATGCTCAATTATACGATAAAAGTAATTCCAATGCATTTCTTGTCTATTAATATTAATATTATGTTTTTGAATTAATAGTTAGATGTTAAAACGGACGAGTCATTGACAGAATGAGCGCCTTCAAGCAATGAGGTAAGTTTTTGACGTAAGTTTTTGAGCGCCTTTAAGCAATGACGTAAGTTAATGACGTAGCAATGGCTGCTCGTGGTCCTTCAAGAACAGGGTGCCCCTCACCAAAAAAGTCTGACAAGATAAACATGTTCTTAATAATCATGAATACAATACAATATTTAACTGGTTTTTAACTAAAATACAGAAAATACCAAATATAAAGCTTTCAATTTACTACCAGGAATACAAATTCACGAATGACTTTAATGTGAAATATTCAGTGCTTAAACTTGCCCAAATATGAACCTACTTTTTTATGTTCATAAATAACATCCTTTAGGGCGCCCCCTTACATACTGATTGCATGACTGCCCGTGGCTCTGTCCACCCAGAGCTCATAGCAGTTACACCACTGGCTTCAAGACTTTTGGTGTATCATCAATGAACTTACTTCTTCAATGGCGTTTAGGAGTCCTAAGGCCTGGACTACAGTAATTATGACTGTGGTTTTGAATTAGCTCAATCATATATCTCTAGAGCTCATGAGGGGACAGGCCACTTAGGTTTACTCATATTATATAAAGACTGAGGTGTTCTGTAAATTAATAATGCTGCAAGTCTTATCCAAAACTTATGAATGATCAGACATTAAAAATTTTACATTTAATGTGAATTAAGTGCAGGCTTAAGGAGTATGAATGTGAGTGTATATTTTTAACTTCACTGAAGACAGAAGACAGCTAGGCTTTCTAAAGGGCTGATTATATGAGCCCGGTAACCGGGATTCAGCAAAGCGTTAAGTCATTTTTGGCAAAGGTTAAATACTTCACAACAAAAAATTTATTTGTGCAATTTCTCAAAACCTTTAAAATGAAAGCAAATAATGTAGCCTGATTTGAAAACTACAAGTAAAATGACTTATAACGCTCAAGAAAAGGTTGCAAGTGTTGCACTTGAAGTTTCTGCTCGTTTCAATGTCTCAAAATTATTTCACGCCTCGCTGAATCCCGACTACCGGGCTCATGTGAACAGCCCCTAACAACTGACAGTTAGTGAGAATGCAACATGATCCTATGCTACTGTCTTAAATCTTAAGCAATTTTTTATTTAGTGAATCGGTAAAATTGTTTAGCTGTTATATGGTATATTTTTTAACTTTATGGTCATATAAATACACTTATATATGACTCCTTATGTATGTGTAAAATCTTGAGAAAAACGTGTGAAGATTATATTTCGATATTTTCTGAATTATTTTTTCGCCAATAAGCTTGGGCAAAGACTTCATTCTTCATTCGTGAGAGGGAATTTTCAGTTTTGACTGCAAAAAATTAGTTCAGGAGCTCTAAGGCATGCGTTTCAAAAAAATTTAGAGTTTTGACAACGAAAAAAATAATAACAAAACAGCAGCAAAAGTGATAATTTATGTCATTCTGGAATGTGATTTATTCGAACGGTTTCTGAAACTTTTAAACTTGTGCTGTAAGCTTAATTCTGAAACGTGGATCTTAGGAACGTGATAGTGTTAATGTTGAGGCTGATATTGTCGTCATTTTATCACAAAGGTTTCGAAAAACCTTGAAAGCAGGGCATATGGAAAATTGATAATTGTAGGGTGTGTAGGTCTCATATTCATATGCATTTTTGATCTATATAAAACAATGAAATTCATAGAAGCTTAATACAGCATGTCATGCATATATGAACTTGATTTTCGCTTTTTCTACAGCCCTGCTTGAAAGATAAAATTAGATATATGACATGTGGTATATTAAAGTGCTGTGAGAAATAAAAAGTCATGATGATATAAACAAGTATAAACAAGTATTACACTCCCTCCAACACACAAAACATTTCTCGTAGGATTTGAATGTATTATAAAATTGGTCTTGTATTGAACTGGGAAGGACTTATATCCCAGTTCTCTTTGTGACTCTGCTAATGTATCACAGCATTCTTAATGTGATAAAAATCGTTTATTCATATAAAAGTTTTGCATATTCAATACTACAGTTGCAATAAGACATGAACACTTTCTACTCGTAGCAAATATTAAATGTTCTTTGTGCATCAAATTTCTACCTTATAATAATATCATTTAATGTATTTGATGCATTGCATCTACTTTCCATCATTTCGTGAGAAATCTGCATCTAAAAAACTTGTGTTAACAAGCCGAAATGATACATTTTTTAATTTTAAAACGTTCTTTCATGTACGAAATATCAACGTGCGTATTTTGCAGTATTTGGAATTTTGCACCGTATATTCTGCTTTGTGAAATCGGTTTAATCATTGTCGTAGTTTGTGATAATTTCCCCTGAATATTGGTCGGTAAACCCATTTCTTTTTGCTGTAAAAGGAGGATGTATACATATTTTTATAAAACATAGCTTGTGTTCTATGGTTATTTATACATAAAACAGACATTAATCTGGACTGTCAATGGCTTGTAACAAAATATCTTACCGTTCTTGTGATCCAATATTTGAGAAGTTTTGCTTTACACTTGATCTTTTTTATTTCTGTATCACATTTCACATTTTGAAAGTTTTTTTTAATATTCTGACAGTGAAATTTTATTCTATGTGACATTTGTTGAAAAAAATCTTCCACCTAAAATGGATTATGTGATGTATGGCAAATTGTCATTGTTGATATTTGATCATAAAGTATCTATATACTTTTTCTCTTACTGTTAAATTAAATGGTAGAGTACGAGGAAGAGCAATTTTGATCTTCGTTCCTGGATTATTGCAGAGACGACTTTTACACTTGAAGATTAGATTTAAGTTAAAATATAAATAAATTTTATGTCACACGAAGATATCCAACAAAAACAGTTTGTAATTTTATTACCTCATTTTTGTAACAGGTTTTCAAATCACCAACAAGTTTATTTAGACCTCTTAATTCTTTCAAAAAGTTTTTACATCGGCTTCTTTGGTCAGTAATACATTTCCCAAGGCAGCATCCGAGGAGACTGATTGCAATGAATGTTAAAAAATATGTTCCTGTAGCAAAACACATTTTTTTAATAAATAAAATACCATTATTGGATGATATAACAATAGTTTATCACAAGATTTTACCTGACATCTTTGTAAAAATAGGTTAAAACAATTTATTTTGCTGTTTGACTTTTGATTTAAATGCTCGTATTTATATCTTTGTATCAAGCAATTATCTATACAGAAATAACCCATTTTGGTAGACTTTTTCACTTCCTATAACTTCAAAATCTATTAAAACATTTATTGACGCACGTCTGGTCACATCGCTCAATCTAAAGCAAATTATCAAATTCTTCATTGTTTCCTTCACAAACCAAAACTTATTAAAATTCTTTGTTATTGTACTTAAGATTCGTTTCACGGTACACGTACAGTAATTTTGTGATTTGTAGTTGATAAAATTCATTTTGTGCTGCGAAAATCGGTTTTATTCCACATTTAATTCAAAGAATATTGTGTCTCTTATATATATTTATGTTCGTTTTAATCAAGAATGTTTTCTGTTTTGACGTAATTTACACAAGGAAATAGAAGTTATTTGTCAAAGTATAATTGTTCCATATTCCGCAATGATTTGAACAATCTTTGATGCATCATTTACTATAGAATAATTTTTTTTACAAAGAATACAGGATTTTTTATTTTTTCAAAGCAATATATAAAATTATTATAACTTCATATTTCTTTTATAGTATAAATTTCTAAAAAACGGTGAAAAAAAAAGTTTG